AACCACCACAGCCGCCCCCTGCCTCCGTCCTGCCTGGAAGGGATGCTGCCTACGCCCAGCTCACGAGCGGCAGATAGATAGACCTCACAATCGCACAGTAGTGATGCCAGTACCAACGCGGCTTATCAACTCCCAACCTCACCCCCTTATCATCTCACCTAGCCTCCCTCCTCCCAGCGATTCCCAATAGAACAGCTACCTGCAGCAGGCAGTGCAGCGCAGCACTGCAGCACCGCATCACTACAGCGTGGTGCTTAGACATACACAGCCAGTCGGAGGATTCTCTCCCTCCTGCATGATAATCTTGATGTGCTATATGCCGCGCTTGTGCAGCATCTGCACCTGTTCGCGGTCTCACACGAAGCGCGTGTGCAACGCCGCTCGCAGGGTAGGAGAATTACCTTTGAAGGAGAGGATATTTGCCGTATCTCCTTGTCGCGGTATAATCTAAAAGTATATTTACACCGTAATGCGTGTGTTTGAGTATGCATCTCGAGGGAAAGCTGCTATGAGGTAACACGGTGGATCGGAATAGAGTACGTACACTCTCTTTACAGTAGTCGTAGAAAGTACCATCCCCGCATGGTATGCAAGCCCTAACTTACCTACGCTCCTCGGCCGGCCTCCCGGTACGATATACGATATCCGGGGAGCGAGCCAGCATCGATCAGCAGCTGCAAAACTACCCTCTACCCTACCCTAACCTACCCTAGAAGAATCAAAAGTACGTACCATACTGCACTGTACGTACGAGACAGCGAGTAGACAGCGAGTAACAGAGAGTGCGAGAGGGGAGAGTGGATACCCCCAGCGCATGATAGCGCGCCTTTTGGTAAGCTGGGCCGCGCAAGCCTAGGTCCAAGGGGGGAAGTTAAGGCGATGAGAGGGCTTGGCGGGCGCTGGGCGCTGGGTGTGTCTTATTACAGTGCAGTAGTACAGTACAGTACGTTGACGGTATTTGTGTTTGTATCGGTATTGGGTATTGGTATTGGACTGGACTGGATTGGACCTGACTGACTTGTAACCTAATAACTAATATAATAACTAATAACTGGCTGGGCCGCTACATACATACAATAAGCTGGCCGACGAACGACGGCACAGTACTCGCACCAAACTGGTATTAGCAAGCCTCTTGGTCATCATCTCGCACACCTCTACCGAACCGCAAAACGTGGGATTGGGGAATATGAAAGGTGGGGTTTTGGTCCCTTGGCAGGTGGACATTTCTCGGTGTTAATATATGATAATGGGGCAAATCATAATAATAATCTCCATCGCCACACGCCCTCGAACCAACGAACGAGGGTGGTGATTCACCAACAATGAACGCCCAGCCCAAATAAGCACTGGGAACATCACCGAGGCATCGACCCAGAACCACGACCCCGACCTGGCTGATATGATATGATATCTCGTTCCTTGGCTTGGCTAGGCCGGTGTCCTAAGGTATATCCACACTGTGCCGTGTCCATGTGGGAGGTGGAAGACCCTGTGGATGGGGATGGTATGGTAGAGACGGCAGCTGCGGTAGGTCGATGACGGGCTATGCTCCGAGACATTGGGGGTGGGTGGTAGCTACTAACTTTGTTCACGGATATCCTCCGAGTAGCACGGGGTAATACGCGTATACAGCACAATCCTCTCATCAGTAAAGTACAGTACGTCTCGGGGGCCACTCACTAATTACTCCTACTCCCTGCACAGCGCGGCACGGCGGCACACACACACACACACACACACGCAACCCTCATCTCACACAATCTCGCACAATGTCGCACACCGTATTCGGAGCCCAGCAAAGTCCGGTTCCTGACTCTACCCCCGATCGAGACTAGGGCGCTGGCACTTCGTTCCCCTCGCTCCCTGATTTTGGGTTAGGGCGCGGAGAAGCGAAGGTTCCGAGGTTGTTCTGCCGTGCCGTGTTTGTTCGTGGTATGTGGGTGGTGTGTGGAGTACGTATACTTTGGCGAGGCTATACTATACTTTGGTGGTAATGGTGATGGATGGGGATATTATTGCCCAGCTACTGTGGTTATGAAACCCGAATTCCCTGCTTTGCTATGCTACTAAGCTTCAATCCCTTACTTAACAGCACAATATCGTAACACATACTATAATCTCCAATCCCAATCCCCAGCATAAGCACGGAACAGCGGCGGCGGTAATCCTGCGCTTGTGAGGAAGCAGCCTCCAAGCCCCGAGTCGCCCGAGTCGCCCGAGTCGCCCGACTGGACTGTTCATGCCTTAACAAACGGAGTTCGGGGTTGTTCCATCGCCTACCCCGTCCAGTCGGTCGGGCGGCGGAGTGAGTCTCACTTTCGAAGTTTTCGGATGAACTAAGACCCCTTTAAGTTGTGATGTGCCCTCCCTCCTCTCTCTGTGTGTGTGTGTCTTAGATCGATCTGGGAAAGTAAAAGTAACTGCGCTGTATCACTTCCCAGAATAGGCAGAGTAGAGAGTGCGTAGTCTGGTTTTGGATACTTCTATTTCAGGAGATGCGTAATCTCTAATCCCCCCCCTCGCTCGCCTCTTTACCACACATACAGCAAAGTAGTACGTCCGTAGGGCACCTAGTTTAGCTACTCAGCTAGTTAGTTAGGCAGATTAGCCCAGCCCGCCCTCCCCAATCCGCGCTTCTTCCCAACCCGTGTGCCACGCGATACGGCGCTAGATCCTTACTCGCGCTGACGAGCTATCCATCCCGTGTCTTGAAGGTTAATGCGTAGACAAGCGAGTGAGCGAGAGCTAGACCCGCGATCTATGAGGAAAAGTCAGCCCACTTCGTGTGTGAGACCGGCTAGCTAGTTGGCGTAGTGTATGTGTAGTGAGATAGCTGGCTGGACTAGTTTTTGTGTAGTGTGAGATTCGGGGATCTCCGCGGAGGTGAGTGAGATGATGGGTGAGTGACGGGCGAGATTGATGGATGGGGCTCGTCTATCACCGAGCGAGCGAGCGGATCGCGGTGCTGGTAGCTGAGATCATTGATGGGCGTGCGGGGCGGTGGGGGGGGTGGGAGATGGGAGATGGGAGAAGATCGATGTGGATATGACGGAGAGGGGGATTCATTCGGTCTTATTAGGGCATGATAGACTATCGATGGTTGTTTTGAGTGAGTGGTGGTTGTGGGGTATTGTATACATCGTGTGTTTATGAATCAGGTGAATGGATACCAGCTAGATCAATCGATGGATTTCGAGGGCGTCACGGCACTCAAACTCCTCCCTTGGGACTGGGACGGGACAGGCAGCGGGCGGCGGGCGTTTTCCATTGAAGAATTCCTGCGTGTGAGACAAGACAGACGGACTCACATGAATTCCCGAGTATCGGCCCCTTGTTTGGCTCCAGCTAGTCCCCTCTCCGACGCCGCCGACTAATAGCAGCGCCACTGGGACCCGGGAGAAGGAGAAGGACTGGACGACGGGCGTTGTGTTTGAGTCGGGGAGTGAGTAAGTGCATATACTGGGAAATGTGTACTTACTCTATTGTATTTGGGGCATTTAGTATTAGTATTGGGCTTTTTAGTACGGGGAAGTGTGAATGCGATGGATGCGTGATATAGTATGGCGGCGGCGTGTGTGTAATTGTGACGGCGGTGCTGGTAGTGGTGGTAGAGGTAGATGTACTTCCTCTCCGTGGATATTTGTGTTGGAGTTTGTTGTGGAGAACGGAGGTTATGTGGTCTAGTTACCTCCGTACTAGATTCCTGTCTGTCTGTCTGCCTGTCTGTCTGTCGGTAGTCTCTGCCCCTACTGCTGCCCATACATACACTAGTGGCACTCTACTCTACGGCTACTACTTACTCCTCGCCCCTACTACTCGCCCCTACAACTCGCCCTTACTACTCCTACTACTACTCTACTACTACTCCTACTCCTGCTCCTACTATCCCTCTTTCTATTTCTGCACTACTGTCCTCTCCACTACGGAGTACCACTAGTAAGTGTAATGTGGACTACTATAGTCTCCATACTTCCACACTATACGGCACACTACACTGCACACATGTGGGTTTTTGCACTTGACATGACATGACAGGGCAGACAAGACAAGCCCCCTAACCCCCTCCCCTACCACCCTGCACCCTAGCACCCTACACTTCCTTCCCCCCACCCCCCAGTTCAAGGGGCTATAGACAGGGATACGCATATATACCCTTAGCGTAATAAGTATGTAAGGACAGGGACAGGGACAGGGACAGGCCACGATCGATTCTAGTGCAACCCCTTCTTGCCTCTCCACCCCTTCCACCCCTTCCATAATACCACTAGAGTGTCTTAGGAGGATGGAGCTAGTGGAAAATGCGAGAAGAGAGTTGGGTAGGGACCTGGTACTGGAAAACTAACCGTGGTGCAGCCAGACCCCAGGAAAAAATGGGTTGTTAGGGAATAGGGAAAATGGAGAGGAGGGATGTATGTGCCTTTGATCACACACAGCAGGACGATAACACGCCTTTTTTCACCCGCTCATGCTCCTTCTGTTGCTGTTGCTGTTCCTTCCTTTTCACACCGATACTATACCATGTTATACCCCTACCATAGTGAAGAAGAAAAAACGTCTATCACGGCATTGTCGGCCCATCACTCTAACCCCCCTCCTCTCTCTTTCCTCCCCACTTCCACTCCCACTCTCACAATCCAATACAATCCCCCTCGTACAAATTTGTGAAAGGTACACAACCTACACCCACTATTACACTACTACATACTACACACTACTCCTCCATGCATCTCTACTAGCGCATCCATTGATCCATCCCGTTCCCATGCTCTTCACCTAACCCTCACTATCTCCGATCTGTCCAAATCAACCACATTTCCAATGCAACTCCCTTCCACCTGTCCCCCTAGTCCCAACCCACTTCCTGCCCTCTCCCTCCTACCCCCCCCTCCATCTCCATCTGCATCACACCCCCCCCCCTCCATCTACCGTGCTCAGCATCTCCCAAACGTCTACATCCCTTCCCCACCCCTCCCCCCCCCTCCCTCTTTCTGCAAGATCCACTCTTGATGGCTCTGGCTTGCGGATAGCCACGCTGCCACGCCGTACCCCCAGCTCTGATCTAAAAAGCCTCCAAACAATCCCGCCACAGGAACACACCCACAGACCCAGGGAGAGGAGAGAGAGAGAAGAAACTGAGCTATATACCCCGGACCTGCTTCTTATAATACAACCAGAGATCCCCATTTATTCCCGTGTGCCCGCCCCAAAACCAACCACCAACCAACGAACCAACCACTCAAATCCGTGACGACGTCTGATGCAAACTACACACCTACCAAGTCGAGCATCTCATACACAACTCATCAAGCCGCTGAGGATCTAGAATGGAACTCATGGAGCTGGTTGAGAATGAACCCACTGTTCGACCCTTCCAGTGCGAGTGGCCGTCATGTCAGAAGGTGAGTCGAGTCACCGGTTCTGCGGACTCGCACGACGCCCGTTCTTACTTGGAGGGATGGCATACTAATGGCATGGCAAACAGAACTTCAACAGGAAATCCGACCTGCAGAGACACTTCAGAATCCACACCAATGAACGCCCATACTCCTGCCTAACACCCGGCTGCAACAAGAGCTTCATCCAGAGGAGCGCCCTTACTGTCCATATCCGCACACACACCGGCGAGAAGCCTCACCAATGCCAGCAATTAGGATGCGGCAAGCGGTTCTCAGACGTGAGTGCCCTCCCCCGACATCCTTGCCTCTGGCCATCTTTCTAATATGCACCCAGTCCTCGAGTCTCGCCCGCCATCGCCGTATTCACACCGGCAAACGCCCGTATAAATGCGCCCACGAAGGCTGCTTGAAGAGGTATGCCCCCAGCAACCCCCCCGTTCCCAGCTGAGCATCCTAACCTAACCCTCTCCAGTTTCTGCCGCAAAACCACAATGGTAAAGCACCAGCGCCGCTCCCACCAGCGCGGCGGCGGCATCAACTCCTCCGAGCTAGAAGACGGCGACACCTCCGACTCCGACATGGGCGAGTCGCCCTCAACCCCCCAGCTCGTGACGCAGGCCCACTGGCCCCAGGACCTCAACACAGTCATCACCCACAACGTGGTGCAGAACCACCACCAAGCCATCCACCGCTCGCAATCGTTTGCTGATTTCGGACACCACCATAACGGCAACTCGCAACCTTACGTGACGAATGCGGAAATCTACCCGCCGCGTCATAGCCTCTCGGAGAGCCCGCAGCATTATCAGCATCGCTCGCTGTCGTTGCAGGATCAGAGACATCCGCAGGAACTGATTCAGCAGCAACGACAACAGCAGCAGCAGCAGCCTACTATCCACCAACAACACCCCTACTTCATCTCGGAGCAAAATAACCCTGGTGTGGCTACGATGAACACAAATCCGAATATCCATATCCAGACCTACATCGCTCGACAGATCCCAGATCGCCAGATTCCGTATACGACACAGTCACTCCCTCCTTCCGTGGACGCAGGTTCAGATACTTACTCCGCGCTATCCGCACGCACTCCTCCGCCTCCAGAGCTGTATTACGCACACCAACAACAACCGCTCCAGAAATTCGAATACCCAGCCCAGCAAGTCCACCAACCCTCTCCCATCGACCAGCAACAGCAACAGCAGCAGCAGGTGCCAGTTGTGCAATACCAGCAGCACCAACAACAGCAACAACAACAAGTGGTGCAGGTGCAGCAGGTAGTCCCGACGCCCCAGCAGCAGTACCAGACACCGCAAGAGCAGTGGTACGCCCAAGCGCCGTTTCAGGAGCCGGTGGAAGTGATTAGTGCGATTAACTCGTATACGACCCAGGGCTTGTATGATCCGTGGCAGGTGAAGATGGAGGCGTTTGAGGATCCGAGTATGCAGTTGCCTAGTGCGAGGTGTGAGAATCTCTAATCAGTCGACGGAGCTGTGGTGTCGACACTTGAATATACACATATACAAACAGCACGGGGAATAGCTGGATTTTTACATATCACCGCCAGACGCATATATATACCGACGAGGAGGAGGGGGATAGATTTATACGAGAAGTCTATACACCGATACCAACACAAACTCACCAACTCACCAACTCACCAACTCACCAACTCACACACACCTACTTTACTACACACACAAGATTCCGATTATTATATTGATGACACAACACCCACGAGACCCCGAACAACTACCGACTACCGACACCTATTACATTTCCTCCTAATGAAACGGGCCATCTCAACTCTACACAACCCACCACCACCACCGCCCGACCTACCTCTACCACCCTCTCTCTATACCAACACAAAAAGCGCGCCCTACTTATTTCTGCTTTTTGTTTTCTTCACTGGCGCACTTGCTCACTACTACTACTCGATTTGCGTCTTCAACTTTATTTTGATCTTTGCGTATTCATAGCGCTTACGCATGCACACACTCGCGGGTCCTTTTAGGGATTCCCACTTGATGATGACCTTGATGGGAGATTGATTGATGGATGGGTGGACTTTTGTTTTTTGTTCTTCGGCTTTACTGTTTTGCGTGGTTTTTTATAGCTATGACTGGTGGGAATGGAGGATTGGTGTATAATTTTCGGCGGAACTGGTGGGATGGGAGGAAGGTGGGAGAGGAGGATGGGGGGTGGGAGGGAGGTTTGGGCATGTAATGTACTAACGAAATACCCTGAAGCACATTTTTGTCGTTTTTGCTATTTTTTTCTCTCTCTATTCGTCGTTGATGGGTTTTTTGGGGCGATTATTTTGAGGATGTAACTATAGTTGAGAAAGAGAGAGGGTTTGTAGTTAGGTTTTTGGGGGATGAATGACTGCAGATATGGGAATGGATTATTTACAGTATGCTTATGAGTATTTGGCTGTGCAATTGTGAAGTGTTGAGTTGTAGTTAGAGTCAAGTATATGGGACTATGATACGGATCATTCAGTATATTCAAAAACCGTCGTATAAAATACTCCAAAACCAAACAATCCGACTGAACAGGCCGAGATCTTAATCCATATAACCAGCCATCCCCACCTACAGAGCCCATATATCAAAGTATTTCCTCCAAAATCCGAACTTCACAATTTCTACCCAAATTTCCAAAGATTCTTAATCAGATCTACCGTCCCCACGATCGTCTCCTATCGATCTCCTAAGAATCCCGCACAGACCAACAAATGCCGTGCCCCCTTACCTCATCCGGTTAGCGCACAACCCCGAACACCGGCCGAAATGTTGATGATGCCGACGTACACGATCTGTCGCCTCAACATCACCGATCTCGCGACACCCTCTCAACAAGTCGGCCGGTCACTCCTTGATCCTACATCTCTGCGCCGTTTCTTCAATCCATTGTTATATTTCTTTCCTTTGTTTTCAACTATAGGGGTTTTCGGAAGGGGACGCACCGTTATGATGGCGTTCCAGGCTTCTGCCTTGCCGGTAGGTTTTTTTGCCCCAACAACCCGTCCTGCAATTGCGGAGGAGCAGAGAAAGGGATGAGTGCGGTGTGCTGATTTGTGGTCTACAGAGCGTCGCGGCGGCTACGACGGAGCTATGGCCGTCGATGGTTAATGTGATGGGTGCGCCGTTGCGGAGTGCCGGGTCGAGGACACAGTCTAGGCCTTCGCAGCGGTCGGAAGTACAGCCTCCAGCGGCGACGGTTATACAAGTAAGTTTAATCTCCTTCTTCCCAGTTCTCCATCAACCCAGGCGGCCTTGTTCAGCGCATTGATGCTAACTCTCCCTCCCCAGCCATCGAAACCTGTCCTCCCCGAGTGTCTCCAGACCGCCCGCGGCCTGACCTCCTCCCTCAGCGAATACCGAAATGCGACCCTCACCCCCTTCACCGCTCGCGACACCCTCTCCCCAATGCGCCGCGGCACCCTCGCCGCCGCCAACCCCCTCGCCCGCCGTCTCCCCGCCTCATTCTCCACATCCAGATCCATTACCAGCATCACCGCCTTCCGCCTCTCCCAGCCACGCACACCCTTCACGCGCATCCTGAAGCCGCAACAGCGCACCGTCTTCGGCGCCAACACCTCGCGGAACTTGCTCGCGCATATGGAGGAGGTGGCGAACAAGAACCCCAATAGCGCGACGGCGCAGAATGCGTTTTACCAGGCGCTGCTGCGCGCGAATATGGGCGCGATTGTGGTGGAGAGGTATCAGAATGGGCATTTTGCATCTAACAATGCGTGCGAGGCTGCGTATCAGAAGGCGCTTTCGGGACTTGGTGGTGGAGGCGGCGGTGCGGGGTTTGGTAATGAAATGGCAGGGGGGTTTGGGGGGATGGCGAATAATGGCGGGGGCGGGTTGAATAATTCGCAGCTCCAGGCTATTGGACAGGCTGTTGCGGCGTCGTCGAGGGGGGGGAATGTGGCGGTTTCGAGGGGGAGGGATGGGGCGGGAAATGGTGCGAAGGAGAGCCCGCTTTATGTTGTTGTTGAGGAGACGATTGGGAGTGTGATCTTTAAGTGGGTGAAGCTTGCGCTTTACTTCGCGTTGTTCACTTACGTCTGCTTTGCGCTCCTCACGGTGCTGATTGAGTCGGTGGGGATATTCAAGAAGGTCGGCAATGCGAAGGCGGATAATGAGGCCAAGGCTGAGCATCAGAAAGTCCGCTTCTCTGATGTTCACGGCTGCGACGAGGCGAAGGAGGAGCTTCAGGAGCTTGTGGATTTCCTCAAGAACCCCGGAAAATTCTCGACTCTTGGTGGCAAGCTCCCCAAGGGTGTTCTCCTCGTCGGTCCTCCCGGTACCGGAAAGACCCTCCTCGCTCGCGCAGTAGCCGGCGAGGCAGGCGTCCCCTTCTTCTTCATGTCCGGCAGCGAATTCGATGAGATCTACGTCGGCGTCGGCGCCAAGCGCGTCCGCGAGCTCTTCGCAGGCGCTAAAGCAAAGTCCCCCGCTATCATCTTCATCGACGAGCTCGACGCCATAGGCGGCAAGCGCAGCGCCCGCGACGCCTCGTACGCTAAGCAGACGCTCAACCAACTCCTCACCGAACTTGATGGCTTCGAGCAGAACAGCGGCGTCATCATCCTCGCCGCCACCAATTTCCCTGAGACCCTCGACAAGGCGCTCACGCGCCCGGGTCGCTTCGACCGCAACGTTGTCGTTGGCTTGCCTGATGTCCGCGGAAGAATGGCAATCCTCAAGCACCACATGACCAACGTCATCAGCGGCACCGACGTGAACCTCGAGCAGCTCGCCGCAGGAACCCCCGGCTTCTCCGGCGCCGAACTCGAGAACGTCATCAATCAAGCCGCCGTGCACGCCAGCAAAGCCAAGGCCCTCGCCGTCTCGATGAAGGACTTCGAGTGGGCCAAGGATAAGGTCATGATGGGCGCTGAGAAGAGGAGTATGGTCATCACGGATAAGGAGAAGGAGATGACTGCCTACCATGAGGCGGGGCACGCGCTGGTGGGCATGTTCACCAAGGGCGCGAATCCGTTGCACAAGGTTACGATCATGCCGCGTGGACAGAGTCTGGGTATGACTATGCATCTGCCGGAGATTGATAAGTATTCTAAGACTATGAGCGAGTACCGCGCTCACATCGATGTTTGTCTTGGTGGAAAGATGGCGGAGGAACTCATCTATGGCGCTGATCAGGTTACCAGCGGCGTTTCGGGCGTAAGCTCCCCCCCCCCCCTCCTTATCTTACCTCCTAGACAGACCCAACTAACACCCCACAGGACCTCGAAAGCGCAACCCAAATCGCCTACGCCATGGTAACCCAATTCGGCATGTCCGACCTCGCCGGCAACGTCGACCTAAACACAAACTACAACCACCTCTCCTCCGAAACCAAACAACTCATCGAATCCGAAGTCCGTCGCACAATCGAAGAAGCGCGCCAACGCGCACACGCCTTACTAGTCGACAAACGCAAGGAGTTGGATCTTCTTGCCCGCGCGCTGGTGAACTACGAGACCCTGGATAAGGAGGAGGCGTTCAAGGTTATTAGGGGAGAGAAGTTGGAGGGGAAACTACTCATGCCAAGTGGGAGTATTAAGAGGCCTGAGACGGGAGCGCCGGAGAAACCCCTAGCGCCGATTCCGGGGAGTAAGGCGGCGGATGCGCCTACTGAGCCGGAGCCGCCGAAGGGGGGGGTGATGGCGTGAGTGTGTGGTGATACCTACTACGTCGTTGTTTGGATTTTGGCACGGCGGGAAAAGGGTGCTGATAGTTCCAGACTTTGTGCCTTTATAGCAACCACGCGGATGCTAAAGGGGTACAAAGTTTGGATTATCGGCACTGTGCGTGCGGGCGGAAGGGGAGAAAGGAAGGGATCACTGTTGCGGTATAGCGAGGGGCGGGCCGGGGGGGGGGGCGCATTAGAATGGCCACAGCGCTGAAAAAGGGTTTCCTTTGTATAGCTACTCTGCTTTGGGAAGCTGGGGTGGCATAGCGAGGGGTGCTGGGATCACTTCACTTAATTGTGGTGGTGGTGGTGGTGGTGGTACATGTAGTTGTATTTATAAAGGTTTACTTTCCTCTATCCTTGTGTTGTATTATTATACTGCGTGATATGTGCAGTGTTTCATCTATCTGTCTATTTGGTTCCGTTGTGTGGTGAGGGGTATTATGCATGGAACTCCGTGCAACTGGTGGTGTTGGTATATCCCCCCGTTCATTAGGAGACGCCTGTTGTAAAACCCATCCCTTCTGCGCCAGAAAAAGCAATCGCAAACGCCATCCACGCCCCCATCCCATAAACTCCCCCCATTCCCACCCGCACACCCATAAACAAACCCCACCCCATCCCACCCCGCCTAAAAATCCTCATCCTCCATCCCCTCCTCCCACCCCTCATCCACATCCTCTTCCACATCCTCCTCCTCCTCCAACTCCTCCAACAACTCATTCCCCACCCCCCCTTCCCCATCAACCCTATAATCCTCCGCCGTACTCTCCACATCCCCCTCCTCCTCCTCCTCCGCCACCACACTCGGCGCCGCACTCGTAGCCTTACTCCCCGGCCCCTCAAAGATGCCTCTAATCGCATCATAATTAATCCTCTTACTCCACGTCCTCTCCTTCAGCACCTCCACCGCCGCTTCAGCCGGCGAACTCGCCGCTCTGGTTTGTCCTTCCCCGATACGAGGGCGCTTGACTCTGTTGCGTCGGGCTTTGGGTGCTTTATCGGCGATTTTTTGGTTGTAGAGTTTTACGGCTTGGTCGCGGAGCCAGTCTTTATTGGCGTTAACCCAGATATGCTCTTTGATCGCTGCTTCCGCCTCGGAAAGAAGACAATTCGCCACCTCGGGGTCGTCGGCGAACTCGGATTCATCGACTGAGGCGGTCATGGGGATGGATACCTGGGGGGCCTGGGCGTAGGCAAGCATGGCGTGGACACGGGCGCGCTGCTCAGCGGTAGCGAAGGCCTTGGCGTGCTCGATGGTGTGTGGGTCAGCGATCATCTCCGAGATCTCGTCTTCGATTTCCTCTTCGTCCTCTTCCCACGCTTGGTCGACTACTGATTTCGCACTAGCCGAGGGAGGGGGTGTAGCCCCCTTCCCGTTTACTTTCCCCGGCGACCCAGGCGAGGCGGAGGTCTTGAGTGGGCCGTCGCCGGGGGGGAGATCCTCACCGTATTCCGCGACGAGGCGATTGAGGGAGTCGTCGTTGTCGGTGTTTTCTAGCAGGGCGGGATCGATGGGGATTGCCTTCGCCGCCGGGAGGGGCGGGACAGCGAAGCCGTCAGCGTCGCGGCGAACGGCGCCGGAGGGGTTAATTTCTAGCCCTGGGTCGATGGAGGATGCTACGCTGGACTGGCGAGACGCGGAGTCAAGAATGCGTTGGATCTCTGATTCCTCATCATCTCCCTCCGGTCCCTCGAGGGGGTGGCGCTTGCGCTTCCGCTTCTTCTTGGTGGCGATGTAGGACTCGGATTGCTGGTAGAATGCGGGCGGGTCGTGCGCGGACTCGAGGAATTGGTTGCTGAGGAACTCTTCGACGGTGAGGTCGCTGCTGGCTGTGACTTTGAATTCCTCGAGACGCTTTTGGATGGTTGCGGTGGTGACTTTGACGATGTATACTACTTCCTTGACGGTGCGGCGGAAGTTGTGCATTCGTGCTGCGAGGATCAGGCAGGCGCCGCAGATGCCGGAGGGGCGGCGGCCCATGACCATCCAGTCGAGGCTCATGCGTTGGACGAGGCGGACAGCCGATTCGGCGACTTTGGTGGTGTCTTGCCCAAATTCGAGTTTCGTTGCGAAGCGGTAGATTAGGTCTTCGGGGAGGACGGGCATGATGCCGTCGGCGCTGATGGAGATCTTTTGGTGGAGGGCTTTGAAGGTGTGGCCGAGTTTGAAGACATTGACCTGGGAAAATGTTTAGTATATTTCCCCTGAAGGTTAAAGGGAATAAACTTACTCCGCATGAGTCTGCGAAATCGATCAACATGACCCTACAAGGTCTCTCCTTACGCGCTGCCGTATACAGACAAACGGCAGCAACGGTGTTCATCCTCCTTCCCTGGATGAAGTTGTTCATAGCAGCAAGTTTGAAGATCTGCACACCACTATTGAGCACCGACTCCGGAATCTTATGTTCACCCGCGAAACCTTGCATAATGCGTTTCCCTAGCACTCAGTCAGTAACCATATCACTTCACCCTTCCCTCACGAGTTCACATACCTTCTCTAAGCGTCTTCTCCCTATCTTCAGTCCCCCCACCTGCTCTCTGGAACGCAGGTCCCATACTCTTTGCCGCTCCCGACCCCGCGCCCACAAAACTACCCTGCACGACCGCCGCTCCCGACGCGCTCTCTCCAAACTGGATCTCCGACACTATCGTCGACTCCTCCACGATAGTACCGCATGTCTTACAGATCCCATCTTCGATCTTAGGCGCGGGGCAAGTTTTGTTTGGGCATAGTCTGCGTGCCTTCGGGGGACCGACAGGAGGAGGTGGGCGCGCCACAGGTGTCGGGGCACGAATTGGCCTGATGGTGCTGAGTGGGTTGGGCCGTTTGACCTTTGGGGGATTTGGGGTTCGCCCCATGGTGGATGGGTGTTGGGATTGGCAGCTTCTTGGGATGCTTGGCTGGTTACCCCGCAGTGTATTGATCGTCGCGAGATTATCGGAGTTATCGCGGTGGTTGTGTAAGTTGCTTCAGGTGGATTGCGAGATAAGTAGCTACACTGATCAAAGTGATAACTTTATGGATGGTGGAGGTTGGGGTGTTCGATGGATGCGCGTGTGTGGTGATGATGAGGAAGGTCGGGAGTCTCGAAATCGGGTGGTGGGCTGGTTCAGATGAAATTTCCTGGCTTGTGGGGTTTGGCGGTCGGGAGGTTAAGCGAGTTTTTTTTAACTTTTTCTGGAGGGGAAAAGCTTCGCTTAGCCTTGTGGAGGTGAATTTTGGCAGGACAACAACTCTGTCTGTTGTGGTTTGTAGGAGAAAATATGGCGGTGGGCGCCTAATATTAAATTTACGATTTTTAAATCTGTAGTAATTTTGATGCTGATTCACTTTTTGAAGACATAGGTCAGCGGTTCAACTCAGGATCGAACGTTATTCACGTATGTCTCACAAGCGAACCTGATAAGGCGCGGGGTATTTCGCCGGTTTAGGGCAAAAAATTCACTCCAAAAAAAATCCAGACAGAGGGCGACATGGTAAGGAATAATGACGCCTAGCTCTAACGTAAAATACCTCAAAATCCGAGATTGAATACAGTTAAATAGATATATATTAAAAAAAAGCAAAAAAAGAATACCGTAGACGAGTTAACTCGTCTGAAGGGTTATAGTCCCTTCGCCCGGAATCGAACCGGGGGCCCCCGGATGATTTGCGTTACATTACAGTCCGATGCTCTAATCCAACTGAGCTACAAAGGGGTATTGGTGATGGGTTACCGCTTATGGAGACACTTGGATGCTATGTGGAATGATGGATATCCACGCAAAATCTCAAATCTCACTCACATCTTTCTACTCCTGTATGTCCCAGGGCGGTATGTTACGTAGTGTATTTGCAACCCATACATTCATTATATAGGTCAAATCAAGAACAGATTAACAGTAATAAAACTCTTTGTTCGCCAGCCGTACAATAGCCCCTAACTCCAACCTTTCCTATTCCTTAAATTCAGACATCTAACCAGCAGCAATCTCCTTCTCCTGCTCTTCCCAATTACCCTCTTCCTCGGCGTCCTCATTCACCTCCATCTCCGCATCTCCCTCCAGCCCCTCGCTATCCCACTCATCCACATCCATCTCATCGTACTCATCATCGTCATCCTCCTCCTCGCCATCCTTCTTGGCACCCGCACCGCTGGCCTTCTTCTCCCTCTTCTTCCTCTCTACGTTCTCCTTTTGGATCTTCTTCCTCGCCTCCTTCTCTTGTCTCCTCTTCTCCCAGACCTTATCCATCTCCTTCAGCTCCGCGGCGGTCTTGTTGATGTACTCGTGCCACATGACCTTTCCGTTGCAAACACCCTCCTCAACCTTGGTCATACGAAGTCTCATCCGCGGGCCCAACTCAACGAGCTTGACCGCACGCTTCTCAACGCCAGGCGCATCGCCCTCCTTTGCCTCCGCAGCTCTCGCACGTTGCCTCGCCTTGCTGTTGAGAACCTTTCTAGTCGTAGACTCTAGCATCTCAACCTCCGCGTCTGTCTCAACTTCACTTCCAGACGTCGCATCAGTCATGTACCCCTCGCCATTCTCGCCGCCAATCATGAAATCCGCAATATCCTCCAGCTTTCCCAGATTCGGTAAGCTAGCCTTGCTCTTCTTGTTGTTACCCTGGTGCAGCAGCTTCTCAGCAGCGTTAAGGCGGCGCAGCGGTCGTGACAGACCCGTCTTCTTGGTGGTGATGGCGTAGTGGCGGAGGTTGATAACGTATGAGCTGTCATCGTTGGGGTCGATTTCGCGGTTCAGGAGGAGAACGCGGCGGATGGATGAGAGTGGTGTGGCTTGGGGAGAGATGGGTGGGAATAGGGACTGGAACATGGTGGTTGTGAGGGACTCGAGGTGGCGGGGGACTTTGTTCTTGGACTCGGGCTTTGATTCATCGGCTGCTGGGGCTGTGAAGTTGTTCATGACGAGCTGGGGTGGGTTAGTTATGTCCAAATAATATACCATAATGCGCATAACATACCAACGGCGGTGAAAGGTATTCCTTTCCACCTCCCTTCGGGTGCTTCAGTGCCTTCTTAACGTCCTTGCAGAGCGAATATTTCTCGACTCTGAAGTGAAGCGTTGGTCCTCTCGGCGTAACAGCCAAGCGCATGTTCGTGTTCCCAGACTCCGACCTCGAGAAGAGCATAAGATGGGACACACCCAAGGGGCCAGCCATCGTAAGATAATCCCGCAGCCTATTCGACCTCCTCTCCTTCAGCCTCGCAGCAGTCCCAGGCTCCATCATCAATCGTACATCCTTGACCAACTGGCTTACACTCGGTCCCACCTCGCCAGCGCCAATGCGAATAACCATGCTCTTCGGCGTGCGATTGACCTGGTTCGCAGTGACGGCCTTGTTCTCGCCGCCCTTGGCCCCGACATGAGTGCGCTTCTTGGTGCGTTTATGTGCCATTTTGTGCGTCGTCTTGCAAGCTGGCAAGTTGCAGTTGGGGTTATGAAAAGTCAGGAATAATTTCGAGGCTGTAGTAACTTTGCGCTACAAATTAGCGCAGGGATTGCGATAAGCTGATAAAGATTTTCTCTGGAGCCACAACTTTCTTTCGCTGGACCGTTACTGGGACGCTTTTGAACATTAAACACCACAATGTCGTCTGTAATAAAAAAGAGGAAGATTACTAAAGATGTTGCATCTGGAGATGTACCAAAGACGACGAAAACAGTAGCGCCAGCAGCTCCAGCACGGAGTAGCAGCTCCCCCACACCTGAGGCTGCTGAGAAGGCGGGTGATGTGGAAGTCGACGCAGAAGATGTTGCGCCCAAGACATTCAAAGACCTCGTACGGACCCCGATGGACATTTGACATACTCAATACTAATTCCTTACAGGGAGTCATCGACTCGTTATGCGAAGCCTGCGAATCCCTTGGGTACAAGAGCCCAACCCCGATCCAGCAGGAATCAATACCCCCAGCCTTGGCTGGACGCGATCTCATCGGCCTCGCAGAGACTGGTAGTGGAAAGACGGCCGCATTTGCCCTGCCGATTCTACAAGCTCTGCTAGACAAACCGCAACCTCTGTTTGGTCTGGTTCTCGCCCCGACCCGTGAACTGGCATATCAGATCTCCAAGTCCTTCGAGGGCCTTGGAGCTCTCATCTCAGTCCGATGCGCCGTCATCGTCGGTGGCATGGACATGGTCACTCAATCCATAGCCCTAGGCAAGAAGCCGCATATCATCGTCGCGACACCCGGTCGTCTCCTTGACCACCTAGAGAACACCAAAGGCTTCTCCCTCCGCGCCCTAAAGTACCTCGTCATGGACGAAGCCGACCGACTCCTCGACCTCGACTTCGGCCCCATCCTCGACAAGATCCTCAAGGTCCTCCCCCGCGAGCGCCGCACCTACCTCTTCTCCGCCACCATGTCCTCCAAAGTCGAGTCCCTCCAACGCGCCTCCCTCCGCGACCCCCTCCGCGTGCAGATCAGCACCAACAAGTACCAAACCGTCTCGACCCTCCTTCAGAGCTACCTCTTCATCCCCCACCCCCACAAGGACACCTATCTCATCTACCTCCTCAACGACTTTGCCGGCCAGTCCGCTATCGTCTTCACCCGCACCGTGAACGAGACCCAGCGCCTTGCCATCCTCCTGCGCACACTCGGCTTCGGCGCCATCCCGCTGCACGGCCAGCTGTCGCAGTCGGCGCGTCTGGGCGCACTTAATAAGTTCCGCGCTGGCTCGCGCGAGATTCTCGTTGCTACTGATGTCGCGGCGCGTGGTCTTGATATTCCGTCCGTCGATGTCGTCCTGAACTACGATCTTCCCCCGGATAGCAAGACGTATATCCATCGTGTGGGTCGTACAGCGCGTGCGGGGAAGTCGGGACATGCGATTAGTATCGTCACGCAGTATGATGTGGAGATCTGGTTGAGGATTGAGGCGGCGCTGGGGATGAAGCAGAATGAGTATAAGTATGTTAAGGATGAGGTGATGGTGTTTAAGGCGAGGGTGGAGGAGGCACAGAGGCATGCGAGGAATGAGATGAAGAATTTGCATGGAGATCGTGGGAATAAGGGAGCTGTGCTGAAGGGGAGGAGACCAGCGAAGCCAGGGAAGAGGGGGAGAGACGAGATGGATAAGGAGGAGGGTTAAATTAAAGCTGAAAATAGGGATGGGTCTGGGATGTGGAGTATGGTGGCTTGCACGATTATTGTTATATTCATGAGGCGTCTTGTCGTGCGGTATATATCCGTAAAATGGCAACAATATTTCCAATATCTAAACGGCATTGATATACGCCAATAGTTTGCTCGTGATGTTTTTTTCTGTTAAGTGCTGTGGGATGAAAAGTTTAGGAAAGCAGGATGAAATAAATAATCTCAAATTAAAGCAGTAGATAGTAATTCCGTATGTGGTCCTTTTCGCACCAGATAAGTAGGCTTATTATTTCTGATATTATTTAATGATATTCCTGGGTATCTTAATTAAGCTCCATGAAGCGACGCCACAATAGATTCCAACTTTTAAAACTCAAACCTGCCCTCTATTAAGCCTTCAACCTGGCGCCAGCAATATCGTTTTGCGAATCCTTCAGCAGAAAGCTACAACGGAGTATCAGTAAACGCAACATTACACACAACACTAGGGAACTTACTTATAAAACAACACCGTCGGAAACACCGTCCCCAGATGCCACAACGCATGCGCATCCAAATGCCCCCCTATCGGCGGGAAATCCAACAACTCCAAACTCATGGCAATCATGACCCAAGCTACCACAAGTCCCGGCCACACCGCCCACATGCGCTTCGACTCCCGATACCGCGTGATGGAGAACCAAGTCCACATCGCATTCTGCAGAATTCCCGCTGCGATATTCGCAGCCATGTTATACGTGTAGTCCCAGGAGTAGTACTTCAGGTACGTGACGTGCGCTAGGAACAGGATAATGCACAGCGTCGTCCACGCGCGGACTACGCTCTTTGCCCGCGCGCCGCCCTTGTCGAGACGGAAGACGCGGATGGGGGTGTAGTACAGGCCGTATAGCACATTCGCGCCGGCGCCGAAGTAATCCAGCTCCTCCGTCAACTGGAAGTCCCGAGTATGGAAGATGGAGCTGGCAATCCAGCTAGCCATGCCGACGTACGCGAGGTTGACATAGTATTTGCGCAGCGGGTATGACTCTGGTATGAACTTGCGGATCTTGTGGAGGCCCTGGTAGTGCGCGGCGTAGTTGAGGAGGGAGAAGATGACGGAGAGGGGCTCTTGCATGCCGAGGATGCGGTGGAAGGGCCATTTGCCGTGGAATTGGACGATGGGGAGGGGAGGCTCGGAGGTGACGCGCATGTCGGTGATTATGTGCTGGCAGGTGTAGTCGCATTCGGCGGGGCACGTCCAGAGGAGCAGGCGGTGGAAGAGGGCTGGTCGCGTGGTCAGTTGGGGGAGAGCTGTGGGGGGAGCGCGGAACGTACCAACGGAGGAGTCGCCATTCTTGCAGTTCTCTGTTTTGCACACCTGGAGACTGGTTAGGAGGGGAATGGACAGGAGGAAGCTGGGGCAGTTCGACGGACCTCTAGGCATTTCCGAAACTCCGGCAGCCTGTCACCCACTGAGGCATTGGTGGTCCCAATCAAGAGGCATAGGGCGAGAAGGAGAAAAGGGAGGCCTCCAATGTTTCGTAGATACCTCAGTATCATCTTGAATAGTGACAATTGGAGGTCTGGGCCAAGCCTTGGAGGTTATAGTTGACTCTTGGGAGCAACTCTTGTTTTGCTGTGATGCTGGTCCTACGATGCACCATCAAGACATGCGGCCCAAATCCGCATCCCAGAACAGTCTAGCGCCATCTTGAGCGGCTATAACCGTGGAGAAAACTGGCTCTCGAATCATAACGGCCATTTTGAATTTTAACGGGCATTTACAGTGGGGGAGATAAAAATTCAGGATGTAAATAAAAAGATCGGGTTCGCCCCCAGTGCGTTAAGTCTTGGCATCATACATTCCCCACGCAAACACCCCTCCATTCTCTCTTTCTTATATTTCTCTCACCGCAACAAAACCTTCTTGTATAAACATCTTACTTCTGTTTTTGCAGCGCACCCTTCCTCAATACCCTTACCTATCTATCCCTACGATCTCCAACTATGGCGACCGATCTCAAGACCCTGGCGCCGTCCGAGGCCCATTACTTCAACAGGTGCGTGCATGGAGATGTTCGAGAATTTGTAGACAAGCTTTTGCTAATATTCTTGCCAGTTACAACCACCATGGTATGCACATACACAGCGCCACCTATCCCTGTTCCCCTCCGCTAACCAGACTTTCGCAATAAAGGCATTCACGAGGAGATGTTGGTAGCTATGCCCGTTTCCCAGGTTGCAGAAATCCCTTATCTGACAATTTTCGCAGAAAGATGAGGTCCGAACCAGGTCATACATGAACGCTATTGTGCAGAACAAGCACCTGTTCAAGGACAAGGTTGTGCTCGATGTTGGCTGTGGAACTGGTATTCTCAGCATGTAAGTTGCTACACTCTGTCGCTCACTATGCGCCGCCACTGACTTCAGTGTCCAGGTTCGCGGCCAAGGCTGGCGCAAAGCACGTTATCGGTGTCGACATGTCTACGATTATTGGCAAGGCAAAGGAGATTGTCGAGGTCAACGGCCTGTCCGACAAGATCACCCTCCTACAAGGAAAGATGGAGGATGTTGTGCTCCCATTTGACAAGGTTGACATCATCATCTCCGAGTGGATGGGATACTTCCTTCTCTACGAGTCCATGTTGGACACCGTCCTCTGGGCCAGAGACAAGTACCTCGTTCCCAACGGACTGATCTTCCCCGACAAGGCCACCATCTTCATGGCTGGTATCGAGGACGGTGAGTACAAGGATGAGAAGATTGGCTTCTGGGACAACGTCTACGGATTCGACTACTCTCCCCTCAAGAAGACCGCTCTCACCGAGCCCCTCGTCGACACCGTCGAGATCAAGGCCGTTGTCACCGACCCCACCGCCGTCCTCACTCTCGATCTCTACACCTGCACCATCGCCGACCTTGCCTTCACCTCCCCCTTTGTCCTAGAGGCCCGCCGCGATGACTTCGTCCACGCCCTTATCGCGTGGTTCGATATCGACTTCACCGCCTGCCACAAGGCCATCCGCTTCTCCACCGGCCCACACACCAAGTACACCCACTGGAAGCAGACCGTCTTCTACCTGCGTGAGGTCCTTACCGTGCAGCAAGGCGAGAAGATCGAGGGTGTCCTCACCAACAAGCCCAATGAGCAGAACCCGCGTGACCTCGACGTCAAGATCTCGTACAAGCTCGAGACCGAGGACGTCACGAGGACGGCCGAGGGCGCGTGCGAGTACAAGATGTGTTAGAGGGGGTGTTGAGTGGTGTTTTGGGACGGCACCTGGCGGCTTAGAGCGCGGACCGTTCCCACTTGATCTATGGTTTTGATTTTGCGGAATGTGGATGGATGAATGAATGCGTTTTGTTATTTAGATTGGCGTTCAGATGGGCCGGGCATAGGGATAGCTCCTACTTATGATGCATAGTTACGGTACGACATAATGTCACGAACCAGACACGCGGTTGCATATAATAGTCGACGCAGCCTGAAAAGCGTTTTGACTGACCATTGAGTCGGATTAGAAGGAATATAAGGGATTGATCTAAAAGAAATCGGTTTGCCATGTGAGAGGTGTTGAAATGACTGCTCGGTGAGATTCATGTGTAGTAGATCAGGTAATATTACTGCAGGTAGTACTGTCAGAAGTTTTCATGTAGGACAATGATGCTGTAGCCAAGATCCTTAAATCTAGATTTCCGCCACGCCGAGGAGATGGAAGGCTGGCTTGCCGCATTTGATCATCACCAGCCTGACTTTCTCTCTAATCACAGTGAATCAGAAGACTCCTATTAATTTAGTGGTACATTTATAATTTTTCTACTACGCACACTGAATTTCTCCATGTAAACTACCATTTCCTTTAAAAAAGTAAAACCCCATAATAAATCCGTGGCGCCCTTACCTTATCGATCTACATCTCCATGATCCGCCGCGATAACTCTAAATTTTTATTCTGCCAGGGATCCCTCCGCGACGTCGGGACTAGCCGAAAAAAACATTTGAAACCTCCCCGACCTCACTTCCTCCCCCAACACCTCCCCCCGCCAATTGAACACCCACACTCCTCATCTACACAGCGGAGGACACCCCTCACCAATCCCCTAACGATGAGCTTCCTACCGCGCCTTTCGCGCACCCCCCTCGCCCTCCGTACCCTCACGCGCCCAACCCTCCCCCGCGCCCCAGCACGCCTCACCCGCCTCTCCTCCACGACCAGCACCCCTCCTCCCCCCTCCCGCATCGTCACAGCTCTCAAGCGCCTCGTCACCACGACCTTCATTACCACCGCCCTCCTCATAACCTACCTCTCCACAACCGACACCCGCTTCACAGCCCTGCACCGCCATCTCATCGTGCCCTCTCTCCGCTACCTCGTTCCCGACCCAGAACAAGCACACTCCCTCACCCTTACCGCGCTCTCAACACTCTACACCCTCGGTCTCCACCCCCGTGAGCGGACCCCCTCCGCCGGTCCAGACCTCAGCACCACAATCTTCGGCCACGTCCTCACCTCCCCCCTCGGCACCTCCGCCGGAATCGACAAGAACGCCTCCGTCCCCGACGCCCTCCTCGCCCTCGGCGCCGCATACACTGAAGTCGGCGGTATAGTGCCTAAGCCCCAAGCCGGAAACCCCCAGCCGCGCCTCTTCCGCATCCCCTCACAAAACGCCCTGATCAACCGTTTCGGACTCAACTCCCTTGGCGCCGACGCTGTCGCTGCGCGTCTCCGCGAGCGCGTCCGTCGTTACGCAATCTCTGCCGGATTTGGCGGTGGCGATGATGGAGAACGTCGCGTGCTTGATGGCGAGGCGGGTGTGCCGCCGGGATCGCTGGTGGAGGGGAAGTTGATGGGTGTGCAGATTGGGAAGAACGCAAGTACGCCTGATGATATTGACTCTGTCGTCGCGGATTACGTGTACTGCGTTCAGCGCCTCGCGCGCTACGCTGACGTGCTGGTGGTTAACGTGTCCAGCCCCAACACGGCTGGGCTGAGAGATCTGCAGGCGCAGGCGCCGTTGACGGCGATTTTGAAGGCCGTTGTTAAGGCTGCGGGGGAGACAGACAGGAAGGTCGCGCCAAGGGTTATGGTTAAGGTTTCCCCTGATGAGAATGAAGCGAAGCAGGTGGAGGGGATCTGTAACGCGGTGTGGGATTCGGGCGTTGACGGGGTCATCGTTGGAAACACGACTAAGAGGCGGCCGGCGCCTGTTCCCGCTGGGTTCGTCCTGCCGGCGGAGGAGGAGAGGATACTAAGGGAGGAGGCTGGAGGTTATTCGGGACCGCAGCTGTTTGAGGGGACGGTGGATTTGGTGAGGAAGTATAGGAAGGAGTTGGATAAGGGGAGGAGTGGGGAGAGGAAGACGGTGTTTGGGAGTGGGGGGGTTACGAATGGAAAGGAGGCGCTGAAGGTTTTGGAGGCGGGTGCGGATATGGTGCAGATTTATACAGCGTGAGTTTTATCCCCTTTTATCTTTTTGCGACCTACAGGGATATGGAAGACTGACAAAATTCAACAGACTCGTCTACGGCGGCGCTGGAACGCTCACCAAGATCAAGCATGAGATGCGTCGCGAGATTGACCGCAACACACCGCGTAGCGACTAAACCAAACTAACCTCCCACCTCCCTTGAGGAAGATGTATGTGAGAACAAGAGACAGAGAGAGAGAAGATGGAATTATACCTAGAGTGTTGTATCAAGTAGCCTAGACATTGTATAAACAAAAAATCCAACAAAGTTCAATTACCATCAAAATCAATCATCAAATGAAGTAAATTGTCTTCGAGCCTAGGATCAGATGAGCAAGTAGCTTCATATATTGATCTATACTATATAGGAAGGTCTCTTTGTTGCGTAACCTGTACTAACTCGATCGGCGTGGTCTAGGCTGACTGCCTGGCATGGGCCTATTAAGTGAGTCACGGCGGGCATATAACCCGCCGAAGCTTACAGCCTCGTAGAAACGGCGCCGTTCATTTTCGATTCGCAATCAGCGTAAAGCAACTCATCGCATTCCACCACTATTAAACCGATACAAACATCTCCATCCATCCCAACCCTTCAATAAACATGGCCTCCTCATTCAGATCAGAGCGTCTAATGTACTGCGGCCTAGAAGACACTCCCCGCGACAAAGCCTTCATCCACTCGATCCTTTCCGACCGCACCAGCTCCGAGAACGCAACAAACTACCTCGTCAAGCCCGCGTCCTCAGCGGATGTAGACAGCTTCATGCGCGGCTTCCGCGAGGCCTTTCTCGGAGTCCTAGTCTGCATCCCCAACCCCTCCGCCCCGCAAACCCCGAGTATCATCGGATATGTAAATCTCCAACACACTACGCATCCGCATCACAGGAGTTGTACGATGAGTATTCGGATCGTCCCAGCGGCGCAGGGGAGGGGTTATGGGTCTGAGGCTATTAAGTGGGTATTAGAGTGGGGATTCCTGGTTGCGGGGTTGCATAGGGTGAGCATTGGGTGTTTCTCTTTCAATGAGGGGGCGAGGAGATTGTATGAGCGGTTGGGGTTCGTGGTGGAGGGGAGGACGAGAGAGGTGGCGTGGAAGAATGGGGGATGGCATGATTGTATTGAGATGGGTATGTTGGAGGGGGAGTGGAGGGAAAAGTATTTCAAGGTAGAGGGATGAAATTATACGCCACGATAACCACAAGGCTGGTCAATTTCTCATATGGTAGTGGGACTTGGGGCTCGGATAAGAGACCCTTCTATATATAAGGCATAGTATAAGCTTGATGGTGGAGTTATGGCAATAGGACCCTGTTGCGCTGTGAAGGGAAATGTGATGGGGTGTCCTATGTAATGTAAATCTTGGCCAGCCAACCAAAGTTGTTCCCCAAGGCGCTTCAAAAAACAGTCTGACTGCAAATTTGTCAACATAGACTTTGCGCTTCGCCCCCAAGAACGATAAATCCAGATAATTTTTATCGATGCAACTCCTCAATGCAGCTCCTCGATCTCCCAGCCGAGCTTCTACTAGCTATTGGAGGCGAACTCCATTCACAAAATGAGCTAGCGGCGTTCTTAAGGGTAAATCAATACCTCTACAATTTACTAACCCCCTCGCTCTACCGTCGCGATGCGGTCGACCAAAAGTCGCCATTTTGGGCAGCATGGACGGGCCAGCTCAAAACTCTACAGAATGCGCAGTCCGTTGGAATAATATCTGATATCGACATGGGCAAGCTGCTCCACCTCGCGGCCGGGAATAACCAAGTATATATCCTCGAATATCTCTTGCACGTAGAACATAATTTCGCCCTGAAGTGGGTGTCCTGCCCACAGATCCAGGGCGACTGCTCCACAACGCCATTAGCAGCTGCATCTCAAAGCGGACATTATGATGCCGTCAAGGTCCTCCTCAGCCATGGAGCGGATTATACTATCACCGGTTATAAAGGTCGCACGCCGCTGCATCTAGCTGCTATGTTTGGCTACCCTATAGTCGTGCAGCTTCTTTTAGACCATGGTGCAGACGTCTCAGCTATCGAAGAGCGGCAATGGACCGCCCTGCATTACGCCTGCAGCAATGGAGAGCTAGATGTCGCAAAGTTGCTTATTGACAGAGGTGCAGACGTTTCTGCTATCGAAGAGCGGCAATCGATGCCTCTGCATTTCGCCTGCAGCAACGGAAACATAGATGTCGCAAAGCTGCTTATTGACAGAGGTGCAGACGTCTCCACTTTTGACGGACGGCAATGGACGCCTCTAGATTTCGCCTGTAGCAACGGAAACCTAGATATCGTAATGCTGCTTGTTAACAGAGGTGCAGAGGTCTGCACGGGTAACCGCGAAAACCGCTCGCCAATCTATATGGCTGTCAAATCAAAGAATCTAGAGCTGGTCAGTTTTCTACTAAGCATGGGCTGCGATCCCATGAGTCGGGAAAAAGATGGGTCAACCTTGTTGCATAGGGCTGCGAGATATAATCAACACGAGATGTGCGAGCTGCTCATCAGCCATGGGAGTCAAGTCTCTGCTAGAACGAATTTGGGGGCAGCGGTGCTTGACTGGGCGGCAAAGGGGGCGGATGCTCGCATGATCACAATTCTTCTAGGGGCAGGTGCCGAGGTTACATCAACAAACGTCAAAGGCTTGTCAGCACTTCATCGAGCAGCAGCTTATGCGCCACTAGATGCGCTGAAGTTGCTGATTGATGCCGGTAGTGATGTCAATTTAAGGTGTTTCGAAGGTGGCGGGTACACGCCGCTGTTCGAAGCGTTGCGCAAGTGTCGCCTAGATGCCATGAGGATCCTGCTCGACGAAGGTGCGGATGTGAATGCTAAGCTGGATAAGGGAAACACACTGCTTCATGCCGCCGCCGGCGCCAGAGGGATACCTATTGATATAGTGCGGCTCCTAGTTGAAAGGGGCGCTAATACGGCAGCACGGGACGGTCGTGACAGGACTCCGCTGGACGTGGCTCTGGCTGTAGGAAATTATGGCGTTGGGGAATTTCTTTCGGGAAATGAGCCTGTTGGTTTACATCTAGACTCTGATGAAGAGATGTATTAGTGGGCACTTGCAAAGGCTGATAGATACGGGTAGGGACTGAAGGCTGGTGGATGAGAACGATTGAAGTGAGCCCTGCATTCTTCACATATACCCCACGCCTTCTTTTAATAATAGAAACTTAAACCTTTAGTCCTATCTGTGTGGTGAAAAAAGGGGACCATACGCGGTGTAGTTTGAGTAGTGAGGGCATAGGTGACTTGAATTGCTCTAACACTATGAGAAAGGGCAGGAGAAACGGAAATGCCAAATCCATGCCAAGGAGGAGTGTGTAAAAATAGCTCCCCCCCCCCCCACCCGAACACGTCGGCGCCCCGGGTCGTCAGAAATTAATTGATAGAGATGAATAAACATCTAGAGTGCTCTCTGCAGGATAGTTCTATTAATATATCGACACATCAATCATAATAGTGATGTACATTTGCAAAGGCTGAAGAGATGGGTTCATACGGTGACTAAGTATTCTACATTTACGACGTTTGATTTGAATGGTTAGCGAAGAAGACCTTGGCGACGAGAATTGAAGGGATTCATAGGTCGTATATCGAACAGCTGAAGGATCGAAGGATCGAAGGATCACGGCCCAAATGCAAAAACAACAATGAAATCCGGCGCCGCAATGAACCCCTTAAATAACGTTGAATATCCCCTCCCATTTCAATCGTCACTGCCCCCGATTCTTCCTAAACTCCAACCTCAAATCCCCGTCACAAAAATGTTTAAAATGGCCCCTTCCAGAATATTCGTCGCCACCATGATCGTAGTGGTATCGGCCTCATACCCCGAGTTTACCCCAGGAAAAGGCCTTCCCTCCCTCGAAGAACTCGGCTTGACCTCCGAGCAGCTCTTCACCACGCCCCCCCCAGCCCGTAAGTCCCACCTACCCCCATAACACCACCCACTCCCGCACCCCATTTTATCACCCCAGCAAACGAACTAACCAACCATCCACAGTCGCGACCCGGGTTGATGATAAATACACACAGCACACCCGCTGCCGTAGCTCTAGCGAGGGATCCGAATATGCCGCCAACGTCGACGACGTAATTGCGTGCTACAACTACCTCGTCGCCCTCGGCGACTATACCTGCAGAGAACGCGAACTCTGCAGGATTGGCAGCGCTAAGATTAGTGGGTTAAACAAGAACGGACATAGAGCGAATTTGGGTTGGGACGTTCCATACGTTTTCTCTACCGCGAAGTGGTAAGAGTTACATACTTCCTTCCCTACTCTCCCGTGCTTGGTTTTCTCTCTGGCTCGCGTAACTAACTGGTAGATGTAGCTGGGATGCGGCACTGGGACTGCAATGGATCTTTACAAATTGTAACGAGGGTGGAAAAGTCATGGGGTATAAGGAGGTGGGTGGTGGAGAATATCTGATCGCGGCTACTCGCTCCAACATCGTTTTCGCAGCGGTTGTGGATCCTCGTCCTGTGGATCTTTGGAAGATCTCCTGAAAATAACCAGAGCCATGCTGTCGTGGAGAGTGAGAGGTCTCTGTTAAGACAATTTTGCTGTGGATATCCATTAGTTTGACGTGGATTTCTTTAAAATAAAATAATATCTCCTGTTGGCGAATTCCTTCTCTTGACTCTCCGCTTGCAATGTTACACCATCGGAATCTCAACAACTGCCGTCTTTGGTTGGTCCATCTCGCACACCTATAACACGCTCCCTGGTGGTGGTGGCGTACAGGGCTGGTTTGAGGGCTCCCTACTTGCTATACACCTCCACTTGTGTATCCCCACGATAAGTGATGGCTTCTGGAGCCAAAACTTATAAACCATCCACAGATGACAAAGTTCGCACTCACCGTGGAAGACTTATACCTATTTACTAAAGAGAACTATCGGTGCGATCTAGCTAAGGCAACGAGCTACTGATCACACTCTGATACTTCGTAAGATATCCACCACTAAACGGAGATACGCCTGCTGGAGTAGAGTCGCTATGACTGGGCTAGTCTCGTCGGCTTCAGTCGGAAGGTTGAAATACTCAAGACCACCGATGCAGGATTTCACCGCGTCGTGATACCGAGATCCCATCGTCGCGCGGACTTGCTCGAGCAGAGACGGCTCGTCTATGAGAAGGCGGCTCCTGATGTTCTTGAGATCTTGTAGAGAATCCTTCGAATAAACCTTCTTTTCCTGAGACTCGTCCATTGTTCCCGGAGATTTGTTCTTCTCTCCAGTAGACACAGAGGGCTGCCCAAAGCCGAGAATCTCCTCGGCCGGTTTCCACAAGGCAATCTCAAGCAAGATAATTCCTAGGCTGTAAATGTCAAAGGTCTTGCGGTAAGTCTTCCTGTCGAAGCCCTGGTAGTCTGGATGGGCGTATACAGCCCAAGTATCCGGAGCCGCGGTCGTAGTAAGGTCAGTTTCGTCCGGGCGGGAGTATTCGAAGCCGCTGATGAATGGCTGGGAGTAGTCCGGACGTCCATTCTGCGTTAGGACAAGTATGCTTTCGTCGCGGAGGCCTTTATGTAGCCAGTTGACGGCGTGTAGAAAGTAGAGAGAGGTCACAAGCTCCTTGGCAAGACGGATGCGGCTCTGGAGAGGGGGGAGGCTATTTTGCTGTAGCAATAGTTGGGATAGAGAGATGGTTTCTGCCAACTGCGGTGTTGCGTAGGGCACTTGATAGATAAGCCCAAAGCGCTCGTTGATTTCGTCATCAAAGTATCCGGCGCATAGCGGCACGCGGAACTGTGTTGGCCGCTTGTCTATGTGGAGAATGGCTGCTAAGCGCTCTAGGTTGGCCGTGGCGAGAGGCGTAGGGCCGTAATAGAATTTGCCATGCTCATCTTTATGTCGAGTGATGCGGTAGGCCTTCCACTCTACCCAAGCTGCCGCTCCCAGATAGGTTGCCGGGGTCCGGCCGTTGCCTGTCGCCCTGGTGTGGTCGAACTTTAGATTATCTAGCTCCCTCCCCTGGAGTTTAAGACCCGTTACCTCTCTATTCTTTGGCACACCAATTTGTAGGCTAGCTACATGATATCGAAATTCTGTCAGCTGGGTAAATAGCGTCTCTCGACGCTCTAGTATAGAGATTGTTGAGACAGACTCGCTGACTGAAGCTTGTCTATCTACAAAGTCACCAAGAGGCAGCCAGGCGCGTGTTTCCGACTCAATACTGGCATGGCTAGTTGCAATCTCGACTGCCTCAATAAGCTCCTTCATCTCGCTAATGGAGCTCGTCATCTGCAGCATAGCCATGCACGTCTCCTTCGTCTGTTCAATCAGGATGCTCATCTGGTGATCACCAAGAGTCTCATGTAGGTAGTCTGTTAGCTCCTTTAGACGCCTAACGTGGGTCTGGAATGCTTCTTTATCACTTAGGGCCCAGCGAATGCGGCCGGGCTGTTTAGCAACGTCTGCTATACCCTGGCCGATATCTACAACTCGTCTCAAACTCCTTGTTAATAGGGTTCTCTTCTTGTTGTTGAGCTGGTCCTCCATGGGCCTAAGAATGCTGCAAAACTGCTCTATGTCGACGCCCTTAAGATCTTCTTTCCCATTAGCTAGATGCAGCTCTTTAGCCATACTAGTTCCTTGGGCCGCTGCGATGTCGATGCCGGGGAGCAGGATACAGTCAGATCGTAGACTTATCTTCTGGATCTTGTCGATTATCATTTTCATCTCGCTCAGAAGGGCTATAATAGTTGCCCGATTTGCTTTTAGCTTCCGATCGAACTTCGAATGATTCTCGGGTTCCGAAAGGCCAGAAAGATCGCCCCAGTCTAGGAGGCGAGTGCATTCGAGCCGCAGCCTCAGCCTTAGCGATTCACAGTGCTCTGGCATGTCGGCCGCATCCTCAAATATCCCGTAACCTACCAATATGCGACGTTAGCATACGATCTAGGATGGAGGTCCCGTTGGGGAAGGGTTATGCTCGTTACGAACCCATCTTAATCCCTTCAAATATTTGAAAAGTGATTGAAGCTGCACCAAGACCAAGGCCGGCTAAAGAAACAGGATCCATTATCGCATATCACAGACCGCAGCCTTGTAAAAGCGTTAAGGAAGAGGCAACGGGGTTTCGAGCAAGCGTGCGATACTTGTATATTACATGTAGCAAGATAAGTTGGTAGGCGATGGTCTTTACAGTGGAAGATAAGATTTGACCGAGTAAAAAGAGGATGCAATGCCAGCAGACGTTGTCTCGGTGTGCCTCTCTGTGCAAAATGCAGCATGTTTGTTTGTTAGAGCAATTGTAGCTAGCCTGCGCCACGGGGGACCGACCCTAGACCGGGCCATGGGGCGGTCCGGTCCGGGTTGGAAAACCTTCAGACGGCGGTTTGGAACCGTCGGTCCCCCGTGACGCACGCTAATTGTAGCGAATCAGCGGAGAGCATAGCCGCCAGCCTCGCAGGAGCAGCATGCATAACTTAGGCGAGTATAGTGGAGGCACGAACTGTTAAGTTCAATGCTCTAGAAGCTTCACGACATAGTAGAACGATCCTGAAAACCGTGCTTAGCTATTCTTCATCGCAGTTGGTTGTGCGAAGCCGAGTTTTAGGTAGTCGTGCGTGCTCTCAAACGGCTTGTGTGTCTAGTTTACGAGGTACCGAGAGTAAGCCGATCACTGCGGATCTTCACTGCTACAAAACAACTTAGGTTGCTTGAGGACAATGGATATATCTCATTTGCCTAAATTCCTAGAGCTAAATCACCAGCTCCAGGAAGAGGCACATGTGTCTGCTTCTGTTAACATCGTCGAAAGTGCTAGTTGCTGGCTGTTCGAGCACCCGGAGTACCAAGCGTGGTCGACAGGGAAGAATACGGCTTTCTTGCTAGCAGGATCACGTAAGTTTCGGCCCTTTGAGGTGTGTTGTTAGGGTTGTTATTTTAGTCTTGATTTAACTCGACCTCTGTTAATACAGCTGGCACCGGGAAGACAGTCTTATGGTAAGTCCTACTAACTAACCAATCTTAATTATGAAGAGTTATCACTAAGAAGTAACTAGTTCTACGGTCATCGATGCACTGCGAGATGAGCATAGGTCTAGCGAGTCGGCGACGGCTGTCCTGTACTACTATTTTAAGATGAATGACCTACGGCGGGCTACAGATGAGAGTTTGTTCTCGTCCATGCTCTTCCAGCTCTGCCACCAGCTGGGTGTAGTACCTACCGAGCTGAGGGTCCTCGGGGATGTGGCCAACGGCGAGCAACCGCAGTTTGAGCTGCTCTTTCGCGCCTTCGCCGTTGCTGTGAGGAAGTTCTCTAAGGTATTTATCGTCATCGACGCGGTTGACGAGTGTTCCGATATCCGCCGCCTCATCGCCACCTTGGAGAGTATGCTCGACTGGAAGCTAGACGGACTGCACCTCTTTTTATCCGCCCAGCCGCTCCCGTCTATCTATAACTTAAAGAGAAAGCATCATCTGCATTGCGTTATCACCGCCGATGGAAATCATCAGGATATCCTTAGTCTAATTACAGCAAGGGTATCAGAACAATTAGACTGGCCAGATACTACTAAGGAGCATGTGATAAGAATGGTAGGTGATAGGGCCCACGGATCGTAAGTGCGAGTTAACAGGTCACTACAATAACTGTAGGACTACACGGGGGCGTTCTAACTAATGAATATATAGGTTCGTATGGGCTACCCTCGTATTCGCAGAGCTTAAGCGGTTCCATAAACTACAACAGGTCGAAAGTGCTCTATACACTTTGCCACAAGGTCTGGCAGATTTGTATAAGACATATGTAGACGGGTCTCTCCAGAGATCAGCGGATACAGAGAAGGTCCTAGTATGGGTAGGGTACACGCGCCGCCCACTACGGATCGACGAAGTATCAGAAGTAGTCGCAATTAACGTAGCAGTCGACCCAATCGTGTCAGCCAAGAAGCAGCTGTTCCAGGGTGAAGATGTCCTGAATATATGCCCAGAACTATTACATACGACCACAATTCAAACTGCCGACGAGAGCTACCAAGGCGTGTCTCTCGCCCACTTCACAATCCGCACCTATATGGATGTCGAGCTGTCACACTGGAACCCTCATTTTGAAATCGCCCACGCGTGTCTGCGGTATTTATGCCTCTTAGATAGCGCTGATGCTCTCAGCTCATCAGATTACCGCCTGCGGTTCCCGCTTGCCGACTATGCCGCGCGCTTCTGGTACTACCACGTGGAACAGGCCAGCATTTCGCATGAGAACCTAGACCGCCTGCTCCCTGTAGTCACCGAATTCTTCCACGGCCCCGGAGGCCTATACATACAGAATTGGGTTAGGCTCTTTGACCCTGATCGGCCCTGGATTTCTAAGATAAATGTCTCGAACAGACCTCCTAGCGTTTCGACGCCATTGTACTACATCTCTTGTTTAGGCCTAACGTCCTTGGCCCGCAAACTCCTCGAAATCGGAAAGAGCGACATCGATGACACCGGCGGTACTCATGGCACGGCCCTCCAAGCGGCAGCCTACCACGGCCACCTGCCAATTGTCGAGCTCTTGCTAGAATACCGCGCCGACCCGCTCATCCGCTGCGGACTGCACGGCACGGCCCTACAGGCTGCTAAGTTTGTCAGGCACACCAAGATCGCTGATCTCCTACGGGCTAGGATGCAAGAACTAAACACGGACGAGGTGGGCCTGGATGGCGACATATTAGACCTACCGCGGCATATTGTTCTGAATGGCAGTGAGTCGGACCCGTATGAGTTCCGTAGGGAGCTCGGGTCTGGCAACATGGGCTATGTAGACATGGTAGAGAGCCTCGCAAGCGGTTCCATTTGTGCGCGCAAGACGATGCGCATCCCCGCAGCGCGGCGGCAGCAGTTTGCAGACGTAGTGCTAATCATGGAGCAACTCAAGCATGCTCATATCGTCGAGATTCTAGGGTCCTATTCAAGAAGTCCGAACTCCTTCATTCTAATGAAGCCCGTCGCCGAGTGGGATCTAAAGAAGTACATGAACAACGAGGGCGGTGCCGTTGCCGACCCAGCAAGTCTAGTTCAGTGGCTAGGCTGTCTAGCACATGGGCTTGCGTACATCCATGGCAATCAGGTTAAACACAAGGATATTAAGCCTTCTAACCTGCTCGTGCATGGCAATAATATCCTATACACCGATTTTGACTTGGCACACGTCTTCCAGAGTCCAGGCGACGTGACAAGGGGACCAACCGGCCATACTGCTCCCTATAGCGCACCAGAGGTCGCCGACGGGGGCGACCGCACGTTAACGACGGATGTCTTCTCGCTTGGCTGCGTCTATGTTGAGATGTTAACCGTCATCGCTGGCAAGAAGGTGTGGGATATTTTTCAGAAGTCGCCTGAGGAGCCTGGATACAGCTATCGCGGGCTAAACGAGGTTAAGGCTGTTGAGTGGCTGCAGCAGCTGTCATTTGGCGACAAGGAGACGGAATGCGGCGAAGTGGTGAAACTCACGAAGCGCATGATATCGCAAGTCCGGCCGGATGCCGTTTCTCTGTCAGATGATCTTGCTTTTCTAGCGTGCAGTTCCTGCTTCTCTTAGTAGCCTTTAACATATGTCTTCAACATGAAACTTTTAAGCTTTGCTTTCATTTTGATACCCTATAAGTCTCGATCAAACTGTCGCGAACGAATTAGAGGTCTATCCAAGTGTTGACTTACTATACTACACTTTCAGCTCTCCACAATTCGCTAATAGACCGCATTTAGACCCGCTGATAACCTACAGAAGAATGCGATGTGGAGAAAATTGTTGTTAGTAAGTCTTATGCTCTAGGATCCGTCCGTTAGATAGGAAGCCGCTGTCGGGGCTCGACCAATATGTGGCTTATACCCATTAACTTTGCGTCGGAGAATACGGAGTTTAATAAATCGAGCAGTTCTCCTCGATAAGCGCTCGATTTATTAAACTCCGTATTCTGTGAGGCAAAGTCAACGGGGATAAGCCACATATTGATGACTGGGAGTAATGGCGTTAACGGAGTTAACTGATTTTGTTATAAGTCCTAACACCAAGTATAAGTATACATGACGATTTCCATGACAGGGATCGTAATGTATACAATATAAATAAATGCATTTGACTAAAGCTTTGAGTTGTAGAATTCAGAGACCTAAAAATAAACAAGATCTAGGAACGGAATTGTCAACGCGATGTCGTCTAAGAATATAGCTCTTGTTACCGGTGCCAACAAGGGCATCGGATACGAGACCGTAAAGGCCCTACTAGCATCCGACAAGCCCTACCACGTTTTTATGGGCAGTCGTTCTCTAGAAAGGGGCCAAGAAGCCGCCGCGACGCTCCGAAAGGAGTGCGCTGACTCCTCAAACACTGTTGAGGTCATCGAAGTCGACATCAGCAGCGACTCATCCATTGCGAAAGCCTTCGAGACCGTCAAGGCCAGCGTCGGGCGCATCGACACCCTCATTAACAACGCTGGTGCGCAATACCAAACCCTCTCTGAATTAATTGCACATCTTTCTAACCTCCATTAGGTATCACAAAGGACCTCGATCACATCCGCGGTAAGGTCTCGCTACGCGAGAGCTTAACTGGCTCCTACGACGTCAACGTGGCAGGGACGCATGTGATGACGTTTACGTTCATGCCGTTACTTTTGCTGTCCACTGACCCGCGGCTCATCTTCATCACCGGCCTCGGGACCTTCGATCAGTGCGCACAGGGGAACTTTCCCTTGCCGCCTCTAGAGCGCGGCTGGCCGAAGAAGATGGACTTCGAGACCGTCGGATACCGTTGCACCAAGACCGCACTTAATATGTTGATGCTAGATTATCACTACAAGCTACAGAAGGATGGCGTCAAGGTCTGGTGCGTCGGGCCTGGGTTTTTGGCGACGGATCTTGGCGATGCGAGGGAGATGGTCGCCGTACAGGGGGCAGGCCATCCGAGCATTGGGGGACGAATGGTGAGGAGCGTGGTGGAGGGAGAGAGGGATGCAGATACGGGGAAGTATGTTGTAAAGGACAGGATTCAGGCATTTTAAAGAGACGGGTGGGTTGTAAGTTAGGAATGCCGGTTGGATGTGAGACTTTTAAAAATGAGGCGTGGATTTTTCATAGCACTAAGAGCTAGTAAGAAGTCGTTTTCTAGACTTAAATTAGGACTTATTCCTCGACCTAGCCTTTTTAGAGTCCTTAATAACAATCGGAGTTTTAGGCCGTTTCTGTTAAATGTTATAGAGTTCTTACTTTAAGTTCACTTCTCTACATGGCGCTAGCCTCTTTAGGTACGCTTAACTAGATATAAGAAGCATTTTTGTTGTTTTTGGTTTCCTTCCGTGAGAAAGGGAGGAGAGTTATGATGCCACTAGGAGCTTCATGACGGAGTTGAACCGTCGTTCCATCGCTCTTCTCGGTTTTGTTTTGGGTTTGGCACAACTAGATATATCATAAACACACCTTAGAGCCTTCATAGAATCAATTCATATAATTATCCTGCACTGCTGCCACTATGAGACTCTATTAACAAGAGCTTAGTCCTAACAGTTTCTCCTCCTTAGCCTTACACCTTGCACTATTTAAACAACCCTACTAAATTATTGTAAATTACTTAGGTTTAAACTGCAGCAGCACAAATTGCCGTAGGGGTGGGTTAACCTTCAAGCTGTTAACAGCCCACTCTTCTAAATTCTGAAGACCACAATGCTTCTTACAATGGCCTCTAGGATGTGACACAGCAAGTTCGTAGATCCGGCCACGGTCACTGCGGCGCTCGACTACTTCGAAGTAAGCCACGCGATGCCCGTCAAACCCATTGGCCTAATCTACGCCGGATCCATGCGCGACCTGATTTCCGCGTCCGAAGTCCATATTTCTAAGATCGACTCTGGTTCCCTAAAAATTTGAACGCCCCCAGTGATAGCCTGCCCACCATTCGAGGGTCCGCATACCTAAATTTAGGTGGTGGGAACTAGTGTTTTCGGTCACCTTGGACCACATCTGGAACTCGTAATTGGCGATTTTTGAATGGCCTAGCCAGTTTTCAACGGCGTATTCGAGGAGAGGATATTCTTTGAATCTAGTTTCCGTAACCTCCATTGTTTCTCCCCATCCACTAATAAATCCAGAAAGTGTCAGGTAGGTCAGACACAAACGAATAATTTCACCATGCCCCTTCGCGTCATCCATCGAAAAATCCGCAACCGAGGTATTTTGTATCCACTTAGAGAGCAGGAATGTTTTCACAGATGAATGCGCAAGAGCAACTCGTCCACTGTTACCATCAACCTCAAACAGCCCCTGCGATATATCAAGAAGGATCTCCGGCGAATGCAGTCTGTCGTCGCTATCGACATTCTCGCTAGTGTCCTCCAGAATAACTGCCTCAGCCAGCTCTGCTAGCCTCAGAGGCCTGGTTGAGAAAGAAAGCCATACGAGGCAGCGGCGGAGGAGTTCGCGATCGGGAGATGATTTGGGTATTCTGTTTAGAAGCATGGCGTACATTTCGTTCAAACTGGTAGGCATTTCAGTAAGAGCCTTCCTTATGGCTCTTCCGGTCCTTTGCTCGGCGAGATGGTTCATAAGCCACCTAGCGTACCTGAACCTATTAGGGATATAAGCAGATGGACCGGATGTTTAAATGGTATATTGTTAGAAAACTTACATGCCGTCTGAGTTACTTATCACCGTTGATCTAATATCAGCTTTCAGTTCCATAGTAACGTTTCTTAATCCTTGATCTAGTGCAAGCATGTCATCGACAAAGATGGATATATCTTTAGTCACGCTACTTGAGTCCATTTGCACTACTAGAGTTTGAAGCGTACCACTCGGTTCGGGATTGTTTAACTCCCGAGTACTTGTAATGAGCATCCTGAGATTGCTACAGCGAAGTGCTAGTCGAACGAGGAGATCAGAAATGGCGGAGGCATCCTGACATTCATTGACGGCATCAAGAAACAAAAACACGTGAGGTAGACTTCGCGTATGCGCCATGAAAATCTTTTCGAGTTGCTCTATTGATAATTGCGCAGGTGTAGAGTGTTGTTTCGCCTTGAGATATTCTGGCATAAAGTCGTCGAGTAGCTCAGGTACCTGGTGCGAAAGCTGGACAATGAAAGAAGCGAGAATGTTAACTGGATCCTGAGTAGCCTGGTCGTCGAAAGAGCAGTAGAAGTAGAGGACCGGGTCCTGTCCCACGTCGGATTTGGCTTGTTTAATAGCCTGTGACCTAGTAGAGTGAGAACAATATTTGGAAGTTTAGCAGGCCGGCTTACATGAGAGTACTCTTGCCAGTTCCGGCTGTATAATTACGAGAGTTAGAATTTTTTTAGGCCTACTAAGGACACGGATGGGGAACTCACAGGTTCCCTTTAGCAGCAGTATCGCAGACGAATCTGACTTATTTTGAACCAGCCATTTGAGCGAGCCTTCGAGGAACCACCCACTCGTACCACTATGGTGGTGTCCACAGGCTTTCAAATGTAACATCTCCGGATTACAAGGACTGAGCCAACCGCAGAGTTCGTGATGAAGGCCATCTGCGAACCGAATTAGTCGAAAGCGATCTCAGCGAAGGCCGAAAACCTCACCAATACTCTCCTGCTCACGCATAAACTTCTCGTCCCGAAAATCCTGAGCGAGACCATCGATCTGAAGCGACAACTCCCTTCCCTGACAATCCACCGCGCTTTTGATCGCCTGCGACAATTTGCTAAGAAAGGTGAGCAACCGCATACATCTATCCCTCATATCTATGACAGCAGCTTACAAGTGATCCATCTCCAGCGCAACCGCAATCAATCCTTTCAAGCCCTCCATACTCACAAACAACCCCCTAACCTCCTCCTTACTAAACTTCCACACCAGCGACTGTCCCACCTCCTTAATCCAACTCCCCCCACCGCCAAGCTTATGCTGAATCCGTTCCAACATATCCTTATACTGATCAAGCGGCCCACCTTGCACCCCGAGCGACCTCACCGCCGTGTACCACGCCTCATTAGATCGTCCCTCTTCAAGCCGGTATCGTAGGTTCATGAGGAGCGAGTACAGGTTCGAGGCTTCGATTGCGAGGCTCGCACGGGCTTTGGGGGCATCCTTAACGTCGCCGAGATATTGGATTGCTTTGGTTGTGAGGTCTAGGATGGCGATAATGCTGGCGGTGATGCTTAGTGGGTCCATAACGTCTTGTGAAGAAGGATGAACCCGATTACGTTAAGCGTGGCATGGCATGTAGGAGAAGCATTGAGAGGATATAATTCAAGGCTAGAATATGTGCCATCGTGTGGCTGAGTATGCGGTGTCAGCGAGCTGGAGGCACGTGCTAGAGTTTTGTCTTCAGGCAGAAATTCACTTTCGAGAACGAAAGGTGCAAGGATCAACTGATGTATTTAGACCCGACGAAAGAACTTGGGATCGCTCTTGGTCGGAGCTTAGCGGGGTAAGAAGCAATTGATGCCATCCTTGTTAAAATCAACACTTAATATGAACCTAGTTTTAGAAATAATACACCACCATCAGACGGGAAGCAAGGCGCACCTTTCAGCATTCTGGAAGCTGGGATTTAAATCCACTGATTTAGGTTTGACATGATGTACCTGTGTAACCCTATAAGGTCGCCGTATTTCGTCCCTTTGAAATCGCACCGTTTGATATAGTTCCCTAAGATCTCTATTGCAATATAACAGGCCTCACTTGCCGACTTCCCCATAGCAGCAACATCTCCCCATCTCGACACATCCATAATTAAAAACCCGCTACCTTCAACTATGTCAGTTGATGCAGAGGTGACAATATACCGCCACTACTGCCCACCAGGTGTAAACCGCGTCATCGCCACAGGAACCAGTGCCTTCATCGGAGAAGTCGATAACTCCACCGTTCTCAAATACCCCCTCTCCCCCAGCGAAGCCACGCACCGTCTCTCAATCAAGAAAAAGCTTCTCTAAATCCTCAACCCCCATCCTCGGATAACACAATTAAAACCCCTCCCCAGCCACCATCCTCTCTACCTCTCGCGCGCCGCAAACGGGACGACAACTTATGTTCCTCCCCCCTCGAACCAGGCACTCCACTCCCCCTCTCCCCAGCATGGACTATCATGGTGCCTCGAGGCTGCCGAGGCAGTCACACACATCCACTCGAAACGGGTGCTCCAATACGACATGAAGCTCCTGGCAGCATCATTACACTCTTCTTACATCCCTTAAAACGGCAGGAAAACAAAAACAAAAAAAACACTAAAGCTTCCAATAGCATGAATCCCCAGCCTCGAAAAAAGCGTACACAACCATCAACCCAAACCCACCGAAACCCAACCCAAGATATAGGAAGAAGCTCAGACGAACCCGGCTAAGGAGCGATATAAACACAGTCGTCTCGCATAGAAGAAGTGAATAAAATTCCAGATAAACCGCCGAAGAACGAGAGTCAGGCGGCCTGTGTTGTGGCCATCCGAAACCTATCTATCGGCCGAGGATATGAGAGCGTCAAATCGACCCAGTCAGTCTCTTGGACGAAAACACTTTAAATACAAATACAAGAAATTCGAAATACAACCACCATTTCAAAGTCACAAATAACAAGCGCTGCACATAAATAGAAGAGATCAAGATGATTATTAATAAACTTTCATATTAACCCCCCCTCCCCTAAACTCATCATAAATCCCCCCCCAAAAAATTATAATCATAATTAAAACCGTAAAACCGCAAGCGAATGATAAACGCCATCGCCCATCAGATCCCTTAACCCCTTCCTTCGCTCCCCAACCCCCCCAACCGCCCGCTCCGCCAAAAATAAATAAAGATTATTCAACAAAAACGCTCGCTTTCGTTTCCCAATCCTCTTGAAAACCAACCCCGCCCCGCCCCGCGCTCGGTGGGCGTGTGGTGATCATATATATACCCCCGTCCATGCCATCTATAATAATATGCGATGTATATGCCGTTGTATAAATCTCCGATGATATTCTTGTAAAATGTAGTCGTCGTCCGTAGTCACCCCCCCCCGTTTAAGCGGTGGTCTTCTCACCACCGCCCTCATCCGCGCGCTCAGCCGTTTTCCTCTCGGCATCCGCATCTTCCTCAGAAGCCGCCTCCTTCACCGCCTCCCTCGCAGCAGCCTCCTGCTCCTTCTTCCCCTGCACCTCCTCAGCCTTATCCGCCTCCTCCTCCTCCACATCGCTCCCCTCAGCCTCAGCCTCCTCCTCCTCCACCCACCCCTTCGACATCTGCACCGCCTTCTCCCACCTCTTAACCCCCTTCTTCCTCTGCGCCGCCTCAATCTTCGGCGTGAAAGTCCTCTTCCCGCGTCCCCTCCACCCCCTCAGCTCCTCGAGGGAGTTCCACGCACCAACCGCCAACCCAGCCGCGATCGCCGCCCCCAAGGCCGTAGTCTCGCGCATCGCCGGCCGCTCGACCGGGATCCCGCTCACGTCCGCCTGCGTCTGCATGCACAGATCCGACTCGGACATGCCGCCGTCGACAGCGAGGTTCTTCAGCTCCTTGCCCGAATCAGCGTGCATAGCCGCCAAGATAGCAGCAGTCTGGTAGCACGTCGCCTCGAGGGTGGCGCGGGCGATGTGGCCCCGCTGCGTGTGCGCCGTGATGCCGAAGAGGGTTCCCTTGGCGTCGTCGATCCAGTAGGGGGCGAAGAGGCCGGAGAAGGCGGTGACGAAGACGACGCCGCCGTTGTCGGGGACGGAGAGGGCGAGCTTCTCGACCTCGGACGACTTGCTGATGAAGCCGAGGTTGTTCTCGAGGAACTTGACGCCGGAGCCGCCGACGGCTACGGAGCCCTCGAGCGCGTAGGTGGCGTGTTCGCCGATGTGGTAGCCGACGGTGGCGACGAGGCCGTGTTGGGAGATGACAGGCTTGGAGCCGACGTTGTAGAGGAGGAAGCAGCCGGTTCCGTAGGTGTTCTTGGCCTCGCCCTCGTTGAAGGCGCACTGGCCGACTAGGGCGGCGGATTGATCGCCTACACAGCCTGTGATGCGGGTGCCCTTGAGCACGCCGCCGACGAGCGCGCCAAAGGCCTCGGGGTCGGAGGAGGGAACGATTTTGGGGAGGCTGACGTTCTTCTGGTCGATCTGGAAGAAGTCTAGTAGCTCGTCGTCGTACTGCAGGGTGTGGATGTTCATGAACATGGTGCGCGATGCGTTGCTACTGTCGGTGACGTGGATGTTTTTCTGGGTCGCGCCGTTAAGGCGGTAGATGAGCCATGTGTCTACGGTTCCAAAGGCAAGCCGCGACTCGTCGTAGGCCTTGCGGATCTCGGGTATGTTGCGGTACATCCACATCAGCTTCACGCTCGACGGGTAGGTCGACAGCGGCATCCCGCACAGGTCACGGAGCTTGTCCGCCCCCTTGCGCCCCTTCAGCTCGCGCACGATGCTCTTGGTTCGGGTATCAGGCCACACAATGGCGTTGTACAGCGGCAGGCCCGTCTCCTTGTCCCAGCATACCGTCGTCTCGCGCTGGTTCGTGATACCGATCGCCCGGATCTGGTTGGCCTTGTAGCCCAGGTCTATGAAGTCCTCCGTCGCCTCCTCAATGCAGTCGTGCACCGAGGAGACCAGCTCGAGGGGATCATGCTCGTGCCACCTGGATTGGGGCGTTAGTCGATGACGACAGAACAGCAAGAGAGGGGGAAATCGGAAACTTACCCTGAACGAGGATACTTGTTCTCAAACTCAATCTGGTGACTCGCCACTGGCTCTCCGTGGCTGTTGAAAATGAGGAAACGAGAGGATGTGGTGCCCTGGTCTATGCTGCCGACGAACCACTCCTCGTCGGTCTCGGTGTCTTTTGGAGGGTCATTGGAGCCCGCAACATTGCTGCTATCCTCGATATTCTCAACATGTTCGGCGGTGATTTTGGGGGGGTCGGAGAGTTTGAGAGAGTGCATGAGGGGTTGGAGGAGCGATTGTGACGCGGTCGGCAACTGCACCGTCATGGTGGAGGAGTTAGACCTCGTCACGGTTGTGCTCATGGCGTTGTGGTGTTTGTAGAAGGGGGTGATTGGGAAACGGTGGTGTCGACGTGGAGAGGGATTGGAGCGGGTGGCAACGACGTGCCAGTTGGCCGCTGATTTCCTGGTATTTCGGAGAGTTGATGGTGAGAATCTCCTGGTCAGATTGAGGGTTGTTGATGGAGGGAACGAGTGAAGATGGTGGTGAAGTTGGTGAAGGTGAAATTTGGTATTAGGGAGGAGTTGTTTGCGAGTGAGAGTGAGAGGAGTAGTAGAAGGACGATGAGGAGGGGATCTGGGGAGTAGAAGGGCGGCGGATGATATTGTCCGAGTCAGGGCAGGAGTAGAGTAAGTAGTCGGAGTAGTGGGATTAGTGCGAGTAGTGCACTTAGCGTGATAGAGGGGAGGGAGGGGAGGGAGGGGAGAGAGGGGACGAGGATTGGCAGTATTGGCGTCGTGGGATGAGGTGGAGGTGGTGGAGGTGGCAGGACCCAGAGCAGGAGTAGGAGGGAACGAAGTGGTGAGGTATGCACTTCCCCTCCAACAACCCCTCCTGCGGAGATAAAGGTACATGCAACTCAGACCGAGTTCTGGCGACGGAGGAAGTCCCTCGGGTGATCGCGTTGTAAATTACACCAAGAGGCCGGTAGGTACGGTAGGTACTATAGGTAGCAGTTAGGTACTGTGGTGGTAGAGGAAGTTTGGGGGAGGGGGGTTAAAGAGCGTAAAAGGGGTGGCAAAGGGGTGCAAAAGTTGGAAGAAAGTGCGGGGCTGGGTACTTAGCGGTACTTGGTAGGTACAGAGATGGGGACTGTTTTTAGCATTGCATAGCCACATCAGGTGTGCATCATGTGTGAGGGAGAGGTTTTCCCGGCGGAGAAGGTGGTTAAGGTGGTTTGTTGCTAAAGTGTGTGTGGGAGAGGAGAGGAGGACTGGAAAAAGACTGGGAAGAGCGTGATCGGGGAAGAGAAAGGGATGATCGGGAAAGAGATGGGCGAGGAAGAACGGGGGGGAGAAGGGGGCGAGAGCGACCGGGGGGGGTGGGGGGGGGTTGAACAAGAGCGAACAATAAAGGTGCGCGTACACGCTAACAACAGAAAGTTAAGAGTACATTGCTGTAGTAGTTACAGTAGTGGTACCAGGAGTGGGGGGTTAAGTTAAGAGTACAGTAGCTTGGGAGAGAGAACCCGCAGAGACGCATGTATTGTTAGTGGGGTGAGGTAGGGAGGGTACATGGAGAAGGGTACTGCGGGCTATGGAGGAGTGGGAGGAGTACTTCTAGAAATACTTGCAGACATATTCTGTTTATACAATTCCATATAGAGGATCCTATTTCAGTGCCATACAGCTAAATAGATAAATGGTTAATAGCCAAATAGCCAAATAGCCATACACCATCAGATAAACAGCCATACACATACATACATACAGCTAGCAGCTATTACAACTAACAAGTAACAGCCATATACCTAGTAGTAGCTATACACATGCAATTATACAGCCATACAACCATACACATGCAGCTATACACATGCAGTTATACACATATAGCCACACACATGCAATTATACACATACAGCCAGTACAGCTAACAGCTATACAGCCATACACCCATACACCCACACACATGCAATTATACACATACTACACCCATACACCACAATCTAATAGAACCACTCCCATCCCGTACAGCAAGCCACCACGCAGACACGGACCAGACACAGGCCAGACAGACCACACTCTATCTACACCACATGCAACCCCCACCACCCTCACAACCTCAAAATACTTGCACCATCAACCCCCTCCCCTCCCTGGAATAATCCTTCCCCATCCCTCCTCCGCCCTGCTTCCCTCCTCCCTCATCCCTCCTCCTCGCCCATCCCCAACCTCTCATCCCCCATCCTCCCCGACGATCGCTCTAATTTTCCGGATTATGGCAAGTAACACTCCCTCCACAGCCCATTTGTACCTTGTGTACCACACACTGGCCTTGCACCCAGAAGTACCCAGTGGGGAAAGAAACATCCTTAGCAGTGGAGTCTCCCTTGGTGCATCCGGCACGTGCCTGCCTGGCCTTGTCAACCCACCGACGATCGTTAGTATACCCACACACACACACACCAGCTGGCCGGAGAAAAAAAAGTGTGTGTTCGGCGTAAGTCAGTAAGTGGGTAGTGGGGTGGGCGAAGAGAGCGAAGTTCACCCATCCCATCCCATCCCGTTAGCCTTTTACTAGAGGGGGGGTAAGCATGCATGCCCACGCACCCACCGAACCGAACGCGATGGGGGGTCGCGGCGGGAGGCTAAATTCCAAAGCGGATGATTCTAGACCGGCGAAATCAAAAGCCGTGGGGCGGCCGGCCTAAGTGGAAGTAAGGCTCCGTTCGCTCCTCCCAGCGAGTGCCGTTGTTTCCCCTTCTGGATTTTCCGTGAAAGGATAGATAGATAGATAGGTGCGAACAAGCCCACCACCAGGAGAGAGAGCGTCTGGAAAACTAAAACTAACACAGGAAACGGCCAGCGGCGGGCACACACACACACACACAACACACCTTTCGAAGCTGTGGTGGATTCCGTTCTAAAAGTTCTAAAAGAGGGGCCGACGATCTAAACATTTTTTTTTTCTGCTCACACACACACAACTTTTCTTTCCTTCTTCCATTTTTTTAACTACTTTTCTACTTTCCGTCTTCCGATTCTAAGAACCTCTCTGCCGATTTCCCCGTCCCCGTTTTTTTCCTATTCTATTCTAAGACCAGCCGGAAAACGGGTCCAGTCTCTGTTTGAATGCATGTGCGCGTGCACGTGCACGGCGCGCGCGGGTGGGTATCGCGACCGACGCGACCGTTTGATAGACTGGCGTTGGGTTTGGTGTATACATATACGTACTTTCTGTAGATATGGTAGATTGATGCTTGATGGAGGAGAGTGGAGTTGGGAATGGAGCTGATAATCAGATGTTCGTGATACTTACGAGTACGCAGTCAGCAGCGGAGTGGGGGACGCAGAAGCAGGCGCACAAGCAAGACGCAGACAGTGCAGGACGCGCGCAGGACGCAGCGCCGTTCGTTCTGGCCTCGATGATCACAACACCGCGCGATCCTTCTACAGTGGGTACAGCAGACAGCCAGACAGCCAGACCGACACGAACAGATTACCCTTCCTCCTGCAGTAGCTATCGCACATCACCTCACCCGCCTCCGGCCGGTCGCCGCCTCGCCCATCTCCCACCGCACATCACCATCTACCGCCTCCCCCTCCCTACCTTCCCCCTCCCCCCCACCACCCACCCCCCCCACCGCCGTCGCCGCCGCCAACGCACGCACGCACGACCAGTCAGTCATTCACTCTCCTCCCAAACCCTCCACGGGACCTGAAAGAAACTCACATACCGGCGTGAGGAGGGAGGGGCGGGCGGGGCGGGCGGGTCTGGGCTGGGATGGGATGGGGTGCGGGGCGGGTCTGGGTCTGGGTTGCTCGCGTCCCACTGTACGTACTGTAGAGGGGGGGGGTTAGGTTCGAGCTTGAATTGAGCGATTGAGCGATTGAGCGGATTCCCCCAATCCGCACCACAATTGGGGGATTGTGCGGATTGGGGGTTGCAGCTGCTTGTTCCGTTTGCCGCACGCTTGCACCGGTTTTCGGGGTGCCGATCGCGGGTGGGGTGGGAGTGAAGGCCGTTTCCCGATGTGGGAGGGCCTTTTCTTGATTTTTGAAGTTGTGTGTGTGGGTATCTGGTCTTTTGGTGATCTGTTGTTTCGCCGCCGTGAAGGTACGTACAATAATAAATTCAGCCTCTACTACATTAATACTCATAGCCTCACACTACGAAGATCTGTCTATCAGTCCGTCGCTATACTTACTAAACATACTCAATCCCGTCACGACAAGCTCTCCCGCGGTGGCGAACCGCCAACAACGCTCGCGATGATGTCAAAGCGACATCATCCCCAAACTCGCATCAACTCCCATACAAAATTAACTACGCGATTGCATCACTGACGACACAAACAATAAACCTGATTGCCACATATCTACGTAATCCCCCCCTCGCAACCCCTCAATCAACCACCCATCAGTCAATGCATACATCACATCACCCCTCAATCACAAACGCAGGTACGACCCCCTCGCCACCCACCCGTCGCCACTCCCTCCCTCATCCTCCCTTACCCAACCTTACTCCCCTTACCGTATCCTTACCTAACCTCCTCAATCCATCCTTCCGTACAGCTTCCCATGTCTCCCGCGCGCCACTCCCCCCTCCGCTCCTCCCGTACCCCAAAATATCGCCCAGCCCTTCGCCACCTTAGATCTAGATCTAGATCGTGGGTGGGATCGGGTAGGAGGATTGTGGTCTGACCAACGCATTCCGGTCTCCCCGACCGAGGCTGTAGGATGCAGATACGCGATGGAAGGTGTCCCCTTTTCTATTGCTTGTTGTATCGATTTCGGGTTCATGATTGCGTTGTCACATGCTAGTATCGGTGTTGTAGTAACGTGTTATAGAGATCACGTGCCGCGGAGATCACGTGTTGAAGATGTCACGTGTTGACGTCTCTTAAAGTCGCCTGCTTATAGTTCTTATAAGGGTTATAAGAATGTGACCGCACTATCCCAGCGGTGATTATGCGCAAAACTTTGGCGATCTGGCAGTCTTCGTCCTAGAAAACAAGATATTGAGCATTCTGTTTTCTCCGCTGCTGCTCAAGTATCATCTTCGCCTGCCTAATCAACCTAGCATGACGATGATTCTCAGCAACACTCCCCACCCTCTTCAACGCCTCATCCGCCTCCTCAAACCTCCCCAGCATCGCACAATTACTAGCAAAATCCAGCATCACCAAGCGCGTATACTCCGCGCCGCGCCCAAGCATCAACTCCGCCAAATCAGCCGCCAGCCCTAGATGTGCGTCCGCCTCCCCATGCTTGCCCTGGTGATACAGACACGTTCCCAGAACGCCCATATCGCGGATCGCCTCGGGTTCGGCTTTCGTGAGAAACTGCTCGTCGAAGTCGACGATTTCGCGGCAGATAGAGGATGCTGAGGCGAAGCCGCCGCGCTGGATGGAGTCGTCTATGAGCGCGCCTTTTAGGGAGAGGGTTTGGGCGAGGAGAGCGGAGGACTCGGATTGCTTTCCGACGACTTGGCAGGCTAGTGCGAGACGGTGAGAGCTGGTGATTGCGGTGACGTGGTTGGGGCCGTATGTTTTGTCGGTGTGGGACTTCATGGCTCGAGCGAGCGTTTCTGCTGCGGCGAGGTTTTGGTTTTTCTTGAGGAGTTCGGCGATTAGCTTGTTGGTTTCTGTGAGTCGTGCGGGGTTGTCGGATTCGAGGTCGCGGGTTGCGGTTTCTATGAGCGCCTTCTCCTCGCTGGGTGTAACGTCGTGGGTTGAGGTCTCTCTAGTTGTGCGGGTCACGTTTGGTCTGGTAACGGAGGGAGGTGGAATAGGGGTAAAACTGTAAGTCTTGTTTCCCACCACCAGCTTTCCTCCCACCACGTCAACAGAGATATCGTCGTCGCTGTAGAACTTCACCTCCGCCATGGTAGTAGCATGAAAGCCCTCGACTGTGTCCAAGAGGTCTCGTCTAGTCGATATAGACGGAACGTGTTTATATAAAAGCACTAGCAACTCCAGCCAGCTCGTCACTATTCGCGTGTCGCCGCCATTCGTGCACTTATATTTACGTTTATCCACCACTGCTTTAACCCCAACCTGGACCATTTCCCTGCAATCAGAGATATATCCCGCCATGTCGTCGTACTCGACGCAGCTCTCATGGTTGAAGAGCCAGCAGGCTACTTCAAATAAGATCCACAACCTAGGTTGGAAGTCGGGGAATCTCCAGGAATAGCCACAGTCTCTTACTAATAGTGGTAATTTGCGGAGCGAGACTTGGAAATAGTACTTTTGTAAGTCGGATAGCTTGCCTTGAGGCAGACATGTCCAATCTACCCATACATACGAGCACCTAGAGTCGGCTAGATCCTGACGAAGTAGGTTGAGATCTAACCCCTCAGGATCGGGATGTTGAGTTGTGCGCCAGAAGTGGCTGACGAAAACGCAGTCGGTCTTGTTGACAAACCCAGCAGCAACGGGAATCAAAACGTAGTCATCTAATCGTGACTCGTCCCATTGAGTAAACCTGCTCTGTTGCATGAACGAACTCTTGAGTTGGAAAAACCACATCTGCGAGATTGGTGTGCGGCTGTTAAGCACTTCATCTAGGGACTTCATTCCCCTTAAGGCCGTGGCGTGTAGGTGAATATTGTAATATTTATTTTCTTGGCAAAATCGCAGAGAAGACCATGCGGAGATACTTCGTTCCACTAGGCGTTTAAAGGGCGTAGAAGCGTCGGAGCCAACCTGCTGCGTATTGGTAGATCCAATAGTTTGAGCTATAGCTAGAATAGTATGAGCCAACCGCGGCGGCGTAGGGTTGGCTGTAGTGCCCGTGCCATTGCCTCTATATTGCCTAGAGACGAGTTGGTCGACGGCCGCTGCTGATGGGGAAATTTGTGCTTGTGCCGTGGATGGCATTACCCTAACTATGATGCCATCTGAAGTCTTTTTGCCGCTGGCGGATGACGCTGGTGGAGGAACTGGTGTCGAGGATGGCATTACCCTAACTTTGATGCCATCCGACGTCTCTTTGCCTTTGCGGCTGGTGCTGCTGCTTGATCTACACCCTAGGCATGAAAGCATGGTGTTTATAAGGTAGTGGAAAGCCGAAATTGGGTTGATAGGGAGATGCTGAAACTTCACATGGTATTTATAACAAATAAACAGATAAAAAATAAAGAGGGACAACTCATTATTATATCTAGCCTTGTCAGATTATGAACTTCGGCCGAGCAAGCTTATCTCTATAGGAGATTGCGTCGTGCAGCAGACACTACCATAACACAGCCTTTGCACTGCCCACCTATGAGCAGCCAATTACTTAGCCATCACAATGCAAGGATCTACTGCGCTTTGTGCCAGTCTCACTTGTGAAACGGGTGTACATTTAGGATATATAATATTTCGCAGCTGCTCAACGACGTCGATAGTTATCATACTGGATCAAGAGTGCATATAGAGGAGCGACGGGCAGTAACGACGCACACTTACGAGGTTGAGGGGACGTGACGTGGTGTAGTATAGAGGAGCATGAAGCAGTGACTGCATATACTTCTGAGGTTGAGGGGAAAGGGTCGTGTTCTAGATCAGCAGGCTGTCATGCCTAAATAGTGCACGCCAAACCTAAATTAGCGGATCTAAACTATGGCGCTAAGAAGGCTGAAAGACGCACCGCTTCCCGTCTGATGGTGTACTATTCTAAAATGAGGTTTATATTAAGTGTCGGCTCTATGAGGATGGCATCAATTGCTTACTCCGCTAAACCCCGACTGAGAGCGGAGCGGCAAGGCAGTTTGGACGAATAAACCACAACTGCGTACTCGCACTCGCACTAGCATTATTTATTTCTCAATCTGCATGGTTAGCGATAAATATCGTAGGTTGCGACAATCTTTTGCTTCAAGTCATATTGCGCTCCTCTGCCTTTACTTCCATATCAACGCCAAGGCTGGCAATAATCATACTAGAGTTCACTCATGCTCAACACCGTCAATCGCCTTAGTTAAACCAGGATAGCCCAACAACAAAACAAACGCCAAATTTGGCATCGAAACCATGAACAAACTAGCAGCATTCTCCGATCTCCCCCTTGAAATAATCCATCTGATCGCAGACCAAGTCTTGGACCCCCACGACCTACTCTCCCTTCTCCGCGTCCTCCCTCACCTTGCCTCCTCCCTCTCCCCCGCACAAATCCGTGCCTCCGGCGAAAACAAGGAGACAATCCTTCACCTCGCCGCCGAACGAGGAGACTCAGCCCTTCTAACCACCCTCCTCGCCAACCCCTCCACAGACCCCAACCCCCTCGCCACCATCCCCTTCTTCACCTTCAGCAACTCCCCCGACGGCCGCACACTCCCCGGCCGCCGCTACCCCGGCCTCAACCGCACGCCCCTCTCCCTAGCCGCCCACGCCGGGCACCTCGCAGCCGTGCAATCCCTCCTCGCCCACCCCTCCACCATCGCCGACATCATCCCCGAAGCCGCTTTCATGCGCACGCTCTCCTCCCTTGCCCTCGCCGCCAGCGCCGGCCACCTCGCCATCACCGCCCTCCTCCTCACGCGACCTGATGTCCGCGCCGAGAGCCGAGGTGCTGCCCTCGGATGGGCCGCGATGCACGGGCATACACCTGTCGTGGCCCTATTCCTAGCGCGCGACGACGTCAACCCAAATTTCCAGGAGCATCGTACCCTTCGGACGCCGCTAGCGCTTGCCGCGATGGGGGGCCACGTCGACGTCGTCGCGATGCTGCTGGCACGTGATGATGTAGCTGCCGACATGCTCTGCAGGGAAAGGGCCACGCCGTTGTGCTTAGCGGCGCGGATGGCGCATCGGGATGTTGTGGATATGTTGCTAGAGCGGGGGGATGTGGATCCTAATGGCGTTTCGGAGACGGCGGCGACGCCGCTGATATGCGCGATGACTAGGGGCCATGCGGAGGTGGTGGAGACGCTCCTGAAGAGGGAGGATGTGAGAGTTGACCAGCGCGATGGGAAGGGGAAGACGGCTTTGTTGTGGGCGGTGCAGCTGGGGAGGGTGGAGGCGGTGAGGGTGCTTTTGCAAAGGAAGGATGTGGATGTGAATGCACGCGGCTCGGATGGGACGCCGGTTCTAGGACTGGCGGCAAGGCATGGGTGGGCGGCGATGATTCCGTTGCTCTTAAAGCGCGAGGATTTGGATATGAATATTCGCGAAGAGGGGTCCGGGGCGACGGCTTTGGCTATTGCGGCGTTCAAGGGTGAGGTAGAGGTCGTTAGGTTGCTGTTGCGGGGGGGGTTGGATGCTAATGCGCGAGATTATGATGGGGTTACGCCGCTTATGTTGGCGGCGAAGTGGGGGAGGATGGAGGTGGTGAAGATGCTCATGGAGTGTGAGGGGGTGGATTTTAATGCGCATGAAGTTAAGGGGAAGTCGGTTCTGGCTGCGGCGGCGGAGTCGGGGCAGGTTGAGGTGGTGAGGTTGCTGTTGGAAGGGGGGAGTGTGGATGTGAATGCGCCGGATATGAGCGGTCGCACGGCGCTGGCTTTGGCGATGGATGATAAGGGAAGGAGTGAGGTTTATCCGTTGGGGGGGAAGAGTGATTACGATGCTGTGGTAAAGTTGTTACTGGAGCATGGTGGTGTGTCGCAGATGATATGATGTCGGTGTTTAGGCGGTAGTTTATCCCAGTGAAAGATACCAAAAAGAAATGAAGTATAGTATGATGGGGTAGTTTAGAGCGAAGTTGGAATGAGAGAGTAAGTTCCTTAATTAATATTTTAAATTAACAATTACATTAGAGGTTTAGGAACTAGATAGAGAGATTTTTAAAGCTTAGAATATAATATTCCAAGGCTCTCTTGAGTTTGGCCGGGGGTTTTCGGCATGTAATTGATAAATTATAGGGGGAGACAAGCCAAGAACAAATGTCGCTTCTCGCAAATTCTACTGGTGTCTTCTATATGGGGATGGCACATACAAGCATGGTAAGTTGCCGGCACATGCCACCTGCACATAAAGAAACCGTTGGATACAAAGCCAAGAGCTATCACTAGTATTATACTCGCCTGAGGTGATTGATGCCTGGCATAAAATCTACGGCAGCCCCATCGAGAGTTTCCTCGCGGAACTTCGGACCTGAGCCGGGGCAGAGGGCAGATGAGGCCCACGGGTATTATAGCAGCACTATTCGATAGGGGCGGGCATGTCCGACCACAGGCAAAGGATTCTTCATACGCGCACCCTATAAGATGCCAAGTTGATGATAGTAGATACGGATTTATGACTGGCTTAGCAGCGATTACGCCTCAACAGAAATTCTCACTTTACGTTTCAAGTTCTGTCACTTGGAGGGCCAGAACGGGTACATAGGATGAAATACAATATATAGCTCAATATAGCGTAATGGAATCAATTGAATATCAAGAACTATCCAATAGGCCCGATGAAATATTCGTATGCTCCTGAAGGAAGCGGGGTTGCCTTAGCGAGTATGTAGGATTCGCAGGGAATCACACCTGAGCCCTCGCATCTCCGGATGTAAGGCTGAATCTCCAATATAAGGACAAGGAAGGTAGTATAAAATGAGTATATTTCTATACCATACTTTCTTGCTTGCCATTTGTTCAGCATAAATCTCAAAACTGATATCGCAGCTACCGAATAGTCAACTATGGCGAGTTTCGTAACAAACCACAAGGCTCCGTACGATGCTCTCTCGCCATCTCTTCCTGGACGCTCCCTAGCCGGCAAAAGCGCCCTCATCACCGGCGCTAGTCGAGGCGTAGGTGAACACATCGCTCGAGGCCTAGCCGAAGCAGGCGTATCACCCATCGGCCTTCTCGGGAAAGACAAAGCCCGCATCGAGAGTACCAGGGAGAAGTTCGGCCGTGAATTTCCACAGACAACATTCGTCGCCTTCGCTGCCGATATCACAGACGCAGAAGCCATCGCCGCTGTATTCTTCAATTTCGGCGCTCCAGATATCCTGGTCAACAACGCGGGCGTATTCCCAGACGAGGGACCATTCGTGGAACAAGACCTGAAGGAGTGGTTCTCTGGCTTCGAGACAAATGTCCTCGGAACTGCGATCGTCACACAGCGATTCTTGAAAATCGGAGACCGGCCAAAAGATGCTATTGTGATAAATGTCGTGAGCATGGCGGCGCACACGCGATTCCCGGTCCCCGGCTGGTCGGGCTACAGTGGTAGTAAGATGGCTCAGGCGCGCATCTTCGAGAACATCCGGTTCGAACACCCTGATGTGCGATTTATCAATGCGCACCCTGGTCTGCTTGATACGGATGGCTTTGAGCGCTGTGGAGCACCGATGCCTCCGGGGGGGTGGGCGGATGGGAAGTTGACGGGAGGTTTCTTCGCGTGGCTGGCGACCGAGGAGGCCGCTTTCCTCAGTGGTCGGTTTGTATGGGCCGACTGGGATATCGAGGAGTTGAAGGCTAGAAAGGATGAGATTTTGGAAAAGGACCTGCTTCTAACGACTGTAGATGGGTTTAATAAGGGGTTTTAGCGAGTGTCACTCGTGAAATTGAGATTCTCTGAGGGAGACACGGCGGTCTCCAATGCACTCGAGATTTAGTTTCCATTGCGGGGAAGAGGGCATTTATATTGGAATATTTAAAGATCTGAGGTTACCATGCAGTTATAATCTAGAACACAGAGATTAGCTTACTATTTCCCCTAGTATGACTACAACAGCCCGCTATTATATTGCTAGTGGTTCGTCCGTCGTCGCAAGATCGGCGCTGTCAGACACAAGCGTCTGACAAGTGCGTAGGCTAGCCCCGAAGTTTCCACCCCAACGCGCGCATTGGCCACCGCTGTTTCGATATTGTCCTCCCTCATTACTTTGGTAACACAGCTGCTAGAGGAATATAATCGGCTTGGATTTATTTTTTTGAAGAAGAAACCCACCAATATTTGTCTCTTGGGGCCTACAATAGAGTATTTGACCCCACCTTATTTTTTCCTTCCCCTGCAACTGACGTCCTTACCAACCATATCATATAAAACCTAGCCTTCTCGTCCGTATAAGGAAGGAACGAAAAATATAAAATACAGCTACACACGATCGTCCTTTCCTTTGTTATTTGGTCGATCCTTCCCTTTTTACATGGCTGTTCCTTCCCTCAATAGTTGGTGGTTCCTTCCTTCCCTAGTAGGTCGTTCCTTCCCTCTGGAGCCCGTCGTTCTTTCCCCCATTGAAATAATTTTAAGGGTCGTTATTTCTCTATTTTAACTATTTCATTGGCCGCTCCTCTGATTATAACAACCCTTCAAACGCGGATATGCGCTGAGAACCCAGCCAGTAATGAAATGAACCTGGTTCGCACGCAGTAATGTTCTGTGCCGCTTATACAGGGGTTTATAGAACTTGTTAAGATAGTTTATCCATAGATTTGACGCTGGTTGCGGATGTGTTAGTGAGTCGTTGAGTCGGTCGAATCTGCCATGTTCGACTGGCCACAGTAGGCTACCTGGTGGCATACTTGCTGCCTCCCCCAGATCGTACCGTATTATTTTAACATTATATAAGTTGAATGGTGCACCGTCGAAATAGAGGTAGTTATGACTATCTCATAAGAGCTATGGGCGGGATATTTTACGAATTATATAACGAGACGGCAAGCCGGACACGGTTTTCAGGGTTCTTGCTGAATTAAATTTACCGCTTTTATATAACACAAGATTTATATTGCTAAAGCATCTAGCTAAACCTCCATGCTACCCTTGCTTATTTACAAGAGCGTTTCTTGATCAGAGTAGCCGAATCAAGAACAGTGTTATTCCCGCTTGCAATGAACTGCGTGCTCAAGTGCGTGCAGTTATGCACGGTAAACAAGTTCCATCCGTAGGCAGAGATCACCTTGCGCGATGTAGACACATACGGCGTATCCGGAACATCCAAGCCATCATAATGGCCCGCAGCGCCGTTGACAAGATACCAAGGGGCCTTCGGGTTGTTCTCAATCTCCGTCGCCGTGCCATTGTTGACCGCTGCGTGGCGCTCGTAGAAGTGCTTATGCCCGTGCAGGACAAGATCAACGCCATACTCAAGCAGGAGCGGCTCAAACGCGAGTTGGCACTCAATGCACTCCGTCGTGCTGACGTACCATGGACGATGTCCTGCAGCGACTACCCAGGGAGTCTTCTTGCGGTTGACAGAGGCGAGATCCTTCTTCAGCCAAGCGATTTGGGCGCCGGAGACGGCAAAGGGGCCGGCATTTTCGGCGCCCTCTCCACCGGGCTCATCAGGCGCGTTGAGGAAGTCGGTCTCCGTGTTGAATTGGATGAAGTGCACGGAGCCGTGGTCGAAGGAGTACCAGAAGTTTCCGACGCCGCCGGACTCCGCGGAGGGCATGCTAGAGGAGAGTTAGCTTCTGATACGTGGTGGATCTAGTGGAATATACGTACTTCCAGTGGGCCTGGTAGCCGGTGAAATTCAACTGTCCAGGCAAGCAAATGGTCAGGTCACTTCCGTTGTCGCAGTTTGCCTCATGGTTGCCTGGATAAATGTTAGTTTATGCATAGCAGGTAGCTGGCGCGATTGGGAACTAACCAGGGCCAACCATGTAGGGCTTAGCGCTCGAGAGTCCCTCAGTCTGGTTGTAGAACTGGTTGAGGATCTTGTCATACTCGGCGCCGCCATCGGTCTTGTTGAGCGGGGTGACATATCCCGCTTTCTCCTCCTTGAGCCAGGCATCGGCGTAGGCGATGTCACCAACTAGAAGGTATTGATTAGCTGGTGATAAAACAACGAAAATAAATTGACGACGAACCGTGCCAGATAAAGTCGTAGCTGTTCTTGAACGTCGTTAAGGACTCGATGGTGGTGTGCTCGCCGGGCTTGAGAGGGTTGCTGGCGCCCTTTCCAACTGTGGTGCTAAGACCATCGGGGCCGAAGGTACCCATATCACCGATCATGGCAAAGCTGAACTCGTCGTTGTCGCCCGCGGAACGCGCAGTTGTGAACGTATACGTCTGAGTAGCACATTGAGGCCTGTAGTAGTAAGTGGTGTCCGGCTTGAGGTCGCTGATGACAACATGGTTGTTGTAAGTAGACGATGTAGGGTAGGTAGTGGAGATCTTTGACTTGGCGGAACTCTTGAGAACGTTCTTCTCATGTTTATTGTAGTACACAGTAGGGTTGGTCAACTGCTCATTTGTGTTCCAGCTAACGGCCATGCCCTTATCACCAGCATAAGCCAGGCGGATCTGGGTAGGGACAAGAGCGTCGCTACATGGCTGGGTAGCCAGAGGCTTGGAAGCTAGAGCAGATGCGGCGAAAGTAGCCACGAAGGCAGCAGCACCTAGAGAGGAAAACATGGCCAATACGGAGGCAAATGAACCTGGAGGAAGGGGTACCCAGCTATACGACTTACCGACGTCCTGGAAACGCGATGGGGATCATCTATTTAAACTAATAAATGATTCCCAGCTCCTCAACAAGAACATCCCCGTACCTGAGCCGTCCCGAGTACACTAGATAGTTGCATGGCTTTCCTGTATTGTATCAGCAGGATTGACCTCTAAGACGAATCTACATCTTCGTGCGAGCCCACGTGTAGGCCCACGTGCTGAATCCCCTTATCATCGACGTTCAAGCGGCGATCTAGCGCAATAATCAAGGAACAATTGCAAGTCTTGTTTTATGCGCTTAACTAGAACAGGATTAAGGCAGAACACTATAACCCTTGACATAAAGCTTCTCTGTACCAGTAAAATGTCGCCAATTACACGTCCCCTAGCTTGAAGATCGCGGCACGGAGATTAAACGCGGGGATACCAGAAATACCTGCAGTAGCACTGCTCGATGTGGGTAGGCTGCTCTAGAAGCGTGGCTTGGATTTGCTTATTTAAGCTACGACGTTGCTTTCCTCATACAAGATTTCCCAACAGCATCTCTCTGTACTTCGGTGGGGGGACAAGGTTGCGATAAAATTACGTTTGATCGGCGAATCACGATCACAGTACTGTATACTCGAGCTGCGTGGTAGGGAGGTGATTTAGAATCATCACATTTATGATGCCTTGTCAATACATACTCCAAGATCGGTGGTAACCTTGTCAAACTAGAATACTGTATCCAAGTGATACGCTCTAAAACCCAGCCAAAACCTTCGTATCCTCAGCAACAGCACCCTTCAAAGCCTTAGGATCTAAACCAAGCGCTTTGAGAATCGTTGGCGCAATCTGTTTCGTGGACGCCTCATGGTTGACCTTGGTCTTCTTGAGCCCCGGTGCGCTAACGAAGCAAGCCACCTTCCTATCATCCGCATTGATACCGCCATGCTCAGCAATCTTTGCAGTGCTCGTAGTGTAAATAATGCCCTCGGTCGGCCTGACAATGATGTCCGGTACCGCAGAATCGGTCAGCGGGTTGCCGTAGCCAAGGTCGACGAGGCGATCGCCGTAAATAATATCCTCAATCTGTAGGGCTTTGCGTTGCTTATTAAGACCTGCAACTGCTGTCTCTGTCTTGGTTTGGTCCTTAAGGAAGATCAGAGCAATGTCGTCGGTGGTGGCATGAAGGACGTCGACACCAGTGGCGGCGGAGACCAGATCGCCATTGATCTTCGCATACTTTGTTGGGTCAATGGGTGCTTGCCCATGCTTGGAGGCCACAACAATCAATGTCTCGTCGTAGACACCCTTAGCCTTGAGGGCGGCGACAATTTGACCCAGAGAAGCATCGACGAAGTCGAGAGCCTTTAGGAGCTGGGGTGTGAAGTCAAGGGTTTTGGCCACATAACCGCTCGTCTTCTGTGCAACCGAAACGGCCTGGAAGTTCCCTCCGAAGAGTGTTGGGACACCAGTCAGCTTCTCTTGGACCTCGGAGTGCTCCGGGGTGGTGCCGTTCATGATCCACTCAATAAACGCGTTCACGTGCAGCTGGTCATATGCAATGGTCGCGTCGGTGGTGACTGGGACGGCCGCGATCTCGGGGAAGTAGCCAACGGAAAGACCCTTGCCTGATGGGCCACGGACAAGGTCGTAGGCAGGGTGCTTATCAGTATAAGCGGTTTGGTGGCCGGCCTCGTGCACGACTTCAAAGACTGTATTGACGCGGGAACGCTGGTGAGGGTACACGTTTGTGCAGACTCCATTGACGAGGGTTTGCGGAAGGTTCAATGGGTTGATGCCACCGGAGTAAAGGAGCGTCGAATCATAATCTTTACTCTCATCAAAGGCAACTAGAGTAGTTAGCCAGTATCCTGAACGAATCAGCTTCCCTCAGCTTACCTTCAGCACCAGCAGGACCCTGGCAGTTAGTGCCCGTAGTAGAAAATGGCAGCCAGAACTTCCGGTCATAGGTATCATCGTACCAGACACCGTGGGTTCTTGGGCTCGCACCCGAGAATAAATTCATCGCACCTGGGAACGAATCCGAAGGAGCAGATGTGTATGCGTCGGTAAATTCATAGCCAGTCTCGAGGAGCTCCGCAATAGTCGACTTTGGGCGAAGTGCAACATACTTGGGCACATCAGAGCTGTGCAGACCATCAATGCTGATCGCCACGACATGCTTGTATACCGTCTTGGATCCCTTCTTGTCAGAAGCAAGCGATACGCCGCCAAGGGCGGCAATAGCGAGCAATGATTGCAAAAGCATGATTATAATTATTAATTGACTTCAGCAAGGATGATCTGGGGTAAGGTAGGGACTGATATGATAGAATGAAGGGAAATAGTCACTTTTTATAACTGCTGCTCCGCGTCGTTGAGGGCGATCTTTGAGGCGAAGCTTTCGAGCCCCACCTTTTTCAAAAGCTTGTCCCGTCTTTACAAAGCTTGTTGCTGTTGTGCTTCTTCTCACCTTCGTTGACTTATTGATCTTCTTCCCGCGTATATCCTTTAGGTCCACTAGAAACGTAGTGACAGCGCACGTGTTGCTGTAACCGGGTCTAGCTACCCGCTAGAACAGGTCTCAAACAAGCTATCTAAGCCCCCTCCCGTCAATTCTAGGGCGATCTCAACATGATAATGACAGGTGCCCCACCCTGTTTACCGTGCCATCGGTATTGTTCCTGAAATTGTGGTAGTTGGCAAGAAACATCATGACAAATCAATTGGTATCCAAGTGGTCACTGTGCTCATCATTACTGGCAATTTTACTTGCCAGCTATTTTTCTAACATCCATGGAATAAACCAATTCCAACTTGCTCTTCCACGACTTGCTTTAGCCAAAAGGGCAGATAGCACAATATGCGGCATTTTTTTTTGTTGGGCCGCCTCTATAACACCGCGACATATATTTCCAGTGAGTAAGTTAGAGCTGCAAATTTGGTGGGATAGTCGATTACTCCTCTTCTACAACCCGAGCCTTACACGGCTAATAGTCTTCATAAGAGCCGTAACATGTACACTACAAGTCTTCGCATAACTTGTGTGATATGCCAGCACACACCAGCAGAACCGTATTTGTATCCTCTGAGCTATCTATCTGAAAAGAAAAAGACTATGGGTTTTCAAGGATGAAGCTGAGCCGGCTCTGAGTAGGATTGATCAAAAGCGGCGCGATGTCACATGAGCAAGAGTGAGGAGCTTAATTGATATCCCAGTGGCATAACTACTCGTCTTCACCTTGCCTATGCAAGGAGGCGGCGTTAGAGACAAGGACCGCCCTTTTACTTTTTAAATCGTCCACTCTCTTCGCTTACCTGTTGAGGGCCAATCCCTTCTTCTCCTCGACGAGGACTCTGATCTCTTGACGCTCCCGTAACAACATTCCTTCTAATACTAGGCCCACTGCGTCATCAGCCGTTTCTAAGCCAGCACCTAAGCCCTAAGATCAGAGAGATACGAAGATGTATGTACGCGCTCTACACGAAACGTTTATTCCAATTCCATGTCCGTTCAAACACACCCCAAGCGCTGTCTACCACCATTATGACTAACATGGTCCGCAATAGTAAGAGGTACTTTAATTCAGAGGTTGAGCTCACACCACATCCAACACTGTGCCATGCTATCCTGGGCTCTCGAGGCACCAGAGTCAGAACGTCAATATCAGGGTTGGTTCGAGATATAGCCCCATTGCCGTACGATATGCAGCGGCAACTGAAGGCTATATTGAGCTGTAGTTCGCCAACCCCCCACGCACGCACTCTGAAGCCCTGCCTTGCCCTCTCAAGGACGATATCACTGTTGGTGATGCTATGGAGAGGGCTTATTAGGGGTCTACATCACATCCCCGCGGTCGGTGCAGTACCTTGCTTAATAACATCGAAACTGAAGCAATAATCTAGTTAGCGGAATCAAATTATACCTTAGGCGCAGTCCTAGTCATTATTTGAAGCCTAAGACCAACACAAAGCAAATAGAGCAAAGTCCATACTAGAATTTCGATATACGATTCGGATACTGTTCGTCGTCTAGTTTCTTAGAACCACATCAGGTCGAATATTTAATTTCTGGGACATCATCGCCAGACAGTTTATAGAATAAGAATATATGACAACATTATGTATATGATTGCTCGCAAAACCCCAAATGATATATCGCGCCAACTAGATTAGTCCACGGACACAAAACCCGCCTTCCCCCCCGACCCCACCAAGTCAACAAATCTCAAATCATCCCCCGACTCCTCCGATACTCATCAGTTGATACCGCAACCTCCCCACTCAACTCCGCCGGTGGCCCCTGCGGCAACGGCGGCGTCGCCAGCTCCACGGGGTTCGGAATATATGACGTATGCGCGTGGCTGATGTAAGAGTCGCGGCTATTGGGCGAGTATGCGGTGAAATTCTCGCTCTGCGGCGACAGATAGCCCTTGCCCCCCGCCTGTGAGCCGTCGAAGGATTCCGTGTTGCCCGTCCAGCGGGTCTCGGGCTGTTCGGGCTGTGGGGGCGGAGTCTTGGGTCGGCGCTTGCGGCGGAGGTAGAAGATGGCTGCGATGATGAAGGCGAGAAGTGCGGCGCCGCCAATGGCTACTCCTGCGATTCCGCCAGTGCTAAGGCCTTTCGAGCCTGAAGATGTGGCTGCAGCACTCGGGGATTCTGTTGGGGAGGAGGATGATTCGGAGTTGGTTATCGTAGTCGGACCAGATGTCGAGCTGGAACTTTCCGATGGAGAAGGAGAAGATGAAGATGGACCTTCTGAACTAAGGTTGGCGTACGCCTCGCAGTCGGAATTAGGTACGGCCAATGGACACGTTGGGTCCTGACACAGCGAAAAGAGTTGAGGGGCTTGCTTTGGATTCAGCGAGACGGCTGGAGCGCAGCGAATATTGTACCGGCTGTTCATGAGCAGAGCCAACGATTGCGCGTCTGTCGTCGAGAAGCCATAGTACTCGGATGAGAGGGTGAGCTGGTTGATGAAATGTCCGATCTCAGTGAAGTTGAGACTCATGAACTTGTGGACGTAGGCGGGATTGGGGGGTCTTCCAGTTGTAGGGCTAGCAGGTGGATTTGAACATCCAAATATATAGGCGAAGGCAGTGTAGAAATGGCCGAAGAGGCGGCTGTTAGGCATTAGTTAGCATATGATCGATACAATTGCGGTAGGGTTATACGAGGGGGGACATACTATTCATTTGTCGTATTCCTGAGTTCAACAGTCTCTGTCTTGCCGCTCATGAAGTTGACTAGTGGTAGAATACCTCCATCATCGAGCCAATTGATGCCGACAGCTTGGTTGTTTAGGTTCGTCGAGGCAATGCTACCATTGAAAAATGGCAAGAGATTGACGGGAACGCCATCATGAACACCTGGATTGAGGATCCCCGTCAACCCATCCGGGACACTGCCTGACTCGATCGAGGCCGCCGCCGGTCCACCAAAGGCCAGAGAGACTATGCCTTGCATCATTTTGAGCTGGTTCGCCTCGGATGCCGAGCCATATTTGACCTCCGTATAGTAGTCGCATATCGAACTGTTACTTGGTCTTTGTGCGATAGCGACGCCGAGGACCATGAAGTATAGATATATCAGTATCATCGCAATGGCAAAATTCGCGATGAAGTGTCAAAAAAGGAGGTTTTTTGTCGCAATGCATTATGCGCTACGTGGGGGGACAGGCCATTTTGAATGCAACGCCGAATACAAGTGCTATTATAAGACTGGGCTGGGCCGAGACTTTCTCACCTGGGGATCGCCGGCGTGCAGCATGTACAGCCCAGTTCTGAGGAGACAAAAGTAATATGGGGGAATCATTAGCTTCTAGTAGATGCGCTAGTTAGGTATGATAGACTGGTATCGAAACTTTGTGGGAGGGTGCCAATTCACGAGCCACAGAGAAGCTACAGTGAGCATTTTGCTTCTCTCAGCTCCAAGAAAGTAGAACAGTAGAGTACTCCGCAGGGACGGGATGAGGCTTGGCTTGAGTAGTGGCGGAAACTAGCGGTGCCATATATTGACGCTAATATGGTTGGAGAATGCCGCCATAAAGGATACTGGTTGTATTCCCATTCCGGTGGGCATTGCCAAGCAAGTAAGCGGCACGACCAAGATTGTGCGTGTGCTGTATGTAGAGTACAACGTAGGAGAATAGTTGAAACATACACAATATGGCTTACAGGGTATGCTTACTCTGTCTCTTCTGTGGTGTTCTCGGCAGACATATGTAATGCCAATGCATGTTTCCAGGATGCTGTGGTAGGATGCTGTGGTGGGATGTTGCCGTAGGATGCGCCACAGAACAAAATGGGAAAGGTGCAGTCAGCCTTACCCTTGGCAGGTGATCTTATGTGATCTTAACGGATGGCCAAGGAGTAGGGCACATTCAGCCCCAATGACCTTCACGTAAAACCAATAATCATCATCCATCTACTCTTCAGCCACCAACCACCATCCAACTTCTCAAACACCCCCGACTCTATCAGTGCAAACGCATTTTTTCCCCCCTTCAGACACAACACAGCTACCCAGCGTGCTCTCACAGTACGTTCCCTGTCCCCTCTGAGTAGGTGGCAACGAAAGTCCCAGCCCGCCCGACAAACCTACCTGCATATAGAACGCCACAAATAACAGCCTCGTCTAAAGTTCCACACTTAATTCATCGATGTTGTACGATTGGACGTCATAGCGTTCATCCGGCCTCACATGCTGTAGTCATGATTGGAGCCACGTTAGGAGCGAGAAAAAGCATGGCGAGACTTCAGTGAAACAGCTTTAAGAGGGACTGGGCTCGCTCAGCTAGCCTTGGAGGACGAATGCTCTCTCTGGTGTACGCGTTGTCCAAAACTTGATTCTAGAAGCTGTAGTTCACAGTTCACTTATAACTATTCTAGCTTAACCACAGCCTAGTTGTGAATAATGAATATATTATAACATAACTGACAAACAAGTAAATGAAACTTTCTAATATACACGATCACTAAGGCTGGTTCTCCAAGTGCTCAACAGCCGCTACTTTCGTTTCATAATCGTTCTGCCGGGCAAATTCTATGATTTGTGAGTTAGCTATTGAATCGTCCTCGCTATAATAAGTATAGGGTTTAAGCAACTTACGGTCTACTTTAGTATATTTGAACTTTCTTGCTGGAACTTTATTATCAAAGAGCAAGTCAATCTCGCCAAAGGAGCGGTCCTTGGTCTCAGGAAGGCGGAACCAACACCAGATATTGCAGAGGAGATTGGTTCCGGCATAAAAGAGTGCTGATTTTGCGCCCCAGTTCCAGCCTATGGATTGGACGTCAGCATAGGTCAGAATTACTCAAGAGGTTATAGTAGCTTGACCAGGGATTCTTACCAATAGGCGAAAGCATGCGCGGTGTGACGGAATTGGAGAAAATTCCTGTGAGGTTGTATACAAATCTCCCGATGGCTATCGTCTTGTACCTCAATCTCCCTGACGGTGTCTCAGCCACGATGGGATAACAAGCAGGTCCGATAGTAATCATATTGCACAGTGTTGATATGACCAAGAGGATACCAATTGCCATTTCGATGTTCTTTCCACTAGCGAAACCGAGACCACCTATGGTGATGAGACAGACGAACATAAATGTTAGCCCGCTCATATAGATTGTTGCTCGGCCGAGATGGGGAAACAGAAACCAGCAAATTACGCCGCCGACAATGTAGCATGCGGAAAGGGAGATGTTGATGTTGAACGCCTGGATTTCAGAAAACCCCGCAGCGCGGAGAAAGAGGACAGAGTAGCCAAGGATGGCATTGCCGCAAAGGATTTGGGCGGCCCACACTACGCAGTTCTAAAATAAAAGAGAAATAGTCAGTTACACATTCCCGACGCGGCGTGATGGAAAGGGGGCATGATTACTATTTCAGTTCGTCGAAGATTAGTTCCATGGAAACACTCCCAGAAGCTTGCATCACCCGTCTCGGCTTTCTCTAGAGCCGTCGTATGCCTGATATATGCCAGTGTTGCGTTCACTTCCCGCTCTCTATCTGGCGAATCTTCGCGAAGACGCATCAGGCTTTCTCTTGCCTCATCCACCTTGTCTCGCCGGACTGAATTCCAGGGAGATTCAGGGGCGAGGTATGCGCCAATCATTAGAGGGATGGGCCAGACCCATTGGAGGGCGAACGGGAGACGCCAAGCGAGATCGCCCTCAACGCCTGCTACGGCTCGGACGACACCAGAGGAGAGGAGAATACCGGCACCCCAGCACATGCAGACATAGGCGGTGACATACGGTCGGAGGACAGTGGGAACGACCTCGGAAGCGTATGCTGTAGAGAGGGTCTAGATGGTAATAACAATATTAGCCGGGTTACTGCGCTCTGCAAGTCAAGTCGAGGCGTACCTGGAAGACACCCCACGAAATACCACACATCGCCTCCCCAAAGGCTAAGACGGACAGCGACGGCGCAAAAAAAGGGATAAAGATCGTCACTGTCATCCACCCCATGAAAATCATCATGGTTACTCGACAACCAAATCGGTCTTGGCAGTATGCGTTCACCAACAGCCCAGCAAGTTGGCCAACAACAGCTGAGTTAGACAGACCCGATTGCCAGGCGGGAGTAATGAGGTTCGTTCCCGATGTTTCGTCGAATGAGCCAAATCGGTTTTGGAACTGTGACTGGGCGTAAAATGAAGTGATCTGTAGGAGACATTAGGGCGACCATTCTAAATAAACGGAGAAGTCAATCAATGATTCAGGAAGCGCTACTGACAATGACAAGATCATATCCCTCCATAATGAGACTAGTAGACAAGAACATGGCCCAGAAGACAGCCTTCTTATACTTCTTCAAGGCCTGGCGCACCGTCAACTGGCGGTCGGCTGCATCGCTCTCTTGCGCATGGTGGATGAGCTCGATAACCTCAGGGTTGCTCAGGTCAAGTCCTTGGAGCTCATGCTCAGTCGGGACGACCTTTTCTGTTGCCATGGCGACTTGCGTAGCATAAGTTGATTGTCAAAGCTGAGGTGATATAAGGAACCTGAGGAGATATTTGGTATGGTATCGAATAGCTTTTAATTTGGTTCCATCGAGGTGATCATATACTCATGCGTACCCCGCATAGACCTCGTGGAGGATAAGCTATTAACAGATGTTGGATCAGCTATACAGCTAAACCCGCAACGAAGCAGTTTGGTATCCGAGCCATGGGCAGGGCCAAGGCGGCTCGGAGTTCGTGGGGTGAGGTGGAATTTCGTGGGGTTGACGTTTTGTGGGGTAAGCTACACTGGAAGCTAGACTATTAGTGTAGAGCTTGGCGTTCGGGGTGCGGGGTTCCGCTCAATTGGTGCTCCGGTGGGGTGGGGTGAGGGTTGACATTGCGAGGGGTCGAAGTTGGGGTTTTATTACATGGAGACAGCTCTATCCATCACCCACCGTCCACCGAACAGTGGAGCATGTATAAAACATCAAGGCTGGCACGTTTTTTCTATCAAGCATCTGTCATTGGCTCATAAATAATCAGCATAAGCTACTGTAGAGGCGCTACTATATTCTGCCTGAGTTTATATATTCTTCTCTCATACATAATTTTATATCAAGATAGACAGGGCTACCTTCCTCCATCTCAATCATGGCACACGCACACCCACAGACGGCCTTTTCGAATACTACCTTTCCCAAGCCATCTTTCATCAGCCGCCGGCGCGAAATAGTTTACCAAAGCACCCTACTCTACCAACTTGACGTCCTCAAGTCGACAGGCCGCTACGATGCCTTCAAGTTGCAATGGGACCCTTCCTACAACGATAAACCAAACGTGTGGCCAGTCCCAAATCATCTGTTCTGGGACTCCGACGTTGCGAAGTGGATTGAGGGCGCCTGCTACTTTCTGCTCTGGAAACACAACGAGACTATCGATGGCGCTGTGAAGGAGCTGGTTGACATGATCCGCGCAGCACAACAGCCGGATGGGTACCTCAACATCCACTTCACTGTCGTGGCTCCTGAGAAGCGTTTTGTGTGCTTGCGAGATTTTCATGAATTGTAAGATGCCTTGTCCCCACCCTTGAAGATATTGCGAAATTAGTAAGTACGGTTACTGACATGGTTGCGGGCAGGTACAACGCTGGTCATCTCATCGAAGCTGCGCTTGCGCATAACAAGCACTATGGTACCGACGATCTCATGGAGCCAATCCTCAAGTATGTCGATTTGCTACACAAAACCTTTGGTCCAGGCCCGGAGCATAGGCATGGTTACCCTGGACACCCAGAAATCGAACTGGCACTTCTCCGCTTATTCGAACATACACGGGATTCTCGACATCTAGATCTCGCTCGTTATTTCATCGAAGAGCGTGGGAACCCAACTGGACAGGGTGGACGGCACTATTTTGATGTCGAAGCCGAGGAGAGAGGAGAGAGCCCACATGACATGATGGTGTATTGGCCTGCCGAGAGGCCGTACCAGTACTATCAAGCACATGAACCTATCATCGATCAGCCTACCATTGAAGGGCACAGCGTGCGGGCGATGTATTTGCTCACGGCTGTGGCCGATCTCGTCCGGCTCGACGGTTCGAAAGACAACAAGCCTAAGCGAGACGCTCTGGAGCGACTGTGGTCGAATATGGTAGATAAGAAGATGTATTTGACGGGGGGGGTTGGAGCACATAAGCAGTGGGAGGGTTTCGGAATCGATTACTTCCTCCCATCCGGAACCGATGAAGGCGGATGCTATGCCGAAACCTGTGCAGGAATTGGAGTCATGATGCTCGCGGAGAGATTACTTCAGGTGGGTTTCATATTACTGACGATTGTCACGGACGACTAACTTTTGTGAAGCTCGATTTGGACGGGAAAGTCGCCGATATCATGGAGCTGTGCTTTTACAATGCCGTTATGACAGGAATGTCTGCTGACGGGAAGCGATTCACATATGTCAACCAGCTCGCATCGACTGATACTGACTTGTCACAGCGAGCTGAGTGGTTCACTTGCGCTTGTTGTCCCCCTAATGTCACTCGATTGTTTGGGTACGTTGGCGGATATCTGTGGACCTCGAAAGTGGACGATAGAAGTTTATCCGTGAACGTCCACATGTACTCCTCGGCAACGCTATCTGTCGATGTTGGGGGCGCCACAGTCGAAATCGAGCAGGTGTCAAACTGGCCGTGGGAAGGGAAGATGGAATTTGCTGTTAGGAATGCATCCGATGTGCCGACGACAATCAACCTCCGAATTCCCGGTTGGGCAACTGAGTGGACGGTGCGTCTCCGAGAACAGATACCGAGCAATGCTAATCCGTTTCCAGATATCACCAGACTTACCTAGCCCTCAAGTTGTGAAGGGATACTTAATGCTTCCTGCGGATTGGCTCAGGGATAATCCGAACTTCACACTCAACATTCCTTTGAAGTCGAGATTTGTGTCTCCGCATCCGTACACGAATCAGGACATCATAGCGCTGGCGAGAGGGCCTCTGGTTTACTGTCTTGAAGACGTCGATAACCCATGGGTGAATGACCATTTTAAGAGCCTTGTTCTTGATCCTGCGGCGGCTATTTCTGAGACTGAAGCGTCAATTCCAGGGACGGGAGAGCCATATGTCGCATTGACCGGGCAGAACTGTGCGTCTTTCCTCAGCGTTGATGCAAGTCTCGCCCCGCAATTGCCTCGTGGATCTACCACACAGGAGAGTGATGTAAAGGTCGACAAGCTAAACTTTGTTCCTTACGCGCTGAGGGACAATCGTGGCGGAAAGGGCCATATGCGAGTAGGAATGAGGAGGTTGTCATAGTAGCTAGAATAGTACAGTACACTCTGAACATAGAATAGACTTGCTTGCGGTTGTTAAAACTCAAATTTGTCGATGTACCGTGACGCGTGACTGACGACAGAATCGTTATCGTCACGATATTCGTAGAAGCTCTTATCCGGCCGGAAAGGAAAGCAGGGTCCGTCCGATGTGGGGTCGTCGGGGGACCCGCTTACACAACTGTAGATGTTAGAATGCGGGGTAACTCCGGTGGGGTTACCTACCAAGCATGGGGGTGCCATTCAGGGCAACAACAGCTTGAGCGGCAGATCCGGGGCCTGGGCGGTACTCGAGCACCACCAAATCTACCCCGGTTACATGCAATGTGTGCGCGCATTTCCCCTAATACACCATTACAGAACTCTAACAATACCGTTCGAGTGCCGTTTTGATGTCAACCCTGTCAACTCTACCTGGCACGTGAGACAGAGGCAGAACGAGACAGTATATGCTGGTCCCTTCCCCCACAGGAACCCGAAGACTCTATCTCCAACCCCTACCTAAACGACTAAACGACTACCAATCGCCCTTATAATTGGTGATTGTGACTGGTAGACCGTGCCGGACATGGGTAAGCAAGCTCTGGAGGCCCGCCTCTGAACTCCTACTCCATTACTAACTGGTCTATCCATGATAGATCAGAGCGCTAGACTCAGCATAAACGCTCTCGATGCGGCGCAGAGGAGCCACCTAGAGCGGCCCTTCAAGTGCCTCGAGTGCCACTATGCATTCCGACGCGTCGAGCATCTCACTCGCCACGCGCGTAGTCACAAGACTGAGCGATACCTGCAATGCAGCTACTGTCGCAAGGGCTTCTACAGACTGTAAGTTGGGTCAGCTTCAGTTCTGTTTCATCGAAGCACGTGATATTATCGGTCTAACAGCTAGCCGCAGCGACGCCCTGAAGCGCCATGAGAAGGTTCACTCCGAGCCCAAGCGTAGCGCGCTTGGAAGGGGGGCTCGAGCATGCCTTTCCTGCGCCGCGTCACGGACAAAGTGCAGCGGCCAGACCCCGTGCTCAACCTGCGAGAGGCGCTCCCTCGAGTGCCAGTATCCCGCGGCGGGCAAGAGCCGGCCGGAGAATCTGACCTCAACTCCTGAGGAAGCGTCGAATGGCTCGAGCGCCGAGCATATGGTAGCGAGTCCCCATGGATCGATCATGTCCTGGTCCAATGCCTCTCAGTCGCCGGTTGCCTCCAAGGGCCTTGACATTGGTTACCGCCCAGTCGTTGGTGACCAAGCTGGTGTAGGTGAGCATACTTTGAACCCTAAGAGTGGTGCTGAAATCAGGTACAACGGCCACTCTGCGCAGAATGGCCACTTATTTGATAATCCAATATCTCCATTGCGAGCCCAACTCCATGTTGCAGAGTCTCAGTCGCCAATGAACATCTCATCTCTAATTTCTGAAAATCAGACAATTTTCAGCTCTAATAACCCCCCACTGCCTAGCAGTCCTAGCTTTCAAAATACGGCAGTCTCCCAGCCTCCAAATACACAGAATGATTACCACGGACCTACCCAAGCCACGGAGCCGTGGTATCAAAATGGTTTCTCGTCCATAAACTGGCTGTCAGATGCTTGGACACCAGACTTCCCTATGGAGGACAGAGACGCGGGCATCGAACCATTTGATCAGAGGCCTTCTCATCTTCTCGGGAATGCACCTGGAATTGGCGCTGTGAGTTGTGCTATGACATATGAGAACGCAGCATTACACATGTCATCACCCCAAGAACGGAGTTCCCCTCACAGTTACCCATCTCCGATAGGGAATCAAGGCGCCGAAAGGTCACAAAGCACACCGTCTGCTGGCCACTTCTATATTGATGGAGACGGTGCGCGGCTACCTCGAGTCCGTAAGGCACCATATAGGACCGAGTCATTTACACCTACACACCACCATGAGAATGCAATGCATGGTGACGGATTCATCTTCCCAGAGGTTAGCGAACGTCTCGAGAACTCCACCCCCAACATCAAAGAGCTCCCGCACACAACATATAATGAGATTCTTCGAGTATTCAAACAGACGTGTATTATAAGTACACATTACTCACCGTTTGCAAGAGAAACGTTTCCCCCTATTAGAATTTTCAGCCAACTGGTTTTCCTTTATTTGGATAATTTCCAACCAATTCTCCCTTTTTTACACCATCCCACGCTCGATTTATCGACAATGCACTGGCTGCTAGTATTGTCTTTGGCCTCAATCGGAAGCCATTACATGGAATCCGAAGACAATGGTATTTTCATCGTTGCCATGCATGAATTTACACGTCGTGCAATCCAGACTGTTGTAAGCTCCAATTGCTAGCCACTCCATCGATTAAGTGAAGCCCTGACCATTCTTGTGAACAGATTGAAGCCGACGATGGTGCAAGACCTGACGGGCTAGTTTTAATACAAGCTAAGCTACTTAACATTATTGGGATCTCGTATGGTGGTGACACACGTCTGAAGAGATTTGTTAGTGCATACCAAAGCGATTTTAATTATTTCTGCTGCAGCGAATGGGCTTCATCAACGTCGCCAACCGGCTCTGATCTGTCTGGAAATTTAGCCACGGCAAGCAATGGCTGGAAAATTTGGTACAAGGAAGAAAGTCGTCGCCGGACTGGATACTGCGTATGGGTACGTTTACGTGGCAAGCTTAGCGGGCCAACTAACAAGCGATTTTGTAGATGTTAGACTGCATGTCGAGCTTTCACTTTAGAGCACGCTCAGTCCTGACCTTGGAAGATGCCAGAGTTCCCCTACCGTGTCAGGAAGTCCTTTGGGAGGCCGAGTCCGCACTTGACTGGCAGCAGCTCTACGGAGCCTCTACACGTAAGAAGCCTACCTCCCGAGGTCAACTCTAGGCTAGAATGCTTACGAAGCCTTAGCAAACCCCTCACTACATGCCGCCATCCAACTCGCATACGTGGAGAAGCATCTCCAATCGTCTATGGGCGAATTCAGCCGTATCCTCTGCATTCATGCCCTCTTCCGGCGAACCCATGAAGTAGCAGCCTTCTTCCAGCAGCCCCTCACTCTCTGGAGCCCGAAAGCAGAAAAGCAGAGTATAAGCATTATAGAAAAGTCTATGCCTGTCTGGCTCCCTGGTATTTCGACATATGCCAAATGGCGCAACTCGGCCTGCGACGTCCTCGACATCCTACACTGGCATGCTAACAGCGTCATTGGTGTCGCTTCTGGGATGGAACACCCCACGGTCCTACATCTCCACCTCGCCCGCGTCGTCCTCCTCACGCCATTGAGTCACATTGTGGGTCTGGCTAGCTTCCGCGCCGGAGAAGCTATACCAGCATCCGATGCTGAGTTGGCTAGCATGCAGGACTACGTCCGCCGCTGGGCGCAGGAGGACCAGTATAAAGCGCGCCTGGCCATGATCCATGCAGGGGTGCTATTTTGGCATGTACGCCGCTACTCAGCCGACGCGTTCTACGAGCCGGCCGGGGTGTTCCTCGCTACTCTCGCGATGTGGGCGTATGGGACATTTGCGACTTATACACCAGCGTTGAAAGACGGGGAGTCGCCCGAGGACGAGGACGACGTGGACGCATTGTTTCCAACGTTAATGCGGTTGGATCGGCCGGCAGATGATGAGTTGGTTCAGCTGTTTGTGAAGAAGGGTGGGGGAATGCGTGCAGTTGTTACGGGGGTGGGGAATCTGTGTGGCGCGCGGGGACCAATGCGCGTACTAATCGAGGGGCGTAAGTTGTTGATGGAGTTGAAAAGGTGGGGGGATAGTCGGAGGGCGGTCGGGACTCTAACCGCACTCATAGAATGGTGCCAGCAAGGTGCTTCCAGTTAGGATCTGTCTTTTCTGGTAGATATCTTGGAGAATGTCCGCGCCTATACTCGTGCGCCTATAATACCATATCATAATACGAACAGTGGGTTTTCGTATTCACTGAACTCAAATGGTCTCTTTCCATGTATATGCCACTGCAGTCTCTTGCCATTAGAAGCATGCCATGAATATAAATAATTGTGGTACAGTGCGGCGGCGAATACGAAGCATGCGTTCCTCCAATATACAAACTTAGTCTACAGTCTAGACTTTCTCAGGAGAACTCAGCGAGCAGTAACAAATATATCAGTAAGTAATACAATACTTTCGGTGCTTCTGATTGGACTACTACTGCTTGAGTTCGCCGCACAAGAGCTTCGCCAAGTGAAGCCGGAACCCAAGCGACGAATTAGCTGCCATCGCCTCGCGTCGGTTATTTTAACACTTGACCTTACTTCCCCCACTTTCCTTTCACTATGGTTTCGACATCCAATAGTTTACTAGGGAGCACCTGTCGTCGCCTCATCGCGTCGATTAAACTAGTTGCACCGGCAGAGCGGCGAGTTTTGCAAGTGTGACTACAGAAGCCTCACTGTCTGAAGGGTGGCGAGCCAGGCTCCGAGGTGCCAGAAATATTACCAATGCTAAAGACTATTTTGCTTTACTATTTATACTAGTTGCAAACATGCAAGTGACACTCGTAATAAGCATAACAGCGTACGTCGCCATTTATATTTAATAACTTAATTATTTTAAATATTCCTTTCAGTGAGACATTTATCTGACACCGATTTGAGCCACTGTTGCACATTTCTATAATCAACTTTACAGAGCAATTGGTATTTGCTCTCTGTTACACTATAAAAACATGGCGAGCCATGAATCTCTTCTTCCCCTTAGACTCATCACTATCATTGGCTCTCTTAATGCAGACATAACAACCTATACTTCGAGGATACCTAGCGGCGGCGAAACACTTCATGCCAGATCAGTCAAGACTGGCGCAGGAGGAAAGGGCGGTAACCAAGCAGCGGCATGTGCAAAGCTGTCGAGAACAAGGAATGATGTAAACAATGGCTCAGCAGACATCCGCATGATTGGCGCAGTAGGAAACGACCAGCATGGGCAGCTTCTACTAAACAACCTGCGCGCTAGCGGCGTCGATATATCCGGCATCACGATACAAACCGAAATTGAAACGGGAGTGGCAATTATTCTTGTCGAAGAATCAACAGGCGAGAATCGAATTCTTCTTAACGGTGGAGCAAACTACTCTCTCTCACCATCACTATTTGTCACGATCCCCAATCCAAAACCATCGCTATTAATTCTCCAACTCGAGATACCGCTTCAGACAACACTGCAGATCCTGAAGGCAGCACGTGAAGCAGGCATTGAGATCCTACTCAACCCCGCCCCCGCAATCGAGCTTCCAGCAGAGGCATACGCCAATTTACGGCACTTGATCCTGAATGAGACAGAGGCATCAATCTTATCAGGTTACAGCGTTGAGCAGATCAAAAACGATAGTCTTTTGCCGATAGCTGCACGAGTTTTTCACTCCAGAGGCGTACACAACGTAGTGATCACGCTAGGAAGCCAAGGGGTATTCTACTCCCAGGACGCAGGCCTCTCCGGATTTGTCAAAGCAAAGAAAGTCGAGGTCGTGGACACGACTGCGGCGGGAGATACGTTTGTTGGAGCGTATGCGCTGGAGGCAGTGAAGGTGGATTTCGACATCGATGTTGCAGTGCGAAAGGCAAATGCCGCCGCTGCAAAAACAGTTGGCAAGAGAGGGGCGCAGGTGGCAATCCCTTGGGCAGATGAAGTTGGCCCCATATGAGAGTTGTACTGGAAATATAGAGCTTGATAAAGTACAAACAACACTGCTAGTTGTACAGGTGTGTTGTACTGGTGTCTCTTCCATTTCTAATACTTCTGGTATTGTGTCATCGTAAAACACACAAGCTATTTAAACAATAGCAAAGCACGAATCGAATATCTCGTGCATGACAGTTCGCACATCGATCCTCTGCCTCTGTGCGTCTTGCCTCGCCTGTACCTCATTAAGCACCTGAGCTGTGATATTCGCATTCGTGGCCACCGTCTCCATCGTTTTTATTTGCGTTGTAATCCATAATCTCTCCTCCGGGTCGTCTTCTTCGCAGCCCCACATGAGCAAAGGCCATAGCATATTAACAGGAAGCATATCCCGGGAAGGATCCTGTGCTACAGGTTGTAGCTGGACCATGTCATGCGCTGTATTTCGAATATTGGCGATGGATTTTAATGTTTGTGGAGATAGCGGAAGGTGTTTATATGCCACACGGTGGAGGTGAATATGAGACGCATGGTAGTTAGCAAAGAATGTCCGAAATGTTCGTGTCAAGGTGTAGGCCAAGCTTGCTGAGACGTGTGGTGCAGCCAGTTGTCCTGTTAACGTATAGTCCATAAGTGGTGGGCGAGCTTCCCATAGCGTCCCAAGGTCATGGGAAATCTTATCAGCAACTCTCATCACCTCTGTCTCATCTGCTACGGTCCCTCTTGAACGATGCCAAGGGTCGATATTTGAAATACGACCCATGAAAGATTGTATTTTTTGGAAGAAGACAAAGCCAGGTTGATAGAGGGATTCAAAAAGAACATCCTCGATGTCAGTCTCACCCAGAGCTTCGTGATTACTGCTGTTGCTTCCTGCTTCTAGACCGTCGGTGAATGAGGGTGAAGGCTGTGTAAGGACATCGTTATCTTCTGCGAGAAAAAGCCCCTCGCCACCAGTAGTAGCGGCCCTTGCATCTAGGAGACGTATCCAAGAAATGAGGCGCCTAGTGACCGTTCGAGACTGAACATTGCCAATCTGCTGGAAGATACTATAGGCTTCTTTAAGATTATCGTGGGCATTGGCTACTCTGCTCTCCAGCAGATCAATATAGCTAAGAAAGAACAGGACTGCAAGCATCTCATCAAACGAAGCTGGCGATGCAGCATCCTTCCCAAGCAACTGCTCTTTACGTGCCCTTAATAGTTCAGCTTTAGCACGTTTGTAATACCGATGGCGACTTAAATTGTGGGCGGTTTGAGTTCTCTTCATGAGAAGGTCTGAGAAGGCCAAGATTGCATTGTGGACCATGCTAGAGTTCGTTGACATAGTGATAAGTATTTGACGCGTGGATGACCACTTCGACTGGGTCTCCACTTGCGCAATAATTGGCGGGACGACTGTTTGGGCGAAATAATCCTTCAAGATATCCTCCTCAGAAGTGTCTTCATCGCCTCCTGAGTCATTCCATGCCATGACTAGATTTGTTTCAGCACGCGCAGGGCCTATATCAGGGATAATCCTCTCGTGATTGAAGTTGGGACGATTTGAGAAGGTGGATGACTGTTCCATCGGCCTTGATGCCTCCTAAAGCATGTTAATATCGTATAGATTGGGCAATCTTTCCAAGGTTTAATACATACAGCCATGATGCCTTCTGTAACACCGCTTGCACTCGAAATGCCCCAGTCATTCCAACTGTCCTGGACCATGCTCCTCTGCAGCTCGTGATCCCACATGAAGTTAGCATAGCTGAAAGTATCGTTAAAATCACTATTGACTGTAGCGAAGTTATTATTATTCCGAACAAAGGCGTTCGGAGTTTCAGTAGATTGTCCAACATCGGAGTAGGGCAAAGTCCTTTGGTCTGTGGCAGTTTGTGGTGTATGTTGCCGCTGGTTAGCTGAGAGTGGCGCAATTGGTCTCCAGAGACATTCTAGATTCAGCCGCTCGCAGTGTGAGCATCGAGGCTTTTGCTCATTACATCTCACTCTCCGACGACTAGCTATTGCTTAGTATAACTATTGTGAGGGCATCAATTGGTACATACCGACATGTGAGACAGCCAACTTTAGATCTAGGAAGCCGGCGAGAAGGTCCAGAGCCCGCCCCAGAGCCCGCCACAGAGGCTGCCTCGGAAGCCATACCAGCGTCAACACCGGGGTGTATGACGAGAGATGGTTAAGTAATATACCGTATATTAAAAAGTATATTAGAAACCAATGTCAGATCCATTGCTGGACACGTCAAAGCTGATTTCGTCTCCTTTGGGACGTTTTAAATCAGCACAGGATCCAGAGGTTCTTGCGCATAAGTTACTGTCATCTAGCGTTGAATGTTCCAGTGTACGTACGGCTGCTCGCTAAGACATACTACGCAAATGTTTGTCGACGAGCGGTACTCTTGGCAAACTGCTGGCACCAGCAAATTTGTATGGTATAAGTAATGCGGGGTAAGTACCTACCCCAGATTATTCAACGTAGCGATGGAGAATAGAAAGTAGAAATAGAACCATATTGGAGACGGTATTCTCCGAATCAAGTCATATTATATTCTATGTTAAGGTAGCTATTCTAACACTTTAACTGTTCTATATGCTACAGCTGCTGTCCCTGGGCCAGACCCAGAGTAGGAGTGCCGAGGGATGGCGACTAGTGGCGGTAGCCATGGCGCCCCTCTTTTCGCCGAGCACGGAGTGAAATCTCAACAGTTAGCAAGTGTCTTTTCCCGCTCTTCGAGGGGCTTCATAATCTCTGTGATCCAAGCCTGCTTCTTGGCGTCGCTGAATCGTGGATATGGTCTGCGCGTGTGACAACTACTCTCTGGATACCCAAGGTACTGAGCTACTACCCATTTAGTGCCGTTGATGCCGCCTTTTGCAAAGCCCCACTCAACCGCGGCCAGTTCGTTTTGGGCCTTCGTAGCCTTTTGAGTTGTGCCTTCAATTGATAGATTATAGAGTTCTATGCAGGTCTAGACAGGTATGAGGTTTAGTGGAAGTAATATTGGGCTCGAAACCAGATGAAACTTACTCTAGGGTAGATGTTGGCAAGACCTGTAATGGTTCCAATGCCACCGACAGAGACTGCTGGCAACAACCAGTCACTTTGACCAGCCAGTGCACAGAACTGTTCTGGAGAGAATTGGTTTCGTATCCGAGAAACTTTAGCAATACCACCACATGTCAACTTGACTCCCACGATATTGGGATGTTCGCCTAGCTTTGATAGCATCTCCGAGTTGACATCGAGGCCAGCTGCGACTCCCGGGAAATTGTAGATGAGTACAGGAATAGGACTCGCGTCGGCAAGCTACAAATTAACGCAGTCAGTAAATGGAGTCAGACACATATGACCGGCTACATACTTCCTCAAAGAATCCCACGATCGCATCTTCGTTCATGGCAAAGTGGAAATAACTCGGCACCAAGACGAGTGCAAAATCAGCGCCAGAATCTTTTGCCAGTTGTGTATCCTCAATCACTTGTCTTGTCGATCCTCCACCACATCCAACAGTGATAGGCAGTTCCGGTCGACCCAACTCAATAGCTTGGTCGCGTGTTGTCTTAATAAGTTGAGCTTTCTCGGAGGAGCTGAGCGTTACCGCCTCTCCATTGGTACCGGCGATGACAACTGTAAGAAGTCAGATTTCAAGTCCCCAGAGTTTACTCAGCGCAGAGAACATACTGCCGTGTAATCCTGACTCAATTAGAAAGCGGATGTGCCTTGTTTGCACTTCCCAATCAATCTCTTGAGTCTTGTTGTCGGCAAACCATGTCAAGCTGGGGACATGGACTCCAGGAGGAAACGCTTTGCCTACGGCCTGTGCATCTGTTCCATTCGTTCCGTTGAGTTTAGAGACTGCCATGATGTTCGTTATTGAAAGCAAGATATCTTAGTACAGTTGATATAAAACTAATTGGTCTTCGTATGTATGAAAGTGATGATGAAGAGTCAGAAGTGAGCCAGGAGAGAATATGAAATAGTTCAGCTTTAATGATTGCAGGTGAGTATTAAACGATAATTCAGACCATACGTAGTCGTCTCTCGTCAGCCCTTTCTTTCACACCTACATGTTGGGTGTCCCCCCACCCCCACCCCCACCCCCCACCATCCCTCGTGAATGATCGCAGTGACCTGCTACTTTGAAGTTCGTAGATATCCACTTTTAGCAGGCAATTTTGGTGAAAAACCGTAAATATGAAGTTTTAACTGGCGGTCGCGTTTTGTTAAAATGGTAATAGGTAGTCATGATCATCCATAGGGATGAGGGGGGAGAGGGGTGCGGGGTACATAGTGCGGGGAAGTTTTCCCCAGGGCGACGCGACGCGACGCGAGCCACTGTGCGGGGTATTCATCGAGTCCCTTGTGGTCGCGTCGCTCACTGCCAACGGTTCTATCCTCGTCACTACAGGTCTGGGTATTTTTCTTGGTGGCGACTCAGGTGCATCAATCACGCAGATACTCCTCAATGTCGTGAATGGGGAGCGAAGCGCATAAATTGGATTTATTTGCGTTGTTAGGTATTACGTAGAATTTAGCGGGGAATTCAGCCTCACAATTACGGACTCATGAAGCGACAGGATTAGGGATGTGATCGTAGGCCAATATCTAGCGGCACCATTGTAGTGGAAGACGTTACGCTGATAAGACAGACACCCCAAACTACTAATGTCGTTGGTAGAGGAAGTAGGTGTAGGGAGTTGAGCACATCAGAGAGAGTATGCCCCAGGAATGGCTATTGCGGCATGATAAGCTTGACTTAATAATAAACTCAACATTTGCTGCGTATAATAAAACAAAACCATTCCCTTGTTGCCCTCGCCATACTACATTGATAGTACCACAATATGGGCCTACAACTTCAAAGTTTTCGTCATTAGCCTATTTAAAAATCTCGTAGTAACTTGGCAAAGGGTCTCATTCCACATATTAGAAAAGTATATTGCGTTAAATATGAGCATTAGGTAGAAGCTATATAATTTTGCCCTAAAACTCTCACTGGAGTATCATTTCTTAAACCTTCTCATCAACATTCTCAGTCTCTTCTACACCTGCCTTGTCTTGGTTCATGTTGGTATAGCGGCGGCTGATCGAGGTATGTGGTATCCCGACGCGTTCGCTACTATGATAACCGCTGCGAAAAGTTAGTAAGTTTTTTGCAGAAAGGGATCGGAGAAAGACATACAAAATCAGGTCCATCTGGTCGATCGTAAGACCCTTGGTCTCGGGCAGGAGGAAGAATGCCCATGCCGTGCCAATTAGCATCCAGGCGGCAAAGAAATACCAGGTGCCAAAGCCAAAGGAACTAAAAATATAGGGTAAGGCCTTGGTGATAGCAAATTGGGTAGCCCTGCAAAACAAAAAATTGTTAGCTTCTCCTTCAAGTTCGCACGGCTTAACTTGAGCTTCACTTACCATTGCACAAGAGCAGTATAGGTTCCAGATAAGTTTCGAAGAGCACCAGGAAAGATTTCGGCGGAAACGATCCATGGGATACCATTCAAACCGAAGGACCAGCTAGGCTCATGATTAGCAATCAAGTTTGGAGAATGGGATGGCCCACTTGAACCTACAAGAAGGCATAGATCATAATCATTCCTGTCGCGGCTTTGCCGCCGGCAGCCGTAGATGCAGACAATACACCTCCTTCTTTGATAATAGAAGCTGGGTGGCCGATTTTGACATAAGAACCCACAATCCACAAACAGAGTGAGCAGACAAAACATGAAATAATAACAGGGCGACGTCGTCCAAGCTTGTCAATAAGCCCGACGTAAAATATAATCGAAGCAATGGCTAGTATTTATATTAGAAATTTGCATGGGTTTAAATGGATTGGATATAAACCTTTGACCAGACCATAGATGCCAGTATAAAGTGCAACATCAGTAATTCCTAGGGATCCGAATAGCGTTGGAGAGTAGTAATTAATCGCTAACTAGATATTAGTATCCAGATTATTTATCTGAAAGAGAACTGAAAGTCAAACATACCTGATGCACCAGAGAGATTTGCCAGAGAGAAAGCGCAGAAGACGAGAAAGAGCCGATTTCTCATACCCTTCTGGGAGAACTCATCCATGGCACCCCTGAAAAATGCCCAGGCACCGGTCCCGTACTTGCCCGAAACGGCTGCCTCTTCCAGAAGTCTTGAGCGAATGGCAGAAAGCTCCTCTTGAATATCTACAGACATTAATTTTAGCTACAGTTGAAACCTGGTAAGACTTACAAGGATCCTCCAGAGGCAGCTTTCTCAAATCCACCAGAGACTTGTGAGCCTGTTCGAGCTTATCCTTGCGCATGAGCCAGAGAGGACTTTCATGTAGGAAAAATCCTCCTATGAGAAGCACAACTGATGGGACAAGCTGAAAAGCCATCGGGATTCTCCAGCTGTTCGGCGAGCTGGATGACATGTTTTGAGTAATTCCATAATTGATCCAGAAGCCAATGACGGAACCAATCTGGTAAGCAACTTCAAATAAGCCAGTGAGCATTCCTCGGATGGATGGAATGGATAGCTCGGCAATGTAACTGGGGACAGTCGCCGTGATAGCACCGCAACCCAGTCCTGTGAGAACCCGTCCCACATCTACGTTAATCATTAGTAAATACTTGCTAATTGAGGGTGTCAGGGGGGCTTACATATGAACGAGAGCTGGTTAGTTGCAGCGGTCATCAAAATTGAGCCGATAATGAAGACGACGACGTTGATTTGGAGAGCCCATTTCCGGCCAAGACGCTCGGTAACTAAAAGAGAAAGAGGATTAGGGATTATAGCGAACGTGAATTTGAATAGGACTTACTGAAGAAACAAAAAAGAGCACCGAAAAAGGCGCCAGCTTGGAAGGCAGAGGTGATGTTACTGGATATAGAGTTGGCTGTGGCAGCAGTTATGCCGAAGTCATTCTTGAAACTAGTGCGGGAGATAGTGGTTCCAATGAATGCAGAGTCATAGCCAAATCTGTAAGATGAGGTCATCAGTAAGTGGAGGAGTGGAGAATGTGTCGAACTCACAGTAGAGATCCAGTAGCAATAATGATGGCTTCGGTATAGAGGCGCCAGTTATAAACCTCTTTGGGCGTAGGCCTATCTTCAGCAGCACGAAAGCCACCCATGATGAACAACGTACAAAAACACTGAAGGGTGGAAGAGATGATGGTACAGCAGTGTTGATAATGGTAATTCTCAAGATTGAAAATTCATAGTCGAGTGGTTCAAGCTGGGATTTTCAGATGCAGGAATCGACGGCATTTGTAACCAGCAGTCAAAATGCACAGACATACTAGATTTGAATTGTGGAGTGCCGAGTCTGCAGTCAGGAGCCCAAACCCGGGATATGGGGTATGGAGTATGGAGTCTGGAGTCCGGAGTATGGGGTAGACGCCGCCATGTGGTCAGGAGGCGCGCGGAAGGGAGTGGGGATGAAGATAGCGAGGCGACGCGAGGCGATGCGAGGCGAAAGAACACCAAAAAAAGGGTGACGAGACAACAAGCTAGACCAGCACGAGCTAGACTTACCGACTATGAGGTCTAACATCTACTAGTAACCACGATCGGTTAGTGTAAATAATTCCTACAACACTTGCTGGGCCCACCTTTCTTTGGCCGGCATTTTACTGGGACGGGATGTGGAAGATGATATAAACCGCCCGTTCGGGGTCGCTTTTCCTTACGCAATTGTCTCCTCCAAACACCTTGGCCTGTGAAGACCGGCCCATGAAGCAACAATGTTAACCGGCGCTGAAGTGGCGGTCCACTCGTCAAAGGAGTCATGTTGGATCGTTATCGGTCTCCAAGTATACGATATCACGGCGTTTCTCTCTCAGCACCCCGGAGGCGCTAATATCCTGCTGAGGAATGCAGGCACCGTATGTCACACGTGGTTCCACTGCCACCCTTCCTTTGCTTTTCGTTAGTTCATATTGATAAATTTATCGCCAGGATGCAACGGCGGCGTATGTACCATTCCCCAGACTACGTAGAGCAGCTCCCAGCTGGCAGCCATTTAGGTCCTCTGGATCCAAATACGGCAAAGGATATGGCACTGGCTAAGTCAACCTCGACCCAGTCGGTCCCAACTGGTGAGGACAATACACCTCCTCATTTATCTCTCTGTGTAAGAGTCTCGGACTTTGAAGCGCCGGCCAAGGCTATCCTCTCCAACAAGTCTTGGGTTTACGCCTCTGCCACCGCTAACTCGGGCCAATCCATGAGACGTAATCTGGATGATTGGTCCCTCATATCTTTCCGCCCACGTGTTCTATGAGACGTGGAGACCATCGACATGCGAAGGTCCATCCTTGGCCATGCCTCACAATATCATTTTTTGTATCATCCATGGGAACCTTGGGCTCGGCTCACTCGTCTGCAGAATTTGGCTTGGTGAAGGGAGTCACACCTAAAGGGGTGCACACTGTGATCAGCACAGCTTCGTCCAAGCCAGCCGAGGAAATCATGCAGACTCTTGTGGACCAACAGAAAGGGCGTAGTGTCGCCGCTCCTGCACAATTATACTTCCTGCTCTACATCTCCACCGATCGAAATCGAGCCAAGGCTCTCATTCAGAAGGTGAAAAGGGCAGGTTATAAGGGCCTGTGGATTACTGTTGACGCTCCTGTGCTTGGTAAACGCACCGCGGTACCTTCAAGCACAAGAAGCCCTGGAATTGGGCGTCGAAGAAGAAGCCAAACCTATTGTCAAAGAAGCGTGAGGTGAGAACAGCTTCGCGCCAGCGTTTGGAGGTAGGGCAGTGCCAGGACAGTTAAGCTCTAGCCTGACATGGAAAGATTTGAAGTGGATCAGAGAAGAATGGGCTGGGCCCATCGTTCTCAAAGGAATCCAGTCCGCAGCGGATGCCAAATTAGCTGCTGCATATGGATGCCAAGGTGTTCTCCTGAGCAATCACAGAGGAAGACAGAGCCATGGATCTCCGAGTTCCCTCCTAACTCTTCTAGAGATCCGTACCTATTACCGCGAAGTTCTCAGCAGTATTGAAGTCTTTGTTGATGGAGGTCTTCGTGATGGTGCAGATGTGCTCAAGGCTTTGTAGGCTCCGGATGATGCCTCGGTCTCGAGCAATCATCAAATACAATACTACTGAGCTATCGCGTGCGGATACTAGAGCCGATGTTGAGAGGTCTTGCTTACTTCACTCGAATCGGTGCTGGTTCAGACTTGCTTCAAGGGTGGCGAGTTTCTCATATTAACGACCTGCGCTGTTCAACTACAACTACAACCACGACCTCACCGCCCATTACTCAATTTCCTCCCAGCGCTCATCCACTTTATCAAAGGATACAGATTCCTCGGCCCATTCATCGTGGAAAGCCTCAATAGCTATCTCCCGGCTCTCCATTCTCTCAAACAACTCCCTACAAGCCTTTTTACTCTCCTTCAGCTCCTCCTCCGTTGGTCGCCTCTTCCTCCCGCCTTCCCCCCCGCCTTCCTCCTTATCATCATATGCAAGATCGAGCACGAAGCTCAGCCTTGTGAGGTTGGGGAGGTACTCCGGGTTTGCGAAAGCCTCGAGCCATTTGTTCCAATGCTCTGATTTGGCGAGGGAGACTGAACCGCGGAAGCGAAGCGTGGAAATGTTGGGGGGAACTGCTTATAAAACAGAGGGAGGAAATCGGCCTCATCGAATATGTCGCCCACGGTGAACACAAATGTTTTGAGCTCGGTAAGCTGGGGCAGAATCTCGTGGAACATCTCCTTCGGGGTGAGCTGGAAGTCGTGTCCGTTCGACGAGCGAAGATTCAGCGTCTTCAAGTTCCCCACAATGTACGGTAGGGCAAGGGTCATGCGCGTGAAGGTGTCAAGGGCGTCGTTCTCGAGAATCTCCAGGATCTCCATGTAGACGAGCTCTGGAACTGGAGTTTCCGGATCAGACGAACGGCCGGGGTTGGTGTATTTGTCTTTTAGCCAGTCGAAAGCAAGACTAGGCAACGACACAATTTCGACTTTGTGTTCTTCTGGCGTGCCCTCACGCACTGTAATGTAATTCGCCTCCGCCTCGCCTCGCTCAATAGCTTCCTTGTTTGCGCTTGAAAGTTCATTCGATGTCGGCCCTTCGAAACGCAATCCTGAAGTGAGGAGAAGGATGAGGTGCTTAACTCGTCCTTCTAGTATGACGGGGCTGCGAAACCTCTCGCCGCATGAAGAGCTGACTAATAAGCGTTCAAGCGGCCAATTTGTTGGGATGGGCCCGTCATTCAACTCTTCATTGAAGTCAGCTTCCATTTCTAGATTCTGGACGTCACTGAAATGGTCGCTTATAAGTCTCCATTCTGTGTCAGAAGGCGTATCATCGTCGATTTTTAGAGATTGGATATCCTTTCGTGCATTTTGCAGTTGACTGAGTAGCGCCTCCTTGTGGCCATCGTCGTCTTCCTTGTGAGGGCCTTGGACCTCGAGCGTGACAGAATCTTGCCATCTCGACATGTTTTTTAACCTTGCAGCAGATCTGTGGATATCACTGTTAAATCTGATACCTCCGTCACAGTCGATATGATGCCGTCTTATGGAAACTCCAAACAAAGGCGAGACACGCTGGAGAAGCCTGTTGGTGTTACTTCTGAGTACGATTGAGGTTGAACTTGTGCGCGTCACGAGGCTTGCCAAGAAATGCTAGTTGGTAGTTCGTCAATACAAATCACCACAGGAAGCGGTGGACAAACCATTAATGCTACAATTCTGTGCCAGCTGTCAATGATCCCAATTAAATCTGATTGCAATTATGTTGTTATTAGTTCAGCAGTTCGGGAAGGTCGTCCTAACCAGGCTGGTGGGCAGGTCAGGACCAGTGGTTGGTAGCCTAATCGCCGCTAAGCCTTATCGCGGCCAAGGGGTCTCAGCATCCCAGACCCCAGACAGCGGGACGGACCATTGGTAAGGTCCGCCATCACCAAGTCTGATCGAATTGATTGTCCTTGCTAGGCCACTTTATTTATACTACCTTAACGCTACGATATAGTAAACTTCCTGTTGATGTGAAATATCCTGCTGTCCAATTATGCTCCACCTTTTCGAGTAAATGATTGCCCAGATCTAGTCATGACCCATTATTTCCGTTACACTACAGGAAGGTCCATAAATAGCCCTGGAAATAAGCAATGCTTGGCTGATTGGGTGGGAGCAACGGCTGTGCTGACGGTCGGTCCCCTCACTCGCATACCTAGCGCATACTTAGCCGCGGCTGAGTTGATCCTTCATAAGCCCATCTCCCAGCCGTGTTCTCCTCTTTGGTATTAATCGGAGCCCGTTCGCTATCTCTAACAATCAATGCCATTTGTCGATTTTTTTCACGAATTATAGCCACCATGGCCTATCCAGATAGCGAGGGTTTACAAGTCGCCGTCGAAAGGGACGGTTTACTCGTCAATACGGATAGTCAAGGCTTAGAGCACTATATCAAGCCAGTCGAGTCCACAAAGCCACCAGTACCGTATCCTAAGGAGTATACCGTGGGTGAGGAGCGCAGTGCAGTACGAGATGGAAGGATATGTGGGCTGGCGAAACGAACATTCTGGATTTTAGTTCTTGTGGCCATCGTGATTGTGGCTGCTGCTGTTGGCGGAGGCGTTGGGGGCTCCATAGCTGCGAAAAACGCCAATAAGTCGAAGGATACTCAAAGGTTGGTGCCAATCGGGCTGGAGCTCTTGAGTTATACCATCTAGCATACGCTGACTTTAACTTTTAGCCCTTCTTCCACTTCTCCCGCCACCCCAACCAGCAACAGTACTCCAACCAGCAGCAGTACGCCTACCAGCAGTAGCACGCCCACATCATCGATCACTCCAGCAGAACCTTTCCCAACCACCGGCCTCTTACCTCTCGACTGCCCTGCGATCAATTCCACAAAATACAGCACGGTCCCTTCAGGCTCATCGAGTAACTATACCTACCTAATCAATTGCGATGTCAACTACACTGGTAACGACCTCGTCAAGACCAGGACCAGGACCATCGATCAGTGTATGGATGCGTGCGCAAAGCAAAGCGATGCCAATCCCCTGAACCCTTGCGGCGTCATAGTGTGGATTGGGAATCTCACATTGGCAATTGGGAATACGGATGGAAACTGCTTTTTAAGGAAGGATGTTCCTGCTCCGAATGCGGCGCAGCCGTCGGATAGATTTGCGGGTGCGGTATGGGTTAAGGGGTAGAGATGAAGGGAGTTGACCGATAATAAAGGTTCTGTACAACAGCGGCAACAATGTTGATAGATTGGGAAGGGCAAATGTCGTGACCAAAATCATTGCGGATTGCGAGCAATATCACCTACGATCTGCTTCTACTTCGCGGAATAGAATCGTACAGTGCGAGCGGTCTATTCGTGCTCAGCAGGATAACCTCCGACCCAATTTGATCGACGAAGTCCAACGTTAGAGAATAGCGGAAATTGCTCCAGACGGGCTGCTAGCGCGTTCTCATCGCGCAATCGCTGAGCACTAGCCAAGTTCAGCCTAGCTGACTGTCTTGCATCTTTTGTAACAGACTAAGACAACAGAATGATAGGGGCAAGACAGCTTTGAGGGGGTTCTGAGGCAGGTTAGAGTCAGAGAATTTGTTAGATTTTGTTATTTTTGTAAAATTAGTAAAGGGCGGTGTTACCTTAGTATATGGCGTTCAGCGCTCTGCTACATAAATTGAGGCCTTTCAAATAAGGCAGGCCTCAACTCTAATCCAAAAAGATATTATCACAAATTCCCCTATGGCCATCCTGTACCATACTATCAAGCCCTGGGATTCCACTCCTTATCCACCTTATCCAACAACCCCCCCTTCAAAACATCCGCCAAACTAACCAGCTTAAAGCTCGCCTCCTCGCTCGTTCCCCCTCCCTTCAACTCATTAGCATCATCATGCACCACAACTAATCCAGCAGGGAACGCCGCATTAAGTCTGTTCCCAACAACCGCAATACCATCCGTGTTAGTGACATGATCCACGCTCCCATCGGTGGAGTCGGTAATAGTGAATGTCTGCACGAACGCATGCGGCGGCGCGCGCTCATACACATTATAGGCCGACACGCCCTGGCAGCTGACCATGAGGAAGCCCTCAGTGGCCGTCTTCCCAGGGACAAGCGTCACGCCCTCGACGTCGGAGTAGAGGTCCCCGGATTTGTGGTTAGGGTAAGTGGCTACGCTGGCGACCTTGACGCCCTTGGGTGCGGCGACGTCGGGCTCGGCGTCGTATCTCCAGAGACCCTCGGGCTCCTCGCCGACAAAGAGGAAACCGTTCTCTTCATCAGTGACGCAACCCTCGACTTGGCCACCTGAGCCAGCGATAAACTGCCTGACAAGGGTGGTGGAGAGGGTTCCGTTAGAAGAGGAGGTTAGGGCGTACTGAAGGTACACTGCCTTCTTGTTGTTGACAAAGAGGTACTGAACTCCCGTTTTGGGGGAGCGGTAGGAGCAAGAGCCATAGACGTCGTAGTCGTCGACGACGGGCTGCTCGCCGCCGGAAATGTTGGAGAGGGTGCCATTGGCGCTCATTTCGAAGAGGCACAGAGTGTTTTCCTTTCTGCAAGCGGCGTAGGCGAGATCAACGGTGCGGTTGTTGCCAAGCTCGAAGCCGTAGATCATGTCGATGTTGTTAGGCTCGCCTGCTGGGAGGGTCTGGAGGATTTTACCCTCGAGGTTGAATACTGCGAGACCAGCACCCAATTCGGATTTTGTGGTTGTGACAATGCGGGACTGGTCGGGGGAGATGGGAGAGATCCAGATAGCTGGATCGTCACCATCGCCGCCATTGGCCTCGGTCTCGATCTTTGGCGCAACAAGCAGGAATGAGCAGTGCAGACCACCCCAGCCGGCGTCGCAGCGGCATTCATTGGCTCCGACGCATTTTCCGTGGCCAGAGCAGTTATCGGTGCAGGTGACTGATTTGCAAGATTTTCCTGTGAAGCCAGCGAAGCAGGAGCAGGTCTTGCTAGACGACCTGCGAGGCGATTTGACGCAAAAGCCATTATCGTTGCAGTCGTCGCAGATGGTCTCTTTATCATCGGTCTTAGCGCTCGGGTTGTAGTTAGTGTTGACATCTAATTTCAGTGATTTGAAAGCAGATTGGAGGGAACCGATGGCGAAGCCCTTTCCTTCCTCATGTTCGATTGCGAATGCCAAAACGCCCGCGGGGTATTTCTTTGTCTTTCCTTGATATACCGACAGGCCTTGAATTTCGGCATCCTCGACACCGGTGATCTTCATAGAGCCTATAGCCTTGAACTTGGTTGAGTATACACCAACAACGTCTGTTTGAGCAACGAAAAGGTAATCGGACGATTTGCCAACATAAATGGCGAGCCCAGTCACATCATCACTGGCCTCTCCAATAACACTGATAGTGGCAGCGGCAGTGCTCTCTGCAGTTTTGAATGCGTACACATCCTTGCTGTCGTCGCCACTGAAATAGACAAGGCCAGACTTCGAAGACACAGCACAAGCCGAAGCCTCCACAGGCAGATCAAAGGTTTGAATCTAGTCCCAATTAGCAAGATTCTTCTTCCTGGCCAGAACCATAAACCTACCTCAACAACCTCAAACTTCTTCTCCCTCTGCCTAACCAGGTACTGAATAGCCTGCTTCTTGCCAAACATATAAAAGTACTGGTTCCCACTCTCAGCACTCTTCCATGGGCACAACGCCGACCAATCCCCAATGTTCTTCTTCTCGGCCAACTGGGCTCCCTTGTTCCCAGCATCGAAGACACGCAAGACACTATCTGGCATCGCGATCGTGATAATCAAATCCTTCTTCCCGACACCATACACAGGCACCACGAGCTTCGACCTGCCGCCCGTCTTGGCCGAAACCTCAGGCAGGATCGCGGCATTGCTGTCGAGGGACCAGGCGTGATAGCCACCTGTTGCTGCTGATCCATCGTTGCCGAAGAGAAGTGGGTGGGAGGAGTAGTACACGGCAGAGATGTCTGATTCGACATCCGGGGTGCTGGCGGAGATGGGGAGGTCGACCTGGAGTGCTACAGTTGCGCCATGGACGACGGACTGCAGCACGCCGCAGGCAACGACGACGTCGCGGACGAAGGAGAAGGACTTCATCGCAGCTTTAAACGAGCGGACTGGTTGGATGGGATAGTGAGAAGGGGTTTATGGCGAGGTCACACCTCTGTTTATGTAGGGACGAAGCCATGATGCAAAAGCAATATAAAATTCCCGAGCTATAGCTCCCAAGGATGTTCTAATCAGTCTTCCATCCCTTCAACGCAGCCGTGATCGGCTCGTGGAGCGCAAGGATCGTAGATACTGAGAGTGATCTACGATGCAATGTCTTCGCTTGCATGTTTCCAGAACCCACGCCTGACAGGTACAAGCTTAAAGATGCCGTTCTCAGCGAGCTCCCAAGCAATTGTTATCGTGTGAGACTTTCACGTCCGTTATCCGTGGGCTATCATGGCCAACTCATTGGAGGGTAGGAGAAACGTTGGAGGCACAAGAGACACGTGCTGGGCTTCATAAGATGATGTTGTTTCTTGGCTTCCCTTAGCACCATGTGCTTAATATCGAGACCCTTGCTGTGCCCCAAATAACCCCCACCTTTTGCTGCCGCCTCGGCACCTGCCAAGATCGGGTGTCGGCCTGCTTATTTTCCGTTTGTGGGTCATGGTGGAGCTCCCCCTGTATCACTATCGCCGCCCACTATTTTATTCCACACATGTCAAGCGGGATGCCGTTCAGGGCTGGAAAACGTTCCGATCCCGGAAGACATGGCGGTATAATAACGGCTCGTTGCAATTATACAAGTGGAATAGTAGGGATACGGGACATGAGCCGCAGTTGTGATACTTGGCGGGCGCTGGTGTACGCGCGTTCTGTACACCATGGCACGTTTCCCTTAGGACAAATTCCTTCAACAAGTGCTTTTGTCTAATCATTTCTCATTATACCCAGCTTCGCTCAAACATAAACTGACGGCGCTATCAACTATGCCCACAAAACAAGTAGGAAGCACGTGCTCTCCTCCTAGCTAATAATCGTCACGGGGAACAAAAATTGCATCGGCGCCCCCCTCACAGGCAGGATATCTGTGCGCCCCGTAGCATTAACCGTCTTCCCATCCTCCCTCAGATAAATATGTGCCACCCCAAGGAACTGACGCTCATAATCCGGCCCCTGCGTCCAGATAGCCTCGACCCTCGATGTGGCGGGCAACTCGCTGCCATCGGCGTTGCGGCAGGGCACCCACAGCTGCTGGATGAAGATGGGACTGCACTGGACGTTGAAACCGGGAGCACCTTCGCGGTAGCCGGTTGCGGCGGCGAGTTTGAAGTTCGAGCCGCAGCCGCCGGGGGAGCAGCCCCAGTTGTAGTCGGTTGCTTGGAAGGTGGGGATGTTGAGGCAGGTGTTGTGGGATTGGTGTTGGGGGATGGCGGAGGCGGAGGTGTAGGTTGCGGCTGTTGCCAGGAGGGCGGCGAGGAAGTCTGTACGCATGGTGGCGAGGAGGGTTTATTATTTTGGTATTGTATAATTATCTGATTGAGTACTGGGGAGAGGTAGGTGTGTGGTAATTGGAGTTGATATTGGTCAAGGCAGAATACTGAGCAATGGAGAATACTGAGCATGATCAAACTAAAACCTTGGGAAGCTCTTCCTGTTTATATATCCATATCAAACATTTGTCTCACTGTTGCACGAAAAAATGGAATGCTCGCTCAAGGCTTACATCCACCTCGTATGTGGCCAGCCAGCGAAAGGCACGTGAGATAGGTGATCGACATGTTGACGTGTTGATCGAGTCCACAGGAATGGGTTGAGCAGCCGCAAAGCGTCGGAAATGCGTCGTGAAGGGAACCTGTCATGCTGATCGTCTCGTATTGTTAATCAATTAAGGAACCTGTCATGTTGATCGTTGAGTATCCATGGGACCTGATTCTCTAGCTGAACCCTCGTATTTAGTTCTTGGGGAAAGCCACAATCCCGCATCTGACGTCAACGATCCCAAAATAACCCAACTACCGAGCTCTGCCGTCGGATTGGCCCGCTACACCCTTGTCTAACGTGGATTTTAGTACAGAGTATACAATTCAATTCGCTGGCAGCTTAGGCCTGATGTGGAAGTTTTTGTACAGTAATGCAGGTCCAACGGTGTAAGCTCTATGGTTCGGTAAGAATCGCACAAGCAGAAGGCCATTTTTGGAGTAAGACAGAGCAGACGAGATGTCAAATTCCCCCGACTCATGGATAATGTCTGACAATTCCTCTCTGTCGTGGCTGATACACTGCATATATACGAGACTGTACTACAGAAGGGAGAAAGAGTTCAAATAATGTACGCGCTCCCACAATGCGTACTCACACAAGCTGAGTTGGAGTAGTTTACGAATACCAATACAAATGTTAATGCAAGGTTCTCATCATGAAGTTAATGTGTTGTCATTGCAATAATGCTGCTCGCTATTCCCGCAAGCCATGAACAAATGCCTCAATGTGGAGTCTCGCACTTTCTGATATTGATGAACGTGCGCTAAGAATAACTCCAATCCACCCAATCCATCGCCATAAACAACGCTCGCTTTCTAGGTTGATGCCGAGGACACTCGCCGGTCCCAGACACCAACCCACAGATACAAAAAAACGCTATCCCGAAAACCGCTCATGAAATAATGCATCCATCCCAAGCCAATGCCTAAACCGCCAGTAAAAATAAAACGCCGAGTCACACTTTTGCTTTTGGTGATGTGTTGCTTGTCAAAACTGTTCGTCCGATGCCGAGCTTAAAAGTTGCTAGCAACGCCAGTGCAGTACCGTTAACTTGGTTATCTGCGCACTCGTAATATCTCACTCACACCTCAACCTCCAGTTATCTTCTTCCGCCTCATCGAACATGTAATCTTCCTCATTGTAGAAGGTTTCTTCGTCCGAAGTTTCTTCTCCGGATGTTTCTTCTTCCTCGGAGTCACCATCTTCCGTTTCGTCTTCGGTGGACTCTTCTCTCATCTCGACGTCCTCATCCGCCTCATCCTCAGTGTCCTCTTCGTTTTCTCTCCTCTTTATCGTCACCTCCATTTCCCTCCCCCAAACGCCGAGGTTGTCCTCAACATCTCGAAGCCTTGCCTGGTCCTGGATTTGTATTCTTCTGACACGGTCGATCAAAACATCATACAAGAGCGTAGGCCCCGTGTAGTCTGCGGGAGCGTATCTCCATGGGATTAATCTTGCAGTTTCGACCTTCCAGAGACGGTCGTAAACACGGCCGCTCTTTTTCTAAATCGCTTGTCAGCATCAATTCCCGGTAATAACAGCAGGGGCATACAAACCTCGTCATCGCACAACCATCTTGGCAACATCCCGCCATTTCTCTGCGACACAACCCATCGGTCGACCGTCGCTTCAAGAATCGCTGCTGCTTCAGCTCTCTCGCTCTCGCTGACCCTGTCGATGCCCCACATGGCATTCTGCATTTGTGGCCCCGCTATAGTGATCTCGGCCTCAGTGACCACAACTACTTGAGCTTGTGGATTTTGGCGGGCTTGATGACGGCGGTAATTAAGCCTCTTAGGGAGCAGTTGGAGGGGCGTCAGAGAGAAATTATGAGGAATAGCAGGGATAGCAGGGATAGCAGGAATGGCAGGGCTTGGGTGGTGAGCTTCAGCGATGTCGTTCACGACATCGAGGAAGGTAGCCTCGAAGGGGGTGATCGGCGGGGTTGGTAGGGCGGACATTTTTGGGAGATTATAGATGTTGAGAAAGGTGATAGGTATGTGTAAGAGTAAGGTAAATAAGGTAAACGAGTATAGTTTTGTTCGTAAGATTGGTGATGTTACGATTTTTGAGGTTGGTGATGTGTAGTGGTTTTTTAAGGTTGAGATGAATTTATCTCCTTTCGACAGGTTTGCAGTTGAACTTCTGGCTTAACTCTCCCTTCTCGGCTTCAATCGCTCTAACTATCACTTTTAGGTGTATTGAAGCTAGAGGTGAGCCGCTAGTTTCCGTGCCACGAGGCTGTGGGAGCTAGGTGCTCTACCAGACGCCTTGCGCTTACTCTTCTGCGTCAGACGCTAAGAGAGCTTGGTTCTCTAGCAGGAGCCGCAAACTTGCTTTTCGTGCTTGCACGACTTGGGAGCTTGTTGCTCTACCAGTTGCTTTGCAGTTACTTTTCTGCGTTGAGATACTGAGGGAGCTTGATGTTCGACCAGGTGCGTTGCACTTGCTTTTCTCCGTTTGGAGGCTGAGGGAGCTCGTCGCTCGACCAGTTTCAGCACACTTGCTTTTCTCCGTTTGGAGGTTGAGGGAGCTGGATGCCAGATCAGGCGCTTTGGACTTCTTTTCCTTGCTTCAACTTTGTGGGAGCTTGTTGCTCTACCAGTTGGCTTGCACTTGCCTTTCCGTACTCTGATTCTTTGGGAGCTTGTTGCTCAACCAGTTGCTCTTTCTTTGCTTCTCGTTCTCTGACTCTGTGGGTGCTTTTTTCCCTTCCACTTGGAATACACTTGTTTCCTTGCGTTTTCAGTCTGTGAGCTATCGAAAATCGAACAGTTGCGGTTCTTGATGGATATTGAGTTCAGTAATTGAGTTCAGCGATCTTGAGAAGGCTGTTTGGGGCTGTGAGAGCAGGTCGTGAGGCGTTGTCACGGTGTTTTGGCAGCTGGGAAAATAGTTGTAGGAGGAAAGAGGAAAGGGACACCAGGGCGGGAGAGGGCTGGGTTAATATACCCATCCTCTGGTGGCCAGTTCCAGTGTCACGGGGAGGCTAGGAGTGTCAAGAGCTGTCAAATGCGAAGCTGATAGATGGTGTAGGAACTCAGCGTGGGGTGGTGAGCTATTAGAGATGGTGGAAACTTAAATGCAAGCGTCGGCGCCAATTCAAGGGGGGGGTGACGTTTCCCATCTCTAGCCTCACTTTGGAACTGCAGTGGCTGTCAACTCTGACGTAGAGACGGACGATTCGTGGCAGTATTGTCATTGTTCCTTCAGCTATTTCCACTGGGTGAAGCTTAAAATTACAAGCGTTGACGCCAATTCAGGGGGGAGGAGACATTTCTCACCTGCGTCATCAGCTCCGTGAGGTGGATGCATCAATGTCTGTCAGCTTTGACGCAAAGAATGATTCCCTCCCTACCTGTAAACTGGTGAGCGAAGTATGACTCCTCGACTTCATCCTATTGAGTGGGCTGTTGACGTGAAGTCGTTCGTTGAAGGTTCCTGCCATAAACCAAAACAATGTGGCTGGGAGAGGCTTCTAGCCCTACGAAATGAAAAGGGGTTGTGGACGCAAATAAAGGCTAGTAAACAGCGCCAGCGTAGTCAATTCAGTTACCGAGCACTCCAAGCAAGGACATCACACATCACAGGGCAGGTACGTCACTAGCATATTCAATAATGTGTAAATCGTAAAGCATGATCAAATTGACTATTTTCCCACCTAAACTACCTTCCATCCCAAGCCCAACACACGTAAACAATCCATCACCTTCCACAGCTCGTGACACATCACCAACACGATGCCATCTTCAAACTCACTCCCTCTCCCCCTCACTCCCCCTTACTAATCCCCAACAACACCAAATTCGCCACATTCATAACCGTAATAAACAACCACACCAACACCGCAAACACCGCCGTCACCCACCCATTCTTGAAATTCACCACCCCAGCATTCGCATCCTCGTCCAGCGAGGCCACGACGCGTGCCCCTTCAACCACATCCGCCACATCACTTCGTGGCTCTCTATCACGCGGCGCAGAATTAGTCTTCGCCTCGCTACCACCCGCCGGCGGTAGCGTCGTCGTAACGGCAGGTACGGCTGTGGTCGCTCCTTCCGTTTTAACACTCGCACCACCCCCCATAGTTCCTTCCCCAGCAGTAGTCGTACCTTCCACCACCTCGGCTTCGTCATCACTGTCATCATCGGCGTGCGGCTCGACCGGCCGCGGCGGCCGCACGGTCATGTAGCGGCTACGGCAGGTGAAGTAGATGAGTGGTGCTGAGACGAAGGGGAGGGCGACGGAGAGGGCGACTTGGCTTCCGTTCAGGGCGGCGGTGAGGCCATCCTTGCCTACTGCAGCGGCGATGATGATGCTCGGCGTGATGCTGATTGAGCGGGTGATTAGGCGGCGGAGCCAGGGCGCGGCGGTCCAGCGAAGGGCGCCTTCAGACACCATTTGGCCGGCGATGGTGCAGACGATGCCGGCGGAGATGCCGGAGAGGAGGAGGGCGAGGGCGAAGATTGTTCCAGCTGCGGGGGCGATGGTGGAGGTGAGGAGGGCGTGGATGGCGAAGAGGGAGGCGTCGGTTGTGGAGGCGGGGAGGGAGGAGCCGGCGAGGATGAGGAGGGCCGAGTTGACGAAGAGGGCGAATGTGAGGAGAGAGATGGTGAGTTCGGTGATGGAGTACTTGAGGGAGGAGCGGATGGCGGGGAGGGAGGGGTGGTAGGGGTTTTTGGAGGGGAGGGCGGAGGAGGAGGAGGTGGCGCTGGTGGGGGGGGTGGGGGTGTAGTGTTTGTGTTTTACGTCGTAGGCGTAGAGGCGGGGTTGGACGATGCCGGAGCCTAGGTAGAGGGAGTGAGGCATGACTGTTGCGCCGAGGATGCCGCAGGCTTGGTAAATGCTGGTGCAAGTTAGTTGGGAGAGTTCTGTGAATATGGGGTTGGGATGGTGGGATATAGAGGGACATACGCTTGCGACTCGACGAGCTCCTTGGATGGCAGGTAGCCGCGGAAGACGGAGCCGACGGAGGTATCCTTGATGAGGGAGAGTTGGATACAGAAGCAGATGACGACGGCGAGGACGAGAGCCATGACGAAGAACTCGAATGCGCGCAGGCCCTTGAGGGAACCGCTTGGCCGGTAGAAGATGAGGATAAGCATGACATCCACAATAGAGATGGCACATCCTGCGACGAGGGGGATCTGGGGGATGAGGAGGTTGATGGCTATTGCAGTGCCAATGACCTAGGATTGGTTAGCATTCTGTGTGAAGAGTGTCTGGGTGTGGTAGTGAGGGGTAGGCAGTTAGATGCAAACGTGAGTTCCATGGGAAGAGTGTCTGGGGGTGTGATAGTGAAGATTGGGTTGTAAGTGGTACATACCTCTGCAATATCCGTAGCAATAATCTATACACAAGTCAGCTTTGTCCCACATTAAATAGCAGGCTCAATAGAACACTTACTGCTCCCTCTGCCAACACATAAAGAAATATATTCAGCCACCATGGCAAATGCGCACGACACATCTGTGCCAAATCCATCCCCGACACCGTCCCCAGCTTAATACACAGCGACTGCAGGAAGATCGCAATGATATTCGCCAGCAGCACAATGAACAACAGCCGGAACTCGTAGCTCGCGCCTGCTGCCACAGCTGTTGAATAGTTACCCGGATCAATGTAGGCGACGGATATCTGTGCTGGGAATTAGCACAGGTACCCAAACTACTCTCTCTTCCTTTCTCTTACCATAAACCCAGGCCCGATGAAACTGGCGTATTTCATAAACATCCTCCCAGCCTTCTCATAGAACCTCTTCCTCCTATGAATTCCCCCTTCTCCATCTCCTCCTCCTCCACCATCACCGCCGCCAGTCGTCACGTGATGCGTCAGATCACCTTTCTCCCCTACGACCGGCCCTTTCTTCCCCAATCCCCCCTTCTCGGGCGGCGGTGTGTCGACCAGGGACTGAGCTATAGGAACATCCTCTCCTGGAACGTCCGGATCTAAAGAGCGGCGCGCAGTGGCGTTTGTGCGGCCGTTGAAGTCGGCACGTGTGGTGCCAGCGAGCAGGTTGGGGCTCTGGTTCCAACCTTCGCGGCCGTCTGTGTCGTCGGTGCGAGAGGGGCAGTTCATTGTTGCGGGTAGAGTGGTTGTAGAGCCTTTGGTGGGTGGATTGTATGTAGGTAGGTGGTGAGGTTGGGAGATCACGACATTTGCGACATTTGTACACACGTCGTCTGTCGTCTGTTGCTGTGGGTGAGCGAGCGACAGCGAGGTTAACTCCAACTGCTACTTGGTTCGTAGGAGGTCAATTTGAGGACAATTTGAGGGTATTTAGGGTATTTAGGTATAATTGAGAAAAATGAATCAAAATAAGCAAAAACCGGGGATCTGTTTGCTATTATAAGGTAAATATACTGTCTAGGTAATTGATGACCACCAGCCAGCCCCGCCAAGTTATCGTGACATTTTCTCACCAGGCCGGGCCACAGCACAGCCCAGTCCAGGCCAGCGTGGGTTTGTACCCCAGTTTACCAGTCAGAGTCCAGCCAGTGTGCGGTGTCATAAGGCCGGTTTTTTTTGGACCAATGAGTGGATCAGTCACGCAGGGAATAAGGTTTGCTAGTCACGGGCAAGAAAACCAGCCGGGTTGGGGTTGTACGTGAGTTTTTGTGTGCGCGAAATACGCTCGGATCCGGAAGATCCCGACGGAGGTGGGGAGTGCCGAGGGAGGTGCAGAACACGTTACGGGGAATGGACCGCACGTGAGCAAGGATGATGTGAGGATGATGCAGGAGGAGGACAGAGAATGATGCGTGAAACTCGTAGTAGCAATGGGTCAGAAGAGAAAATGCGTAGGTGGCTCGGGAATAGTCAGAATGCGGGGTGGTTTCTGGTGACGGCGACATTGACAGCGACAGTGATGGCGGGGAAAAACCATACGACAAAACCACTCTTGCTGCCCAACGAAAATAAAGATAACGCACTTCACTCCCACTTGCCCACCTGTAGCAGGTAGCAGGAAGCACAGCATATTCCACGAGTTATCCCTATCAACCAAGAAAGCACTGCGTATGGTACGAGAACTCCCTATCTAAACATGCGCAGATCCGTCCCAAACCATTGCCATGCCTTGCCTTGCCTTGCCGCGCACCTAATAATTCGTGTACTGCGCATCATACCCCGGCACGAAGTTCTGCGGACACGCCACCGCCGGCAAGTACCCGTCGACGGCGATCCCCTGCATGCGGAAGAAGTGCTGGCGCACCAGGCTGATCTGCCCGTCGATGTAGGCCGAGTTCAAGGGGTTGTTGTACTGCAGCGTGAAGCCGTCGGTGTGGTTCACGAAGCTCTGTAGGGGGGTTCAGCTTCCGGCCTTGAAATGTGAAGAGGAAAATGGAGTGGATGAATGCACGCTTACCTGGCAATCCGGAACATTGTGCATGAACAAGCTCCAAAACGCATCCCCCGCAACCACCGAATCCGCCCTCTTCTGATCCGCTTCAATGACTGCAAACCAGCTCTCCAGCGAGTCACCCTGCGGCGTTTCCTTCCCATTCAATCCCGTCCAATCATACTCCCCGCTCCAATACACCTTCCCAGCGCCCCTCACCTTCTCAATCCCCGCTGACAGCTTCTTCGTGTCCAGCGGGTAGAAATGGTCCGAGTAGATGTCCACCTCCGGAATATCAAGATGCGTGGTGTTGATACCATACGTGCCGTCGAGGACGAGCTTGTGTGGGCCAAGGGTCTTGATATACTTCGCGATCTCCTGCACCCACGCGCGAGGCACGTTCATGTCGCCCCAGACGTTGCCATATAGCTCATTACCCGTCTCGTAGGCGAGGATGGTAGGGTCTTGCGCGTAGGTGAGCCCGGTGTAGGGGTTCTTGTGCGTCATGTGGATGCGGATGTAGTTCTTGAAGTCGTTGATGATCTGGCGGTTCGTGAAGAACTCCTGGACGAGGGGAGAGGCGTCGTTCTGCGTGATGTTGATGCCGCGCCAGCGGAGGAAGTTGAATCGGCCTCCGTGGTAGTAGTCCTGTGGAGCTGTTAGTAGGTCATGAGAGACTGGGTGGAATTGTACATACGAAGGCATCTGTGAGAGGAATAATGATCCTCAACCCGTGCTGTCTCGCCTGGAACACAGCCCAGTCAATCGTCGCGAAGGCCTCCTCATTGACCACCCCGAGCGTAGGCATGATGCTCAGCGGGTTCCCCGTGCTGACCCCCAACGTCTGGCTGCGGATCGTCTTCGCTCCCATCGTCACCAGCGTGTTCATGACCTCCGTGATGCGGCCGAGGCTCGGATAGCTCGCCTTGAACGGCTCATAGAACGGCTCTCCAGCAGGTGGGATCACATTCTCGTCAAGGCCGAGCCAGTAAACATTTGCGCCTCCACCAACGTAGCGTTCGCCATTGAGAAGCAGCTTGGAGCCCTTGCGCGTAACATACGAGTTGCGCGCGATATTGGCGAGAGTCGGCTGCGCGAAGGTGGCGAGGATCTCGGGCGTCAGGGGCGCGCCGAGCTGAGGGAAAAGCGAGCTGATGATAGGCTTGAAGGGGGCGAAGGTGCCGGTTCCCCAGGAGGAGAGAGAAGACGTCCAGCTGTTGCCTCCGGGCAGAGCAGCCGCGGCGGAGACGAGCGCCAGGAGTGAGAGCTTCGAGATGGACATGATGGCGAGTGATGCTGTCGCGACTCAATGGAATGGAGAACGACAGCGACGGGCCTTAACAACAGTACTTATACTGACAAGGCTGCAATCTCCCAAAACAAAAACATGCTTTTCCCCGCACAGTTCCAACATAACAAGGCCATCATAATTCGGGGTCATCCCTATCCCCCAGTCCCGCTAAGGCTTCCCAATGGCTAAATTTCGTTCCTGTGCCTGTGCGACCTGAAAAGTGATAGTAGACGCGTTAAAAAAGCGAGCGAAGCAATATACACCCATGTCTCCGTCTCGCCGGTCTCAACGGAGACACCTCCTCCGACAAAAAATAGGCTTCAAAAGGTTGTAGCGCCGACGATCATTTTGGGGTAGCGCAGGGAGGTGGAGAAGGAAGTCAGTGCACCAAGGCTCGGGAGTTGGCGTTCCAGTGTTCCAGAAGAATCCCCGACGAAGCGACGTGCCGCTAATCGGGATGAACCCCGCAATAAAGTAGCACCCCGCCAAACCCTCCCAAGGTGACTCCAAACCCCATTACCAAGCTCAACAGACACTCCAAAATACCCTCTCCCCAGCCAAGATGTTCACCGGCATCGTCGAAATCCTCGGAGGTACATCTTCCCTCCTCTCCGCTCCCAATGCCCCGCTAACCTCCCTCCCCAGTTGTCTCCTCTCTCAACCCCTCCGATGCATCCGGCGGCACCACGCTCGTAATCTCCAACGCCGCCCCCGTGCTCATCGACTGCCATGATGGCGACTCCATAAGCGTCAACGGCACCTGCCTCACCGTAACCGCCTTCACAGACTCCACCTTCACCGTCGGCGTCGCGCCCGAAACCCTGCGCCGCACGAACCTCGGCTCGCTGGCGCAGGGTGACTCTGTCAACCTCGAGCGCGCCGTCTCGTCACACACGCGCATGGGCGGACATTTCGTGCAGGGACACGTTGACACCGTTGCGACTATCGATGCGAAGACCCCGGATGGAGAGGCGGTGACGTTCAGGCTGAGACCGAGGGATAAGGAGGTGATGAAGTATATTGTTGAGAAAGGGTTTGTGGCGCTGGATGGGGCGAGCTTGACGATCACGAAGGTGGATGATGTGGAGGGCTGGTTTGAGGTCATGCTCATTGCGTATACGCAGACGCGGGTTGTGACGGCGGCGAAGCCGGTGGGTGGGGATGTGAATGTGGAGGTTGATATGATGGGGAAGTATGCGGCGAAGAGTGTGGAGGGATACTTTGAGGGAGGGGGTGTGCCGGAGGCATTGCAAAAGTTGATTGAGAAGATTGTGGAGGATAAGTTGGCGGCTTTGCAGGCAAAATAGAGGAATACTCAATTGGCACCTTAAGATGGTGGTCCTGTTGCAGTGGTCCTGTTGCAGAAGCCATGAAACGTAAATTCACAATCGCTCTCATCACCAAGCTAACGGGGACCCTTCCCGTCTTCAATAGTATCAGACTGAGTTTTGGTCTGCTATTTGGTCAGCTACTGTTAAGAGTGGAGCTACATCACGCTGAAATTTAAGATGTATGTCGAAATTGATAGATTTTATTTTATGAGTAATTTAATAGACAAATAAAATATTATCCCATAACCTAGATTGTAGCATTTGATAACCGACCCCAGTGTTCGGCGGATACATATCCGGGTAGTATCCGTGATGCTCACGGGTAGGGTATATACCCGGCCAAGATCTCACGGGTAGAGTAGGTATATATCCGGATACATGAGGCTGAAATAGAGCATATAAAAATGAAGCTTTTAAGAATAGTAATACCCTAACCAACCTAACCCCCTATACTCCCTATATTCCCTATACTCCCTCTACTCCTATGCCTACTATACTTATTCATTTACCTTATTAGTAGTATTATTACTATTACTATTAGCCTCTTATGTCTAAATATAATTCTATAAGTAAAGTAAATAATTATTAGTAGTAATAACCTATTTCGCTTTTTTATAATAATATTACTACTATTACTAAATACTTGTTCTAAGGCTATAGAGGTTACTAGAACTACTAAATAGCCTAAGTAATAGGTAATAACTAGATATTAAGGATATTAGTATGCTTATAAGGCTATAGTTTAAGCATAACGTTAAGACGACGTCTGTAAAAAGAAGCCTTAGCTATGCTTGGCTACTCTTGGCATGTATCCGGATATATACTCGAGAGTATCCGGATACGCCGGATACTCTTCAAATATCGCCGGGTAGGTATATACTCGAGGATATACCCGGATACTACGGGTATATTGGTATCCGTGCCGAACACTGACCGACCCCTTTCTACATCCCCGAGAGCTTGTGATAGAAACGAGCCACCTTCAGCATTAGAGTGTACATGGAATGGTCCAGGTGCGAGAATGAGCCGATATTGGGTTCTGATCAGCCGTATTTACGCTGCCATTCCAACCACTGCAGCTTGTGTTTGATCGAAGTCCCAAATTAACTACTAATCAAGCAGCCACATCACATGTGATTGTAAGAGATCATGGATACCAACGGGCGGTGCTATGGGGTCAGGGGTAATTAGGACCACCCGGTACATAGTGAGAGGGCCAAGAATCCTGATCAGAAGTGAATATATTCATCTAAGTATCACAACTTCCCGCCCTACGCAGCACATATGATATCCGCTGTCTACTGCATAAAACCCTACCCTATTCACTCCGGTCTCTGACCATATACTGCGCGACTATTTGAGATGTTAGAATATTTGCGGACGAAGCTTAGTTAAGCACATGCAAACACTTACATATTCCAGTATGCATGGATACCCTCATTTTCAATGTCCTGTCTAGCACCCTGCAATAACATTTGCACTTCCTCTGGCGTCCACTTAAGAACCCTCGTCAATGGCGCCATAGCCAAGGCTTCCAATGCATCGAGCGTGTTTTCCTTACTCCACATACCAATCGTTTTCAGCTTCTTGTTTCTTGGCCACGTATTTATCGGCCACTTAAAGTCAATGACTGTGACATTGACAAAGCCAGCCGCCTCCATTCTCTCCTTGTGTTGTACCGCAGCGTCCATATCTCGACCAGATTTCTCAAATGCTTCCGTTACTAGTTTCCACCATTCTGCAAACCGACAAGATGGTGGATCATAGGTGAATGTTGTATCATCGCAAGCAAGGCCAGTGACGTCCTGCAATTCAATGTATGCGCCGGGGTGGAGTTGATTGTAGGCTCTTGTAAAAAATTGTGGCCAGTTGAGGAAGGAACCAACCATCATACGAACATGAATGAGGTCAAACTTTTCGCTGATGACCCATTCATCCTCTGCGTCGTCAACAATAAATTTCAAGTTAGGGGGGACAAAGCCGGGTTGGATAGGGCTGAGGTCGATGCCAATGACCTGAGCCTCAGGATGTTCGTCCGCTGTAGTAAAATTATGTTAGATGAGGCTGAACTGGGGACAAGGTAACTGACCGAAATCTACCGCCCAGATTCCCGTGCCTGTACCAACATCAAGGCAATTGTGGATTTGTTTTTTGATTGGAGCAAGGAACAGTTTCTCTCCAAAGGATAGCAGAAACAAGTGATGTTGTAGGTCTTGTATCATAGTCAATACCTAACTATGTATGGGATGTGACAGTATTCTCAATGAAACATACCTAGCCGCTCTTGCTCGAACTTAATAGTAGAATTAGAAGATATTTTAATGCATATATAATAGTGACTACATACCTCATCATTTGGTAGAGCATAAACTGTGCAGAAAGAAGGAGTCAGTAGCAAACTTGGTAATAATCATGGATGCTTTCTCACCTCCTTCGCGGAAGGAATGATATGTGCGGCCATTCTCCCGACGATACTGTTTCACACTATCTGCAAGCGATGTAGTACTTGACCTATAACCAGATATTAAAATTTTGCGCACATACAATTCCCTTTCCGGAGTTTGAACAACTCACCCGGTATCTTCAAAACTGTAGCCCGAGTCATTGTCAGTCTGCGATAAATCGTTGGATTAGTTCATAGTTCGTGCAGCCGCAAGATCAGCGCAAAGCCATATATACTTCATAATATCCTCCTTCAACTACTTCTTCCGCCTCCACTACATCTTCAACATTGGGATCGCTTTGTGTTGGTAATGGTGAACTATCGGCTGGCTGCTCAAGTGTGGGGCTGCCTTGCTCGGGAACTAGCTGCGCGGAACCTAGGGTCAATGGAGCAGCGGCTATTGTCGCCGACGGCGCGGCCGGCGCTTCAACTGGCGGTGTCGTTGGTATCATTGCATTAAAGATAAATATCCAGGGTACAAATACCCAGTCGGACAGTTCAAGAGGTCTGCGAGTTGTGCTTGTTCACAATAACCGTTGGGTGTGGGAAAGTATATGTACTGTGCAGCAGCGGGGAAGTAACGAGTTGCATCTTTGCTGTGAAGAGATAGTAGGGGTGCGATGGGAGCGAGGGGTGGGAGGTGTCCAACACGTGCTAGTGTGGAACAGCATACCAGCTTCATAACGATTGGACCGGGGGGCTGTACAGCATATCCCCAGACCCACCGTTGAAGAAGAGCTAATGCACTCTGTGGTATTACACCGCCATTAACCACCCGTGGCCGCTGCACCCGCCGCTACCATATCCCCCCACCCATATCCTTTCCCCACCCATATCCTTTCCTTCGGAATAAATTCGTACAATAATGACCAGTCAGAATTATTATGGCTATTACTGTTGTCAAAAATGCGCTGGGGGGTGTTGCTTGGTATTTACTTGCAGTTGTCTTTGCTTTTGCTCTTGCCGCATATTTAGCACAATCTTATAAACAATACTCGAAACTGAGGGCATTCAGAGGACCGCTGACTTCAGGATGGTCAAACTTCTGGCTCGTAAGAGCAGTTATGCGACAGAACACCCACATCGATTTTGCGAATGTCTGCGAGAAATATGGTAAGAGCGGACCGATTTTCAAATTCTGTTTATTCATAGTGATGCACATATGCAGACACTGACGCCTTGCATAGGACCTGTCGCACGAATCGCGCCGAACAAATTGGTGACGAGTTCGCCGGAGCTTCTTTTTAGAATGAGCGCTGCAAGATCCCCATATACGCGAAGCGACTGGTATGCGGGGTTGAGGTTACCGCCAGGGCAAGATAATATATTTAGTACCATGGATGAGAAAAAACACACTCGGCGGAGGGCGCAGATGGCCGATGGGGTTGGCATCCACATGTCCCATCAAATGTACAACAGGGCTGATGTTCATGCTGCATAGTATACTGGGAAGACAAATACCTTTCTTGAGAGTACTATCGACACTCATATCCTCAACCTCGTCAGATTAGTTCGGACCAAATACGTTTCCAGTTCTGCGGAGTTTATTCCAATGGACATCGCAAGGAAAGCAGCGTATTTTACTATGGATGTTATCACAGATATTGCCTTCCGGCAGTCATTTGGAAACCTTGTCGACGATTGCGACACCTACAGATACATCCAGTCAACGGAGGAGATGCTGCCAATTATGATCACTCTAACTTCAATACCAGCACTTAGCGCATTCTTCCAATTCCCATGGGTAGCAAAAGTCTTTTCACCCAATGATAAGGATACTACTGGTGTAGGAAAGCTAATCGGGTGAGTATCTGTGCTGCATACTCTTTGCTGTAGCTGTATTAATTTTGTTATATAGGATCGCTAGAAAACTAGTACATGAGCGGTTTACTAAGAAGTCGTCAGTGGATAACGACATGATGGCCTCCTTTATTGCACATGGGCTCTCTGAAACAGATCTCGTTGCAGAGTCTCTCCTACAGATCCTCGCTGGGGCGGACACATCTGCAACAGCCATCCGAGCCACAATCCTTCACCTGATAACCCACCCGTTAGCCTATCGTACGCTGCAAGCAGAGATAGACAAGCATCTCCAAGAGGGCCTTATATCCTCCCCTGTCGTCAAGGAGACGGAAGCTTCGAAAATGAAATACCTGCAAGCAGTGATTAAAGAAGGACTACGAATCTGGCCACCTGTCACAGGACTATTGAGTAAACAGTCGCCACTAGATGGCGATGAGTTCGAGTTGGATGGACAAAAAATCTTTATCCCCGGGGACACCAGCGTCGGCTACTGCGCCTGGGGCATCCATAGAAACAAAGAGATTTTCGGCCCAGACGCAGACATGTTCCGCCCTGAAAGGTGGCTTACTGAAGATGCCTCAAAGCTAACAGTCATGAATCGAACTGCAGAACTAATCTGGGGTTACGGGAAATACCAGTGTCTCGGTAGGCCCGTGGCTTTGATGGAGTTGAACAAGGTGTTTGTAGAGGTATGTCTCCAAAATCCTGAAGTGAAAAACTTCCTGACTAACTTCAATAGTTGCTTCTAAATTTTGACTTTGAGCTTGTGGATTCTACGAGTCCATGGAAGAGTGCAAATGTTGGCTTGTGGATCCAGTCTGAATTGTGGGTGCGGGTCACTGAGCGTGGAGGCCGCCAAAACAGGAAATAGGGTATATACGAAGAGGAAAGAGCGTATATAGTAAGAACAAAGGGCGTATATGGGAAGAAGAAAGAGGGTATATAGCAACAAGAATGAGCGTATATGCTAAGAGAAAGAGGGTTCAGGATGCCGAGGGCTCTGTAAAGCAGCAACCGATGCTAGCCAAAGATGGCGGCTCCAGCACTAACTCATTCTTGCATAATGTTATAATCCTATGGTATTATAGTCCTATTAATCTATATATCTATAAATTATTTGACAAAACTACATATTTAATGTAAATTCGGTATTGGGCTGCTCAAAGAGGATTCACCACTACTTTATATTACCCGAACACAATTTTTGGGCTGATGGACGCTTTGTCTACCTTACATTGTCTTCGGCGAGTAACCACCCGACATTATGGCTATATCTCACTCGAAATCGCAACCATGGACTCCATTTATTTTCCACAAGAGCTTATTAATTTGATTATAAGCCACATTGAGGATAAAAAGACTCTAGCCTCCCTGCGTTTGGTTTCATCGTCGTGTCGGAGAAGTGCCGACCCTATCTACTTCAAACGGCTATTCATCATGTTGTCGAGCAAATCCGTGGCTAATGTTGCCAATCTCATTCAGTCGCCTTACAGAGAGTACGTTGAAGAGATCTGCTGGGCCGATAGAGAACTTCAATATCACCTGCACGACGACTTAGAGGCTTTCCAAGACACCTTCAAGGAGAGGTTTGCCGGGCTATCACGTGATGACGTCGCTCAGTGGCATGAGAAATACCGCACTATGTACAGGGACCAGGAAAGCGTATACTCTCCTTTATATGATGGAAGCGCACAACTTCATCTTGAGTCTTTCATCAACCTAAAGAGGGTTTCAGTAGACAATGGCTGTGAACTTCGGACTGAGCAATATCCAGTTGCACTCGATGCACCAGAAATCCTAAACAATCCAGACCAGTGGAGCACAATGGTACAACCTCGCCCGCAACATGGGGGTTTGTATGCCTTGATTTTGAAACCATTGTCTGAATCACCACATACTCTCACGCATTTTTCTATCAAGACACAAGGGTCAAAGCGGGACGAGGATGTTTTCCCCCCCAGGGGATCTGGGATATATGTCCCGCTATTTATGTTTAAAAACGTCCAACACCTTTACATTGATTTCTGTCTTTCGGAGATACCTTTGTCTGGGCAAGTATCAACCGTTGTACGCCATCTCGGAAATCCTAGAAAGAATAGAAACCTCCAGTCGCTAACAATGAAGACACACCCCCACGCCGTGGATGAGAAGGGGCACTTGGCTAGACCATTAGAAGAGCTCCTCTATGTCTAGAAGCGCCCCACCTTCATGCGACTGATGCCTATGCTTTACCCTCAACTTCGACACCTTGAGTTCCATGGTTTCGCCATCCTTTCCCGTGCGTTACTTGAGTGCTTGGGCATGGTGCGGAAGTCACTGCGCTCCTTAGTCTTCAGCAACTGCGTTTTCAAGCCTACCCTTTTAGTAGTATTTACGAACATTCGCGAAAAAAAACTCGTGCGACTTGTAACTATATTTAAGCACAGCAAAGACTTTTTCTATCGATCAATTCCGGAGAAACCAAGCACTTTGACCGACAAGGCTATTACGCCATACCTAGTCCAGTCGAGGATGAATGGTACTTTGTGTCTTCACGATTGGGATAAGCAAGTTAAGGAATACGCAGATGAAAATTCTCGGGACGCAAGGGACGTTGAGGGCGCCGAGGACGCCTAAGTCCATTCATCCGACACAGAAACCGGCGTGTACTTTTCATCTTTGGCCTCCCTACTTCTGACGGGCTATATTTGGTAGGCAAGGTCATCGAAAGGGCAATCGTGGCTGTGGTTCGGCGAGGCTTTTATGCCACTGCGTTTTTCGGCTGCAGCGGGCGGCAAACCCACAAGGGTGAAAACTAGAGCTGAGATTATGGCTCTTTAATGACTTTTTTTATGTTGTAAACCTATGAGACCTTAAAATAATGCTTAAATTCGAGGTCTGATCACTTAGAAGGGAGTCTATCCGTGTTTGAACGCTTGATCTAACGGTTTCTAACTTTAGCTCTACCTCTTACGCCCCCGAGGCCTCGTTCCAACGTCGGCAAATCCAGCTCCCTTCTTGATGGTCTTTCTTTATTGGCGTCAAAGACCTTCAATTCTTGACATCAATATTTAGAGTTAGTAGACGGAAAGGAGACTAAAGAGTTGGGAGTAAAGCTATAGCCCTTTGACTACACTTACTCACGTTGCAAACTTAAGTACTATATCTAACGTTTATTTTGGTATCCCTAACAACGGAACTCCTCTAGCTTCAAATCAACAGACTTTTCTTGTTTTGTATCTCATAACTGCGTCTACATCCGATCTTTAGCCTATCATTAAATGCTACCATTCTGCTTGACGACAGCCGCAACCTTGGCAGCGAGATCGTCCGCCTCGCTCCTAGTGGCGGCCTCAGCATAAACACGGACAGCGTCCTCTGTTCCGCTAGCTCTCGCAAAGGACCTGCCATCCTTGAACTTGGCCACCAGTCCATCAATCTGAGCCTGCACACCCTGTGGCTCAACAAGCTTGCGCTCTGCATCCGTGGTCTTGAAGAGGTTCCTGTTGCCAACCTCAACGCGCACGAGGCGGTTGGGAAGGTCAACGTAGGTGAGGTCCCACTCCTTCGGCGTCCATGACTTGTGGGCGAGGATTACCTCCACGAGGAGCATATCAGACAGGGCATCGCCGACGGTCTGGTTGATGAGGTCGTAAAGGGCACAAAGGGTATCTAGGGCGTTCTTCTGAGCGGGGGATTGGGGCTCCTTGGTATGGAACGCCTTCACAGCCTGCTGCGAGAAGACGACGGTACCATGGCCGTTGGCCTCAAAGTAGACGCCGACATCGAACTTGGTTGCAGCGTGATGAAGCCACTTCACTCCGGTTGGAGTGCACACAGTTGGAAGCTTCAGCGACTTGGTCACATAGTTAGTACTGGCGCCATTGGCGTATGCAGTCTGGACAACGCCGATCTTCAGCTCCTCAGCAAGACCAGCTTCGCGAGTTAGGTCGCCAATGAAGGACGCAGCCAAAGTGGCAATCTTGTCTCCATCGAGAAGACGGAAACCATTCTCAGGATCGCTGAAGTAATAAATGATGCGGTCAGCATCTCCGTCGAGAGAACAGCAGCGCTCATTTGGGCCAGCTTTTGAAGCGGGGGGAGCTCTTTGCTTGGTCTTGACGTAGTCTGCACCGCACTGACTTTTGTTAGCTGGTCCGTGCGGAAATGGCGGGGTAAATAACAACGTACCTCATGGTTCAGAGACTCTGCCTTCAGGACATCATCGTTGACGATTTTGATATCAATCCCGCCTTCCGATGCCTTGTCCAGGTATTTAATCAGCTCGGTAAGCTTAGGTCCTCCAACACCATTGGCACAGTCAACGGTGATGTGGCCAGAGGTCGTCTTGCCCTTCATAGCCCTCTTGAAGGCGGACGACAGCTTCTCATAGTATCCCTTCTCACTGATCTCTCCGTATGATTGCGGGGTCCCCTCTGTGTTTATGCAGCGAGTGAGGTAATGCAACTGAGGTGTCGTCAAAGTTTTGTAGTCGGTGTACTCTGCCCCGGTAGCTTCGAGCGCATCAACCAACGCAGCGACGAGCTTAGGACCCGACGGGCGCGTATCACGGGCAAAGATGACACGGGCGGTCGTCTCGGGGCTTATCTTGAGCGAAGCTTCCAGCTTTTTGTAGATCTGAACCAGCTCCTCGTCCGACTGGGCGTTTGCAAGCTCCGTAGAGTGTGCCTCCCAGGAGTTCTCGAGCATCTCTCCCATGGGATCAACAAGCTTGATGCCATTGTCCTCAGGAGGATTATGACTAGCCGTGATCATGACGCCAATAGTTTGGCCGCCAAGTTTTCGAGACCGCAAGGCTGCTGTTAACCCTGCCCTGAATACGACAGAGTCCAAGAGGCTAGCATTCATGCGAAAGCCAGCCGTGCCATATTGGAAAACCCGATCAGCAGGCTTTGGGTGCTTTTTCGAAGCAGCGAGTATATTGTCGGTGGAAGACATTGCGTAACTCGTAGGCTGTGGGAGGGGAGGGACAGATAATGCGTGATGGCAAAAGAGCGGAGAAGCTCTCTTTATACGAAGATTGGCATGTTTGGGGCTTAATGCGGGCACACCCGCTTTTGGCGTATGGGAACAACGAGGCACAGGTGAGATAAGGGTCCAACACGTGACCCCGCGTCCCCAGCGCGTCATCGTTTCTCCCCCCGTCGCGGTTACCTCACCAACTATATCCAAAGTTCGACACCATCAACAATGGCCATTGCTCCAGCCGGCCTATATAATTGCTGTTGCTTGAATTAGAGACACAAGTGCTGTCCCTGGGCTCTTTCTGTGCTAAATTGCTTCTTTTGTATCTTTTTGTATACCGGATTCCTGCGCAATGGCAGACGAAGAGTGTGCCAATCCATTACTCCTTGGCTGGGTCAAAGAATGGTTGGATACGGCAAGAGAACGCAATTCGAAGGGGTTCACAGTTTATAGAAAGGCCTACGACTCCTTGAAGTCATGCCCGCTCCCATTTCAGCATCCTGCAGAGGCACAGCAATTACACGGCTTCGGTCCCAAACTCTGCGAGCGACTGACGGATAAACTGAAAGTCCATTGCCAAACAAATGGACTTCCCATGCCTGACCTACCCCGAAAGGTTAGTAAAGGGAAAACCACCGCCGACGATGGCACTGCTCCCGCGAAGCCGGCCAGGAAAAAGAAGGCCTACGTCCCAACTTTACGATCGGGGCCGTATGCGCTGATCCTCGCGCTGTCCACCATTCCAGAGAGTGCACCTTCCGGTATCACAAAGCAGCAAACAATCGAGCTAGCTCAGCCATATTGCGATTCCTCGTTCACCGCATCGAGTGACCCAACCAAGTTCTACACAGCGTGGAATTCGATGAAGACGCTCCTTGAAAAGGACCTCGTCGCCGAGAAGGGTCGGCCGCTGAGGAAATACTGTCTCACAGAAGAAGGCTACGAAGTCGCCTCACGAATCAAGGCATCCCAGCCAACCGCGGATCCCAAGCAGAGTACGCTCGACGCCCCTGCAGCGCCGCCGAAATCTCGACAACCTGCTCCATCTGGACCAGTACTCGGTGCAGCGGACGATGATGGGTTCATGGCCATTAATTCGAGTCCACCCCCACCTTCACGATCAGAACCACAGTACGATAATGGGATGGAGGGTGTACAAGATGATATCGTACCATTCGGAGATGCGCTAGCAGATGAAACCGCCCTCCCCACATTCTCACCCATCACCATCCCCTCCTCAGCCTTCACCCTCGAGCTCGTCCTCGACGTCCGCGAAGTCCGCGCCAAAGAAGACAGAGACTACATGCGCGTCGAGCTCACCAAGAAAGGCGTCTCCCCCATCATGCGCAGCCTCGACCTCGGCGACGCGCTCTGGGTAGCAAAATGCAAAGACCCTCTCTACCTCCAGCGCCACGGCCTCGAAGGCTCCGAAATAATGCTCGACTGGATAGTCGAGCGCAAGCGCCTCGACGACCTGGTCGGCAGCATCAAAGACGGGCGGTTCCACGAGCAGAAATTCCGGCTGCGGAAATCGGGCGTCAAGAATGTGATATACATCATCGAGGAGATCTCCATGAACGCGGAGCACTTCCAGAAGTACGAGGAAGCTGTTGAATCCGCCATCGCCTCATCGCAGGTCGTGAATGGATATTTCATCAAGAAGACCCAGAAGATGGATGATACGATCCGGTATCTCACGCGGATGACCATGATGCTGAAGGGGCTGTACGAGTCCAAACCCCTAAAAGTGATACCCACCCGCGTCCTCACCACGCAGAACTACCTCCCCCTCCTAACACAATTATCCGAAAAACACCCTGGAGTGACACACAACATCACGTACCAAGCATTCGCCTCCCTGGCCTCTAAATCAGAGACCCTCACCCTCCGCGACGTCTTCCTGAAGATGCTGATGTGCACGCGCGGGGTGACGGGGGATAAAGCCCTCGAGATCCAGAGGCGGTGGAAGACGCCACAGAAATTTGTGGAGGCGTTTGAGGCCTGTGGGGGCGGGGAGGAGGGAAAGAAGAGGAAGCAGGAAATGGTTAGCGGGCAGATGAATGGGTTGGTGGGGAGGAAGAAGGTGGCGAGGGTGTTGAGTGCGAGGATTGCGGACGTTTGGGCGGATGCGTGAGGTGGTAGTAGTGGTGTTTGTGTGCGTATATATTTATTATACGGGATTGAGAGAGAGTTCTCTAATCATTATACCCTTGAATTTAAATGTTTCATTTTCCCATGGACTGGACACTTGATATACCCCTCCACCCCGTACGGTACCGGTGACATACAAGTAATAACAGTAATGTAATAATACTACAATTCCTCCCAGACATAGAGCCACATATACACACAACTTAGCAAAAACCCAGCCCAGCCCAGCCCATCCATGGTTTGGTTTATATTTATATTTATACACTTCCCCTCAGGCGAGGGGACGTCGGCGAGGAAGGCTTCGCGTGAGGACATAGCGGGGGCAAACAAGTCTCTCTTGGTCGATCGAAAGGTCCGAGGTGAGATGACGGCTATTAAACACTCAGTCAGCCCCAAACCTACATATACACTTCGGAAAAACACACATACCTCCTCCCCAAAGTCCACCCAACACCTGCAACCCCCGCCACCGCGCCAATCTTCACTCACCCCCCAAAAAACAGCAACAGCCCGCACTAGCGAATAATAGCCAGCTCGAGTTTCCATGCGTGTATAGTTCCGGGTTCCAGGTAGTAACCTTTCTTCGCCATCTCCCCCCCATCCCAAATCAAGTAAGATTATTAATAATAATTAAGGATTAAAAGCACAACAACATCAACAGCAAAGGAACGATCAACGTTCACCAAGGTCAAGTCCCGTTCCCATATTCTGCCCATCCGATCCCATCTGGTGCTGCCCTGGTATCCCTTGCTGTCCACCGGGCCCCATCTGTTGTCCACCCGTCCCCATCTGCTGCCCCGACGGTCCCATCTGCTGACTCGTCCTCACCTGCTGCATCCCTGGCCCCTGCTGCCTGCCGCCATAAAACATCCCCGGCGGCTGCATCCCTCCCTGCCCCGCCAGAATATCTCCCCCCTTCGGCGGCGCCCCCAGCAACGGATCCAGTTCCGGGCCAGGCTGCTGGTACATCCCCAAGCCGCCTGGGGAGCGGTTCGGTGGCATAGGTTGCATGAGGAGGTCGGGTTGCGGGGCGTATTGCTGTTGTTGGGGCGGGGGTTGCATGCCGTAGGGTGCTTGCATGGGGGGCGGTTGCATGGGTTGGTTGTATTGGAATGCGTTTTGGGCAGGGGAGCGCTGGAATTGTGTGGTTTGGGGGAGGCGGGAGGTGGGTGATTGGTAGGGTGAGGGTGCTTGGAAGGGTTCGACGTTGCCGCGGCGCGGGCTGAAATAGCCTTGTTGCTGTTGGTCTCCTCTGTTGATTCTTTGCTGGGGACTTGGCGCCATGTATGTCGGGCTGAACTGGTCAAAGGTTTGCATTGGTTGTTGGGGGTTTTGTTGATACATCAGAGGTTGTTGGACTTGAAATGGGTCTGAGAATTGTTGTCCGCCGTAACCCATCCCTTGGCCCCCCGCAAACTGCGGTTGTCCGGTGAAGGGTAGCTGGGCAGCTTCATCCATCTCCTGCCTTGCGCGCTTCGCTGCAGATTCATCTGCAGGCCCTCCATATAAGCTAGCCTGAGATGTTTGCGAGAAGCCGCGTTTCCTGTTATCCATAGGATACATCCCGCCCTGGGAAGATAAGGAACCAAGGCCTGTAGTATCAGGTGGTTCTATTTTTGCTGTCCTCGATGCGCCGATCGCCACTTGAGATTGGGGTGTTATGGGCGTTATTGGGAGTTGAGCTCCTTCTTGGGCATTGGCAGCTTCCATCTGCTTGCTCTGCCGCCGGCGACTTGTATTATAGTGGCGAGGTTCGTAGTTATCAGAGCCTGGACCTCTCGTGCTCAGTCGAAACCGGGGCTCTTTTCGTAACCTCAATCGCACGCCCTGGTCACTGAAGGATCTCGTCAGAAAGGTCGATTCGGCCATGCCAGGCCAGTTCTTTGCTGGATGGACTTTGAATGGTTCTGACAGGGTGGAAGTGATATACTCCACTTCCTTATCTCGGACCTCGTAGAGTGTAAATTGGAGCTTGAAGGTGCCTTCTATCTTGACCGAGAGGTCACCGAAGACAAAGAACCCGCGGTCAATGTTATCGCTGTCTTTCAGCCGATGCAGGGACGAAACGAGCGTGCCTGCCAAAGCGTTCTTGACCTCCTCGCGATCCTCCGGCGATTTGTTCTCATCATCGTCAACCAGTGAGGTTGAGATGAAATAGTAGGGGCCTGCGAAACATGAGGGTCAGTAGGTGGCGACACCAATTCACAACACGGTGATGCCCTTACTTTGAAGAAAGTTCTGCGAGGGATCAACCGCCTCGCTGATCTTGAGCTGTACGATGGGTGGCGGATCTATTGGTTTCCGATCTGCATAACGGTCAACACATATTCCAAGGTCATCATTCCATGCGCCGACTTACCCTTTTCCTTGCCAATGAAGACCTTCGCATTCAGAGGCTTTTGCCTCACAATCAGCTCATGGTCCGCGCTATAGTCCATGGTCAGCAACGAGTCCAGGTAGTTTAATCCAAAGCATGCAACCCCATGAGAATCTGTCGCGGAACTCACTTGCTGATAACCCGACCATGCGAGGCTCCCGCGGGCGCGAACTGCTGCGACAGAGGTAGCTGGCTCATAAAGGTGGATGGCAGGCCCAGGGAGTTAGTGTTCCCTTGAGGCTGACCGGCCTAGATGGCAGATGGTGAGACGAGCGTAGATCCGCGAGTCCAAAGAATAAGGTTGAGGTCCCTGCCAAGTTGTTCCTTGCCTGGAACCGTGGATGTGCAGTTTTTGGTAGGTAGGTAGAGGCGTTACTAGGCGATTAGATACATGGGAGGATCATGTACATATGAAGGCGCGAACTTATTGATCTTCAAGGTGGTTCTCAAAGCTACCTAACATGGCCAGCCGGTTCGCCCCCCAAGGTGGGATAGATACAAGTGGGGTGGTAGTAGATCCCGCCACCGTCCGTTTGGTCGATCCAGCCAAAGAGCGTTGCTTGTTGACTCTTTGACTACGTAGACAGGCGACCGATTCTGGCACTTCCCGGCGAATGGGTGGCGCGACAGAAAGAATATGGCGCTATCTAACGTCAATGTCAGTACACTTTAACTCGGCAGCCAGCGTTGAGGCTCTCGCACGTGAGATGCCAGATGCTGCGAGTTAAATAATCCCTTACCTTTGAAGCCACGCGGACTATTGTGGCGAGAACGTTGATTGAAGTTTGGCTCCTCGGGATAACCTGGTTCGGTGTTGGTGTTGGGGACCTTGATAATGGTCAAGTAGGTCGAGGAGCTCTGGAGCCGAAGACGTCGAACCACGGGATAACCAGACCAATTCTGTAGGTTTGGCAAGAGCGAACAGCAATGTAACACCACTTCACACTACTTCGGGCCCAAATAGCTGCAGAAGGCAGTCTCGAGTGTCGCCAATGCCGAGTTGGGAGCAGAACAGTGATATCGCCTACTTCCTGCAGGAGACAGGTTGCCAAGCTAAGCCACCAAAAGAGTTTCTGGGTGTTAGAGATCCTTCAAAATGGGCGGGTAGACAGCCAACAGATTCCCTCGAGCACGATGCGCAAGCTGCTGATCGTCCTGGCCTGCTCGCGGCCCGCCCTAACGGGAAGGAACGAACGGAAGCTGGGTAGGTTTTTCGTTTGTTCCGGGATGAGAGATAACACAAGAGATGAAATTGGGCGTTTTCTTTCTCGGGATGGGGGAAGCGGATATTGATACCACGGTTGAGCAACGGATGCACAGGGCAGGCAATAGAAGAATGCGGATCCAAGAGAGCCAGTAGTGCCGGCAGTGGGTGACAGCGGTGGAGGTGGTGTTGATGATTGAAGGTCCAAGGTCTGGTGGATGAGGTGCGCGGTGATGGTGACGTTGCTACCAGGCTGCATCAGGAAGGGAGCTATACTATGCTGAATCGGCGGTTGACGTCGCAGGGCTCAGTTGCAAGTGCGTCAGCAGAAAACGACAAGCCTCGGGTCATCCGGCGATTGTGGGGGGAAGAGGGCATTCTATACTATGTAGAAGCAAGATCAAGGGTAGCCCGAAACGCGGGCCGGACAGATCGAAGAGAGGGTCTGTTAGGGCTTTGACCATGGAGGGGAGAGGAAGCAGGAAGATCGACTACGGGATTGGCAAGGGGCCGCGTGAGCTTTTTTTTCTCCAGCAGCAGCGGTGGACAAAAAAGATATGCCAACGGTTGAAATGAGCAGTGGGCGGGACAGGGTTGGTTGGTTGGGCTGTCGTCTGTTTGAAAGGGGAGCCCTCTTTTACTCTATCTGAGCTGATGATAATAGTGCATGGCTAAGGCACCAACGGGTATTTTATTGAGGCGATGGGGCGAGAACAGTGCGGCGAGGAGGAGAGGGCGGAGAAGGGGGGGTATGACGGGGTGGGGGGGATGGGGGGGAAGAATTGGTGGTGAAGTAATGATGAGTGAGCGGCCGGGGCAAGTATCGCAAATATCACTACTGTAGAGAGTACATTTGGAGCTCACCCTGTCGTAAAACAAGGGTATGGACGGGGGTGTAGGGGGGGGGTTAGGGGGGGTAATTGGAAAAGAGCAGAGAACTGTTATTGGGCGATGTAAACGGTGGATTATGTACAATACAATTGCTATAGGATTAGATGGGATTAGTATTTTTGTATGTACAGTACATAGTATGGGTGCAGGTTCAGGTGCAGGGCGACGGGCGATTAGATGGAGTCCATGCAGGGCCTGTTGAGTTTTGAGTGGCAGTGGAGTAGTGGCAGTAGTGGCAGTAGTGGAGGTAGTGGCATGAGCAGGGTTGTAACTCGTGGATATGGAAGGGGGTAAGTGGAGGTTTGTGTGGAGGTGAGTGGAGGTGAGTGGAGGTGTATGGAGGAGTGTGGACTGTGGATATATGACTGTGGATGGTGGATGGGGAAAGGACGACGGGATGAGAAGGATGAGGGGATTTTAGAAATGTTACAGTTTGTTAGTACGTTAGTATGTTAGAATGTTAGAATGTTAGTATGTTGGTATGTTAGTATGCATGTGGGCTATGCATACAAAAGCACAGTTTAGTACAAAATATGCTGTGGGGGTACATAACAGACCACACGTACTGTGCATTTTGCATTTTGCATCTTGCATCTTTGCACCTCCACACTAACAATGACACTACTGTACGCTACACCTCCTCTACACTACTCTTCCTTCCTTCTCCTCCTCCACACCAGCAACGCGCGTGTGAAAGTGGGCATCTGTGGGCATCTGTGGGTATCTGTGGGTATCTGTGGCGTTTGACCACGCAAAGCGGAGCATCTCTTCTTGCGGCCACGGGGTCGAGACGCTCTAGAGGACGTTGGGATCGACATTAGCTTCATTAACTTCCCCGTCCATACATACTACTAACTACTAACTACTAACGAAGTTGCTCTATTCTGTGGCGATGATGTCTTCGCACTGTTGCGTCAGGAAAAAATGGGCTGAAGCTGGCCGGTGGTGGGGCGGTAACCGATGACGGCGAGGTGCACAGTTAGAAGAGTATGTCATCGTCGCCGCCACCTACGCGCGCAGAGTCGCCGAGAGCGCTCTTTTTTCCCTCTTATTCCCTCTCTCACATGGAAAACCAACAAGCTGTAATCCTCTCTTATTGCAAGGAATCTGCCGTCGACACTAACCGCACACACGATAGTTACTCTTACTCGTCTCTATACGTACGCCTCCTACACAAACTGACAAGAGCATGGATACCAGGCAAGACATCAGCCCATGGGCGGAAATGATGTACCTGCCTCTGTCCATACACACTGAACTCTATACCCTGAACGACAGGGACGACAAGCCCAGACGGCAAACGGCGTGCATATCCTCCGAAATGCCCAAGCGCAAGCAATATCATCATCTCATTCATCTGTTCTCAGGGGACAGGGGACATGGGCAGGTAGGTAGGTAGGTGGGTGATATGATGCGCCTTTTCAGCTTCACTCCTCTCGGCATTACTTTTCGCAACACTGACCACTGTCCACTGTCCCCTTTGCAATCCCATCAGGTGATAACAACGCAACATAACACAACACAAACAGCACACTCCACCGCGCTCTCTGACCTGGCCGCCGACCACAGCGTGGGTAATCCATACAGCCATACAGAAACACACAGTACATGCTCAGATCTGTGGCGTCTGCAGCCATGGTGTGTGACCAACATGGCCCCAGTGCGACGCTAATCTCCTTTGCCAAAGATTACGAAGACGAACGAGCGCTGTTCGCGATTGGCCTGCGTATATCCGAGGGCGGCAATGTGCTTGGACGGCTTTTTTTTTGTGATGGGATGGGGACATGGAACAGCTTTTTGGTGCTTGGAAGATTTTATCTACTTCCGGGGACCGGCAAACAAGCTGCGATGGATGGATGATGGCCGTTTGCAACAATAACACTAATGCCGCGTCGTGCAGTGCCGCACTGTACATACAGTACAGTGCAGTACAGTAAACTTACAATACATACATCAACTTTTGTTGGTGGCTGTTGGACTGACTACATCTATCTCTATCTGCACTACTCGTACTCTATCACCCTGCCTGCCTGCCTGCCTGCCACTTCCATCCGTCCCCTTCAGCTCTTTCCGCCCTATTATGATCCGCAATCGTTGGCCGGGATATCCAGGGCGTCGTCGTTGAACCGACCGCGGATCCCTGACGCGCCCTGACTGATGACATATTGCCATCCTGCACCCTACAAAAATCGCCATGTGGACCTTGCATTGGACTAGGGTGGGTGGCCGCCTGTCTGGCCACCTCAGCACGCCTACCGTTTGTGCGTCCGTCGCTGTCATCTGTGCGTCGTCCCCCAGCAATTCCAATGCGTGAGACCGGGCGAGGATGAGAGCGAGGGCTGACGCGCAAAGGGACCTGAACTGAGATGTAAAACAATGCCGTTCTATGCGAGGCACCACCAAGCTCACCCTCCAAACAAAGCAGCAATGAGCAGCCAGACACATACTATATTCCTGCCATGCACGTGGGCCACACACCCGTGTGGAGCCCAGAGTCGTCGTATGCAGTAGAGCGAGAGCTACTCTATCTAGTGTGCCTCTTGCGCCTGCGCCGCTAGAACACCATACACCGCCAACAGTCAATCGCCTTGTTTCCCTCCATCAGTGCGCGTTTTCCCTCCAGCGCTGTTTCAGCGTTGGCGTTTTGGCGGTGGGGGGGGAGGAGCTACCAGGCCAAGAAAAGGGCAATCGCCACTGGATCGGCGCGTGTCTGCATGCTGCTGGGCTGCACGGACTGGATGGGATTTCACAGTGTGGATTCCCACGCGTACTTTTTGGGGGGGGGTGGGGGATTCAGGCTGTTTAATGCATGCCCGCCCTTTTAAACAGACTCGAGAGAGGAAGGAGGAGGAAGTTTCGTTGTGTTATCTCGGTTGGAGGTTTTCGAATAAGTCGCCGCTATTCTATCTACCCTACCCTACCTTACTACCTCCTGCAATGGCGGGATGCTGCTCAAGGATTTAGCTATATCTCCGCAGACAAGCTGGTTTGTGCTAACCTCGCCCACCACGTTGTGACGCACGAGAAGCACGGACGTTCTCGGGGATAAATGCGAACCTGGTCACTCTTACAATCTCAAGGGAATGGGGATGGGTACTATAGGCATGGTCAGTCGGTCGCCAGGCAGGCAAGCAAGCGATCGATAGTGCTGGACGTACTGTACTATATCGTATGTACATGCACCGCAATACACGGACGGCAACAACGGACCCCAAATGCAAGATAGACATCACCATACCGCCGCGCATTTATCCCCGAGAGAGGGCGTCAAGCTTTCATTACCGACTCCTGCACTCGCGGCATTAGCTCCTGCCAGGGTCCGTCTCTCCCATCGATTTTGTGTACAGTACATACAGCATACAGTACAACAGAGTCTATAACGAGCGAGCGAGCTGCCGCTTACGACTTCCTAAACCTCTCTCCCTCTCTCTCTCCATCTATCCTATCACCCATCCTTCGCCCAGCTTGCGAAGAAAGAAAGAAAACCAGTCTCGTCGCATGATTCCAGTCTATCACATCTCCACCACGCTGGCAGGAAGGGGAGCACCACTCATCGATGCCGAGATGGTGACGTGTGTATGCCGACGCAAGGGGGGACAGCTATAGCTCCCCCCCTTGCGTCGGAGCTCTCAGGTGACGGCGAAATGTGTTCAACGAGAGTACTGTCGTTATGACATGTACCCTCCTGCTGCGGGATATCTCACACCGTTCTGTCTTTTGTGCTTGGCACCTGCGGTTATTTCAGGACAGCACAGCACAGCATAGAATAGCACAAAACTGGCACTGGCAGTCCTCCGACCTCCGACATCCGAGTGTAGATCAAAACCCCGCGACATCGCGCGAGCGCGGCACAGGAGCTTCGAAATCCACACTCGTAAACGTACTCGTACGGTACAAATCTCAAACTAGAGCGAAATGACATGACACGACAGCCTCACCCACTGACGCTATCAACCAGCAAACCCCGACGACGCCGTTCCATTTCCCACAGCGCTCCGGATGCCTCGCATGGCAAGCTCCGGCGGGATAGGGATGTAAGCTTGATGTCTGTGCGGGGAATGGCGGGCGGCGGGCGCGGGCAGTCGTATCTCGCACCGGCGGCGCGCGCTGGGGACGCGCTACCAGCCCGCTCCACTGCAACTCCATTTGAAGGAATATCCCGATTTGTGTGCATCGAGGTCCATATGGATGGCATGTATCGACACGCCGAGTTCCTGTTTCGCTCGCGGTGTCTCGGGCGTTGGAGGAGAGAGGCGTAAGCTGGCCTAGTTATAGTAGAATGGGTCGATTTTATGGTTCTTGCAGGTGTGGGATATTCCATCCGTGGATCTCGAACGGCCGTTGAGAAAAGAGGCGTTCGTTAGAGTAGGATAGAGGGATATATGCTTGTCACCAGCACGGCATATTCCCTATGAACCCCGAACGGGGAAGCTATGGAGACGCTGGGTGGTGAGGTTTCAGTTGACGGCCAAAGAAGTAGTATAGACTTCTTCTCTCACCCATCAAAGGGTGGATACTCTGACCTCATTCCTACTACGCTGTGGCTTTCTTCTTCGGCTTCGATGGCAAGTTGACATCCGTCCGCGCCATTAATTCGAGGCGGGGCGGGCGTGGGCGGGTGCGAAACCGCCGGGATGGGGAGGTTGTTGCTTTGACTTCCTCGCATTGCGTCTGTCGAGTGTACTGACCTCTACTGTGAGGCCGTCGGGCGTCGAAGCCATACATACGCACACTCCCTCCCCGTCTCACCTCAACCCATCAGGGAGGAAGCAGGTCCGCCAAGAGTGGACAGCGGTCATGCAGAATATCCCGCTCGGGATCCACTCAGGATGCACGCCGCTGCGTCGGGCTGGGGCTAGTGCTGGTGTGGTATAGTATGCTTAGATGTTCTGCAAGTTTGGGAGGATGGGGGATGGGAAGAAGGAGGGGGAGGGGAAGATGGCTGATCGTTTCTTGTTTCTTGATGCTTAGTGAGGCGGGAAGACGGAGGGGCTTATGAGTGATGGCTAGCTAGAGTGAGAGAGTCAGAGAGGGGGAAGGAAGAGTCTGCACGCACTGCTTGCTTTCATGCAAAACCACCTCAAACCGACACAGAGCACTCACTCACCACAACCACAAGATATCGCACCACTATACCCCCCTCCCTTCGTTATACCATCCACCCAAAACCCACCCGCATACCCCCCCCATCCAGTGACACAACTCCATCCCATACCATCCATCCATCCCCACCCCTCCCTCCCCTGTCTGCCACATGGCACTCACGTTCCCCCCATTGCCGACCCAACCCAACCTAGTTGATCACCGCCATAGCCCGGCTGGAGAAACACCCACCCTACCCTGCCCTGCTTTCAACGCTGTTGCGCTCTGGCCCCTCCTTACGAGGCCTGAAAGGCTTCCTAACCACAGCAGCCATGTTCGATCTTCTCCTCGGAGCGTGCCGTGTGGGGTTGTATCGTATCGTATCCTCCACGCCCTGGCGCGGCTGATGAAGTCCGTACTGGAAAGGGAGTGGAGGGGTGTCAGGCGTGCAGACGATCGCGACGCACCGGGGGAAGACAACCATCGAATGAAGAGGGAGGGACGGGGGGTGGGGAGGGGAGGGTCAAACGGTAGCTTGGATTGGCACTCGCATCAGAAGGCTTCGGTTCTGGGGAGGAGGGAGGTAGGTGCGCCGCTTGGGAGGCTGGTTAGGTGTCCACACCTTACCTTCCTTTTTCTTCTAATTTGGCGGGTTTGAAGACTAGAGGAAGGGCGTGACTCCGCGCCGTTTTTGGGACAAGTAGGTTTGGTCTTGGGGGAGTTTGATGGGTAGTGGGTTCCGCAATTATATGACGAGGGCGTTATGGTCGTGCATTCTTCCTTCCTTTGTTCCTTCCTTCCGCGGTATATTAAATACTGGAACTGACGTACTGCACAGCCGTTAAGAGACCCTAAAACTGCACAGCACAAGTACCCCATCCATCCCCTCCTACAGACCCTTTCTTCCAGGGATTAATCTCGGAGCTTGCGGGCGCCGAGAGAAAACGGCATTTAGAAGAGGCAGTTGTGTTCTGCAACAGTTACCTGGAGTCTGCACTGCACTGACCCGACCACCTGCATCTTTAGCAGCAGCAGCCAACCCGTCTCAGAAGAAAAATCGCGGCGAGACAGCATTTGCTCCGCTGTAAGCTAGAGAATCTTAAGCCTTGTTTTTTGGCAAACTTGCCCTGCCGCCTCGACAACATAAAGTTCTCCACTTTGCTATCTGGTCTTTTTTCTCCACTTTTGAGGGTGTGGATAGAGTGTTCCGCTTTTTTACGGAGTTGTGCTAACGGTCTTGCCACGTGGGTCGAGAGTAGCACTTTTGGTTTGGGGTAGATGGGGGATGGGCGGTTTTGTTAGGATGGTGTGGTGTGGAGGTGGTTGTGGATTATCTTCTCGCGCTACAAGTGTTTGGCATGAGGCGATGTACTGTACGATGAAGGTACTGATGATGGTACTGATATGTCAATCTACGTCGAAGGAAAAAATAATCCCAGGTCCGGGCCCGACACTAACCAGGGACAAGACAGACGCCCCATACAACACGAGATACGCCATGACACAAAACTCCTCGTCGTCCAAATTATACACTCCAAAGGCCTCCATTCCAGCCTCCTCCCATCGCAGACCCGGGATCTATCTCATTTACTCAATATTACATATTACATCCCATCCTCACCAGGTCCTCCCCAGCACCCACAGCAGATTTTAATGTCCGATGCACGCAGCGTACCCCCAGGGTCTACTAATGAGGAATACGATTTCCGACACCCTGCACTAGCCGCATGCGCGACCCCACGCTGCCTCTTTGCGGCTATAGCGAGGGAGTCTTATACCTAAGAGGGGCCCGGTAGGTCTGTGCGCTGGTTGTTTGCGGAATCAGGGAGCTTGGGGGGTGATTTGATGCATCTCATCTGCCAAAGGCGTTGTAGGAGGGATTCTTGACGTCGCTAATTTGAGATTCAGGGAGAAGCCGGCCTCTTTGAGAGGAGATACCCGGAGATGAGGCGGAGCAGGTGCATACAGCGCTGCCAGCTGCCCTGCAGCTCTCAAGGCAACATCAGCGCAATACTCCTCCCTCCCCCATGAGGACAACCTCCGCGCACCAGAGGGACAGATATCTCGATATCTCAAATGACAGCTGCAGCACAACATCCCAGCTCTCCCTCTCCATCCCATCTCCACAACAATGGGCCAACCCCGGTCTTGCGTCTCGACAAACAACATCAGATGATCTCGTGACCTCCCACCCCTTTTTCCCCCGACATGATGCATCCAAGAGGATCCAGCATGCATCCAGGAGGGTCCCAGCATCGGTGCTTCCGTACTCCCTGTCCTGGTTTTGTACAATATATGTAGAGTGCTAAGAGCCGGGTATGGCAGCGGGCGGGTATATAGGCAGTCGGCACCGATTTAGCCGCTGCGGGGCCGGGGGAGGGGGAGTGAGGTGTGGTGGGACAGGCGGCAGATGGGATGTTATGTTGGTTGGGTTTGGCGCTGGAGGGGGCGGTGAGGTGGTGTGCGGGTTTGTTGGGGTGGCATGGAGGTGTGTCTCTCTGCGAGCGTGGTTAGTGAGGGCGCTTGGGGAATGGGGGGAGGGGGGTTATGGATTGTTATTGCTGGATGATGAGTGTGGCGGCGCGGCGCTTGGGATATGGAAGCGTAGTAGAGGTATGGACAGCGAGGACTGGGGAGTGGAAGTTTAATGTGGATGATGGTAAGGTAGGTAGGTGATGGGTATTTGTAGGTAAGCTTTTGATTTCATTAGTATATGGCGTTTCGATTGGGTAGGTTGGAGGTTTGGGTTATTGGTTTTTTAAAATATGAATATATATATTGCGGTCTTTATATTATAATTAAAAATCTTAGCATGTTGTTACAGCTGCCGCCGGGATTATATGACCATTATTGCTTTCCTCGTGACGCTTTATGAAAAGAGCAGCCGAAGAATTTTATATAAATGTTAGGATATATATATATATTATTGTGTTTTTAAAGTCTAGAGAATTCCAGGGACAGCTACAACCATGTGGTATAAGTATAAGGCACGACTCTATATCTTCGGACTGTCATATAACCCTCCCATATATATCTCTTCTATCATCAAATAAACTCAGCCCTGCAGGACCTTCCCCAATCTCCTTAAGTTTCCAAGTTGGAGCCATCATATCCATTGACCAACTTTCATCCGCCACTCTCACCCCACCCTTTAGCTCCTCCCGATCACCATTTCACTCCCTCTCCCGGCATTCTTCAAAGCCAATATGTCTTTTCAAACACTCAATAAATACACATGGTGTGTATATGCGCCTGGCCCCCGGTCTCTCACATGGCTTACCCCAAACCCGTTCGACCCAGCGCCCACAGCAACGGCCCATGCCCTGTCCACCTCCCAACTCCCAGCAACACCTCTGTACAATTCCATTATTAGCAAGCGCTTTTGAGATTATCTGGTATATCCCGCCTTTCTTTGCCACCTGCGGTGCAAATTGTCGTGGGAGGTCGAGCGGTTGATGGGGAGGCGAATAGGGTGTTTGGTATGATATTTTCAGCGCATCAAATTATGTTCTCGTGTTGGCAGGGAGAGACACACATAAGATGTATAATACGCCTATGGTAGGAGTGTTAGCTGTATTTGGTATGGTTCGAAGTCTACGATATACAGTAACTGCCCTGAGCTAGATATGGAAAAGGGCGAGAGAGGAACTGTCGGCCCAGGTATTATATCGGCCAGCGGGAGAGATTTGGGGAGCGAGAATCAATTCCCACTCGCCCAGCATTGCTATAAAAGTTCTATTGTTGCTTTATATTATCAGGGGCAGAAAGGAGGGATGCGCGCGGGAAGAGAATGGAGTTTCAATGTGCTGGTAACAAGGCGCTGGGAGCAGCGTCTGTGAGTATAAAGCGTGTATCTGACTATACAGTCAGTAGTTCCGATCATGTGTCTATAAGTGAATTCACATCAGGAAGAGCTTGAGGAAGTTTCAAATACCGTGTTTTGAATCTATGCCGCGGCGGGGTATAATATCGGGTTAGCATATTCTGCGGCGGGGCATATGATAATGCCTCATAAAATGGTATTCCATGTTTATATGATCAGCCGGTGAACTCGAACTGCTTTTATCTCCTTTCTGCCAGCTCTAGACGAGCTCTGAAAGAGCGAAAGAAGAAAGCGGCGTGGGCGGCAAGGGGCGGCAGAGCGAGGAGCGGGTCAGCTGGCACACCGAAAGGGGTGGACGCCTTGGCAACCACCACCCCCCCTCTTCTTAGAAGTATGTACGCGCTCATAAAAATAGGCGGACCTTTGTAATATTAAAGACTTGTTATTGTCCTTCCGATCTTACACTTCATCTTCACTCCTACACACTTGCCCAATCCACCTTCTTCATCCACCACGCGTCGAACTTCATCTTTGCTCTTCGCATTTATCAAAACCACTCCAATCATCGAAGTCTCTTGCAAGAAAGCATGAAAATCTAAATCCAATTCCAATTCTAACTTCTAGCAATTCTTCAAACAAATCTTCAAAAGAACTTGCAAGAAGACAAACATGGCTTCGCCATCACCCAACCTCCTACCTCCTCCCCCCTCCCCCTCCTTCCCCCCATTCGAAGACATCGTTCACTCCGAGTCTGCCCTCCTGAAACATGTCAGCCGCAACTACGCGCACACCTCTTTTGAGACCTTCACCGCCGAGGGCTACGTTGATTTCGCATACACCGTTGAGAATATGCGCTGGGCCGCCTTTGCGCAGGGAGACATCGAGCCCTTGCCACGTAGGGAGATGGATCGGCTGTGGATCAATATTGTGATGGAGTTCTGGGTCAAGATGGCCTGGTGTTGGGAGGGAGACGTGGAGGGGGTTGTTATTGCATTGCTTGATGTGAGTTTTTCTTCTTGTTCTTTTATTGGGCTTAGATCGGGGGGATGTTTGGCTGACTTGGTAAAGAGAGAGGATGGGAAGGGAGTCGAGGAGATGTGGGAGGATAGGAAGATGGACTATCCGGAGTTGAATACTAGAGTGAGTTTTGCTTTCGATCTGATCTTGCGATGAAGTGGGAGATGATGGAAGACTAACTAATGTGAACCTAGCTTTGCTATCCGATGATTGGGCACAAGGGCATCTTTGAGGATTACCTTGATCTCGGTATCCGCGCCGTGATTAACCCAGAGATCCGCTGCTATCTTGAGAAGATGGAAGATGGAACTAACTATGACTCTGAGAGCGAGCTTGGAGAGGCGGTTTATAGCCTTGATCTTGATGGATTTGATCCCGAGGACGATGCTGAGGGGGATACTGAGGTTGAGGAGGCCACCGGGCTTGAAGATGATGCTGGGATCGATGATGCTAAAATTGATGACACTGAGATCGATGATGGTGAGATCAATCATGCCGAGATCAATCATGCTGACGGGGGTGCTGAGGCTGAGGAGGCTACTGAGATTAAGGAGAATGCTCAGATCGATGATGCTGAGATCGATGATGGTACTGCGTTCTTGGAAGCTCTTGACGCAGCTATTGAGAAGGCAACGGCAGAGATGGAGGCAGAGGGCATGGGTAAGGGTGATCTGGGGAGCGGTTTTAAGATAGCTGGAGCTGACTTTTATGTTATAGTATTTGAAGAGTCAGACGAGGATGAGAATGAAATCAAGATCAAGGAGGAGGATGAAGGTGCTGAGACCTCTATTTATGGGATCCCGGAGGCTGTTTCTAACCTTCACTTGACAGAGTCTGGCAACAAAGATGATGTTGACAAAGTGGTCGACGACATCAAGCAAGAAGATATCAAACAAGAAAAGGATGTCAAGCAAGAGAAAAATATCAAGCAGGAGAAAGATATCAAGAAAGAGGAAGATGGTACTGGCACAATCACCTACCCAATTAGGAGCGCCATATCAAATCTCCGCCTGACAGAGTCGGTGCAGAACATTCTTGCTAATACCCAGGCCACCATCCCAGCCCCTGAGATTGGCTTCACTCCTCCCAACCCACCAAGCCGCCTTGGAAATGCCACCTTGGCCCCTGATGCTGCCATCCCAACCAGCCACTATGCAGCTGGGCCACCCATGGATGGACCCAGTTCCCCTGGACCCAGTGCTAGCAGAGCGGCAAACAATCTCCGCGAGGCGGTGGGGAGACTTTCCGCCGAAGAGGCGGGCATGATTATAGTAAAGGCGGTTATGATGCAACATCCAATCAAGAAAGAACTGGTCGACATGCTCCCATTCCTGGCCAACATTCCATCGAGTACCGTTTTCCGTGGCGAAAATGGCTTTCAGAAACTCCTCCCTAACGTAGCCCCTGAGGCCATGACTTCCCCAAGAGTGCAGACAACGGGACTATCTGGATCCTACAAAATATTCCATGGAGTTTCTCACTTAATTCCCCGCAATGAGGACCCAGCTCCAGCTCCGAAGGATATCATCTGCGACACATTTGACATGGCATACGAAGATGCCTGTAAAACTCCTGGATTCTGGGAGCACCCCATGTGGAATGGAGTCGAAGTTTATAAGATGTCTCCTTTGGTCCTTGCTCAGCACTATGCGGCCCACAAAGAAGCTGCTGCTTTCCACGCCAAACCCTTTGTCTTCAACCCAACCCGGGTCTTCCAGGCCCCAATTGCTGCCAACGTTCCAACCCCTGTTTTCCAGGCCCCGACTGCTGCCACCATCCCAGCTCCTGTTTTCCAGGCCCAAACTCGTTGTTACAACCCAGCTAATCCCTTCCATGCCCGACGCGCTGTCCACTACCCAGGTCTTCTTTTCCAGGCCCAGACCGGTACTCACTATCCAGCGCCTTCTTTCCATGGTGCCAACTACCCAACTCCCAACACAGCTCCTTTGTCCCAGGCTGATTTCTACGCTGCCAACTACCCGACTCCCTACGGGCCTCTAGGTTTCCAAGTCCCACCCCCCGTTTCCAGATTTGCCACCAACCCAGCTCCAGGTTTCCAGGCCCCTCCCCCCGTCTCCAGATTCGCCTCCAACCCAGCTCCTCCTTTCCAGGCCCCTCCCCCCGTCTCCCGATTCTCCGACCCCAACCACATCCACCTCAACTACCTCGCCACCCCCCCAGCACCACCAATCTTCATCAACCTCACCGCAGCCGACTTCAAAGACCTGTACTCCCCCCCCCCCAACCTGACTGCCGCCTACTTCGAAAAAATGGACAAGTATGGAATGCACGACTACTTGCCTATGCCGAGGAAGCGCCAGGATCCCAAGATGCGCCAGGATCCCAAGATCAAGATCGAGGAGGACGAGGAGGAAGAGGATTTCAAAATGGCGAATGAGAGATGCTACTCTGACTCTGTGCTTGCGAGGAAGAGGGCCCGTGATGTGGAGGAGGGGGATGAGGAGGTGGGAGTTGAGCGCCCGAGGAAGTTCAGTGGATGAGGGGTTTTTACGATTACAGTGACTGAGATGGATTTTGTTTGCTTTGAGTTACTGGATGGGCTGTTTTCGGATTTCAGTTACTAGTTTTTGTTTTTTTCTGTTTTTTTCGCTCGTGGCGAACAAAGAGACGCTTGGGGACTCAAAGGATGGGGACGGAGGAGGGTCACTGGTCGCGGAATATTTGTTGTTTTTGTCTTGAGAGACGTGCGTGCGTGCATAGTAACTGAGAACTGATTTGATTCGGATAGTGAGAATCAAAGAAACTATTGTTGATAATTACTCATGTGGCCTAAAATGTGAAGAGTGACTGTGCAGAACTACAGCGATGACAGAAACTGTAACTACAATAAAATCATTTAATTACTAAAGGCAATAATCAATACACCAGTTCGCTCATAAATGGTGGTCAAGAGATAAATTTTATCATCATAAATATTCGGTATCAATCCTCAGGTAGCACGATAACTTTCCAGAGTTTGAGGCACCAGCAAATATTCAAAAGAAGTTCGTTCTCCTATGGTATCATTAAAAACGCCAACGCTCCACAAATCCACCCAACCAAAGCCCCCTCCACCCCAATCAAACCCCCTTCTTCCCCTCATCACTACTCCCCTCCTCCTCCTCCTCATCATCACTCTCCACCGCCGGACTATTCATCCCCCTCCTCCTCCTCTCCCCCCTCTCCTTCATCGCCCCGCGAATCTTCATCGTCACCTCCTCAAAATTCTCCTTCCCATCCAGCGTACTAAATGCCTTAATCGGAAACCCAGCCGACCCAAACGCACCCCCAACACTCGAGCTACGGCTTCGACTCCTACTACTCGGCCGCGTGGCAAAGAACCCATAGTTCCCGATACTATGGAAGGAATCGTTGCGACTGATCGCCTCGGCGCGTAGACCCGCGCTGCCTGCAGACAGCGGGCGCTCGCCAGCAGCGGATGGGGGGCTGCGGGGGGCGCCGTCCGTGGTGCCTGAGGCGTTGGAGTCGCGACGGGAGGCACTGAAGTCGTTTGGGGGTGTGGGAGGGGTTAGGGCGCCGTCGTGGAAGGGGTCGGCGACGATGCGAGCGGCGTCGAAGTCGGGGAACATTTCGGGGCCGAAGGTGTTGATTAGGTCTGTGACTTCGTGGCTGAGTTGTTCGCGCGTGGCTTGGAGTTTGTAGAGTGGGTTGGAGCTTGTGGGGTTGAGGCAGAGGAAGAGGGGGCGGAGGGACTTGACGATGTCCATTCCGACTTCGCCGAAGCGGAGGGCGGCGAAGGTGATCATGGGGAAGACGGTGTAGCCGATAGGTGGGATCCACCAGAGAGGTAGGGATTCAGGGACGAGGCCGTTTACTCGGGTCTTGTAGGTCCAGATAACAAGGATGACGGTGTAGAAGGTGTAAAGCAATGGGGCGAAGGCCATGGAGACGAGAAGTTTCCAGGTGGCAACAACATCGCGTGCCTGGATCTTGACTGTGCTCGCTGCCAACGCCTCACGGGATTTCTTGATGGAGATCAATTTCGATGCAATGAAGACTGGTCCGAAGAGGATGAGGCCTGGAAGCACACCGATCGAAAGAGTCGCGAGCTTGATGATCCGGCCGATAAGAAGGAATATAACTTTGATGAGCGAGAGCTTCGCATATTCAACTTGATGATCACGCAGATTAAGATATTTGAGCTGCTTGTTGTACTCGAGAACGGATTTCTTGAGAGCGACAGTTCGAGGGTCGTCTTTGTAGTGCGTGTAACCCTTAACAAGACGTCTGTTGAGCTCCACAACCATAGGCAAGGGCAATTTCTTGCCAGTCGGGTTATATAGTCGCCTCGCGGCTTGGATAAGCATGAGAGTGTCGTAATCCGGGCTTGTAACAGTGACGGCCACCAATGACTGGTATACCGTCTCCAAAAGCTGGCTGACGGCTTCCCGCCTTTCGCCCTGCTTATACATCTCGACAAGCTTCTTGGGCACTTCGACAGGATTACCGAATTCGATAACGGCACGAGAGCGGAACTTGTGGGCGTGGAAATAATTCATGCCACAGGGAATGATCTTCAAGCCACTATCCGGTGCGGCCGCCAAAGCTCCGAGGGCCATAATCGCGACACCAGCCTTCAAGGGCAAAAGCTCGGTCCTGTCGTGGCTTCCTCCTTCTGGGAAGATTCCGACAGCGCCACCAGCGCTCAGGCGATCAAACACGGCGTCGTAGACCTTCGACTGGTCGACTTTAGGAGCAGTCTTGTATCTCGTGCCCGTAAACTCTGCCGCCGGCCCTTTCTGTTCCTGGTTCGAAAACGCTCCGTCCTCAGTCACATCTTCACGTCCAGTAAGCTGGCTGAGGGCAATACCGCCCTTGAATGGTTTCTTGAGTCTCAACTCTTCGGGACCCAGGACTTCCGCAATTTCAGTGCTGGCCGCAGTGCCGTTCACAGACGGCAGGACAAGAAGCCCACCAATCTGGATCTCTGGGCCATCGAACTTGGTGCCATTGCCGCGTATGAGAAGACGATCGTTGATATCGGGCATGTATATACTTCCTGTCGCCGGCTTGACCATATCCAAAGCTCTTCCGACAGGCACAGCGCCCACATGTCTCGAAAACCATCCGATAAATTTTCTCCTGATCGACTTTTCCGCAATGAGGAAGGCAACGCGTCGATGAGCTTCGATTCTCAGCGTCCGCATCAGCACCAACGGGTCAACAAACTGCATAACCGTTAGCTTCAGCCCATCTCAAGCTTTCACACCATGGCGTTTGTCAGAGCTCGAACAACACTTGTGGACGATTGGGCATAGACGGACACCACCGACACCAATCGTCACCATACCACACTTGTGGATGACAGTGCATTGACGAGCACCACCGACACCAATCATCACCACACCACACTTCCGAACGACAGTGCATTGCCAAACAGACCCCTCTACTCAACATACCTGATTCGCATGCGGCGCCGCCACAAAAATAACCGGCCCCCTCCTCGGCACCTTCCAGCTCCCCCGCGGATGCACCTCCCGAAAGAACAAATCAACAAGAATACTAAACGTCCACAAAAACACATCATACACCCAGTTCGTCATCGGATTCGACTCCTTGTGCGCCGCCTTCCCCACGCGCACCGACGGCTGGGCCCCAACGCGGCCATCGGCGTGCGTGTCGATGGCGTTCTGCGACTCGCGGACGGACGCCATGGTTGGGTTTGTGACGAGGCCAACGCGAGAAGTGTCGAGGGCGCGGAGTGGTGGTGTCGTGGGCGGGCAGGAGTCTCTTCGTGGGCAGACTTTGGAGAGAGAGAGATAATCGGAGTTGGGGTTTGGTGGGGAGCTTAGCTAGCTTTCTTAGCTTCAGATTTGACCACAGCGTATGTTTTGTATCAGGCTAGTAGCTGTTTCGAAGAAGGCATTATCTTCTTCACTTCCATCAAGCTTTTCGTTTATCTCGAATGTATAAAATATGATGATATAAAAAATATCTGAACGAGCAACGACGATGCGGGGAGTTGATGTGATGTGACGTGACGTGAGAGCAGCAGGCAGTAACTATACATACGAAAGTATTGATATGGGGAAAATCTTTGGTGGGGAGAATCAGTCGCCAATGTGGGGAGAGGTGATGACGAAAAGATACTAGCGTGCCTGCGCCTAGCAAAGACCAACAGTAGCAAAATAGCGATCCCACAGCCTATTGGACACCCCAAGGCATCCACAAAAACGGCAACATCGATAGTCGTATCGTAGACTTATTGTTAGAGATAGTATCCTGCAGCAGTCTGTTTTTGCCTCAAAAAACCCGCCCAACAAAACCCTCCTGCAGCCCCCACCACGGCTGCTCTCCAACGCTGTATCAGGGAGGTGCCTTCCAATCCTCCAACGCTCTCACCCCGAAAATCCCGGTCTAGACCCTACGATACCAACCCGGCGAATTCTCTCCCTCGCCGCCGAGCGTTGGGCACTTCCCCGACCCTGAGATCCGGGGGGACGCAAAGCGAAAGCGGGTTGGTTCCCCACTGGAACGGCCCTTCTAGATGGCGAATAGCCTGAAATGGGGCGATTCGGGGGAGCCGTATTATCTAACTTGAGTCTGGCCAAGAGGCATTTTTGCACTTGGCTTTGCTCATAGCACGCTATTCCTGCAGTATATTTTTCTTTGCATGTGGCGTTGCGTCTGATCTGTGTCACTAACGACGCTTTATCGATGTAGGTCTGACGTTTGGGCGTTTTGTTGTGGATCTGATCGGTCGCCGAGGTTGATCTGATATGGTTATATATCGATCCATCGGCCCAGATGGCAATCACATGACAGTAGTTTCGTGGAGTAACGCACCACAAAGATGCTTCATTTATATCATACATTCATAAATCATACAGTACGAAACTGCCTATGTCCAGAACCAGAACCACTACGCCAACCAGGTATCTCTCATCTCCAACCCACGCCCCAAAAGCAAATACACACCCCTCCCCCTCCCCAACCTCAACCCTGCGTCTTCTTCTTCTCCTTCTCAACCTTCAGCTCCAACAGCTCAACAGCTCAACATCCCAACCTCACCCCTACGCCTTCTTCTTCCCCTTCCCCTTCCTCCCCTTCTCCTGCTTCACCTCCGGCGGCGGCGGCGGTAAACTGACCGTCCCCTCCCTAACCTCCTCCCCCAACTCCCCCTCCAACCCCCTCACCTTCTCCTGACTACTAATAAAAAACCCCAAATCTCGATTCTGCTCCTTCAAATCCACATTCTCATCCCTCACCTCCTTCACCTCTCTCCTCACCCTCTCGAGCGCCTCATTCAGATGACCCACCCGATCCATCAGCCCGCGCCCAACCTGCTTCTCCTCTTGAAACGCCTTCGTCATGCTCCGCGCCAGCTCACCCGCCTTCTCGGCTTTAGCAGCCATGCGATCGCGATCGCGCTGTAAGCCAGGGATGACTTCCTCCTTCATCTCCCTATGTTCCCTTGCCATCACCTCCAGCTGCCCCCTCACCTCCTCCACCGCCCTCGCCGCCCGCTCCGCCTCCCTCGCCGACCCAGCCGCCTTATCCACCGCCTTCGCGACTACCTCCTCGAAATACATCCTCTGCGAATCCAGCTGCGTCGCGAGCATATGCCCGTACTCAATCCCAATATTCTCCATCTTCTCCCTCGGCACCATCTCCAGATCCTGTTGCTGTTCGCCACCGCTGGCATCTCGATTATTATTCCCCCCACCAAGCACAGCCCGACTACTCCCAGGTAACTCCACAATCTTCCCATCCCCCTTCGTCTGCAGCAGCCGATGCACCCACACATCCTCCGCATAATCCCAGACATGCTGCGTCGTCGTCTCGAGCGAGTAATTATGCGCCGTCTCCTTCCAATGCTCCTTCGCGTGTCCCCCCTTGTAGCGACCACACCCCACGTTCCCGCAGATGAGACAGATCCATAGATCCTCGGGACAATCGCAGACTTGGCACAGATTGAGATCGTGCGTCGCGGCAGTAAATCCAAACGGCGTGCTGAGCGAATTAGCAGGCTGAACGTGCCGACAAACAGGACAGCCTGAACCGCGCCATTTCTGGAGACAGGCGCAGTGGAAGACGTGTTGGCAGAGGATTGTTAGGAGGCCGGTGGTTTCGTCCATGCGCTCGAGGCAGACGGGACAGGTGGGGAGTTCGACGAGGGAGGCGGTTGGGGGGGGGAGGGGTTTGAGGGCTAGTGGTGAGGTGGGGGGGGAGGGGGAGAAGGTGGAGTGGGTTGGTGTGAAGGGGTCGAGGGACATGTCGGGGAAGGAGGCGGTGGTGTCGGTTTGCTTGGAGGAGGGGAGGGTGTCGTAGTGGATCGATTTGATGAACATGACATGGCAGTTTTCGGGCTGTAGAAAAAGAGGAAACAGTTAGTAGCTGGTCGGTTCCCAGTATCAGATGAGACGGGGCGCAACATACCTCCATCCCATTAAACACCTTCCCATCCCACTCCCTCCTCCACTTCCTCGCCTCCTGCCCATCCCGAAACTTCATAAGCATCATATACCGATTCATCCTCCCCGTCATCACCATCCTAAAATGGCTCACCAACTCCCTCGTCTTCTCCCCAACCCACCCCAAAAAATCACTCGCAGTCATATAACTCGGCACCGCCGGAATACAAAGCATCGTCGTATCCAGCCCCTCATTCCCCTCCACCACCCCTTCCAGTCCCTTTCCCCCCTCCTCCCCCTCCCCCAACCCCACCGTCTCCTCCCCCTCCCGATACAAATGCACAATCCCCCACCCCAACTCCTCCTCTCTCCCCCTCAACCTCACCTCCTCAACCCTCGCTCTCATCCCCTGGCTCTTCGCCCCGCTCCCGCCTCCCTCCATCTCACCCATCTGTATACTCGACGCCCGAACACAGCCAAATCGCCAGTCGCGCGCTGCTTCCTCCGCGCTGCGTCTACCAAGCGGCGCGGGCAAAAACTCGTGCGGGGAGTAGTCGCGGTGGATATCTGCGCGGCGGGGACCGCAGTCTATTACTGACCCACGGCGTCCCTGGGTGGGGGTGTTTCGCGCGTCTGTGACGTCGGTGGTAGGGTGTTGTGTAGTTTCGTTTGTAGCTTTCGTAGTAGTAGTAGTGGCGCGATAGTCCTTATCTCCCACAACAGGAAGCTTAAAGTGATTCGGCAGAGAATCCGAGAATGACACCGGTATAGCAGGTATCTCGTCATCCACGTCGGGAGCTGTTTTGTCGACAAAGGTCGTGGGGGGTTCGGGGAAGAGCTCGAAGCGGAGGTGGTAGAAGTAGGCTCGGTTCGTCATGGCATAGTTATCTGGGGGGTGTGGTGATAACGGCAAATGCCGGTGATGGGCGTGTTGGCATGGAAGTTAATTGTTGGAGACAGGAAAAGAGGTAGCCTTGCTGGATGGATGTTGCAATATACAGTTGGGATTGTCTGATGTTGGGTGGCGGGGTAGGTGTTTATGTAGTGCCATTTTTTGTGGCAAGGGCGGAATTGGAGATTAAGACGCAAAGCAACGCATGATTCACACGATAATGGCAAAACAATCCTACTGTTTTCGAAACTGGCACATATCACAATATCACATTATCAAGAATATCAAAGGTTAAATTTCATAGCGACGAAATGTATTATTTTACTATCGCTTTGGGGTCATTTCAGATATCCCCATAATACTGTTATGTATGTACTAAGAGCCCATTGCCACCTAGGTATATGACCAATACGCCGTAAAAAAGAGAGAAAACCACATCCAAGCTAGCCTATTGGCCGCCACGAAGACGGAGCACCAAGTGAAGCGTGCTCTCCTTTTGGATGTTGTAGTCGCTCAGCGTCCTCCCATCCTCGAGCTGCTTGCCCGCGAAAATCAGGCGCTGCTGGTCCGGTGGGATACCCTCCTTATCCTGAATCTTGGACTTGACGTTGTCAATGGTGTCCGAAGACTCAACCTCGAGAGTAATGGTCTTTCCGGTCAAGGTCTTGACGAAAATCTGCATACCACCACGGAGGCGGAGAACAAGATGTAGCGTAGACTCCTTCTGGATGTTGTAGTCAGACAGGGTGCGGCCATCCTCGAGCTGCTTGCCCGCGAAAATCAGGCGCTGCTGGTCCGGTGGGATGCCCTCCTTATCTTGGATCTTAGACTTGACGTTATCGATGGTATCCGACGACTCGACTTCTAGCGTAATTGTCTTTCCGGTGAGGGTCTTAACGAAGATTTGCATACCACCGCGAAGACGGAGAACCAAATGCAGGGTCGACTCCTTCTGAATGTTGTAGTCCGACAGGGTGCGGCCATCCTCCAACTGCTTACCGGCAAAGATCAGGCGCTGCTGGTCCGGAGGAATACCCTCCTTGTCTTGAATCTTCGACTTGACGTTATCAATGGTATCGGATGATTCCACCTCAAGCGTAATCGTCTTTCCCGTAAGAGTCTTGACAAAAATCTGCATACCACCGCGAAGACGAAGGACCAAGTGAAGAGTCGACTCCTTCTGAATGTTGTAGTCGGAGAGAGTGCGACCGTCCTCCAGCTGCTTGCCCGCGAAAATCAGGCGCTGCTGGTCCGGAGGAATGCCCTCCTTGTCCTGGATCTTCGACTTCACATTGTCGATGGTGTCGGACGACTCAACCTCCAAAGTGATGGTCTTGCCCGTGAGGGTCTTGACGAAGATCTGCATACCACCGCGAAGACGGAGGACCAAGTGGAGGGTCGACTCCTTCTGGATGTTGTAGTCGGAGAGGGTGCGGCCGTCCTCAAGTTGCTTGCCGGCGAAGATCAGACGTTGCTGGTCCGGGGGAATTCCCTCCTTGTCTTGGATCTTGCTCTTAACGTTGTCGATGGTATCGGACGACTCGACCTCAAGGGTGATGGTCTTGCCAGTCACTGCGGAGCGTTGTTAGCTGATGTTGTTGTGGTGGAAAGGTGAATTCATGAAGGTGGCGAAAGCCATTACCGCCATGAAGTGAGGGGGCGAAACTTACGAGTCTTGACGAAGATCTGCATCTTGTCTGTTGCTGTGGTGTATTGTCTTGATGTGTATTTGTTGGAGAGTATATTGGAGAGTGAGTTGGGCAACACGATCGACGTGTTGTAAGATGAAGGGTAGGTTTGTGAGATGTGATGTTGAAGGAAGGAGGAAGTTTGTTGGTCGTGGATGGTAAGGCTTGTTATATAGCCAGCCAGGCGCCTGCCTTGGCCAACAACCGAATAATGGCGCAGTCGCTGGAACAGTCACAGCGGGCGCGGTACGGGGTTAGTAATCTGTCACCCTAAACCAGAAACAGCTAGCGTCACGATAAGAGGCTGGGGAATGTACCAGAAGGCTCACCCGGCTGGTTGTATGGGTTGACTCAGGGACTTTGGGACTTCCATAATAGTCGCCACCAGCAAATCAGAACAAAGGAATTCGAAAATCCCGCGTTTTATTTCACTATTTGCAGTTACAGGGGATAAGGAATTTCGCAGGGAAAAATTATACACGTTTTATTTTCGCAATCATTTGACGCCATTGTAACTTGTTTTGCAGGACGTATCTCCCTATCGCCGGACACTCCGATAAACGCACCGACCAGGTGACTGAGACAATCTTACCCCTCATTACTCAAGCGAGGCGGTGACGTCGATGTCCGATGTCCAGCCACCTTGCAAATGAGGCCCCTGCCTGACCGCTGTTGGATGTCTGTTGGTGTTTCGACCGAAGCGCTGTTCAATGTCAGCAACTCATTTATTGACGCTTCCTGTCAGCTTTCGCATTTAACCGCGAAGGATTACATACAGTACGTTCGGTAAGGGCGGTAAGAAGTTGACTGAGAGAGAGCCAAGGTTACTTCGTGGATGAACTGCAGGGCCTGGGTGTGGCTATGTTGCCATCCGCCGTCAACCCCAAGCCGTGTCTTCCGGAAGTCTCAAGGAAGGATTGCGACGACTGAGCCTGGTAGTACTTACCCCCTATCAAATTCAAGTAATACAGATAGTCAATCAATCGTAGCACAAGTCATGTTCACATTCTTCAAGCAAACAGGCAAACAAGCAAGCAACATAGGTAGAACTTTTTTTGGTTTCTTCCTCGCTATATGTAATATCGTCTAGGTCATGTCTATCTACTTAGATGCATAAACCCCAGATCGAAAAATAAATCGCCCCGATGCCAGACGATGGATGATATGCATCCGCCTCCATTTCGCATTATCAATCGTAAAATCTTAAATCTTAAATCTTCCCTTCATAAAAAATGCCTCCTCCCATAATTCAAGTCAATCATCACGCATGAAATGCGTTCCTCCCCACGTCTGTATATGGCTGCCAGGTCTGCGATCCATCAAGGACGCGAGCCAGCGAAGGTGTCGGCCGTTATCCACCCATCAACCATGATATCATGATGCTCATATCGTCACAAACGTTCGTAAAAAAAAATAGATGTGTGTCGTAAAATCGCTATGCTCTTTAAAATCGACAAGAGAATCAGGGATAGAAAAATCCGCTCGCTGGTGCGTGATGGGGTAAAGTGTCATAAATCAAAACAAATCAAAGAAAATAATAGCGGCCACTTCGCATGTCGTGTCGGACGTGGTGCGGGGGGTGAGGGTGCGGGCGGGGTATAAGATTATATACGCCTGCAAATCAGGGACTTGCATCGTCGGGAGCGAAGAGAAGCAGGCTTAGTTGGCACGGATGACAAGTTTTGAGAGGAACTTGTTCGACAGGCAGTCGAAGTCATCACGGTTGAACCTGCAGTCCGCGCGCGACTTCAAGTAGGCCTCTGTAGAAATGATCAGTAAAATGTTGTCTTGAATGTTCAGGAGTAAAAGCTTACCGTGCTTAGAAACATGGGATCTCATTTCTGTCATAGCGTCGCAAACAGCAACGTTATTGTTCAGAAGTTGTCCATGTCGTCTTGTCTCCCACTCCGTAAATGCAGGCAGTTTTTGTGAGATGGCGTGGAAGAGACCCACAATGACACCGACCGGAGTGGTCTCCATGTCAGTGCAGAACTTGTCCACGGAGGCTGGGTCGGGTACTCTGTAGTGGCAGTCGAATTGCATCTCCTCCCAGACAGCGAGGAGGATGGAGGCAATCATGAAGATAGTTGGCCAGTTCTTCAATCGGTCACCGCTGTAGACACTGGAGTATAATGAAGAGAGCTCCTCAAGGACATCCTTCTGAAGCTCGCGCCACATGTCTGCAAGGGCCACCTTGATCTGGAAGTTGATCATGACAGGGGCGAAGGTCTTGCCGAAGAATTTCGATTCTTCGTCATCAATCTTTCCCTCCATCTCACGCTCCTCACCTTGATGCTGAACCATGGTAACATGTAATGTGAGGTTGTAAGCCAGGACGAGTTTCAATGCTTTGCGGATGACTGGAAGCTTCTCCTTGCGGTAATAGCGATGCGCGGTCTTTAGGATCTCAGTGATGAATGGAGTGCCTTCGAAATGGTTGTCAATGAAGTCTTCGAACGGGCCCTCAAGATGCTGGTCAAGGTATTCCGACAAGGCCTCTTTCGATACGCCCTCGGAGCCAGCCGACATACGCTCGGTACGGATGTCGAACTCTAGCGGCTCCTCGTGTATCGATTCGGTCCAGTCAATCATGAAGCAGTTGTCATCGGTGACATAAACTTCGCGTGCCATGATCGGAATGGCGAATCCGTAGCCGTGCGTGATCCACATGAGCTCTTCGCTCTCTGAAAATCCCTTGATGTTGTAGACACTGACGCCTAAGCCGACATGTCGTTCGTAGTCCGCTTTCCAATCCTTCATGAAGTAGGCGATATCCTTGATGTCGATACGGGTGCAAGGTACTTGCCACAACCTGGCGTGAGATGGCTGGCAACCAGCACAAGGCTCGCCCTTATCGCAGGTCTTCTTCAGGAACTTGCAACGAAGGCAAGCACGGAGTTTCCTTATCTCGCCAGCTTGCTTGCGTTGCTCGGGTAGTAGCGGGCCCTTCCTCCTTCCAACGCGCTTCTCTGTGTCCTTCTTTCCATTTGACGTGCGACGAATAACGGGTTTGGTTGCCTTGGTTGTAGGGCTCTTCTTCCCACTTGCACCAGAGTTTCTCCGTGGTGGGGGCGAGGAGCTTCCGGAAGCAACTTGGCGAGTCGAGGGTACTTTGATGGCAACAGGAGCGACGGCGGCAGCCGGGCTGATGATTTCGTGGATATCATGAGAGTGGTGGTGGGATTCTCCGTGGAAGCAATTACGATGGGTGTTCAGATCTAAGTACGTGTCGGACTCCGGCGAGTAGGGAGAGTATGGCGGGAAAGTAACTTCTTCGAAACTACCGAAGCCTGTATCCGGGAATGGTGCCGTGGCATCCGACTGGGATGAGTCCGAGTGGCTGCGTAAGTGCAAGGTCTGCCCTGGGTTGAAGATTGCCGCGTTTTGCGCTTGTTGGAAGGTATCGAAGTTCTGGTAGGAGTCTACAGCGGTCCATCCATGGTCACTGCTTGAACTGGGTAACGAATGTACTTCGAGGTATGTGCCGGTGGGGGAATTGCTGCCGAGACTCTGTCGTCCTACGGGCATGGGGAGGCCGTGGTTGGGAGTGAACATGGCATTTTGGAAGTCCTGCCAGTTGGCCAGTCCCACCATATCCCACTGCAAAGCCTGCGCATCCTGGGCTTGGTCCATATTGTTGAAGGGAGCGTCGAGCTGGAGACCGGCCTTGCTGTTGAAGGGAGAGTCCATCTGGAGACTTGCCTCGAGGGCGGCCTGCGTCGTTGGGATGTGGTAGTCGATCGGTGCGTGCTGGAGGTTCTGCTGGAAACTGCCATCGAACGGCGCGTACTGCGGTGCCCCCATCATAGAATTGCCTTGGAGGTATTGTTGCTGGAGCTGCTGTGGCTGCTGGTGGACAGGCCAGTCCGATAGAAGAGTGGGTGAGTTATGTTGGACAGTCTGATACTGGTGTTGTTGTTGCTGTTGTTGGTTCTCGTTATGCGCGGGTGGTGAGCCGTGTTTCTCGTCGGCGCCGGTCGACAAATCCAAGGCCAGCGGCCACGAGTTCCTTGTCATATTGGTGTTGGAGTATGCGTATCTCAGATCTCTGGCATCGAAATCTAGGCCGAGGAGTCCATCCGACGAGAAGTCAAGACTAGACGCCATTGTGACGGGATTGAGGGCTTTTTTGTGTGGGGTGATCAATGGTATTGTACGAAGAAGTGTCAACGACACCGCCAGTTCCTTTGCAAGAACATGATGTTGCGGTGAGGTTTGGGGGAGGAGTTTGGTGAGGGTGGGCCTGGGAACTGGCGGAGTTGACCCCCAAATCATGTGCAGCGTTGAGGAAGACTGGCGGTGAGCAGTGCACACGCGCTAGTCCCTTTAAGACCCACAACCCTGAAGCGAAGCGCCAACAGTGGGGTGTGTTTTCGGACGCTTAGTTAGTTGAACACCAGCGGAATAGAGAGAGTGGGTGGGAGTGGGTGGGAGAGGGTGGGAGTGGCAGGGAGTGGAGGGATGAACCCCAGCCACCCCGTACGACCCCGCCTGTGTTCAATAGCCAACGACAAACCTCGAGACCAGCCCCTCATGCACAGCAACACAGTCTAAGTGCTGTACGATACGTACGATATGTGCCATACGTACGATACACCACACTGCAGTGTACATACTTGGTACAGTCTTCGTGCAGTTAACTCCATCCTCCTCAAACTCTGTAGCCAATTGACACGTATAGTTCACTTATGGGCGTTCGCTTGTATCACCGGATGAGTGACAGTGCCATCGTGGAGCTTACTTGCATTTACGGTCCGCGAAACTGTTGCAAATGCAAGTTGTTGCAGGGGACGGATGAAATGATGGAATGGGGTAAATCATTCAAAGCCCAAGCTCTCTAGCACCACGCCATATCTCACGATAAAACCTCTTCCAGCCCCCCAGAGCAGCCAAGCGCAGGCGTTTTGAGTCTCTTAGCGCCTGCAAAGATCTCACCTCGCCACGCACAGAGCATTTTTTTCTCGTTGGCGGCTGGGATAAACCCCCCATCCCTGTGGGACTGTGGGATCGTGCACTTTCTGCAATCCCCATATAGAATCATCACACTCCCACGGCAGCTCGCGCGCTCAAGGACTCGCATCAGGGAGGAAGAGAGCCACGGCAGAGAGCCCGTAGGAGATGCACACACAGAAACGTGAGAATGAGACTGCAGTTGCCCGCTTGCCGAAGCGTCGTGGACGCGGGATGCAAGTAGGATCTCGGTGTTGCCGCAGATGAGGGGTTGCCCAATCGCCACACATCTTAACATGACCTGCTATAACTCCTGTAGTACCGTCTTGGATCTCCACCTTTCGCTGATTTGCCGAGTGTGAAACCAACTGGATTTTCTCCATGCAGGCGCCCGTCAAACCCATTTTCGCATGGCGCATTGCGCGCTCTGTCATTGTTTACAAACGGAACTATTCGAGTAGTCTCTCCGTCGTGGTCTCAAAGACAGCACGCTTCTGAACCCCAATGCTCACGTGATTACGCGCCGGTCTGTCTGTTCAAGACCTGTCGCCATATCGCTTGATATTGGCAACTTCTTGCCAGGAGGAGTGCTTAAACGTCATTCAGAGTCTAGGTCTCGAGAAATCCATTCATCAAAGATTTCCCGGACATCTTGCCAGACCCTTCTTTCGTGCTATGACCAAACTCCTCAACCCATCCCCCGCGGAGATCCACCACCCAAGCATCAAAGTTCTTATTGATGAAGATATTCCCAGCATAAACATCTCCCCACGCAGTCTGTAACCTGATGTTCCCACTTGGCATGATGCTCCGAGACTGCCTTGCATTTGAGACTGTCCAACGGCATGGCAACTGAAGGTATGAGTGATAATTTGACTCTTGTCAAGTGAGGGTTTGAAGACCTGACCATGAGGTCGCTAATAATATCCTATCGAGGAATTTCGGACATATAGTCACATTCGTCGCTAATTTGAGCGATTGAGTGACAATTTAGATCTCAGATGCCTATAAGTAAGAGACACGCGGATATTGCAGAAGATCTCGAGACGCGGTCATCAGAACGACCGGATCGATAGTGTGACAATCTCGTGTATCCTCGGGATAAAACGAAGGTTCTGAGACGGCAAGCTTCAGATGATAGGTTGGTGGAGAGTAGAATCCTTCGAAAGTGAGATCTTTCTGTGCATGCGGTGCACGGCGGTCTCTGAAGTATGCAAGGCATGGTTCCACAGTCAACCTACATAACGCGTCGTAGCCGTCGTCATCGTGATTGTCTAAATTCCCAGCTTTGACAAACAACTGTGAATACTCTCACTCAGAGGAACTGCCGCAATAATCATCCAGTGATACTGTTGTCTAAAACCAGAGGCTCGGTACATAACAGATATTCATAAGCTGCCAGGTTCAAACTCATCAACCATGGCTTGGTGCATGAGATACTGGCTCTTCGGTGAATCCATTGCATACACTGTCGTCCGTTCTCTGGGGAACAAACGCTGGATGAAACAACTGCCGAGATAGTAGAGGAAAGATCCCGTCAAGTCTCATCCCTTAGACAGACACTTCCCGAACAGTGACGGGTCTATGCATCGCAGACAATATTTTCACCTCATTGCGATTGGCCAATTTGATAAGACAAACGGAATGTGTGGTGAGACACGGATTGAAGGGGCTATAGGGCACACCACACCGCATACTCTTGGCAATTTCGTCCTAAGGGACTGACATAATCAGTAAGGTATCGAATAGGCATTTGTAAGAGATTGCATTGGTCCTGTAGGAAAGTCATTGGGAAAACTCTGATTCGGAGATCATTGTTACACAGCGTACTTAAAGAGCCGTGCTGCCATCTCGGCCGAGGGAACCTTATCTTGCCGATTTGTGACCAGCTCGTTTAGTGATCAAAGCGTGGATCGAGCCTTGTCCAAAATGAATTTAGTCACATGAGGCTCAATTCACGTGAGGCAATAGAACAATATCGTTGCGATACTACGCCGATGAGAAGATGGATTCATTGCAGTATAATGTTGTAGGAGAGGATGTGTCTTTAATGAGGTTCTGCCCCGCATCGACGCTATAATCAGCTTCCCGGCCCTTACCTCCAGAGCTCCCTCACTTTCTTTAGCCAGTAAGCGAGCTAACCACAAACGACTGATTCACACGAGAACAATAGCAAGACCTCTATCAGATATCAATCAGATGGCGAGATGACAAGTTCCACCCATGACATACCCCGTCAAACGATCACAGAGACCAAAGCAACTCCATAAAGTGCGCTTTATGTCCCGGGCCATGGCTTCGCCTTCTTCCTCGCAACATACTTCACCCCGCCCACGCTCACCAACAGAAACGGCAGAGAGCTCCAGTGATAACATAGGCAATATTTCTCAGATCCAACCGGGCATATCGCCCAACGAACTTCCTTCAGACACAGAGTCCGCAGAGGAAGAAATTTGGCAAGACGAACCTGCCAGTCCCGTGACTATGACGACGACATATCAGATCCCCACCCTCTTCACCCACGAGCCGCCTATCCATGATCTCCTGGCAACAGAAACCTCCGAGAAGCAAGACGAAGTTGTAGAAACATGCGCTCCCTTCCTATCTGCCCAGTCGGATGAGTTCAGCTACTACAACGAACATGGAGTCCCGCACTTACTCCGCGAAAAGCACATCAACTTCTGCCACAAGCAGCTCAACCCCCTCCCTGCGCCGTTCACTAGGGCTGATGCTGCTCGTCCGTGGTTCTTCTACTGGACGCTCACTGCGTTGAGTGCATTGGGAGAGGACGTTGGTCAGTATAGGGAACGACTGATCAGCACCGTGGCGCCACTTCAGAATTCCACTGGGGGGTTTGGAGGCGGTCATGGGCAGATGAGCCATTTGGCAACGACGTATGCTACCGTGCTCTCGTTGACCATGGTAGGAGGAGAGGATGCAATTAATGCCATTGATCGGAAGGCAATGTGGCAATGGCTGTCCAGGTTGAAGCAGTCGGATGGAGGATTCCAAATGTCTATCGGAGGAGAGGTTGACGTCAGGTGAATACATGCACATAATCAGCAACTTGATTACGACCTAACATTTATAGGGGAGCATACTGTGCAGCGATGCTGGTGAAGCTTCTCAGGCTTCCCCTCCATCTGGCCGATGGATCACCGGCCAAGGCTGAAAATTTCGATCTTTTCACAGGTCTTGGAGAATATGTGTCACGATGTACGATGTCTTATTTTAACGCTTGTGGCAAGTACTGACGAGCGCAGGTCAAACATATGAGGGTGGTATTGCTAGCCGCCCGGACACAGAGGCTCATGGTGCGTATGCCTTCTGTGCTCTCGCATGTCTTTGTATCCTGGGAGACCCCCGTGAGACTCTCCCGAAATATCTGGATGTGCCGACGCTCATATCGTGGCTCTCTTCTCGTCAATACGCACCAGAAGGAGGTTTCGCTGGGCGCACGAACAAACTTGTAGACGGTTGTTACTCGCATTGGATTGGTGGCTGCTGGCCACTGCTCGACGCTTGTCTTGCGGGTTCGGCAGAGAACCACGGGGCCCCTCACAATGACAGTCTCTATAGCCGAGAGGCACTGACGCGTTATATCTTGTGCTGTGGACAGGATACCACCAAGCGAGGCGGATTGAGGGACAAGCCCGGAATGTATGTCTCCGGGGCGCCACGCACCCATGTTTTGCTCACATACTAACGCGTAATATAGGTTCTCGGATGGATATCATACATGTTATTTGCTCGTCGGACTCAGTTCGGCCCAGCACAAGTGGTCTCTACAGGCTCCAACCGACGACATCATGACCTCGCTGGGATGGACCTCAGAGACGTATCCTCGGAAGCAGGATGACGGCTATGCTCAGATCTTCGACGAGGAAGATAGGGTCAAGAGCATCCACCCCGTCTACGTCATCCCTGAGGGAATTCCGGAGAGGGTGATGCAATACTGTGACAGCCAAGAGGCTTTCTCATGAGCATCCTTCGCGAAGATGGCCTCCGGAGTCCTGTCTGAAGGCCAGCTGAATGGCCAGCGGCATGGCTTCGAAAGGGGTGGGCCGCAAAGAAGGCGGCCACTGAGGGGGTTGGGGGCTAGTGCGGGGGGGCTTGGAACCAAGCCGATGCGTTGGCAGCTGTTCCAGGGGCTCTATGGTCTCAGAGGAAATCCATGGGCGGATAGACCCGTCGAGCCGCTGTGGTATTGGAAATACCCAGTAATTGGGTAGTCATATGATTGTCTCTGTAAATGAACGGTTCGGTCTCGGCTATGCAGTGTGCTTCCCTCTGGTCACGTCGGCCGGGGCCGAGTGCTTGATGTAATGAGAGGCTCAGGAGGATTTCCGAGTAGTTCAGTAGTTCAAACGACTGTAGTTAGCATACCGATCTCTAGTCATCTCATCCGATGTGCACCACGAATAGGAGAGCCATATCCACTCATCCGGCCCAGAGTCAAGTCTTGGATGTGCGGGAGGACTAAAAATGTCGTGCAGATGTGTTGGCGGCTATGGATTTGCTGCCGGGCGTGCATGTGAGATTTGAGTGATGAGATAGATTACCCCGGTCAGCCAGGAGGCCAATTCTACCGATTGGATATTGTCGGTCTAAAGTTATTATGCGCATGTGTATGAGATATTTAGAGTCCGTGAGAGCCTTTCTATCTGACGAAATTGGGAGGTGCAACACAGAAGGGCTAGGTAGGATGCATCTCTCCAAACTGCAAGGCAAGTGCAAGGACGACGAAGCAATTGTCGTCGTATGTCGCACTGACGCTGTAGAGTAACCCCCCATATCCCCCCTAAGCGGCCAATTGCGAACCATCAACCCCTGCCACAGCGCCTTTCACAACTCGGCGCCAAAAAAGTCCCCTTCGTTCTCCGCCAAGTCGCTCCGGAAAAAGCATCTAACGAGATCCTCCCTCGAAAACGTTCTATACATCGTGTCGCCACGTTTTCTGAGGGGCGCAAGGACTGATCAATCGTTACGGGGATACGGGGATACGCGCTCTTGCTCCATCGTTGTCTCACCCAGAGACGCCCGTTGCGCGATCCTTGACACTGTCTGTCGGTCTGTTGACGGTGCGTGGCTATACAGTGCGCTATGCTTGTTGATGCACATAACATGCCATGACCTACGACGTGCAGGTGCTGGCCACTGCCCGCGCCTGTAGCTGCAGCCATGACCGGGACCTGGAGTCGGCGACATGTTAGAAGCAGCGAATGATGGGACGGGCATTTTTGGATTTCGAGGGATAGCGAGACAGCCGTTGCGGAATGAATGTGGAAGTACTTGCCCCGCCTATCAACTTCTGGGAGTTGGGGGAGGCTTTCGGAGTGCACTTTCACCAGCCGCGTAGGCCGCATGGAAATCCATACCATATCATACATACATACGGAGTCCATACATATATACGGAGTACAGTTACTCCATACAGTACGCCATACAGTGGTTCATACGGGTACAGTAACTCCATCGTTCCATCGCTCCATACGAGTGCAGTCAGCAAGTCCTCTATCCGGTCGGCACCGGTTCGGTGTACTATACTGGACTGGACTGGACTGGATAGTACTCTGGTATGTATGTAGATGGAGTATATGGAGTATATGGAGTACTATGAGATGAGTATTGTGCAGGACCCATAATGACTTATATACTATAGGTTTTCGGTCTTGGCTTATTCGTGCCTGCTTCCCTGCCCGCCAACGGCACACTCGACCCCTCCAACTCTGCCGTCAATTGGATTCCCAAAGTGCGGTTTCCAGGGTTCTTCGCATGATCTCAGTACGATCTCTTCTTGTCCCCTACATCACCTGGTGCTAAGGATCACATCCCGTACGACTGGGATTTCCGAAAGTGCTTGGTTCAAAAATAAAAATAAATATGTGCTATGTCCAAACATTATCGGAGCCTGAGAGCCGATCAAAGACGACGTAGATAATTTTCTTTCTAATCGGACTTCCGATCGGGGGTTACTTCCAACTCAAGCTATTCTCCATTTTCATGCATCGCAATACATTTGGATCTTCCCGCATTTACTACTCCTGCTTGAAGTCGTAATTTCAGAAAAAAACGGTCTTACTCGGGCTCGTCAAGCGTCTTGCCAGCTCATAATGCATGCGCACACAACCTTGTCAGGGCTAGTTCGAAAAGCATGTCTGGTTGCCTCGCGCATTTTCCTTCCACTCATCAATTTCCGTCTTCCGTCTTGTCTCTTGTTTCGCTCGTTGCTTCGATGAGTTGGTCTACCAGCCACTGGCCAATGCACTCTATTTCTCACCGACTTCGTGTCAAGTCGTGCTCCAGTCGTTACATGCCAAGGGCAACGGTCCGATGTATGCAACTCCTCTTGACGGTCACCGATGGCCACCGATGCCGTGCGGGGCAAGACCTTGCACTCTTGTACTAGGCTCAGCGATGCGCTTATGTTCGAGAATGTAGGCCTGTTCCACTGCTAAAGATACATATCGCATGATGCAGCTACTAGGACAGCCTTGATCTAGAGATGCCCCATAGTCTCAGAACGTCTATTTCGTGTTATTTCTGGCTTCTTTCTGGGGTCTGCCATGCTCAATTGGCATTAGCCCCAGTCTGATTGATCGCCCCCCCTGCGAAAAGAAAGAGTTGCCCCTCCCCTCCCTATGCTCCATGTTGCCCCTCCTGCCTGGCATAAGTCTCAAGGAGGGACGTACATAGCCGGAGCGGAGGGTGTGGAAACGCGTTGTCTATTTCGCCACCAGTGCTGCAGAGCCAGTACCCTCTAGCAAATGCACAGATGGTCAGATAGGAGCAACCTGCCTCTGAACAGTTCGAGATCACCCCTCCTGTGCCCCGCCATGACCGTGGTGGAGTTGGCTAATATCAGGAAATCATCAACTGGCAACGGCATACGCCAGCACATCAATATGGGTCACACCTTCTTGAGCCGCAGAACTTCGTGCGTCTGGCTCGACTGCTCGCCCTATCTGATGTCCCCTTGGAATCATTGAACCGATTGATCCCACCTATCCTTGCGGTACGCTAACTTTAGGCGTGGGCAATAAATCACACATGTCTCGCCTTGAGGGACGAAAATATCCTGCCCAAGATCTTCCAAGTCAACCACAGAACCGCCTCACTCCTCTTTTACCACGCCGTCGCCCACCCTTTTCAGCCTTATCGATTTCTTAATTGACAACGAGCTGCAGTACTACTGCTTCAATATCACAAAAAAGAAAAGTCAATTGACATTGACCTTGTTGGTTTTTTCCTTGTAGGGCTGTCTTGGGCAAAAAGAAACCCTGCAGTTGGGTTGTGATAACCTCATTGAATCGACGTAACCCCTGAGTAGAAGGGTCAGACAAGATCTAGTCTGCACAGAATCATGATGGGCGGCTTCTATATCCAATATCTTGACGGTATGTTATCTCATTCACACATATTGCCACCGGGATCAAGTCGTACTTGAGGCGTGCCTGCAGACGCCTTCCCGTTGCTGGTTACCTTGGGCATCATTTTAATATGAGGTCCCAACGTAGTGTCATCCCACGGGGAGGGCTAACGGGATGTACCACGCTTCTGCCTCCCGACGTCGATTTAGAGTGTGGCGACGTTGGTGCCTGCCTCCGGACATGCCGGCTTTCCTCTTTCGCAGGGTCCAGTAGCTTGTTGACGAAATGCTAATGCTGTGTCTAGGCTTGTGCCAACGCCGCGGCTGGAGGGACCCCATGTACGAGGTCTACCGAAGCAGCTCCGGCTTCACCTGCCTCGTGCTCGTCAATGGGCGAGAGTACCGTACCGACCTGGCGTACGAATCGGATCAGCTGGCGCAGGAGAACGCGGCCATGCGTGCGTTCATGGTGTGCCGCAACTTCTCTGTCAATGGCGGGATGCTGGCCAGGAACGGGGTCGTCCAGGGGCTGCCTGCCACTGAGGGGGCTTCGCGCCACAAGAGACGGGGCGGAGGCAGGCTGCCTAGCCGCCATTCGCCCAGCCCGAGTAACAGCGATTCGACATCGTCCTACGAATAGAGACTCACATCGATTCTCATTTGCCTCGAAGCCGAAATCTCTCCCCAGCATCTCCGAACCCCGGACTCTCGCTGGCTACCTATCTATTATCCTATCCTACCCCGTTTCCACATCTACTCCGTCTCCACATCTCCAAAATTGCCAAAAAGCCCAACCAACGAAGAAATTTAAACGCATTACGACCTGTTACTCTTCCCCCCTTTAACTTAACGACCATTAACGACATTTAACGATTTTTATACTCGCATTTTTTGATATTCAACTTTTTAAGACATCCACAACGGCGCGGCACGGGCTTCACAGGACCTGCCGCTCCCACAGCACAGAGGCAACTCTTATGCAGCCGTTTCGAACAGGAGAGGCCACTTCCTTCTTGTTTTTCGCTTCTATCACACACACGCAACCCCGGAATGGGTATGGAGGAGAGGGCAGCACTAGTTTGCCAGAGCAGAGACAGAGCAGAGCAGAGAACACCACCATTCAGAAGAGAAGAGCTAGAACGCAGTCCGGCCGGCACATCTCCTCGCAGAACTCAGACATCATCATCATTATTTTTGGACACCACACGTGTGCTTTTGACTTGTTTGCCATTTGAGCAAAAATCGCATTTAGCGGGGCGGATTCAGAGTTTTTGGTTTTGGTTTTGCTTTCGAACTACTACTTACGAAGTATCATTATTATATCCATAGCGGTTTTGGGTTACGTATATCACGACTTTGTGGGGTGGCTATAGTGATTTGCTGTTGTGTTGTGTTGTTTTACTCATGGTTGGGAGCGTCGAGTATGTCGAGAGCGTCGATGAGGGCTTTCGGACAATGGGTCCTCGAACGAAATGAACATTACGTTTTCCCCTTTTGTGTGCCTGCCTTACCCCCTGTGTGTGTGTGTGTGCCATGTCATGTCGTCAAAGGTGTGTACTGTACTGTACTATACTCACTCTAGTGAAGCTCAGCCTTGCAGTGAGTCGACTGTCTGAAATGACTTCCCAACCTCGTGGAAAGAGCATGCCCTTCCCTCATACAGTATTGGACCACAAACGGTTGTATGGTGATATGAGACAAACAGGGCTATTGTTAGCGTACAGTATGTGGGGGTAGTGGTAGATGGTGGTGGTGGGGGGGAACACTGAATTAAGCCAGTCAGACACTTCGGAGACTCAGATTGGTTGCGGCGCACACAGAACACAAGGAAGCGGAATTTCCACAGGATGCGGAATGCGGACATTTGGTAGGAAGTAGTAGGCATTTTGGTAGGGTGTCATGTGATCTGGGCGGTGAGTGGAAATGTAACTACCACCAACTACCAGGAACTTACCAGCAAGGAAGTGACGACCTATCCTTTGTCCACGCTCAGACAAATTTCCCCACTTTCCAAAATGATTTGGAGTAATGAAGAAGGTAGAAGGCGAGTTAGAGGACAACGATCCAGTACGAATTACGAACGCAGTACAGTAATATAAAAAAAAAGGGTCACCAATTATCCAGAACCAACAACCTCGTATACAACGATAATTTCCTCGTGATGTGTTTTATTAATAGCCACAATGGTATTTATGATTTATTCTCTATTATTTGTTATTTTTATTACTATTGCTATTGCTATTACTGCTATTGCTATTACTACCATTACTATTATTTTATTATTCTGCTTGCACACATACTGCTACTAATTCTGGTAATTCATTGTAACCCCAGCTAATTTACTGAGTAAATTACACTGTTAAATACGCTGTAAATTCCAATTTAGTACCCCGTAAAATAAGGTCTCGCCGCGCCACTATCTTCCTTCCACTTCCCTTTCCCACCCCCCCCAAGCCCCCTACAACCCCCCCCCCCTTCCCTTCTCGACCCAGCTGTACCAGCTACCCAGCCTTTCTTAGCGTACCCCCTTTCAAGGAAATTTGGACCTCAAAATATAGTGATCACCCGCAAGGTGGCCTCACATCTGATCGTCCCTCTAAACTACTCGTACCAGTCCAAACTCTACGGGTAACGGGAAAGCTACCTTCTTTTTACTTCTCTGCCCCAAAATACCCAATCTACTCAATCTACTACTCCACTGCAACACCATATCTCCTCGTCGACCTTCCCCTCGCACCTTCCTGAGAATCATTGTCCCTCGCTACCTTTCCATTCAGGCCAACACCACAGCCGCTCGCTCTCCTACTATACACGGTGGGGTAGCTCTCTCGCCCCTGGAACCACCACACATTTCCTCATACCGCTCTTAATTCACAACCATCCACTATGAAGGGTAAGCAGCTAGCAAAATCTCACAGATTCCCTCGTATCAATGGCAATGGCTAACCTGAGGTATAGCTCTCATTCTCGTCGGCGGCTTTGGCACGCGCCTGCGCCCACTCGTACGTTCCCAACCGACGCAATTCGAGCTCTATAAATCGAACCATGACTGATCCCCCATGACAGACCCTCACACTGCCCAAGCCACTGGTGGAATTCGGCAACAAGCGCATGATCCTGCATCAGATTGAGGCTCTGGCAGCCGCAGGCGTCACGGACATTGTCTTGGCCGTCAACTACCGCCCTGAGGTCATGGAGAAGTACCTTGCCGAAGTGCGTCTCTCTCCCGTCCTGAAATACCTCCTCCTCCTCCTCCTGCCCATACGCAGCCAGCTGACTGGCGGTTTCCCCTACAGTACGAAGAGCAATACAACGTCAAGATCACATTCTCGATCGAGACAGAGCCCCTAGGCACTGCCGGCCCGCTCAAGCTCGCCGAGAAGACCCTCGGAAAGAACAACGAGCCCTTCTTCGTCCTCAACTCCGACGTCATCTGCGAGTACCCCTTCGCCGAGCTCGCCGCCTTCCACAAAGCCCACGGCGACGAAGGCACCATCATCGTGACCAAGGTCGAGGAGCCCTCGAAATACGGCGTCGTAGTCCACAAGCCCAACCACTCCTCGCGCATCGACCGCTTCGTCGAGAAGCCCGTCGAGTTCGTCGGGAATAGGATTAACGCCGGTCTCTACATCCTGAACCCCAGCGTCCTCGAGCGCATCGAGCTGCGCCCTACTTCCATCGAGCAGGAGACCTTCCCGTCGATGTGCGCGGATGGGCAGCTTCACTCCTTCGACCTCGAGGGCTTCTGGATGGACGTCGGTCAGCCAAAGGATTTCCTCACCGGAACTTGCCTCTACCTCGCCTCTCTCAGCAAGAAGAACTCGAAGCTCCTCACACCGACAAGCACACCCTACGTCCACGGCGGAAACGTCCTGATCGACCCCTCCGCCAAGATCGGACGCAACTGCCGCATCGGTCCCAACGTCACTATCGGCCCTGACGTCGTTATTGGCGACGGTGTGAGGCTCCAGCGCTGTGTTATCTTGCAGGGCAGCAAGGTCAAGGACCACGCGTGGATCAAGTCTACGATTGTGGGATGGAACTCCAGTGTCGGGAAGTGGGCGCGTCTCGAGAATGTGTCGGTCCTCGGTGACGACGTCACGATCGCGGATGAGATCTACGTTAATGGCGGCTCGGTCCTACCTCACAAGACTATCAAGGCGAACGTCGATACTCCCTCTATCATCATGTAAAGTGGTGCAGCGAGCGAACCTCTACTGATTCTCGGGCGTGCGTGCGTGCCACCGCGGCGGGCTGTTTGTCTGTCAGCTATCTAGCTGCTCGATTCTTGTCGCGCTGCTCTACACACAAGGGGGACACTTTGGTACAAAAAAAAGCAAGAACATATATATAAAAAAAATCACATAATCCCCAAATCCTCCGCTTGCCGACACTCTAATATCTCTCTCCCCTCTACTGTCGCTTGGCAGAACAGTTTGCGGCGGCTATCATATTACCATTCTCATTGCTTCTTTTTTCGGCGGGGGGGTTATTACGGATTCATGCATCGGTAGGCGGGCTGGAGCGCGCAAAATGGTATGACAGGGAGGAGGAGGAGGGTATACTGGGCTGTATGTGTGCTGTGCTGTGCGTTGTTGTTGCGCGTTTGGGCAATCTCTCCTCGACAATAAGGCGGGGTGGGGGTGTGTGTACAATCTGCGATGAATGGTATGGAATGGATTGATGGATTGATGGATGGATGGTATGGATGTTTTTTCTGGTTGTATTATAGTAGGTAGCTTATTTACCTTGGATGAGGTATGCTTTTTCTAGAACGGGCTTTGCTATTTGTTTGTTCTCCTTTTTCGCTCTTGGCATCATGTAGGCTTGTGATATATATGCTGATGGGGGAGGGTTCATACTTCAAATAAACCGGTGAGCTTCGGTATAGAGCACGTGATATTATATGTGAGTTTCATATTTCTTCTACTTCAAGTAAAGAGGAAGGTACGAAGGGCGGCAGTGCGGCTCCTTCCGCCTCGTCCTGAAACCTCATTTCTTATACAAGGAAGGCACGAAGGGCGGGAGGTAAACAAATACTAGTTGCGGCTCCTTCCGCCTTCTCCTGAAACCTCATTTCTTATACGAGGAAGGCACGAGGGTCGAGGTAAACAAATACTAGTTCCAGCTCCTTCCGTGTCTTTCCCCAAAAGCCTTGCTTTCTATCTACATCTACGGCAGGCACGACCGAGGATAAACATAAACAGCATCACATCAATATGAAGAAGGAACGACTACACGTGACTTCTATATTGGCATTTCAATGTTATACAAAAAAGAGAATATAGCTAGAACGAAAAACTACTGTAGGCTTCATTTTTATTTTTGAATGCACAACAAAGACAATAATACAATGAGGCCCGCACTCCGTAGAGCACCCATATATGCCAATGACAAACGAAACCCACCAACCCCCCCCCCAATCCAACCAAAACCCATCTTGTTACATCACATCTCTAGGTTCCATCTAATCTCACCCGTCTCATCTCCTGCAATTAATCATCTACCCACCAGCAACAACAACTAATCTACTCCCCCTTAAGCTTCTCCTGCCTAACCGCAAAAGCCATCTCAAGCAACTCGTTCTCCTCCTTAATATGGCTAGCCTTAAGACCCGTAGCAACCGACGCACTAGGGTTACGTCCAGCATACATGACGTGTTTCCTGTTGTGGTGCTCAGTAACGTTAAGAATTGTCTCAATACGCGGCTGCGTGAAGGTCCACGCGCCAGCATTAAGCGGCTCCTCCTGACACCACACGATGGTCTCAGCGTTGGGGTAGGAGTCGAGGTTCTCCTTGACCTGCTGCCAAGGGAAGGGGTTGAGCTGCTCGATACGCGTGATGGCGGTGTCGGTGATGCCCTTGTCGAGACGGTGCTTGTGCAGCGCCGCGTAGACCTGGCCGGTACAGAGGACAACGCGCTTGATGTCCTCGGGGGCGACGGCGGCGCCGCCGTGCTCTTGCTCGGGGATGATGGGGCGGAACTGAGTGTCGCCGACGAACTCGTCGATGGAGGAGCGGGCGAGGGGGTGGCGGAGGAGGGACTTGGAGAAGAAGATGATGAGAGCTGGGGTGGGTTAGTTGGGTGTGGCTGGCTAAGGTTGTGGGGGGGGTGACTTACGCTTCCTGAATTGTCTGTTCATCTGTCTGCGCAGGATGTGGAACAGGTTAGACGGCGAGGTCATGTAGGCGATCTGCATGTTACAGTCCTGGTGGAGACGCTCCAGCTTGTCGGGGCTTGGGTAGACGCGGGGCTCCTCGTTGGAGAGCTGGAGGTAACGCTCCATGCGGCCGGAAGAGTGCTCGGGTCCTTGTCCGTCGTATCCGTGGGGAAGGGACATGACAAGTCCAGATCTCTGCATCCACTTGACTTCACCGGAGGCGATGAACTGATCGATGATACATTGAGCGTTGTTGGCGAAGTCACCGAATTGGGCCTCCCACATAACGAGGGCGTTTGGTGAAGTGAGAGAGTAACCGTACTCGAAGCCCAAGCAGCCGAACTCGCTCAGCGAGGAGTTGGAGATGACGAACTTGCCTTGGTCCTTGCTGACGTGTTGCAGAGGGGTGAAGGTAGCCTCGTTATCTTGGTCGTGGAAGACGGCGTGACGCTGGGAGAAAGTACCACGCTCAACATCCTGTCCGGAGACACGGACGTGGTGGCCCTCGGTAACGAGAGATCCAAAGGCCAAGGCCTCAGCAGTCGACCAATCAATGTTCTGGCCCTCGTTGACAGTCTTGACTCTGTTGGCGAGAATACGCTTCAGGTTGCGGTGGACGTTAAACTCATCGGGAGCCGTACCAATGGTGGTTCCAATGTGCTCCAGGGTCTCCTTCTTAACACCAGTTGGTGGGTGTGGGAGAACCTCGGTGGCGAGCTCCTTGGGCGACTTGAAGCCGTTCCAGGCGGATGTGGTCCACTCCTTGGAGGTTGGCTGGTAATCCTTGCTCTTGGCAAAGGACTCCTCAAGCATGCCCCAAACCCACTTCTTGTGCTCATCAATATCATCCTTTGTGAACGTACCGTCCTTGAGGAGCTGGTTAACGTAGATGTCGATTTGTGGCTCGTGGTCCTGGATGCGCTTGTACATCAATGGCTGGGTGAATGAAGGCTGGTCAGTCTCGTTGTGACCGTGCTTTCTGTAGCAGACAAGATCGATGACAACGTCAGAGCGGAACTCAGCGCGCCAATCAGCGGCAAGCTGGCAGACGTAGTTGACAGCCTCAACATCATCGGCGTTGACGTGGAATACTGGGGCATCAATAGCCTTGGCGATATCGGTACAGTATGCGGTGGAGCGAGCGAAACGAGGATCAGTGGTGAAACCAATCTGGTTGTTCACAACGAGATGGATGGTACCACCGGTAGAGTAAGCTGGAAGAGAGTGGAATCCGAGACATTCGTACACAACACCCTGGGCAGCGAAGGCAGCGTCACCGTGGAGAAGAACACCCATGGCGGTGGTGTGGTTCTTCTCATCGTTGTTGTAGTGCTGGATGGCGCGGGTCTTTCCGAGGACGACTGGGTCCTCAGCCTCCAAATGAGATGGGTTGGCAACGAGAGAAAGTTGGACACGCTTTCCGGAGGGGGTTGGGCGCTCAAAGTTCATTCCCAAATGGTATTTGACATCTCCGGATCCCTCATCCTCACCAGCGGCGGTTCCACCGAACTCGCTGAAAATAGACTCATTCGGCTTGCGGACAACGTTGGAGAGGACGTTCAGGCGGCCACGATGGGGCATACCAATGACAATGTCCTTGACACCATAGTCGACACTGCGATCGATGAGAGCCTTCATGCCGGGAACGAGGGTCTCACAACCTTCCAGACCGAAACGCTTGTCGTTGGGGTATTTTGTGGCGGAGAAAGCCTCGAAGCTGGACGACCAAATAAGACGGTCCAGGATGCGGCGTTTCTCGTCGACGGAGTATTTGTATGGCTGCGGGATTTCGATACGCTCTCTGAGCCAGTCGCACTGTTCCCTGTCTGGGATGTGAATGTATTCGACACCATACGATCCACAGTAGATGTTCTCGCACGCGGCAATGATCTCGCGCAGAGTCATCTTCTCGCGGCCATCCTTCTTGAACCTAGGCAGAATGCCGGGGCCCAAGGTGTATTCGGAATCAAGATCCTTCTCCGTGAAGTTGTAGTGGTCGAGGTGTAGTTCTTTCGGGTTGCTGTATCCAAACTCCTTTGCCTCGCCGCGGATGCCGAGAGGATCAATACGAGCCTTGTGGTGTCCACGAGCCTGGTATGCGCGAACGAGGAGCTGGACCTTCAAGTGATTCGTGACATCGTTACCTGGTCCGGTTGCCGAACCTGGCATGAACGAAGGGACGCCACCGGCTGGTGTAGGCACCAAGGTAGGCGGAGGAGTGAAAGCTTGCGACATTGGCATATCGCCGCTCTCCATGTTCTTGAAGTATACTTGCCACGAGACGTGGACGCTCGACGGGTCCTCCTTCCACGACATGTACATCTCGTCGATATAGTTTGCCGTGTTTCCGGAGAGGAAGCTGTCGTTTGGTTCCGGCGCGTTGGCGACGGCAGCAGCATATCGTTTTTGGGCGGCAACCGCCAACGGACGACGTTTTGAAGCGATTGACGACTTCAGAGGACTGGGTGATGAGAAAAGGGTGGCTCTAGAGCTCGAGGTGGCTGACAATGAGCGTGCCTGGCAGCCAGCTCTCAAGAGCTGGCTGCTCGACTTTCTAAGTGAAGTTCTAAGCATTGTGTCAAATCAACGCAGGAATGGCAATTGGAAAAGTTGGAAAACGAAGGTTCGGTCATTCAGCTCCAGATTGTGGAGGAATAATTGAGGGATGAGGGATAAAATAATAGGGACTCTGGATCTTCTTGTCGGGTGAGTGACAGCATAACCTTTCCCGGGCAAGGGGACATCACGGGACTCGGCTGTAACCTCGCCTTCTCTTCGCGTTCTAGCCAACGGCAGTCCGGGGATGCCGGTTTCGATGTGTCAGCAGTTATTTTGTTCATGCTACGCGAATTCTATTGGCTAATTTGTTTGTTTTACTCCAATTTACTCCAAGTACATAGCCTTGGCAATCGGGTGCGACGGCCGATCGGATATACGTTTTACCGACCTGTACCTTGAAGATTATATGGATTATATGGTCAGTGATCTTTCAAGAGGTTTCAAAGCTCAAACACAGATGCTTCATATTTACGGCTAGTACTGGGGCCGACAAAGAGAATCTGCGCTGGGGCAGAAAAGGAGGCATTGTCGATCCTATTAAGTGCACCCTGCAGAACAGATCACTGGACAACAGCAAAGAAAAGAGTCTGCCCAGGTGACTTAACGTGAGCCTTGCTTCATGTAGGCAGATAATGGTAGCCTAACATCTGCTACACAAGTCACACCCAATCGTACGTGTGGAAGGATAAACCTAGACTTCTCTCGGCATCATGGCAAGCCCCAGAGGTTCTGCCGCTTATAAAAAGAAAGATGGCACAGTGACACTATCACCAGACCAGACGTCCATGGTATGGACGCCGACGGCGGCAGGTCTAGCTGGAATCACCATTAATATTGCTGATATTACAAGTATGTCCAGAGCGATCTCAGGGCCAGCATGAGCTAATTTGGCATAGATCTCCAGCAGACGCCAGAAACTGCGGAGAAGGTAATGCTCAAGATATTCGTCAAACCTCCTGACGCTCCAGAGCCAGTCACACATCTCTTCCATTTTAACGCGCCATCAGAACCTCGGAGTGAAGCAAACGCCATAAAAGATGTCTTGACCAGCCTAATTGCGTCTCTAAAAGCGGGAGAGCCAAGCATTGTAAAGGCCAATGGCGCCACCGGCACGCCTGGCGCAATGGCTATCGCCAGTGCCGTTGCCTCAAAGCCGTCCGGGACTCCTGCATGGTACGACGATAACCAGCTGAAGAATGATTTCGAATTACAACAAGCATTGATGAGGAAAGACCCACTGCTACTTCAAACCTATGAGGAAGCAAGGCGCACAAAACCTGACACCACCTCAAATACCCAGTTCAATACTCAGTTCTGGTCAACTCGAATTAATCTTCTTCGGGCATATGCTGTTGAAAACAATCAGCAGCGCGGTGCCTACAACGTCCTCTCGGTCGTAAAGCCCCGGCAAGAGGACGGCGAATTGAAGCTGCGCATCAGCAAAGAACAGGTGCAGCTTATATTTAGCCAGCATCCCCTGGTCAAGAGGGTATATGATGAAAATGTCCCGAAACTTAATGAGAGTGAGTTCTGGTCGAGGTTTTTTCTCAGTCGGCTCTTCAAGAAATTGAAGGGTGAACGTATTGTGGAGGCTGATTCGGTCGATTCTACCTTTGACCGATATCTTGATGCTCCCAACTCCGACATCCTTGGCCAGAGATTGGCAGCAGCTCATATCCCGCATGTCATTGACATAGAGGGCAACGAAGAAAACCAGGGTGGCAGCAAAGGGGGTAATCGACAAGATTTTACCATGAGGCCTTCGTCATCAGCAAAAGCACCAATTATCCGCACATTGAACAGTTTGAGCGAAAAGATAATGGAAAATGTCGCGCAGTCAGATGTTGATCCATCGGCTCCAATCGGCCTAGATGAGAAAACGTTCAACGAATTGGCCTTGCGAGATCTTCAAGGCGGGGCAGAAGAGAACCGGATAATGCTAAACATCAAAGAGCAGAGCCAGTTCTTCTCCAATGATAAATCTCAAATATCCGTTGAAGCAGCGGTATATGCTAAACAGGATCCAAATGAGTTACTAATGGAATTAAATACGGACCTCGACCCAGAGCTCATGGACACCGACGCTGCTGGCGGACTTGATCTTCGCACTGCGATCGGAGTGAATGAGGAGAGTGATAGCGATGACGATGAAGATAGGCCGCCCCACGTTGGTAGCAGAAGCAGCTTCATCGATGCTCAAAAACAAATATTTGAAGGCATCACTCAGCAGCGAACGCGAATGGACGGCTCAGATCCCCAAGCAAACCTGTCTGGTCTTTCTCAGGCTCTCTTTGATCGCCTTACACTTACGCACGCAACCACCACGGAATTCTTACATCACTTTTGGTCTGTATTCTTATGCGGCGACCCTGATCGTGCTGGAGAACTGGCGAAGTTGGTGGAAACATTGGAGAGAGCCTTGGATCGCATTAATGCGGTAGCTGCGGATGCAGAAAAGGAAAGGAACGATCTGATTAAAAGCCAGAAGCAACAAATTAGAGAACTATGGGAAAAGACTGGCAAAAAAATGCAATATAAACCAGAGTTGGTTGGTGGGGGCGAGAAGGTGGTACGGGAGATGCTGGAGCCTACGATTTTCGCTTTGGATAAAGCGTCGAAGGAATATAGGAAAGCGCTGGCAGCAGAGGGTGTTGATACATCGTGAAAATAATTTAGGAATGAGCTAGACTGGTTCTGTTATTGGAAGATGACAGGATGGGAAGGTGCGCCCAGAGTGATAATCATCGCTCTTGCCTCTGATGCAGAAGTGGTGTACTAGATGTGATTCTTCGACAGCTTATGGTACCTTATCGAAACCACTTAACCACAATATTCTTGTTCTTTCGCTTTTTACTTTCCAACGTGCCAGCGAAGGCCTATCACGGAATTGCTGGAGCCTGGTAATGGGAAGTTTCACTCGCTGACCAGATGGTTCATGGTTCCTGATACAATCATGGCCGAAGAGAGCCTCCTCGACTCCGATGCTCCAGCTTACATTCGATCACCTCTCATACCACATACGAATAACAAGCCCGTTGCGATAATCACTGCCAGATCTGCGAAAAAGGTCAGTCGAAAATCGTCTTTTGCCCGACGACTGGACTCGTCGGAATCCATCCCTAGCTCCCACGGCTCCATATTTGCCGCTGAATACGTTTCGCCTCATGCCAGCGAAGACGGCGGATTCAAGATTGAGAAATGGCAGGCTATTGGCAGTTCTGTTCGGCCCTCAACAAGTGAAGAACAGCCATTGCCACTTCTAGGCGTTGATGAGAACTCCGACGTAGGACTACCCGTTGGGAATACCCCGATTCTTTATGGCCATGGGACGGCCCTGACCACCATTATCGAACAAAAGTCGTCGATGGCGACCATACGCACTATCAGCACCCCATCTCCCGTTAGAACCCTCACCCGCCCACGCTCAATGTCGGATCTTTCGTCGTCTTCAGCCTCGGCATCCATACTGAAGCAACCGCCCAAGACCAGTCCTATCAGATGCGAGTTCTCAATCAGCGGCATGATCCATAGACTTGCTTCATTCTCGGACGAGGATGTGGGCACCATAAAACTATCGTGGCCAGAGGGCTACGATCCTCTCGCAAACAAGCCGAAACGGGCGACCAAGTCAAGTGTGGATGGCGGTACCTCTGAAATACAGGAGACTACATTCCGTGAAATTTATGCTCAGCCTCTCAGCCCTATTCAGCCTCCTATTGAGCGCCCAGCAACTCCGCCAGGAATGCCCTCGTGGACCGCACCACAACAACAGCGACGACCACGCGCTGTATCAAGCACCCCAGCTCGAACCAGTAGTTTTCAGCGAGCCACAGCTCGTGTACAACGTTTCTTCGGTTACGAGCCGTTGAGCAGAGCTGGCAATCGAGCATCAGGATCGGCACATGGACACGGGCTCTGTGGGCCATGGGATATGGTCCCATCCCGTAGACGATGTGTCTCTGTCCCGAATACCGTCGTTAGTGGTGCTCCACGGTTCAGGCCTCCAAGAAGTGGCCACGGCGTGACATCGCTGGAACTGCATCCGTTTGCCCAAGCGGATGCCCGTCCCACCACGACCCGCACCCCGGAAGCAACTACCACGGGGAGAAGGATCAGCTCAGCGCCTGTTACTGCTGGTGGTTCAAGGTCTTCAAGACGATCGAGCGAGCCGGTTCCCGCACGCCCTGTGAAACCGAAGGGGAAACGAAAGCCAGGGCAGAGAGTCCGCTTTACATCAAGCACCGCAGCTGTTGCTGCAGTATCGCAGACCCAGTCTGGCGGGCCAAACACACAGCGACAACGAGCTAATTTTTCGAAGCCGTGCCGTCATCGCCGTGTCAAAACGCCCGACCTACCCCCCCAGGAAATTACGCCATCCACGGCTGCGGGTGAAATTTCGATGCCACAAACCCTGCCACAGGCTCTGCCAGCGGGTAGCTTGGAGAATCACCTCGACCACTTGCCTAGTATGCCGTTAGTCCCAGCTACCTCAGGTCATGAGCCTGATGGATCGACCGAGCCTTCATCAGAGCCCTCGATCAAGTCAAAAAGGGGGGAATGCTGGAAATGTCGAGTAAAGACTGTGATAGCCCAGGTGAATGACGTTTTGGAGTCTTGCACCATGTTATGCTGCTGGTGTTGCTGCGGGATCGATGTGATGGGACTAGCTGATGACGCTGCGGCGGATCAACCATTGAGCAATGGGGTGGCGCATTGAGGCAGGATGAAGCTGCCGTATCAGATTGCTTGGAAGATGAGCACTTGGGGATGGGTCAGTGCAAAGTCACTCGTGGAAGTATTGGTTTACTCGTGTTAAAAGTATATCCAATTGTATTCTTTATGCTCGCTAAAACGGTGTCAAATGGTGCTGTGTCTATGTGAATGTACAACCACCAGGTTCAGATGTATACCCGCCTGTCTATCAATCCTTTTTACTCCCCTTCCCCTTTGAGTCATCATCTTCCTCATCCTCATCATCGTCTCTCGCCCTCTCTTTCTTCTTCCTCTCCTTCCTCAACGCCTCATGCACGATCTCGCTCGCCTCGTCCTGCATCTCGTTCCATTCAACATCATACTCCTCGGCCACCTTCTTGACCTCCTTCCGCAGCGAGTTCGCCTCCTCTACCAGCGACTCCCATGTCCCGATATCGAAGCCGCGTGCGGTATACAGTCGGTTCTGCTGGTGCGAAACCGTAGCGTGCAGCGCCGACCGGTACGACACCTCGCGGTTATGCCAGAGGAAGTAGAGGTAACCTATCATGATCGTCGAGAGTCCAGCTAGGTACTGTATATTGTCAGCATTCATTTCCATCCAGTCACACTAAAGTGGATGGACTTACGGTAATCGGCTCCATAGTATCCCACCCATAGTCCGTCTGAAACGTAAAATGGTAAATCGACGCCCACCACGCGACAAGGATACCAAACCCTCCCATCGCCAATCGCTGCGCGCTACGATGTGCTAGGTCATCACACTCCTTCTTGATCTTCGCCATTCCATCCAGCCTCCTCGCCAGCTTCCGCAGCCTCACACGCAGGTAATGCGTCCGGTCCGCGAAACTAGGCACGCCCACGCGGATCTCCCCCTCACGACTCCCCTCAATCTCAACCGCGAACTCCTTCCCACGCGCCGCGTCGCGGATGAAGTCCCCAATCTCAGTGCTAGTCGACCAGCGCACGAACTTGCGCTTCTTCTCCGCTGCACTGGGCTGGTCGTGGCCGAGGCCGGAGTACGTCTCGATGCCGCCCTCGCCGGGACCGCCGCGGAGGGACTTGGCGATGTTCTCGCCTTGGAGGGAGTCTTCGAGGTCGTCTTTGTTGATCTTACCGGTCTTGACGAGCTTGCCGTCTACCATGTGCTCGTCGGTGCCTTCTTCTACTCCTGCTTGTACGTCGTCTACTTTGTGGGTGTCGTGCTTGGTGTCTTCGCTCTCTTCTTCTTGTGCCGAGTCCTCGGCGCGGAACCAAACTTCGGGGATCCTGTCTTGGCCCTCCTTGTTTTTTATCATGGGGAGCTCGGATTGGATTAATCGCCCGAGGTAGGAGAGTGGTTGTTGGGGGTGGACGAGGAGGGCGAGCGGCTCAATGTCTTTCCGGTCGGAGTTCTTGTCGAGCGTGGTGAGGGGAAGGATAAGCTTGAGTCGGGATGGGGTTGTCAGAAGTTTGCCTGGGTATGTCAGTTCAGATCTTATCTTAGACAGGTGAGAAAATGGATATACCTTTGGTCATGGCACCAGCGCTCCGCAGCTTTCTCACTGGTGGGTCTTCCGGTCCTGCCCTATGCCATGGCGTCCTTGCCTGCTTCTCCTTTGCGGTTCCTATCTCATCATCTAGATAGCCAGTACTTGATGATTTGCCCTCCTTTTCTTCTCCCTCCACATCATTATTTGGTGATCTTCCCTCTTCCTGAGCCTCCATGCCCTTCCTGTTGAGCTCCTTCGCCTGCGCCTTGTATTTATCCTCCCTCGACTGCTCCTTCGAGGGCTTCCCGTCGGATGCAAAGCCGCGGCTCGCGCATCCCAATGGCTTCCATCTCTGCGTCCCTATGCTGCGAGTTGCAGGCCGTAGAAACGGCTCTGAGGTCGCGCGCAAGCTGCTGGCGACCTGTCGCTCAATGTTGTGATAGACATGGCCTTTGAGCAGGAAAGGCGAGCACTTCATCGCGTTTGAGGGGTTTCTTTCGCGGGGCGTTCAAGAGTCGAAAAGCATCTCCATATAGGTTCACAACGCTAAATATATATTAATCGAGACTGTCCTGACTGGCCAATTGATGCTGGGCCAGCTTCTTCCCAGATTCCTTCGAGGTGCTCGTGTGACGTCATAGTCTAGGGTCCTTGTCCGCTCTTAGAGCTAAGTCTAAAAGGTACCGGAGACCTCATCCAAATATAGCGCCCATCGCCCAGAACAACGTCGCCCAAACGACAGCAAAGTGATATTTATAAGACGATGGCAATAAAGTAACGCAACATAATAATATCTAGCAGGAAATTTTTCTTTTTGCTCACGAACACGATCCCACCACCACAGGTCTTATCACCACCTGCCTAGAACACTTATTCAAACACTTCTGCATCTCTCGCGGCTACAAAAATCTCACGGTACTCGTCCAATGCTTCAGATATTCCCCTTAGCCGAGTGTCGAGGCTATAGTCAAGGATATTTTTAATTGCCTCCATAGCAGCTCTAACCCCCTCTTTACTGTCTAGCAAATACTTAGCAACTACCTCGACATGGAAACTGTAGGTTAAATCCCCATCTACCCCACCACTTAACCAGTGTACGTTTATCCGCACCTGTTCGTGGTCGATGCTAGCAGAAAAGAATTGTGGGTTGCTCATATCAAGCTTCTGTATGTGGGAGCTGCGCTGCATCAATTCTAGGTAGCCGTATAGAGCAATGGCACCAGCATTCGCGGCTTGGTTTGATGCAATATACTGCGTGCTACCCTTTGCCTGTGACTTGAACTCGATAACGAGGAACGGAAACAGAAGCTTGTCATCTGGCATGGCGTAGCTCTTTCCGAACTTATCGTCGACTAGGGTATCGATTATTCTTCGCTGGTTGCTTGTGAAGGCCGAACTGGAGTAGCCAAAGGCACGGTCGGGTTCAACCAAAGGCCGGTTTCGGTCTATAGTAGCTTATGGGGTTGCATTTCGGTGTTGGAAAGCTTAAAGAGTATGTTCTTTGTTACCATAAAGGTTGATTTTAATCTATGGCAGCCCATAAGCTACAGTTATGTGTTGGAATGCTCAAATAATATCTTTCTTTGTCCAAAACTGTACTCAGTCGTACAGGCGCACCCTCAACTGCCGGAAGCAGGGGGCGTGTACCTCTTACACGCTCATGTCTATCATCACAGCTCCCGAACCTGCTTCCCACAGCAGACATTCCACCCACTTACCTGACCGCCCCCTCCTTCCTCATCGCCTCAATCTCCTCTGCACTCATCCCCAACATCTCCCCCAACACCTCCTCCGTATGCTCCCCCAGCAGCGGCGGCGCCGTCCTAATCCCCGGCTGCGCCTCACTATACTTCACCGGCGTATTCACCATCTCCACCTCCCCACACGCCCCATGCCCAACCTTCACCACCATCCCCCTCGCCCTAACATGCTCATGATCCAACGTATCCCTAACATCATTCACCGCCGCATACGGCATCCCCCTCCCCTCAAACGCCTCCAACCACTCCTGCGTCGTCCTCCCCCTCGTAATCTCCTCAATCATCCCCTCCAGCACCACCCTATTAGCAACTCTCTCCGCATTCGTCCTGAACCTCTCGTCCCCCGCCCACTCCCCCTTCCCAAGCCCTTCACACAGAATCCCAAATAACCTATCATTCCCCCCCCCAACCAAAAACTCCCCATCCTTCGTCGGAAACGCGCGATAGGGGACAATACTCGGATGCGCCGTCCCCCACCTCCCACTATCCCGCTCTCCGCTCACCAAACTCGAACTAGCGAGGTTACTCAAAGTAGCGACCTGGCAATCCGACAGCGCGGCGTCGATGTGCTGGCCGCGTCCTGTGCGCGCGCGCGCTAGGAGGGCGGCCATAATGGCGTTGCTGGTGTATAGACCCGTCGTCAGATCGGTCACCGCGACGCCGACTTTCACCGGCGGGCCGTCGCGCGAGCCGGTAATGTGCATTAACCCCATCTCCGCCTCGACCATGACATCGTATCCCGCGCGCGGCGCATACGGTCCCGTCTGTCCATACCCCGTGATAGAAGCGTAAATAAGCTTCGGATTCAAAGCCGAGAGGGTGGCGTAGTCGAGGTTATATTTCGCCAGCGTGTTGGGGAGGTAGTTTTCGACCAGGATGTCGATTGTAGGGAGGAGTTTATGGAGGGCGGCGACGCCGGAGGGATGCTGGAAGGAGAGGGCGAGGGATTTTTTGTTGCGGTTTACGGAGAGGTAATAGGCGCTTTCGCCGGGGCCGGTGAGGCCGGACTCTTTCGAGTATGGGGCGTAGGGAGGACCCCAGGCGCGTGTGTCGTCGCCGCGGACGGGGTGCTCGACTTTGATTACCTCCGCTCTGGGGGTTTGTCAGTCAATGGCTCTCTGTATGGTCCCAATGTTCCTCTCTGTATGCTAGAAACCCCCAACAGTCGCGTAGAGAAGTATGAGTATGAAATGGTTGACTTACCCCAGGTCTCCCAAAATCTGCGTACAATACGGCTGCGGTTTCAATCAGCATTGGTCCAATTCCACAGCACCACGCTGTCCATTGCGCAGCTCAGAAGGGATACATACCCCAGCCAAAACCCTCGTCATATCAAGCACTCTAACCCCCTTCAACGGTAACTTCCCATCATCCCCCTCCACCGCCTTCGCACTCGCCATCCCTCTCCTCCCTCCCACCATCATCCTCACTCCGCTCCCCCTCACCAGCGGCCTCGCACCCCCTACAGCAGCGCGTCGACAAAGAACTCCCAAATTAGCGAATTGAGACATAACTATAAACAAACAAAATTTTGGTAAAAGAAGAAAGAGAGCGCGGGAGAGACAGAGAAGCCGGATATAACCTCGCCGGGTTCCCCACACTTTCCCCACACGAGGCTGTAGATGCCGAGGTCTGTGCGCCGGGCCGCGAGGCTGTAGCCGGGGAGGCGAGGCTGAGGTCGCCGAATTAGACGACTGGCAAACCAAGTAACCACTCTAAAATCCGGACCTTTTGCTCCAAGGTTGGGCATTGTAACTAGGTCGCAGTAAGGTGGGAGTGCTTCTGAAAAGTTCAAACTGCTCTTGAGTTGGATTTATAGTTATAAATTCACAGGTGTGTCTCTTATCAAACTCATATTATTCCGCCGTCGGTTAGATCTCCAACAGCTCTTGATTTCTCATTTTTTGTCTGTGTTGTCAAAGTCGATGTTATTTCCATCTTTAAATCTGTATCTACTCTTGGTTTTCTCCTTTTGTCTCTGTCAAACTCATGTTTTGTGGGTTGGTGACAGAACCCATGTGTGAACGACGCAATATGGACAGATGACAGCAGTATGGGCAGACGACAACACCATGGGCAAACGACAATAGCATAGGCGAACGACAGCACCATAGGCAAACGACATCAATACGGAGAAACCGCAGCACACCACAGACTAAAAACATCATCAATTCAAACCCAGATTGCCCATCTACAAGCTCCCTAGCCGTATATCCTATGGCTGACTCTAGGCTCCGCTTCCATAGAAGGTTCGGTCGATCGTTAGAGTCAGAGTTAAGGGCGCGTAATTATTTTATGGCCTATTTTGGGTTGGGGGGGGGGATTGAATGTAGATATGATATCGAGAAAAAAGAAGAAGGTCGGAAATATATGCAGAAATAGTAGAGGGGGTGGTATCAAAGGGTATGGCCAAGGAGCTACGGATAGTGAGAGCTCTATATATAGCTTCACTTTTTTCCTAGGGTCGATAGTGGGGTGGGGATAGAGATAAGATGAGATGAGGGCAGTTCGACGTCTTGCGCCGCAGCAGTATATCGCCATATCCACGATAAAACCACAGAGTCTGTGACGACGACCACGACTCCATCGCTCTTCTCTCCTCGCTCACGCCACCAAAGGGAACTCAAACCCCATCCCAGGATACCAGTTCCTCAACTCCCAAAATGTCATCCCCTCCCACCCCCTCCCCCTCTATTGTCCCCCCCTACAACCGCACAACCCTCACCCGGCTCCTCACGCGCCACTACACCACCCTCTCACAAATGGGCTACATCCCCCCCACCTCGATCCTCCACCCCCCAGCGTCGGGGTGGTCCGATTCGCGCCTCAACACCTCCGCTCTCCGCCTAATCGGACGCAACGAGACGGTCATCGAGCTGCTGAAACATATTCCTTATCTGGATAAAGAAATCCAAGTCTGGCCCGAGACGGAGCACCTCTCCTACCTAGACCGGAAATGGGAGTCCCCCACCACGATCAACGAGAGGATGGGCGAGGAAGGGGGGTTGGTGAATATCTACCCCTTCTCCCCGCACAAATCCCCCTTACCGGGAATGGTAACCCTGACCCACGGCTGGGCGGGCGTATGGTGGGTTATCGACACCGACACCGGCTTGGTGTGGCCGAGTGAGAGTCATTGGAAGGTTCATGCGAAGCCGGACGAGCCGGAGTGGATGTGGTATGTGCCCGTGGGGATTGAGGAGTTTTTTGATCTGGCTTGGAAGAAACTTGTTGGGTTGGAAGTGGTGCCGATGCATGGGTTTAGGAGGGATAGGAAGGGCGGGGGGTGGGATTCGGTGGAGGATCAGGTGTGTTTTGCGGGGGAGCAGGAGGGGGTGGTGAGTTTTGGATTTCTTTATTTTCTTGTCTTTCTTTCCCTCTTTTTCCTTGGTGCGTTGGTAGTTCAGGGACGGGTTGAGGGTTGTCGTGTTCTGTGCTAACGGGGAATAGGCTGTCAAGAAAGTCTTCCTAGAATGCGGATGGCCAGACTTAGAAAACTTTCAGAGTGAAGAGTGTGTCAAGTTGGCGGGGGAGGCGAGGTTGAGGGTCGTGGAGGGGTGGAAGGTTAGGTGGTTGGAGGGGGATATAAAGGAGGCGGAGGAAAGGGGGGATGTGGAGGATAGGGAAAGGTTGGAGGAGAGGTTGAGGGTGGTGAGGAGGGAGTATGCGTTTGAGTGGGAGGGGGGTGAGGGGGAGGGTGAGGGGAGGGATGAGGGGGGAGAGAGAGGAGAGGGGGTGGCTATGAATGAGAAGGGTAGGGTGAATGAGGTGTTTGGGTTGGGTTTGTGATATTTTCATTTTTATAATAGATATCTTAGAAATATATTTAACTTTTTAGAGTTCCCAGCCATTTATATTTCAGGAATTTATTATTTTATTCACACATAATTAAACTAAAAGAGTTCCAAAATTAATATTACTCAGCTTCACCCTCGAACTTACATTCTCCCTCTATGCAAGCATATAAATTTCCAAACATCCCCCAAAAACGGGGGTTCATTCCATTCACCTTTACGAATATCTCACGCCCGAGACTTCGTCAATACTCTCCATCCCACCACTCATTACTTTGATATAACTGATCTTCACCACACACACACACACCATCCACGTGACCCCACCCCCCTTCCCCACCAAGAAAATCCAATTGAAACCCCAAGCCTTCTCCCAGACAAGAAATTAAACACCAACTCCACCCCCAAGCCTTTTTTTTCAATCCACGTGATAACTCTGTTGGTCGTGGTGTGACACAGCTAACCCGCCCGCCGCCGTCGTCGCCGTGCGCTCCCGATTCCGCGTCGTCCCGGTGTGGGTGTGTACTACTTCTACTACTTTCACTACTTTCACTACTGTTGTGTGGTGGAGTGTACTGTTTGTACTGTTTGTACTGTCCTCTACAGTTTTTCTGTGGTAGGGGTACGAGGACAAGAGAGTAAGGTAGCATTACCAACGTAGCATGAATTACATAAGTCTCCTCCCCGGCGCGGATATTATGTAAGACAGCAGCCCTTACAGTTCCGCGGCGGACAAGGAAGCCAGCCAGGCAACAGAGAAACGTACGATTCTGTTTTGGCGGCGGGCGGTCGGACAGGGTCACGGGATGGGAGGGGGCTGGATCGTTGGTATGACTTTACCTTTGATGGGGTGAGGAGGGTTATGCAAGCTTGGGATGGATGGAGGGGGGAGTAGTGTACAGTAGAGTAGGGTTGGTTGTACGAAGCAGTACGAATAGTACAGTATAATAAAGTATGTAATACGCGGACAAGTCGTATAGAGTACAGCGGCGGAGGAAGGAGCGGAGCGGAGTGTGGTCGGTCGTCCTGTCCTGAGTTTTGAAGGGGTAATGGAAACTGGTGCCGTCCAATTGAGGCGGCTGTATTGCCCATTGACCACGGGCTTGACCACGGGATCGGTGGAAGGGGAGAGGGTAATGTGACCATACTGTGGTGTATGCAGTGGACGACCAACAGATGGGAGCACGCTATATATTGGCATAGTACCGTCATGAACCGAGGGGATGGGATATGGGGTGGTGATGGGATGGACGGGGTAGGTGTTGGATTGGATGGGTATTGTATGGTATTGTATGGTGATGAGGGGGGTATATAGTACGTAAGTGAGGGCGAGGATGGGGGGGGATGGGGAAGGAGGGTGACAGTAACCGGGGAGGAAGAGGGGACTAATGCGGTGCTATGGTGCATGATCGGGGAGGATGGGGAGGGTATGCCGATGGGTGAAGGGGATGGGGAAGTGAGGGTGAGGTCCAAGAGTTCTGTGTTGCTCTACTGTATCTTGTTGTGCTGCTGCTGTGTGTTGATGTGTGTTGATGTGCACTGCTGTGACCTTGCTATACCCTTGTTTGTGTCCTGTCGGCAAGCACCGATATAGGGGAACAGGAGAGGAAGGCAGCAGACAGGAGGAGTGCAGTGCATTGCATTGGTATGCTTACTCGTACTATAGGTTACTCGTATGCTCACATATGCTCAGATCCTTTGGCCTGCACCTGCACCATATTGAACCATATCGTCTGTCTGCACGTACTGTATAAGACCACTCACTCCTTCTTCGCACAGTACCTTATGCTGTATACTATACTTCATCCTCGCCAAGTGTCCACTGCAGCTATTTAACTACTCCTATACAGTTAGTTATACAATCAGTTATATGCACTATCCATTCCTGCACCATCGGCCTGTCTTAACTGCAGATCGGACCTTTCCTTCCTTCCCTCTCTGCACGTCAGATCGACTGGGTATCCAATCAGCCCCCAATCCCACCCTCCCTTCTCCCGTTCTCCCCGGTCTGCTACTGCTGCTACTGTGCTTTTGTCTCTTCTGTCTCTCCCCCCTTCTCAACTCCGTTCCCCCTTCTCTGCTGTGTTTCCCCTTCATCTCTCGCTTTCCGTCCCCTCTATTCCCTCTTCGTCCTATTCCCCTCCCCTCTTCCGCGTTCCCCCCGCCGCACCTACCAGATACGTACCCTCTTAGTACAATACATTACGATACAATACCCTAGCACGGCAAACTTTAAACGCTGTAAGCGAGAGAAGAGGCCGTTTAGTCAACCTACCAATCCCCACTGTTTGTCCACTTATTGCTGTGAAAATTACTGTAGTGGACGGCGGGATGGGGTGCAAAAATGTGAAATGTGAATTTCCATGACTAACGCCAGGTCAATTCACACCAATACGACGGCAATAAACGCCCATACACGCCCACCACACACACACACATGGAGGGAGTGGTCGTGAATATACCATACGGAGATTCCATTTATACACACACTATAAACACAACTAACACAAAACTCTACTCTACTATACACAACTCTAGTCTATGCTATGCACACACGAGTACCCTGTACAACTTCATATGTCTGTACTGCTACTTCACACACAAGTCACTCAGACATCCACCTCCATCCATCCCACCACCAAACATCCACCCATCAACTCAACTAACTCATCTATCCATTTTCCATTGTCCATCCATCCATCCAATCCACATACCACTATTTTCCCTCTCCTTCTCCTCCCTCTCCTCCTCCTTCATCTGACCATTCCCACCTAAAATCATCCCATCCCATACCAACTGACCATCCCACTTTACCACCTTACCTTTCCACTTCTTCCTTCCTCTTTTCTCCTCCTTCCACTCTCAGATAGTGCAGTCAACTGTAGAGAGAACTGCCAGAAATCCCCAGAAAAAAAAAGGGCCCAATTGTCTATTAACCGGCGGCCCTTCCCTCTTGTGCCCTGATTCTGTGCCCTCTTCAATCTTCAGTCTTCTTTTTATTTTATAAAGATTAAAGATACAATTCTTTAGACCGTTCCTGCCCTCGTCATCGAACATATATACCCTATATGTACCTGTCTAGTACACACGCATAGAAGCGCTGCGCTGTACAGTACGCACAGGATTGTACACCGAACAGTGCACAGAACGCACTTCAGTACGACCAAAAATACAAATTCAGTACAACATTCGCCACAATCAACGAGTACTCTGTTAGTCACTCGTAACCTCACTTCAAACCTCTCCGAACCTCTCCAAAACCTCAACCTCAAATCTTCCCGCTAGAACAGTCAGATCAGCCTTCTTTCCCGCCTCAATTCACACCACAACAACACCACCTACCTACTCACCAACTTCCTTCACCTCTCTTCCGGCTTCCCCGCTCCCAAGAACAACACCACCAACTACACCACCGTACCCTGCCTTCGTGCATATCCTTGACTAACACCGGTCTGCGAGGCGTGGCCAAAAACCGAGGAAAATCTTTTAAATCCTCGCTGCTCTTCTTCTTTCAACTCTTTTAACCTCAAACCATCTTCACAAAAAAAACCACCACCTTCTGACGCCATTAACCCCGCCATTCCCACGACCACAATCGTCGCGACCCCACCACAAACGAACCCCAATTCACACAATCCAAACGCAACCATAAACAACTACTGTGACACACCGACGGCCACGACAGGCCACGACATGGCCGTGTCGACGCCGGTGGCAGTGCCAGCACCCAGGCAGCGCGCCCCGGGGGAGAAGCAGATGCCGCTGAGGGAGGAGACGCTGCGCAAGAACACCGAGCCTACCTTCACCGCCGACCGCGAGGAGCGCACCTCCTTCGCCTCGGTGAAAGAGGACCGCTCCGCAGTCGCCCAGTCCTTCCTCGACTCGCGCATCTCCTCCTACGCCGTCTTCCCCGACGACGCAATCGACGAGAGCGACTCCGACCGCGCCACCTCCCCCATCTCGCCCACCGACGTCTCGCTCTCCTCCTCCCCCACCACCACCGATGACGACAACGAGGGTGCCTCGGCCGCGGCGGCGCCGGTGATCATCTCGCCGCCCGCCTCGGCCGCGCCGAACGTGCCCACGGACTCACAGGTTCCATCTCAATTAATGGCATCGGCGCTAGGCGCACCGCTAACGAACCCAGCGTCGAACCTGCACTCCTTCGTCTGCCCCTGCGATGGCTTCCGTGGCTGGAAGGAGATCCCCGTGAGGGGCAAGATGGCCAGCAGGAGCTTCAGCGACCTGCGTCAATTCTCCAACAAGGGCTTCACCTGGGAGCCCACCCCCTTCCTCGCCCCCGTCCAGCCTCCCAAGCCCGTCAAGCCGTCGACTTTCCCGGCAGGCGAAGCACCGCTCGAGAGGCTGCCGACTGAGTTACTGGGTGAGTTTTGTTGTGACTATAATTTTACTAGACGATTCTGCTGACACTATACTAGGCGCTATTATTGACCAGATGGTCGCGGACATTCCTCCGAATGGCCTGCAGCCACGAAACATCGACCTGATGGCCCTCCTCTTGACCTCGCGCGCGCTGCACTCCGCGACGCTCGCTACGTTGTACAAGCAGGTCACCATCCCGCACTCGACCGTCTTCCGCAAGCTCCTGCACCATATCAAGGAATACCCCGCCCTGGGCACGATTGTGCGCCGCCTCGACTTCTCGCACTTCAACCCCACCGGATCCGGCGTGACTGCGCGGCAGCGCGCCGAGACGCAGAACCTGACTCAGCAGACGATGCTAGAGTGCCTGGAGCTGCTGCCCAATCTCCGCGAGTTCCTGGCCCAAGAGCACATTGACGAAGAGCTCAGCGTGGATGTCCTACGCAAGCTCTTCAATAACCCGCAGCTCCGCGCTCTGGACTTCTGCGCAGCCTCTTCCGCCATCTTCCGCACATCCATGATGACATTTGTGCGCTCTCCGGACCTCCCGGAGCTGATGCCCATCACACGCCTCTCCTTCCACGAGTGCACCATCCTACCCTCCGTGGTCCTCGAGACGCTCCTCCCGCGTCTCCCGAACCTCACCCACCTCGACGTCGCCCGCACCCGAATGTCCGACAAGGCACTCGCTGCTATCCCCGAGACAGCGCGTCTGACGCACCTCAACCTGAGCAGATGCCAGTCTCTCTCCGGCGACGCCGTCGTCGAATTCCTCACCACCCACGCCTCGGTCAAGGAGCTCCTCTACCTCAACCTCTACATGGACGCTAAGTCCGCCGAGCTGCTCGCCGAAACACACGTTACCTCCCTCCTCTCTATCCTCCCTTCCACTCTCAAATCCCTAAACCTCAAGGGCAGCGCTATGAACGCTACACACCTCTCCCTCCTCGAGCCACTCACCAAGCACGTCGAAGAGCTCGGCCTCGGCAGGAACCTAAACTATACCTCTCTCGTGCCCCTCCTGAAGCCACCACCAGCCACCAAACCCGACGAGCTGGCCCGCTGGGTCCCGCACGCCCTGCGCTACATCGACATCTCCGATTTCGGACTTGAGAGCATCGACTTCAGCGCTTTATTCGGCAAGGCTACCACAGCGCTCGACGAGCTCTCCATGCCCCTCGAGGTCATCGAGGTATGTCAGCGCGTCTACGACCGCTTCCTCGACCGCGAGCGCGCCTTCAAGTCTGCAGGATGGGTGGTCAAAGAGGCTGGTCGACGAGGCTGGCTCGTGCGCGATCTGAGTAAAACCGATGGAGGCGATGATGGAGCGAGGTCGTGGAAGATGGGAGCCACGTACTGGGGGATGCGGAAGGTGCCTGTGGCGAGAGCGGAGGTGGGGGGGATGTATGGGCTTTATATGTTTAAGCGGTAGAGGAGAGGGTGCCTTTTTTTTTTATGAGAATTGGTTTTTGTCTTTTGTTGTTGGTGGGGAAAGACAATTGGGGAGGGGGGAAAGCATTAAAGCATAGCATAGCATGCATGGAGCTGGGGAGTTATTTCTTTTTCTTTTTTTGCGTTTGTTTTTCTGGCCTGAGCCTTTTTGGGGGGAGGCGCTGCATCGCGAAAGGGTATATGCATTTGGTCGGCAGCATTTGTTATCCTTTTTTGACACTGGAAATACCCCTGCGAGGAATACCATGATATGGAGGCGGCAACTGGGGAGAGTGGGGAGGGGGTTTGCTGGCATCGAAAGCATGGCGAGCGGCGAACGGAGAGGAGAGAGGGGAGAGCGTTTTTATTTTCGCCCTCTTAAATGGGGGGAGAAGAGAAATGAACAAAGAAGAGAAGACTGATGAGAGAGATGATGAGGAGAGTCTTTTTTTTGAGATGTCGTGTGTGTTGTTGTTATGCAGTGCAATGATCCCTTCGACCTTTGCCCGCCCTACTACCCTGTGCCCTCCCTCCCCGCCATCCCAAACGACGAACGCAGAGATGTAATGATTGCTTACTGATGCGTTTGGACCTGGACTTGGAATGGATGGGTGGGATGCAGTTGATGGCCTGGGAGGGCGTGGATCATTCTGCGGTCAGCTGTGCAGCGGTGGGTGGGAGTTGAGTTGGGATGAGCTTTATTACCGATGCGAGACAATATGGGAGAGGATGACCGAGAGTCGTCTTATATCGCGGGCCGGGCACACAAGATATGGAGAGGGAGGAAAGTCATTCACCCACGATGTCAATAGACTCCCACAGTTGGTTGGGGTGGATGGGAAAAAATTGTATAAGTCCCTCCCTCCTCGTATGGAGAAACGAGCGATGAGGCGTCGTGGCCGAAGGAGGATGGGGAGGAGGTGGTTATGAGGAGATTTCCTGCCACCATGACTGCGTTTCGGATCGTCTATATAACCTTATGGTTTTCATTGGGGATTGATGGGAGGGTATTGCTGCATCACGAGGATGGTAGCTTATCGTTGTGCTGGAGAGGGGGTCGGACACTTGGTTCGCTGGAGATTGTTACGTGCCGCTGGTATTGTCTTTTATGCACGCGCTGAGTTGGAGGGGGAGGGTGGTTTACTTTTAACGAGACTTTTTCTGCTGGTTTTTTACGTTTTGCGATGGGTTTTTGTTTTCACTGCTGTTGTTTGGTTTGATGGGGGGTGAGTGATGGATGGCCTCTCTTCTCTAGGAGTATGGATGAGAAAATGAATGGAGGGTTTAATTAAGGATAAATAAATATGGAAAAATTCTTCTCTTGATTGTATTGCTTCGTATGGTGTTGTGAGGAGGTGAGACAGAGGTGTATTTTGTGAATTAAGAGGGCCGAACTTCTGTCTGCTTGACTGCCCTGTTAGTCACTCCGCCAGCTATATCACACACACAGGCAAGTAAACGGAGAAGCTTAAATCATAATACAAAAGAATCTTCATAATCAAACACCCCACCCCATCTATAATCTCATATATACATCACACACCTCCTCCCTCTACTGCTCCGAAACCCAAACAGCAGCCATCCCCATCCCAGTCCCCACACACATACTCGTAACACCAATCTTTCCACCTCCCCTCTTCAGTCCACCCAGCAGGGTACCGACTTGCCTCGCACCAGTGCAACCTAAGGGGTGACCGAACGCAATAGCGCCTCCACCAGGGTTAATCTTCTTCTCATCCAACCCCAGCGCCTCAATACACCAAACACACTGACTCGCAAACGCCTCATTAATCTCATACACATCCACCTCCTCCTTGCTAATCCCCGCCTTCTCCAGCGCCAACGGGATGGAAGCCCACGGCCCAACACCCATCAGCAGCGGCGCGACGCCCACAACCGACGCAGTAACGTATTTCCCGAGGATAGTCTGGCCGAGCTTCTCAGCAGTGGAACGCTTCATCAACAGCACCGCCGCGGCGCCGTCGGAGATCTGAGACGCGTTGCCGCCGTGGATAGACCCGTCTTTGGCGAAGGCAGGCTTGATCTTGGAGAGGGACTCGGCGGTGACGCCGCGACGGATACCATCGTCTTTGCTAACCGTAATCTCCTTCCACTCATCCGTCTTGACATCCTCGAACTTAACCTTCAGCGGCACGATCTCAGCGTCGAACCAGCCATTATCCTGTGCATGCGCGGCCTTGGCGTACGATGCAGCAGCGAAGGCGTCTTGCTTCGCGCGACTGACACCGCGGTCCTTGGCCATAGCTTCGGAGAGGTTGCCCATGCCGACTTTGCAGTTCTTGGCTTCGGGGTGAGAGTCGAGAAGCTCGGAGAACTCGGTCACGGCGCCGGGGCCGTATTGGAGGGACATGCTCTCTACGCCTGCGCCGACGCCGATATCGATCATACCCGCCGAAATGGCATTCGCGATATCGACACAAGCCTGGAGACCAGACGAGCACTGTCTATTCAGCGACCTCACAGCCGTAGAATCGGGAAAACCCGCCGCGAGAGCAGCAGCGCGGAACTCGGTAGCTCCTCCTCCCGGAGGCAGGACAGAGCCAACAGCGATATCCTGGACGAGCTTAGGGTCGATTCCCGAGCGATCCACGACGGCGCGGAGGGCGCCGACGAGGAGATCAGCAGCGGGTGTGTCTTTGAAGCCGCCTTTGCCGCCCTTGGTGAAGGGGGTGCGCAGGGCGGCGGTGATGACGATGTCGTCTGCGTTCTTGGAGAGGAGGGCGGCGCGGCCGGTGGGCTTGAGGTGGGAGGCTACTTGGCCGACGCGGGATTGTGCTGTTGGGGGGGGGGCGATGATGTCAGTTTGGGGGTTCTGGAGGGGTTTTTGGGAGGAGGGAGGGGTTTTGGGGGGGGGGACGAACCGGAAGACATGGTGATGGTTGATATGTCTGGATTATGGGTATATGGTAGATGGGAGAGATGTAGATGGGTATGTAAAGACAGAGGAAAGGGAGATTTTTTATTTCCAAGGGCGCACGATGGGTTTATAATGCACCTTCTTCGGACCGTCATGAGCACAACGTAGGTCGGGCAGTCCGCTCGCTTTTGGGCCGAGGTATGGGTGTGATTGGCTAACACGGTGAGGGTGGTGGGGCGAGAGGTCGATGAACACGGTGCTGTGTGGTCTTCACATGCTAGATGGTTGGGGTTTCTGTCACGTGTTTGGGGGTTTTGGGTGTGTGAGGTGCGGTTTGGGTTGTGAGGTGTGGTGTTTGGGGTTGTGGGGTGTGGAGAATCACGTGTGGATTTGGGGAAGGAGCCGGGAGATTAGTTGGAGAAGGAAGCTTCGGCGTGGGGATGCACGTGAGATTGCTTGGAAGGGCTTGGAAATTTTTGAAGATGCTTGGAGTGCTTGGGGTTTTTTTACAGATTGCTTGGAATTCTTGGATGATGTCTTGGACGGCTTTGGCTTGGATTTCCTTAGAATAGGCTTGAATTTCTTGCGATTGCTTATTCGGACCTCTATGGATCCCTCATTTCAAAGACAGCGCATTTATAGACAACATTTTAGCCAGGAAAAGCAAAATCCTCCCATCTATTATTATGGCAAGTAAGTGCATGAAAGCCTCCTCCGTCTACCTAACGATCGATCGCCTCCATCTATCATGCTGCCGGCCTGTTTGTATGATGCAGATGCAGATGCAATCGTCCTCCCATGATGAAAAAAAAAGAAGAGAAACAAACGGATCCTCCATTTTGTAATAAGCTTGAGCAGGTGTAGATCTTATCTCTCTCTTCTGTCGCAGGACTCCCATTAACGCCATGTATCGCTCGCTCGCTCGCTCTTTGGAAGGCCGTCCATGTCGGTGCATCGCTGAGCCGCCATCAGTAAATCATTGAATGCCTCGCCTCACTCTTGTCGTGAGCGGGCTGAAGACGCATCACTGCCCTATAAACTAATCATCGATGCCACGCTATCAGCTCTCTGCCCTCTCCCCGTCACATCTCCCCACCCATCATCATCATCATCCTTCTCCACCAAACTCTCCTCATCCGCATCCTCATCATCCTCATCATCATCCGCAGCCAGCTTCAACCCCCCACGACAATGCCCACTGAACCCATCGAGAAGGCTCTGGCTCGCCACATAGCTAAACCCGTTGAACACATTTGATGGGTTTAAATCCTCCCTTGACCCCCAATTCCCGCGCTCCACCACTGGGCTCAGCGGCAGCGTCGTGAACTCGCTGGAGAAGTTCTCAGCCAGCTCAGGGTCATTGATGAATGGCACGATGGGAGGGCTGACCTCGCGGCGTCCCAGGGCCGCCCAGTCGATGTTCTTGAAGAAGCGGTGGGACTTGATGGTCTGGATGTCACGTGGGCCGTAGCCAAGGCGCTTCTTGGGTTCCTTGCGTAGTAGGCGTGTGAGAAGGTCCTTTGTCTCGGAGCTGAGGTGGTAAGGTAGCTTGAGCTTGCCGTGCACGATGTTTTGCATGATGATGTTCTTGTTGTTGCCGCGGAAGGGAGGGTTGCCAGTCATCAGGTCAAACCCCAGTGCGCCAAGCGACCACCAGTCGACAGCGAATCCATACTTCTTGCCCTGCACGACCTCAGGGGCCATGTACTCAACAGTGCCAGCGACAGTTGCACAGCTCTCGCCATCGAGGGCGACTTTGGAGAGGCCGAAATCGGTAAGGAGGAGGTGGCCTTCAGAATCCAGCAGACAGTTCTCAGGCTTGAGATCACGGTAAACGACACCAAGGTTCTTGTGGAGATGCTCCAGTGCAAGGACCAACTCCGCCATGTAGAATGCAGCACGGTCCTGGACAAAGAAGCACTCAAGCTGCATGTGGGTGAACAGCTCGCCGCCCTGCGCATACTCCAGAATGAGATACAGCTTGGCCTGGTCTTGGAAGGCATAGTAGAGCTTCACAATGAATGGGTGTCTGTTGATGTTCTCCAGGATTGTGCGTTCCGTCTTCGTCTGCTCGACCTGTGACGTATGCACAATGAGTGTTGCCTTCTTGAACTGCTTCTGCGCAAACAAACGCCCAGTTGAAATCTGCCTGACCAAATGCACCGTCCCGAATGTGCCCTTGCCCAGACAACGAAGGGGCTCAAAGTCGGCAGCCGACATCTTGCGGTTCGTATTTAGAAGTTCTGGATCATATTCACCCGGCTCAAGTGGCACGCCAAAATCCGCACCGTAGTTATCTCTCTCGTCCCAGGTCGGGAACCTGCCGTTGGCAATGTAATCATAACCCCCCGTCGCACCAATCGTAACCTCGTACGTGCGCTCACCCGAATCACTATCACTCTTGTCTGGTGTAGTATAACCCGTGCTGCTCCCTGGCGACCCCTTCTTGAAACGGTCCTTGACACCATTCACAAACGACTGGCTGCGTGACTTTGCCCCGTCCAGATTGAGGTTCTGCAGCTCCTGTCGCAGCAGGTGCCCGATGCCGCTCATCTTGGTTGGCGATGCTGAGGAGGCGGTGGATTGGTTGGACTCTTGCCGGACCATGGCACAGCTGTTGTTGCGGACCATGTCTTTGAGGCCCGACTCGGTGGGCGCGGGCTTGGGGGTCAGCGTGTGTGGGCGAGGGGTATTGAAGCCGGAGTTGTAGTCTGAGTCTTCATCGCCAGAGGCAGCGGGAGTGTGGAATCCGCGGACGGTCTTGGTGGCTGTCATAGCCTTGGTCTCGGTCGACCGCATGGTTGGATCGTTGTTGTAGGTTGTGTCTCTCGACTTGCTTGTAGTTGTCGCAGTGTGTTCAGGGTGATTCAGTTGTGTTCTCGAATAGACGTGAATTATTCAAGGTGCGCCACGTCTGCGCTCAGCATCTACTCTAAGGTGCGATCGATCAGTGCGTGGAAGTTGCTCGTGGCCGGTTGGAGGTTGCATCTGGCAGTGCAGACGGGTGCGGGAACGTTGGGTGGGCGAGTGTTCGAATTGCATTTGCTGTTGGAGTTCGCTGTAGTCAGAGTCGTGTTAAAGTGAAGTCGAAGTGAAGTCGAAATAGTTCGACACGTACTATTATTCACACCAAGTAGTATTGGGGTGGTGAGGTGAGGCGTGAGGCTGGGGGAGATGGGGGAAGAAAGGCAAGGCAATAGAAAATAAACGCGGGGGAATAATTATTTCTACCTTTGAATTTCGGCTGGGGAAGGCAGACTTGTAAGACCGGTACGTACCATCACACTTTACTAGAGGACTTCACTGCATTTACTCTAGGAGAGATCTCGAACTGCAAGGTACTTACTATTTACGTACTAATCAGCTCTACTCGTACTGTAATTGGGAATAAATGGGAAGGAGTGGAGGTAACCCACTTGTACTCCACTTCCAAGCCGGCGCGTCATTACTATAGTTTCTGTATAAGTAACTTATAGGAAGTTATAGTACTATGAAAGTAGTAAAAGTGGTAAAAGAGTACTTAGAACCAGGGCGGATTACCATAGCCATTGAGCCTACCACATGCCACCCAAGACCACTTAAAGGCCACTCAAAGGCCGCTCCCTCAGCCAATATCAGCCAATATCAGCCAACATCCACCAACAAAATTCCAACATTACATCAAATACACCAAACAAACGACCTGAATAAGAACACTATGAGACCCTCAGCTCTTGGCCCCCTTGGCTTCTAATAACAATCCTAAGTATGTAGATATATATCTCCCAATTATTACTCTATCTGGTCTTGACAGCCGAACTATACGGGGGGAGGTACTGTACTTCATTAAACGACTTAGGTAACCCCCTAACCTGAGTTGACCCATCTTATTCATGCAAATCATATCCATGTCCGATGTTCAATATCTTTCCCATTTTCAAAGGATCTCCAAGCCCGATCATCCCCGTCATACTGATCCACCCCCAAATACAGTAAAACGTAACGTACTTTCCCCAGGCGTCAAACTTCTCTAGGCTCCGCTCCAAGCTCTTCAAGCTCTCCAAGCAAAGTTAAGTCGTTCAAAACAGGATGTAAATAGCGATCCGGCCCGAACAAACCCAACCCACTCTGTCATTCATATACCTTCTCGCCCCTAAACAGCCCTCAACTCCTCCCCCGTCGACTCGTCATCCTTATCCTTAACCTTCTTCTGCGTCTTATTCCCCTTCAGCGAATACGCCGACACCCCAAGATACGCCAACAGCATGACGCCAGCAATAACCCCCCACGCGATCTCGCCGCCCCTCGAGTTATTAGCCATCTGCAGCCCCAAGCCTCCATTGACGACAGCCAGGATGATGATCGCGCGGCCATACCAGCAGTGCAGCAGACCAAAGAGCGTGCCCTTCCCCTCACGTCTGTAGAGAAGGTGGTGTGCAATCCCCAGAAAGGGCTGCACTAGTATGAGTCCGAAGATCGCGGCGCCAAAGAGAGTGTGCGTGTTGTTGAAGCGCTGCGAGGGTAGTTAGGTTAGTATGTGCTGCTTCAAACAACCAAGATCCAACAGCAGCATGGGGAAATAAACTCACTATCCCATACGTCCCCGAGAACGTATACCCAATCGCAAACGCCGCAATCACCATCGACGTCCCCACCACCTGTATGAACACATGCGCCCACACGCCCCCCCAACGCAACCTCATCAAGATCGCTCCAACCGGATACACAATCAACCACGCCACCCCCATCAGCGTCCCATGCGCCTTCAACAGCCTCTTCCCCAGGGCAATATCAAACCCACCCCCCTGCGACGACGGCTGCGTGACCGGCTGCACCGCGTCCGTGGCCCCGCCCAGAAACGGATTCTGCGACACCCCCACATTCGCGCTCGCTAGGTCCAGCGTGTAGATACTGTGATCATCGTGTTGGTCGAGCGTCTGCGCGAGATCCGCAGTGTTGAACGCCGGGCCCTCCTTCCAGGAGCCGATGAACGGCGACGAGGCGCTTTGAACCTGCAGCAGCACTTCATCGGCGCGGTACTTGAAGTTCGCGACCACGGTGGTGGCGTCTGCTTTTGAGCCGGCGAGGAGGGTGACGGTCTTGCTGGTGCTGTGCTGGGGTTCAAAGTGCCCGGTTCCGTCGCGGGGGGAGACGGTCACGTTGCCGCTGCCGTCGGTGTAGACGGCGAAGATGGTGGCGCCGGCCATGTGGGTGCCGATGCCGAAACCGACATATTGGTATTTGGCGGGGAAGGAGACGGAGATGAAGATGTCGCCGTGCTGGGTGCTGGAGGCGACGGTTGATTGGGGGATGCCGACGGAGTAGGTGATGCCGGTTGTGGGGGAGAAGGTGGCTAGTTTTGCGAGGATGGGAGATGCTGGTGGGTATTAGCTTTGTGTGCTCTCATTGATGACTGTGATGAATAGGAAACTATGAGAGATGTGAGGTTATTGAGAAAAGGCACCTACCCAATGTCGCAGCAGCGACAAGAAGCTGTTGGATCTTCATCTTCCACGAGTCTCACAGTCAATCTCTCAAGAGATTCCTGCAGATCCCGTAAAGCTCGACGGGATGATGAAACTATATACTAATCAAGCAATTCCACAGTATCACCATAAATCGGGTAACTCTTTCACACCGATGTTAATTTCGATCTGGAATCTGCCGTGCCGTGTTACACTATCACTGCACAGCCCGTGCAGAATTTCTTTCTCACAGCAGGTATTGAAGAAATGACCAGATGCTATTTTCCGTATGCAGCAGGCCCGGTCAAGGTAGCACAAAGCAGTAATATCCTGTCTGAATTTATGTCTCTGCGTTTTTGTTGTCGAGGCAAATTATTATACCCAAAGCATGTGTGTACGTGGCGCTGGCTGATGAAAGTGATGTTTCGGACGCGTCCCAAGTTCCAGCACACCAGTACACGGTCGTCTCGACTTCAGGCGCGTTCTCAAGTACCCGTCAACTGCAAATCGATGCTTCGGTAGGAATTCGTAAAAATCGCTTCAGTAACAGCCAATTATGTATAATAGAACCAGAAACGAAACTTTTAAAAAATATGCAGAGCAGAGGCTAGATATAAAGCTCACCACAACAGCTGAATCTTCCCCGAGACAACCAACCCCCTTGCGTGATAACAACTTATGTTATGCATCCCCAACCCAACCTCTCCCACCCAGCCTCTGCCTGCACCCCTGGACCCCCTCAAAGAGCCCCCATTACAAACCCAGCTCTCCCTCTCTTATCGCCCGTATACCGTACACACTGCGCCCCCATCCCCTCCAGCCCAGCCCAAATAAAGTAAACCCACCATCGCAAATAAACATCACCCTAGAGCCCACGTCCCAACCTAGATCTCGGCAGTCATCTCCCCCCCTCCCCCAATCAAAACACCCTCTTAACGGCGCGTCCACCCCAACAGCGAGGCCAACAAGGGGTAAAATACGTCAGCAAGTGGCTTAGGGGGGTTTGTGATGCCTTTGTAAGCCCGTGGGCGCGCAGCCGAGGGGGGGGACGGACTGTCAGACGTCAAACGCCAGGACTCGAAACAATTCGAGAGACACGGAGATTTCCGCGATCGTCGGGTTCGTTAGAGTATTTGTATTTGCTGCGGGTGGGGGGTGGGGGGGTGTGAGGTGAGCGGGTTGGTGGTGAGCCAGCGGGTGGGTGCGATTCCGTGGGGCGGTGCTGGGTGGTTGTGATGAGGTGAAGGGGTTTGTGCTGCGGCGGTGGTCGGTGGTCGGCGTTTGGGAGCTTGGGAGCTTGGGGACGGCAGTGGTGTAGTGGTGGTTGAGGCGCTCGAATAGGAGGGTAGTTATTATGGCAGGGGATGGTAGGACGGATCACGTCAGCAGTGGTGATCAGATTGGAAGATTGGGAAAGATCGTTATTGCAGACATGAAACGGAGTGTTACACAATTACGCGTTTAGGTGTGTTTATAAACGGTTTTTATTTCATTCGTTGAATAGCTGGAAAACGGGAAAACAAAAGACAAAAAGCGGACTCCTCCTCGCCTTCCTTTATATACGAATCAATGAACACCATCCCCCCCATCGCCTTCCCCCCATGTCCACTCCGAAGTCCCCCCATTTCTCCTTGTTGAGACTCTAAAGTAAGAGAATCGTCATAAAAAAGCATCAGATCTCTCAAAAAAACAAGGAGTTTTTCCACGTAATTTGCGTACTATGGACACAGAAAGAATAAAGAAAAACACACCGCAGATTTAAGTCGTTTTCGTCTCCATCATCTTTTGAATTCGTCAAAAACAAACAAACATTTTTATCCCCTCTCCGATCCAACTCAAGAAAGGCGCTGGAACGTAAACAGGAGATGAGAAGAAAATTCGCCAAAGTAGATCCCGATGGACGGCAAAGCAAACAAGTTGGAAGGCTCAGATCCGCTGCGTTGGTAGTGTAAAGAACGAAAGGCAAAAAGAAGGAAACAAGATATCGGGTAAGATACAGTTGCATGCTTGATCTCGTTAATTGTCGCTTTTAGATGCGCGCTCGCGGAGGCAGAAGGCGATGTCTATTTTGAGAAACGTTGCTTTTGTCTGCGCTGGGTCGATCGATGTGCGCTCGGTGCGTGTCGGTCATGTATGCGAAGTGAAGGAGGCACAACTTATGAGATAAATGCAAAACAGTTGCTGAGGCCAGGGGTAGCCCACGAGAGAGCCACGCCGTCCGTCAGGCGTATTTATTATAGGGCTGAAAGGTGCACGCAGATAATCTGTGACAGATAATCCGTCGTGCGCGTCGAACAGGTAGTTTGGTCGATTGACGCAAGAGATGATACTCAAACACAGCCATTGAGGGTGAAGAAGCACAAGTTTGGAGATCTCGGGTCAAATTCGACAGTGGATGACAAGATTAGAACAAGCTGCGAACGCGTTTGTGTCCATGAGACTCGCCAGAAAACTTCCGCTTCTTGTCTGCGCCCTCAGCGGGTGACGGGCTGACAATCAGCTCCGCCTTGGAGATCTTGGACTTGCGCAGCGGCGTAATCGGTGTGTTCGCGGCTGCAAGCCTGCCACCTTTGATGCCGCGGATAGCGCCCTGGCCATAGCGGCCCGAGAAGGCTAGACTCTCACGGGACGCGGAGTTGCGGCTCAGGAGGGAGTGGCGGTTCTGGTTTGATCGGAAGGCTCCAACGCGGCCTGTAAGATGGGTGATAAGGGGATGGGCTTGGTCCTCGCTGTTGGCGGTGCTTGGGCGCACGGGCGTGGAGGAAGGCATGCCGACCGTGTTTGAATCGCAGCTGTCATCCTCATCGTCATGTTCATTGGCGTCGTCGTCGGAGCTGGAGTCGCCAAAGTCGATCAGGTCGCCGATATTCCATATATCCTCGTCATCCACATCATCTTCATCGAATGACGATGACGGGCAGTCTTGGGTCATGTTTCCATTGGCGGAAATACTGACGAATGGGTAAAAAGCCTCCGGAGGTCCAAGAGCTTGGCCACCCAGGTTGTCCATAGGAGTGTACAAGGCGCTCATCATCAGGTTGGCTGAATTGCTGATCATGGGTGACATCTGCTCCATGCCAGAGGCGTCACGGTCATCCTCGTCTATGGTCATCATGCGGCCAGGGCCAGTGACTGAATCGGTGCTGTGTCTGCGGTTGATCCGTGCTCTGAACATCATCAATCTCTTTCCGCGGCTGTCCAAGACAGCAAAAGGCTTGTTAGCATCAGTGATCCATGATCCAAGCTTTGGGCCAGTCCGCTGAGGGCGATACTGCTTGCGTTGAATGACTTGGATGTCATCATCTGAATCATCTGAATCTGACGCATCAGAGGACAAACCCCTCAGGACGGTGCGAGCAGGTAAGAATTGAGCCTGTGGCGGCAAATCCTCTTCAGTAGTTTCACCTTCATCGGCTGCAGGAGTCGTGTTAGCATTATCTCATGAATTGTGTTTCGACGGCACCACATACTTTCATATCCACTAGAGCCACAAGAGCTTTCGCTCTTATTATCGTCGTCATCGACTTCCTCTTCACCCATCTCGTCGTCTTCCCCTCTGAAGTCCCAGTAGGACCCATCATCACTTCCCGAGTCGTCATTGTCCTTGTTCTTGTCATTTTCGATGGTGCGGCGGAAACCTGGGTCAAGACTACCCTGATCCAGGAAGATGTCGGGGAAGATATTGTCATCAATATCAGACTCCACAGTTTCACTGTCTGACAGATCGAAACGGACACGACGGGTGACCTCGGGCTCACTCTCATCACCTGACCCCATCCACTCCGCCGCTCCACTCAAGATATCTGCAGGAGAAGCTTGGTCCGTTACCTCCTCCGGAAAGAGATCCGGCCCACCCTTCAAGGAATCATATGGGCCCCAGAACTCGTCCTCGTCGTCAGCTGGCTGAGGGTTAACAATATCATCCTCCTCCTCGGATTCGATGATTGCTTGTTCCTCAGCCACCTCCACATCTGGCTCATCTTCTTCTGTGTCGCTGATGAGATCGACGCCAGAGTAGTCGTCGTCTTCGTCCGATGTGAGGTTATTCCGGGAACGCTTGGGCGTCTTCTGGCCCGTATGGGAAGTGTTCGGCCTTTGGCGAACGTTTCGAGACATTATGTCTAATTTTTGTGCGAATATATAAGGTTTGATTAGGGTTTGCTGTATGCAATATACAGGTTGCAAAAGTAGCGGTGAATCTGTTTGGACAGTTGAATGGTCTAATATTGTAGCTGGTAAAGGCAAGAAATCTTGCAGTAGGTGATTGTAGAATGCGGATATGAGGTGTATAGTGTGGTATTAGGGAGTGAGAAGAGACTCGACTGTAGGTGTGGTTGAGGAGTCGAGGTGGTGCGGGGTGTGAGAGTCGAAGTCGGAGGGGGGGGAAACGGTGAACTATGCGGACTCGGGGCGAGCAGGGCTCGAGTTTGGTAATTGTAGTAAAATAGACTCTTGTTCAGACGTAAGCCGCTCTGAGGCTTGTAGACAGGTAAAAGTCTGTTATCTTCGTCAAATATCGAATAGTGATTGAATGTCTCGGTGGCTGAAGGACTGCGGACACGCTCCGATCGAGCATGCCCGCAGTGGGCGTTCACAGCTCAGCGATAGCCTGCGGCATGATTCTTGACGAAGAGTATAAGTTGAGGGTGTAATCTTTAAGATTATTTAGTTCGACTTCGTTGTCTTGGGTTTAGGAATGGGAATTGGTGGTTATGGAAGAAGGAGGGGAAGGGAAGGGAGAGAAGGGAAGAAGTTCGTCAGGGTGGAGCTGGACCAGTATGAATAATTCTTCGCTTATGGTGGTACATGGGTACATTCTGGTATATTTGGTAGAGTTGGGGGGGCGGCAGAGGTTAATTGGGTACATTTGGTACATTTGTCGTTGACTTTTCGTTTTCACCCCCGCCTGGAGCCGCCTGATTGGGTCTTATCGCCTCTTCACCGCCAAAACTCTAACTTGCCTAGTTGCTGGCCTTTTCCCAACGCCTGCAAGTTGATTTTTGACAGTCTAGTACAATCTGTACTGTACGGAACTGATTTACGGCTTCTACTATAGCCATATCATAGCAAAAAAGGATATTTGAACTCTCTTGAAACACTCGGACGCCGACATTGCATCCTGCACAGTAATTATTCAAAATATCTCCATTTCTCCATTGTGTCTCAGCTGTTCGTGCACACGACAAGCCACAGGGTTATCATGCCACTCCTTACCCTACGGTGCAGAGGAGTGCAGTAGAATGTTACTATACATACCCTCCATACGTATCACGATACGCCGGACCATGTACCCCCTTGCCGTTTCTCTGTCCACCGACCCGTTTCAACGCCAATTTCCCCTCTCTCGTGCATTCGGCGTCACGTCACACACCTCTTCGTGGAGGAGACGCTCGATTCCTCCGCGTCCATACAGAAGCACTCACCACCACAAGGACGCCTACGTGGTGATCCGTACACTGTCGTCCCCTCAATTACTCCTTCCATGATCAGTCCATCATCATTTACTATGGTCCGGGTAATATCATGAAGGCGTAGATCAACACCTAGCTTCTATCCCCAACCATACCCTTCCACCTCCCTACTCTAGTAGCTCACCGAAGATCACTCTCACCCTCACCCTTCCCCAGATGACCGCTCCTCTCGGCGCCTTCCCCTCGAATTCACAAGAATCCCATGTTTCTCCCCTCCGTTCCCCTCTGAATCAGGAGAGGACAGAAACCACTCCGCGGCGCCCAGGTAAGTCACGCCCGCACGCCCCTCCCTCATGCATCATCCACAATCGATAAGGAAATTTCCCTCGCCTCGCCCTACCACAGCCGCCGCCGCCCCTCGCCAATCGTCCGAACTGCCCAAAACTGCCCCACCACCACCAGAGCTATGACACATGTTCCGGTTTCATGGAGCGCGACGCCGCGGCCGCGCGGTGATGTGACCACGGGCGTGTGTGTGGCGGGGTTGTGGTGTGTGCCTGGCTAGAGCTTGTTGATGTCAAGTGCGCTAGGGAAAGTCGTGAAGTGTTCGATTTGGGGTTTTGTTGATGTCGCGTAAGGGAGTGTTGATGCGGACATTTTTAGGGGCGGCTCTGGGATGGGTTTAGTGGTGGGGTGTGAGGGTGGTGAGGGGTCGTGGGCTGAGGGTGGTGCTCGAATGGTTAGGATCGTGTGTTACGTCGCCGTCGCTCAGGCGCTGCCTATTGGAGACACTGGGGGCTGATTGCCTCCGAAGACTCATATAGAAGTGAGTATGACAGTTAGATTTATATTTTGGTAGTCATACTCATTTTGAGACCGTTTTTATAAAAAAAAATCCAGTCATCTAGAATATTTACAATTGGGTATGTGTGAAGAGTTGTCACTGCTGCCTTGGGATGAATCACACTATGAGTCCCTCACGAGTCGATAATACAGTATTTGCCCATGGATGGTGTCAGCTAGACCTATACATGATGATGAGGAAGATTTGGGTTCACGGAATATTCTAATGAGGAATCCTAGGCATACATGCAACAAATGTACTGCTGTCGTCCCCCTCGCAGATGGCTCGACGTATAATACCTGTAGCTCCACGTACCGATTGCAGGAAAGAGACGCTGGATGACCTATACCAGTAATGGCAACAGGAGTATATCACGACGACAGAGACTTGATTGGTGACAGCATCATACCACGGTGACAACAGTCTCCATTTGCTTTCCACGGGTTCTTGTTTCGACTTCCACGCTTATTACATAGCAAAGGGTTACAAGGCAGATTTCAGACCATAGTTTCTTGGTGCATATTCCGTTGCAAGCTCTTGGTTCTCAGCAAATGCGATCGACCGGGCGCTTAGTTTAATATTCTACCCATCAAGGGCATTCCAATTGTATATTGTGCAATAATTAGTATAAAATCAAAAAAGGGGGATATGATGAGTTAATGCCTTCGTTCATAGGGAATCCGAGGTAAGTAAACAAACGCCATATTCACATTCACATAGTTGCTTTGCTCTGTATCCGTCCACGGAAATAGACCATAGCCAACATTGCACCTGAGTTTTATTACATGTCATGATTTATTATCGTTATTTCAAATTTCAAGTATATAAATTTAGCGATTGGATATATCATCCCTAAACCTCACCAGAGGATAGATACATTGTAAAAAATATCAAAATCGGCATAGAAAAGTCATAGTAGAGAGTGACGACGGCTTAGACAGCCCGTAAAACACCGGACCCAAGCCCCCGACCCCCTATTCACCCACCAAACAAAGGAAAAAAGCAAGCCCAATCGTATACTACATCAATTCCTCCTGGCACCATCACAAGTCTCAATGAACCGATAGATACCCTCCACATAACCCGCATCCTGGTCATGCCGACTCAGACCCGGACTACCCCCCTGTCCAAAATACATACTCTCCGTCTCGCTCAGCTCCTCCATCGTCTCATAGCCATCCGGCGACGAGAGCCAGGGGTTATCGCCAAACTCGTCAAACTCCTTATACTCACTGAGCTGGTCATACTCCAACTCATGACCCGTCTGCGACCTCAAAGACCCTCCAGGACTGGACAGTGCCTTACCGGTGGTACTCGCGAAAGGAAAGAGCAGCGCGACTTGACCCCCATAACTGGCGTCGAAATCGGGATCCTGCTGAATGATCCCGCGACGCACGCCGATCTCGTCGCAGAGGCGCTCTACGGTGTCGGCATCGCAGCCGGGGAAGCGGACGCGCAGGATGGAGCCAGGCTCGAGTGTCACGCTGAGGTCTCCGAGTGCGGATAGCCGCTTCAGATCGTTCATGATGGCTGTGAAGTCCTTGAGGGCACGTGCGAAGTCGACCGAGAGAACGTCGAGGAAGCCGTCCGTGTTCAGGGTTGGTGCCTCGGCGAAGTGTGCGGTGGGCAGGGCGGCGGCGAGTGGGCTGAGTGCCGTGACGGTGGGGTTGAAGCGGAAGTCAACGAAGGCGCCGGGGGAGGCCTTGGTGACAGATGACATCTTGCGGCTCGTCTCGTCCTGGAGGGCGCTAATGGTGCGGTAGCGCTTGTCACCGCGTTCGGTGAGTCCGTCGAATTGGGCCTTGTGGCCGGAGAGCCAGAAGGCGCGGACGGCGGCAGAGACATTGTTCACGACCTGTGCTGGTGCGGCGGGAGTGTGAGAGAAGTATCTTGCCCCGCCTGTTCGTCCGCCTCCGAGGCTGTATCCGCCGGCAGTTCTGGGGAGAGCGCCACCCGTAAGGTTTGGTCGCAGTGTCGAGCAGAACGGAGCGCGGGTGGTGGAGCGCAGGATGGTCGTGCCGATGGCGGACTTGGGGAACGAGGACCGATCGAATTTGACGCCGTTCGCAGAGCCGGTGCTCATAAAGCGCCGGACGGTGGCGTTGATCGTGCTGTGTGTTGTGTACCATCTTCCCTTGCTCTGGCGCAGCCAGGCTGCCTTGCTGATGGGGTGTCTCGGGGTGTTTCGAACAAGGATTGGGACTGGCTCAGACGAAGCAGTCGCAGTGCGTTGGGCTGCCTCTGCGAGGCGCCTCTTGATAAGTTGTGAAGCCCGTATGGCATTCCTGACTTGCGTGTTAGTGGGGGACTCAAATGAGAAAGCCTGTGCAAGTGGCAATGATGGGGTCTTTCGATCTACTTACTTTAAAACATTCAAGGCTATAGGAGCCCATATTCCACCGGATGGAGCCATGATTGATACACCTTATGTTCACCAAGGTAAACGTAAGGTTGTTCAAACAAGAAGCAATTCGGGGAGGGTGGGAGTCAACATTCCGCCACCTTCCGGGATACGTCACATGACGCGGCCCTTAGCGTACCGACTAAGGGACTTGCGCTAACCGACGGCGCTAGCAGACTTCATAAACTTTTCCGAGCTTTCAATTCTCCTTCGCTTTTGTTGTCAACGGAATATTCGATGATGTTCATCGACAGCTCATGGTGGCAGCTGCTCAATGGTAAGATAACTCCCATACTTCTATGCGATCAGTTCTTCTGTGATGAGAACCTATCAACTGAACAATCCAACTCTTACACAATAATGGGGATTAACCACTCTACGGAGAACTCTGAGCTTTCAACTTGGTCCCATTGATAGTTACCATTTACTGTTCTGTGCAGCTGGCTAACTTCAATTTATAGACGCTTAACAGCTCAATTGTGCACTGTCACCACCCCCACAAAAAAATTCAAAAGGTTCGTTCAGATATTTTATTATTATTATGCAGTGCAAAACGCACATCCGGTGTGATGATCAAGTGACAACTATAGGAATTCCTCATTCCGAATATATCATGTAGATTCTGTCTTCAGTTTCAGCCTTGTCTGACCTCTCTTAAAACTTATTGGATTTATTGTTACATATATCTTGGGACTTCTTGCTGACAGTTCTCCCTCAGGTACATTACTACTACTCCTCGCCGTTTGCCCTGCGTTTTCCATGACGAACTTTGAACGAACGGGCGGACAGACTGTGTCCACATTGCGAACTCACGAAACACAAAGAGCGTACAAACTCTTTGGAGCTAGCAGTGATGGATTGCATGTTGAGAACTCGTCAGCTGATACAAAACCATTCATACGAATTGGCTTCACAAACGAAACTTGGACTCTCGCTGACTCGTCCAAGGTACATATACACAGATCTCTTCACTTTTCACATGGCGAGCACTTGCATCATATGATGATACTTATTCACACTGTTTGAGGCGGACTTCGGTCCGTCACTGAACGCATCAACACAAAATCTGATTTAATGAGGTATGTCATGCAACCTTTCCTGAGTTTACGATCAACGCTAACGTAAATTCACAGCCTGAAAGATGCTTTTGCTGTCATTCTTTTCAAAGAACATATATTTTGCATCCATGTGCACAAATAGCTAACACCGACGTGTTTCAGGTATTTCACAACGATCAAATTTTCTCGTCACATCCACATGGTAAGCTCTTTTTTTCTCCATTGTTAGGGCCTTCACTAACAATCCAAAGATTCAAATATTATCGAAAATGTCAATAGAATCAAAGAACATATTTTACCAAACTTTTACACCTTTACATGACTTCCTGCATACTGTGACCGCTGTCTGTTGTAGCCTGTAAGGACAATTGCCTTCATTTGGAACGGATCAGCCAAGTTCTAGCCAATACTACTGTACATCGCACTTCAGCCTTACCAATAGCTTAGCTTACATCTGAGATCTGTACCTGACCTCATTTGCTCTCTCTCGTTGTATCGAAAAGACAGGACGAGAGGGTCGATCATGTCCCTTGCCGGGTTGTGTTGTCTCAAGCTACTCGCATACAAGGTATGAGACAATGACAACAGGACAAGTCTTGATCCTGCGAATAACGATGTCTCTAATGCCATCGTCGCATTTAATTTCTCTCAGAAACTCGAGTCTCGACAGTCAACATGTAAGATCTTACATCGCGCTCCAGCGCGAACTTGAAGCAGCTAAGCGTTGACTCGCATTGCGCATTGACCAACAAAGTGGAGCTATGCAGGTCCGAGCTTCTGGAGGGTAAACCAGCGTACCACCTTACCAGCGGGCCGTCGGTGGTCAGCTCCAGCCCATGAGTGAATAAAATCCCCCCCAGATTCCAACATCCCTTCCACTTCTGTCACATTCTCCCATCAACACCATCACCGAAATCACCTCTCCGGCAGTATCCTGCCATCTCGTGTCATTTTTTCGTATTTCCAGATACATTTTTGAAGCAATTGGAGAGAGAATGTCTACTCGTAAGAGAAAGGCTGAAGACGAGGAGCTCGTTGCGCTTCCTTCGGATGAAAGCGAGGAGGAAGAGGAGTGAGTCGATTTCATCCTTAATATGTTTCTATGACCCTGCCCATCACATTCTGCCTTAATTGGGCGCCGGGAACTCATAAATCGGCTTGGCTTTATCATACAGGCCGTTTTAGACAGCTATCCACGCCCTTTGCGCCGTGAAATGCGCCGTGGCTCTGTGACATCATCAGCATCTTCCAAGAACATTGACTAACAAATCACTCATTACAGATACGAAGATTCGGAAGATGAAGCTCCAGGAGGGAATTCCGAAGAATCCGAGGAAGATGAGGATGCCAGCGGCTCCGAAGTGGAGGAGGAGGTCGAAGGTAAGAAACATCATAAGCACCGCCAAGCATACTTCCAAGACCGCCAATATCGATGGCCGCTCGCCCTAGCCGCTTTCCATCATGCAATTCCATCCAAACACTCCAACTCATACATTTGTCATCTTCTAACTGTTCAGTAGAAGTTGCCCCTCCAGTGAAGAAGCGCAAGGTCGTCGGCACTGCAGCCTTGACTGAGGAGAACGGTGATGAGGAGGAGGAGGAGGAGGAGGAGGAGGAAGCCGAGGGAGACGATGAGGCTGCCAAGGGCGAAGAAGAGGAGGAGGAGGCTGGAGATGAGGAGCCTGCCGTTTCCGCCAAGAAGACGAACGGCGCTGCAGCTCCTAAGAAAGCTGAAGTCGAAACGGTCGACCTTGACGACGAGGATGAGTAAATGAAATGACTGCTGTTGATGAGGGCGAGAGGCTGGCGTTGCTACTGATTGGAACTTGGAGGATATGGGACATCTATGGTGGATCTGCGTTGCTAAAAGGAAGGAATGGGGGTGGGATCTTATTCAACATCTTGCTATCATAGAGCTAAAGAAAGTGGAGGAATCAAAAGCCTGCTGTCTTTACCGCCTTGTGGCCTGCTTGCTATCGGTGACAGCATGCTTACGTCGCGTCTAATGCTGGTATCTTTTTCTTGTTTATATGAACAACCCAGTAAGTTCTTTTGGATGTCGTACATTGATTTATATTTGCAAACTCTGCTTTCTCATGAGTGAAAAGGCAGCTAAGTAGCTCTCCCCCTTTTACACGGCTTTCTGATTGTAATAGAGTTTGATGGATAGCAGTGCCATTCGTCATGCTGTTTGAGGGCTTTGTTATTGGAATAAGCATGTGTAATCATTCACTGCTACTCCCATTCGCCAGCCTCGCCACGTACTGTTAAGCAACCTCTTCGTTCGCCTCACCCTTCTCTTTTATTTTCATTCCTTTCCTATCACCACGATAATATCACGACAATCCAACGCCAATCATGTCAAGCAAATCGCCTAAAAGCAATACCACAGTCATAGACTCAGAGGAGAATCTTCTATCTCTACTTGACAGCATTTGCAGACTTGCAGTTGAGCCTCCCTCTCTGTACATCAACTTGGAGGGAATCCCAGTTGGCCGCGGCGGCTCCATATCCTTCCTCACGCTCCACATCGTTCCCACCAAGAAGACCTACCTCATCGATATCCACAGCCTGAACGAAGCCGCTTTCTCAACCACCACCGCCAGCGGAACGTCATTAAAAAGCATCCTCGAATCTCCAACCATCCCAAAGGTTGTCTTTGATATCCGGAACGACTCAGATGCCCTGTTCAGTCTTTTCCAGGTCTCTGTCGATGGGATCATAGATCTTCAGCTTATGCGGTCCGCAGCCCGTGGGAGGCCTGCGGTAGGCCTAGTGGAATGCATTGAGAAGGATAGCCCCTTCTCTGTTCGTGAGAGGTCTGAATGGCGCCACGCCAAAGAGACTGGCTATCGATTCTTTGGTCCTGAGAAGGGCGGTCGGTTCGAAGTTTTGAACGAGCGGCCCATAAAGCCCGAAATGATTCACTACTGCCAGCTGGATATTGTGTTGTTTCCGGGCTTGTATGGCATTTACAGCGCACCGCTGAAACGAAGGTACGAGGCATCCTGGCAAGACCACATCCTAGAAGAGACAAAACGTCGAGTTACGCTGTCGCAGAGCCCTGATTATGATATGCATTCAAGGAGCAAGGTCTTTGGGTGGGATGATGGGTATATTTGTAAACAGATAGATTCTTGGGCTTCTGGCATTATTATGGAAGCAGTGACACTCGGATATTTTCTCGGCGAAAACAGTCAGCGGGTTTATTGCTATGAGGCCTAAGGATTTTCCGAACAATGCGGATGTCCTTAAGGAAGATAATGCTGAAAGGCTAGGGGGTGGATGTTGCGATGGTTATAATGACACAATTCCGACTTTATGAGTTGACAAAAGGTCATGATCATGGCGGCCATTTTTAATGAGAAACCATTTTTGTAAATTTCTATAGCTAAATAAAGATAATTACGAAGTATCAGTTTAGCAACAACAGATAAAATGATTATATTTTTGACTAACGGTATGCTATCAAAGAAATTATAGACCACTTAAACGGACAGAGGCAGCAGTTAGCAAATAAAATATAAATATCACTTACTGGTTGCCGAGCTCCCTCTCTTGGAGGATCTTGTGGTCGGTCCACGCCCCCGCGCGAACCCCGCAAACTATGCGCCCCTGTGGGCATCAGCACGGCCACTTTCCCCATCAAATTCTAATGAGCTAAGCTTGTCACCACCGTACAATCATCCAAGCACGGAAGTATGTATGCGCCTATCCGTCCCTCTGGATGTAAGGTTCTATCGCGCGGCTCCTGAGGGTAGGTAGAGTTTACCTTTTCTCCGAGAAGTTGCTTCTCTCCTGCGTTCCTTCCATCATCACATTGCTTCCCCGCGACAGCGCATTGGCCCATCATGAGTCTCCCCGAGACCCTCTGGTTCATCGCGCGCAACTTCCCCATCTACCCCACGCTGGGGATACTCACCTATGTCCTCTTCAATGGCATCTACAAATCGATCAAGGGTGCGTATTCAGGGCCGCTGTCCGCATTTCCAGGGCCGGACTTCGCGGCCATGACGGGGTGGTACAAGACTTTTATAGAGCTCTACCAGAAGCGGTCGTGGACTATGCACTTGCGGGAGTTGCACAAGGTTTATGGTGAAGCTCCCCTGCCAATCGCTGCTGACGATATATCTCTAACTCTGTCACAGGACCTGTTGTTCGCGTGGGACCAAACGAGGCACGAATATCCCACCACACCAGGCACGGGCGAAGCGCTGACAATTGCAGCTCCATTTCGATCGACCGGAAGCATACTACGATATATATAACTCTGCGAACCATTGGGACAAAGAGCCGGAACAATATCATAGCTTTGGTTTGGATCGCTCATGCTTTGCCTCGCTGAAATATGCGCAGGCGCAGGAGCGGAGAGATGTCCTTCTCCCCATGTTCTCTCGCCAAGCTGTTACGAAGCTCCAATCCCTCGTGCAGAACAACGTACGTCCCCAAACCGAACCTGACAAATTGGATACCTACTTATATCGTTCTTGCAACAGATTGACCGCCTATGTGAGGCCCTGGAAGCCAACGATGCCGCGGGCAAATCTTCCGACCTTTTCTACGGCCTCCGGTGCTTCTCTTTGGATACGATCCTACAATACTGCTTCAACCTATCTATCGACGCGCTTGGCGCCCCCGGATTCAAAGCACCTGCCGTTGAAGCCATGGAAGCCTCTCTACCCACGACAATATTCTTCAGGCACGTCCCTGTGCTCCGCCAATTCGTGCAGAGCCTCCCGATCTGGATATCAATACAGCTATCACCAGCGACGACAGGCTTAGTGCGTTTACGCGCTCTTCTGGGGAGGCAGGTTAATCAAGTCATCGACAACCCGAAGAGTCTAGACGACAGCCCGCACGAGACCGTATACCACCGCCTCCTAGACAAGAAGGCGAACAATGGCAAAGTTTATGACCCGGAGACTTTCTACAAGGAAGCACAGGCGCTGATATTCGCCGCTGGTCACCCCACGGCGAATGCGCTGACGGTGGGGATATTTCATGTACTATCTAACAATGGCATCAAAGAGAGGTTGGTGGGGGAGCTACAGGAGGGGTGGCCGGATCTGAACAAAACGCCTACGTTTGAGGATCTGGAGCAATTACCATATCTCACAGCTGTGATAACGGAGTCTCTCCGCATGAGCCCTGGAATTGTGTCGCCATTACTGCGCATCACCCCGTTTGGCGGCGCGACTATTGGTGGCATCAAAGTCCCAAGCCGGGTATGCTCCTCCTGCGTCCTTTCTACGAGTCTCGTTGCCATATAGCTAACATACTCGCAGGTCATAGTAGGTATGTCCGGAACCTTCGTGCACGAGAGCGAAGTCCTCTTCCACGACGCCAAGAACTTCAACCCCGACCGCTGGCTTGTGGATGACTCGGCCGTGTTAGAGCGCTGGCTGGCCCCCTTCTCGAAGGGGCCGCGCATGTGTATCGGTCAGAACTTGGCGTACTGTGAGATGTTCCTGGGGTTTGCGGCGCTGTTTAGGAGGTTCGATCTGAGGCTGGATGGGAACACGACGAGGGATTTGAGGTATAGGGAGTGCTATGTTCCGCAGTTTTTGGGGAAGCATCTTACGTGCTTTTGTAGGCCGGTTGAGAAGTAATGGGAGGTGGTTGGAGTGATGCGGTGATATCGCTACGGACAATTCATAGTTTGAAGCTTGAAGTCAGACTCTAAAATAACTGTCTCATTGGCCGTGATGTTTCTACTCGCTCATTGTACCATCGTCGTCGGGGTTCTACCATGACATCACAGGTTTTATGAGATCGTCGTAGCTCATAGCCCTTCAGACAACTTGGCCTCTGCAATGGCGAAACATAGGCCTGGATCATCACAATTCCCAGTTTCTGCCAAACATGCATGAAGTAGGCCATACGTTGCAAACCCAAGGCCAATTACCACCTGCAACAACTCCCAATTAGACAACGGACATATTTTATTGGTGAAGTCTAACAATTCTGCGCCACAAGTGGCACAGCAACCCTGACCAAAATGTGGCACCCTGAGCTTGTTGACAACCCCGCCGATGATGTCACTGCTTTGTTTGCACTTGGAGGTACGTACAAGGACAGGATGTATCACATCACGCAAGGTCAAATACATCATCTGTAAAACCGTTTGGCATCTTTGACTTTACTCCTTCATACTTTTTCTTTCCCACTGTCTAAATCCCATATAATTGATCGTGGATTTTACTTAATTTTCGACATATTTGATCGCGAGATAAAGATTGAGAGGTTGACGAGCGAGCTATATTGTTGCCGAGAATAGAGATCATGAAGCTCTTTGCACAGCTTCTGACCTTGGGCCTCTTGGGCCAAGGTGTAGTTGCTAGTAATTGGTTCAGCAAGTCTAGTAAGTTCGACCAGGACCTTTTTTGTTACAAAAAGGAATATACTCTTCACCCTTTGAGCTCTGAGACGCGAAGGCTTCGTTCTTCAAGCTATCAGATAGCATCGATGTCGATTTTCGTGTGTCGTCATCGATATTTCATATCGCCAACAATATCAGCGATGACGACCCAAATATAGCACTGGATCCGGATTGCTAACGGGTTCTATAGTCTACAACAAGTGGCACGAGACCGAGCTCGAGAGATGGCTCTCAGACCATGACATTCCACACCCAACTCCAGCTGATCGCGCCGATCTCGAGAAGTTGGTCCAGGACAACTGGCATTCGAAGATTGTGTCGCCATACAGCGACTGGGATACCACCCAGCTGAAGGCATACCTGAACGAGAGGAGCCAGGAAGCTGCTAATGCGGCGGGCGCCAACAAAGAATCTCTGGTTGATAGCGTTAAGAATTATTGGTATGAGACCGAGGAAAAGGCTGAAGATGCCTTTTCGAGCGTCAAGGACTGGATCTTTGATAGGTATGTTTGCTACCCACTGTGATGGAGCTTGAACTTCCATACTAACTATCATTAGCTGGACGGATTCTCAATTGAAGGCCTTCGCCGACAAGCACGGCATCCCAGTCCCCCAGCCACGCAAGCGTGATAATCTCCTCCAGAAAATCCGCTATGACTATGAAACCGTCGCAAAGAAGGCTGGTGACAGCGTTTCTTACCCCGGTAACTGGCTGTACGAGACCTGGTCTGAGTCCGATCTTAAGGAATGGCTTGATACCCATGGCATCCCAGCACCACAGCCAGCCACACGCGACAAGCTCATTGCCTCTGTCCGGCGCAACTCCCGCCTCGCTACCCTGAAGGCACAGTCCTCCATGACCAAGGTCCAGAGAGAAGCCCAGAAGGCCGCCGATTCTATCAGCGACTCCATCATCGCCAACTGGGACGATAGCAAGATCAAGGAATGGGCCGACAAGAACGGTGTTAAGGTCCCACAAGGCTCCAAGCACGCCGAACTCTTGGCCATCCTCCGCAAGCACCGCGCGAGACTTCTCGACGACACCCTTTCTGCGACCGCTGCTTCGGGCTACGGCGCTGCTACCTCGAAGGCCGGCAACCAGTGGGCGAAAGCTACCGAGGATGCGCAGCTGAAGGCTCAGGAGGCATTCGATGCCGCTATTGCTGGATGGAGTGAGACCCGCCTGAAGGCATACCTGGACTCCCGTGGTGTTCCAGCTCCTCAGAATGGCAAGAAGGACGAGCTCGTTGCGGCTGTTCGCAAGCACTCCCACAAGGCCGCCTCCGGATATAACGCCTGGACTTACGACACCTGGACCTTTGATAATCTCAAGTAAGTATATTTGCCTCAATTGAAAGGATCAGTTGCTAATGCGTCACTTAGGAAGTGGTTGACCTCCACCGGCGACAAGCAGGCGAAGAAGGCAGCCAGCAAGGCCGGTGCCACCCGTGATGACCTCCTCGCCGCCGCTCAGGCTTACTACTCGTCCGCATCTGCTGCCTCTGGCGCATCATTCGCAACTGTAACCTCTTACCTCGCCGCCGCCACTGATGCCGCCAAGTCCAACACCTTCGACACCTGGTCCGACTCGGAGCTCAAGGCCTACCTCGACACATACGGCGTCCCAGTCCCACAAGGCAGCAACACCAACGAGCTCCGCGCATGGGCACGCAACCAGGCCAACTGGTTCCGCCACGGTACCACTACCCCACAGGGTACCCTCTTGGCGAAGGCGAAGGAGTACTTTGACTGGGCATATAACCAGATCGTGGTTGGAGTTCAGAATGGAATCCAGTCTGCGCAGTATGAGGGCACCAAGGGGAAGAATAGGGCCCAGGAGGCCGGAACGTACGCGAAGGATCGCGCATATGAGGAGAAAGAAAAGGCGAAGCACAGAGTCCAGGAGGAGCTATGAATTGGAGAGCGATATGTTGGGAACCGTTGGTTTCTTATCTCATGTGAGGGGACAAGAGTGAAGGAAATATATATTATAGGAAGTTTTAGCAAGATGAGTGTGGTAACACTAGGATTATGATACGGAAAATTGAATGGCGTTTACTTTATTATCGATGCCTCTTGATCGGACGTGTGACTTTGAAATTTAAAACCGAATAATGCTAACAATAGATCGAAGCCGGCGTTGAAATAAGCAAGGAACTGTGCCATTGTTGGTTGGCGATAAGCGCTCGGGAGGGGATGGTTGCTGCGTCAACCGCAACATATGTTGACCTGAACCATCGGACTGACACAAAGTGCCAATCCACGAACACGTCGCTGGAATCAACTACCTACCCACCTCCTCGAACCACGACTTTCGTTATGGAGCCTCCTCCAAAGCCTCAATCCGCGCTTTTCCAAGTGTACCTGCGCTTACGACCTCCGCCAGCGCCAAACTCGCTCTACCCAACATTAACCACTTCGGAGCGGTTCGTCACGGTCGAAGAATCGAATGAAGGTGCCCCGACACATATCACACTCAACCCACCGAATGATAACAGGAGGAGGGCGGTAGAGAAATTCGGTTTTACGCAGGTGTTTGAAGAAGAGGCCTCGCAGCTGGATATTTTTCATGGAACGGGTGTGATACCCCTCGTTGAGGGTGTCCTTGCGGCAAACGGCGGGGATGGGAGGGATGGCCTCCTGGCCACTCTAGGGGTGACGGGGTCAGGAAAGGTGAGACAACGCGCCCTGAATTTTATGCGTCAACAATACTGATGTGAAGAAGAGCCATACGATCCTCGGATCTCGCAGTCAACGCGGTCTTACACAACTCGCTCTTGATCTCTTGTTCCGCTCTATCTCAAACAACATCCTCGACCCCTCCACAACATACTCCCTCCACGCCTCTGTGGCCGCCTCAGACCCATCAGAAGCACAAGTCCTCTCCTCGCAAGGATTCCTGGATATTATCTACGGCGACCAATCGTGCGCCAGCCGCGCAACCTCACGCGCTGCAACGCCGATGAGAGTACATACCCCCTTTCATATACCCGGTTCATTTCCCCGTCCCTCCCATTCCCCCCATGAGAAAAGTTTCTACCCCATCCTCCCGCGGCTCAGTAGCCGCACCAGAAGTCCCAAAAGTCATGGGCTGGCCAGGCCAATTACCCCGCCAGAGCCGCACCGCGCACAAGCGTCCGCCCGGACTCCTTCTTACATGAGATCCACGAGAACCTATGCCACAAGACTTCCAGGCCAGAAAGATGCTAAATTTCAACTCAAGGGCGAATCCATCCCGCCAACCCCCAGGCGACCTATGCCCCGCTCAGCGCCCACCCCCGCCTCACCATCTATCGAAGATATCACCCTCCCCTCCGACCCCGCCACCGACTATGCCGTCGTAATCTCTATGTACGAAGTCTACAATGACCGTATCTACGACCTCCTCACACCCTCCCCTCGCACCCCCAGTGTCAAAGAGCCTCGCCGCCGCCCCCTCCTGTTCAAACCCACCGAGGCCAGCCCGGAGCGCAAGCTCGTCGCCGGCCTGCGCAAAGTCATCTGCGCCTCCGCGCGCGAGGCCCTCATGGTCCTCGAAGCTGGACTACATGAGCGCCGCGTCGCCGGCACAGGGAGCAACAGCGTTTCCTCGCGCAGCCACGGCTTCTTCTGCGTAGAAGTTAAGAAGCGGTCGCGCAACGCGAGAGGAGAGACAGGGCAGTGGCGCGGAAGTGCGCTGACGATCGTGGATCTTGCCGGGAGTGAGAGAGCGAGGGATGCGAGGACACAGGGCGCAACACTCGCGGAGGCGGGCAAGATTAATGAGAGTTTAATGTATCTGGGACAATGTCTGCAGATGCAGAGCGAGCTAGGGAACTCGACAAAGGTAAGTTTTCTAGCTCCAATGTTGTCATGGCACACATGCTAACCTACACAGCCCAACCTCGTCCCATACCGCCAGTGCAAACTCACCGAGCTCCTCTTCTCCAACTCCTTCCCCTCCACCTCCTCCGGATCTTCACACGCGCCGCGCCCGCAGCGCGCTACTATGATCGTCGCTGCAGACCCCGTCGGCGACTTCAACGCCACGAGCCAGATCCTACGTTACTCAGCGCTAGCGCGCGAGATCACCGTCCCGCGCATCCCGTCGATCACGGCATCCGTCTTTGGGGGACCGCCGCCGCGGAGCACTAGCGGGAATAGCGGCTCGTATCAGGGACAGCAGGGTCATGACGAGAGGGCTACGATGGAGAGGGCTGCGATGGAGATTGCGCGGTTGAGTGAGGAGATGGATATGTTGAGGGCGGAGGTTGTGGCGGAGAGGGAGGGGAGGGAGGAGGCGGAGGCGAGGCTGGTGAGTGCTGAGGAGAGGGCTATGGAGATTGAGGCTGTTGTGAGGGAGGAGATGTGGGGGGAGATGGAGGAGAGGTTTGAGACTGAGTTGAAGAGGTGGAAGGCGAGGTGGGAGGAGGAGAAGGAGAGGGGGGGTGAGCATCTTGATCGCAAGGTTGAGGTTCTGGTGAGGGGTCTGGGAATGGAGGGAGAGGGGAAGGAGAACCATGAGGGGATGGAGGAGCTAGAGGAGGAGAATCGCGCGCTGAGAGCTATGGTGATAAGGCTACAGAGGGAGGTTGGAGGAGGCAGCCCTACGAAGAGGACCGGGGAGCCGAGGGACGTCCTGGGTCATCTTGGGACGCAAACGAGTCCGGTGAAGGGGAGGGTGAGGAAGCTGGGAGGCAGAAAGTGGGACTTTGCCGCTGGTGAGGAGGGAGATGAGATCTAGAAGCTGCTGTTGTGGGTTCCTCACGCAGGTTTCGCTGTGGATTTGGAGTTCTGGATACAGGTGCGGGTGCTCTCGGCGCTTGGTGTACGCTATATTTCGTGTACATGTTTGTGTTGCTGGTCATAATATATGAGCGAGATTTCTAGTTAGTCGGTCCGACGCTAATTGCTTACGTTTTTACGGTGTGCTCCGTATTTCTAGCCTGTGTGTGGTGATGCTCTCCTTCCTTTGTGGGAGAAGGCAGGTGGATCGGGGTGGTGTGGAGAGCTTGCTTTTGTACGATGACGATTGAGTTTTGTTGATTTAGAAAACCCCCACGCCCCTCCCTACATAAATGGCCGCTGTCCCGGCATTAGGTCCTCCTATTTCTAATGTAAATTTAAAAGTCTATATATTTTGAGTTTGTAACTCCCTCCTTCAATAATGTCTGGGTTTGCATTGACTTTCATAAATGCGAAGTTTATGTGTGCGGCTATGAGATTTCAGGGGTGCTTGAGCCCAAACGATACCAAGGCAGTAATAAACTAAATGGGACTCAGCTCCGCGCGTCCGAGTCAACTTAGTTGACTCGCAAATAATTCCCTTCTAGTCAAGCTCTGCCCAGCCACCCCCACAAGCGTAGAATTAAACACCTACTTTTGGTATAGTATATTTATGGCATTGGTAATTTGTTCGGATGTGTGCTCCAGGACTCCGCAGCACTGCCTTGATCGTGGGCTCGGTTGATTCGGAAGAGATTGGTGATGATCGTTGATGAGCATACATAACGCGAAGCATAACGCACTAACTAGAGAATATGCACACTTTCTTGGATCGTGGCATTGGAAGTGTGCTTCAAACGGCCCTATTAGGTAGGTCAAAGAGCCGATACAATATAATTATTTTCACTTCTCACATGTAAATGTAAGGTTTCCTGCTAGTTCCTGATGGTTCCTGAGAATCATCGTCCGCGTGATACCCCATACCCCATATTGTAATAGTCCCCCCGCGCGCTAGCCCTATCCCAACCCAGCGTTCTATACCCCGCAAGTGCGTCCGTGTGCGTGCACATGCCGAAAAGTTAAACCCCAGACTGTCAAACCCAATCCCCATATTATATCCCCAGTCTTCTGTTTTTTTTCTTAACATGTGAAAAATTATGGCCCCATAACGAGAAGAAGATTGCGCGGCAATGGGGACCCATTCAGATTGCTGCCCTTGGGCAGACGAAGAACTAGAGTATATAAAGAGTGTGGGGAATCCCTGAGGAATGTTAGTTGAACCAGACAAGATCAGCATCCTACGGCCTTCATCTCAGTTCTCGCCATCCAAAAGAAGACAGTGCCTCTGCAATTAGCTACACGGAAAGATGAAGTGCTTCACTACTCTCCTGAGCTATGCCTCGTTATTAGCTTTGGCTTCTCATGTCTCGGCCGTGCCAACCCCCGAGATCAGCCAGGCCATCGAGGCGCGTCAGGCCCTCGAGGCACGACAGGCCCTGGAAGCACGACAGACGACTGGCGTGAACTCCTCTAACAACAAGAACACCATCAACCCAGCTACCGCGATCTATCCCAAGAAGGCTGCCGGAGATGCCCCTTACTCGGTAGACGAGAACACCCTCCGCAGCGCCATCTACATCCCATCGACCTTCCAGTATGGCAAGACCGGAAAGCAACCGGTGCTCCTGGTTCCCGGAACTTCGCTTCCAGGAGGGGTATCATATTCGAATGCCTTTGGAAAGCTGTTGGCTGCTTCCACCTACGCAGACCCAGTATGGCTCAACATCCCCGGCTATAGTTTGGGAGACGCGCAGGTGAATGGTGAATACGTGGCCTACGCCATGAACTACCTTTCTGGCGTCAGCCAGCAGAAGAACATCTCTGTGATTTCATGGTCCCAGGGAGGCATCAATACACAGTGGGGCTTGAAGTACTGGCCGTCGACAAGGAGCGTCGTGTCCGATTTCGTGGCTCTCGCCCCAGATTTCAGGGGCACTATTGAGGCCGACTTGGTCTGCAGCGGATTGACCATTGCGCTCTGCACACCATCGATCAAACAACAAAGAGACAAGTCGAACTTCATCGCCACGTTCCGAAGCAACGGCGGCGATAGCGCATATGTTCCCACCACAACTTTCTACAGCGCCACCGATGAGATTGTCCAGCCAGAGTCTGGAGCTGGCGCGTCTTCTATTATGTTGGATGCTCGCAATGTCGGTGTCTCAAACAACCAGGTCCAAGATATGTGCCCTGGTACCATTCAAATTGTTCTCCACGAAGGTGTTCTGTACAATGCAGTTGCTTGGGCTCTCATCGAAGATGCACTCACCCATGATGGACCAGGAAACCGCTCTCGATTGAATACCGCGACGCTATGCTGGGCTTTGGCTGCCCCAGGTCTGAACGGCATCACGGGTGAAAGCATCTTGCTCACTGCTGTTCCCAACATCGTCGCGTACAAGACCCATGTTTTCACCGAGCCAGCTATTGCGGCATACGCTAAATGAGGGGGGTAATTACGCTTGAATCTTAAGTCTTAAGACTGCTGCAGTTGGTTAATCACTTCACTGGGTATTAGCTGTTGCTAAGCATTGTCAAGCTCCTCCTAACGTAAAACTTGGGAGCGATGAGCGTTGGAACTGGAGGAAGGTGCGACCCGCCACCAATATACAGAGTAGGCAGGCGCAATAGCCATGTCATCGAGTACATATTATGAGATTATGAATGTACATATTATGAGATTATGAATACAATAAATATTATTACATACACATACACAAGCCCAAATAAATCATTGTCTCTACCTATTGCCGTATGTCTGGCCTTAGTTGCAGACACAATAGTTGACACCACCACTCGGCCGAATGGTCTCGCCTGTATTTTTTACCGACACATACTATATCAGACGCTTGCACAAGTTGTCGTCAAATATTTACTAACTATACAGACTGATATTCCCACGTGCCTCCACAAGTTTACGAAGTACGACCGATCAGATCAAAGCCAAGGAGCCAAGAAACTCCGAATTACCGGCAGTATTGCCCCTGTAACCCCCGCACTCCCCCGCGCTCCGTCATTCGTGGTTAATGGTCTCCTCAACGGAGAATTAACTTCGCGATTATCCATCGCCCATCTTTAACCCGAGATAAACAAGTGCTCGCTGGAAGCTCAGGATAGGAACAGGCGCAAGACATGGGCAGATCATCTAAACTCCAATTCTTAGCTGCATCATGCATGGATCATATGGTGCAATCTCGGTGCACCATCTTCACCGAGGACTCTTGCGTGCAAAAGTTAAGTGGCTACGTGATGTAGTAATTGTCTATATAGTCTGCAGTTTTGACCCTCACGGACTATTCAACCACGGCAAGTTAAGTTTTGCCCAGGGCGTGCTTCATTTCCAAAAGTTTTGGGAGTGAATCCTCACGCAAGTGGCTTTCAATCATGCGGACCCCAGTTTATATTGCCCTCTGCGGCTTCTTTGGATTGGGCACGGCTTCACCCACTACCAATTCTGGCTCCTCGAGCGCGGCAACTGTGCATTGGCTTGGTGACAAGCCGGCACACAACCTTGGAACAACCTTTGGTGTCCCATGGGCACAGGGTCAGCATGATCCCAAGAAAACTAAGTTTACCGTCTCCAGCGGATCCAACCAGGTCGATCTCCAGTCATGGGTGACTGGCTACTGGTCTGATGGCTCGGTCAAGTGGACTGGACATGCAATTGCAGCATCTGAGAACATCCTCGACGAATACACCGTGACTGCTTCAAAGTCGGCCGCATCCGTTGAGTCTGCCAGCACGAACAGCAAAAATAAGTTGAAGGTTACCGACACCGCAAAGAAGATTACCGTCGACACGGGCAAACTGAAAGTGTCATTCCCGAAATCAGGCAGCAACATCATTGATACGATCCAGACTGCAGGTGGGAAGATAATTGGGCAAGATGGTCGACTTGTTCTTCAAAGCCAGTCGGGTGTGGATTCCAACTCCGATAGCCGTGGAAAGCAGCCGATTAAGAACCTCAACTTCGCGAGTAAAATTGAGGGAGTTACAGTGGGAAAGCAGAATTCCGTGCGTGCCTTGGTCACCGTCCGTGGCAAGCATCAAGTCACTAGTGGAGGCCCTCATGATGACTGGCTTCCATTCGTCCTGCGGTTCTACCTGTACTCTAACTCCGATGCCATTCGCCTTGTCCACAGTCTCGTGTTTGATGCACCTGCCGAGAAGAATTTCATCACCGGCCTGGGGATCCGATTCGGAGTCCCTCTGAAAGGAGAAGAACTATACAATCGCCATGTTAGGATTGCTGGTGTTGATGGCGGCCTTCTCAGCGAAGCGGTGAAAGGGATCACCGGCCTAAGGAGAGATCCTGGAGCAGCCGTGAGGACTGCACAGTATGATGGTGTTGTGGTTCCAGACATTAGTACCTGGGATACGCGTGTGTCGACCAGAATGAAGTGGATCCCAGCTTGGGGCGACTACAGCCTGTCTCAACTATCCTCCGATGGCTTCACCCTGAAGAAACGCACCAAAGCTGGACAAAGCTGGATCAACATTTCTGGAGGTACACGCGCTGGCGGACTTGCATATCTTGGAGGCGCTACACAAGGTGGACTGGCCGTGGGACTACGTGACTTCTGGAAGCGCTATCCTAGTGGTCTTGACATCTCCAATGCTGCCTCAGACCTCGGAGAGATCACGGTGTGGCTTTACGACCCAGCGGCAGAACCATTAGATCTTCGCCCTTACCATGATGGCCTGAACCAGACAACCTATGCCGATCAGTTGGACGCTCTTGAAATCACATATGAAGATTACGAACCGGGATTCAATACTCCTTATGGAATTGCTAGAACAAGTGAAGTCTTCATATTTGGCTTTGAGAAGACGCCTTCGAGAGACACACTATCGGATTTGACAGAACATATGAACAACCCACCTGTTCTGACGGCAGAACCCGCATATATTCAGAAAACAAAGGCCCTTGGGTCCTACTGGGGACTGCCTGATACCACTAGTGCACGTTCTGCAGAGATTGAGGGCCACCTCGATTTCCTTTTCAAGCAATATCAAAAAGAAGTCGAGCAACGCAGGTGGTACGGGTTCCTAAATTACGGCGATTTCATGCATAGCTACGATACAGATAGGCATACCTGGCGCTACGATGTGGGTGGGTATGGCTGGGATAACTCCGAGCTTTCCCCCGACCTATTTTTCTGGCAATACTTCCTACGCACTGGTAGAGAAGATGTCTACCGATTCGCAGAGGCTCTCACCCGCCACACTGGTGAGGTCGATGTTTACCACATTGGTGATTGGAAGGGCTTGGGCACCCGCCACGGTGTCCAGCATTGGGCTGATAGCGCAAAGCAAGCCCGTATTTCGCAACCGCAATACCGCAAGTACTTCTACTACCTCTCCGGCGGTGACGAGCGGATCGGAGAGCTATTCGATGAGCTTCTGGACACGGAGACGACGTACGGAATTCTGGACCCTCAAAGAAAAGTGCGCAAAGATGGCTGGGTTCCAACCCCTAACTCAACGGTTGCATTCAGTCTGGGAACCGATTGGTCTGCTCTTGCCAGTGGATGGCTCATTGAATGGGAGCGCCGCGGACTTAGATGGGAAGAGGCAAAGACTAAGCTCACGAGCACAATCACCAGCATCGCTAATCTCAAGTATGGCTTTGTCACTGGATCCGGATTGTACAGTCTTCAGAACAGCACCTTAGGCCCCCCTCCATTGGATCCCGACAACAAAGGTCTCGTCGATGTCTCTCATCTGTCAGCCGTATTTGGTCTCCCCGAAGTAGTCTCCGAGGCCATCGAGTACTACGGCGATGACCTCCCAGCAGGTTTCAAAGACGCATGGTACGACTACTGTTATTACTATGCAGCAACTGGTGACGAACAGGTAGCTCGTTATGGAGTTAAGTTCAAGGACATCAGCTTGCTACAGGCTCATTCGCGTCTCACAGCGTACGCCGCTCACCAGACCAGCAACACGACGTTGGCCAAGCGAGCGTGGCGCGATCTCTTGAACTCGGATGGTCTTGGTCCAAACACACCCTGGAATACTACCCATATGAGTGGTAGCTCAGTCTTGGTGGCTCTTGATGAAGCGCCCTGGCTCGGGTCAAATGATGTCGCTCAGTATGGGTTGGCTGTTATCCAGAATTTGGCCCTGGCAAGAGATGCTCTTGATACTTGGAATTCTTAGTTAAACACTATAGTTGAGAATCCTTATTGGATAATTTTAACATTTAGTAGATAATAATTAAATTATATTTGCACGCTTTGCTGTCTATTTAAACTACTTCTAGGGCATGATAGGATGGTCGAGCTCTATAATATATTGGTATATTCCTCTACGTCCAGGCGCGGTTTGTCCCGCCATAGCTCTCTGATACTGGCATTATCTAATCCAGAAGAACTAGACACAGCAAAAATCCCTGTGATAAGCCATGCTTCGCTAGAATTACCTTGGACCTGGAAGCGGTGATGCAACGAGGGAATGCGAGATCTCTGTGCCACCAAATTTGTGTTTGAATCTGGCCTCAAGAGATCGCTTCGACACTCACGACCGCCAAATACAGGATCGATGGGTGGTCGTTTTTGGGCTCCGGCCGATAAATCAGCGATACCACTCGCTCCTGCGTCGGAAAGAACTAAGCAATTATAATCTCCTTCCCAAATACCTTCTTGGGCCGCGTCTGTTGCCTTTTCATCTTCACTGGACAATAAGTCTCTCAGCTCCGGGGTAAGAGTAGGCAGAACAACCCCTGTAACTCCTTCACTTGATATTGCAAAACCCGCATCCACTAACTGGAACAACGAGTCTGAATATTGGGCTTTCCAAGTCAATACGTGTACACGGACATGCCATCCCGGCCACCTCTCCAAGGGAGGAATAAGGATAGTTTCAATCTTAAAATCAGTAGATTTCCACGGCCGCCACGCGCTTATGAGGACCGGTACAGTGGTAGTTTTCGGCCCACTATCTTTTTGACCCTCTAACGTGAGTTGAACTGACTTGATCCGAGCAGATTCTGGCTCCCATCGAGCTTTCCATGTGTCGCCACCGTCATTACTAACTGATAGAGTGCTGTCGGGTGCCATCTGGGAGAGGAGAGGGCCGACTGGAACACTGAATGCGAATGCGGACGAGTATGCGAGTTTGCTGTATTTGGCCTCTCTGGCTCGGTGCGGCTTTTGCGTCGATTGTCCTGCGGAGAGGAGGAAGTGATGCTCTGGGAGACTACAGGTGATTTGCGCGGCGGGGTTAACGACACCAAAAGGGCTGAGACTTGTATCATTTTGATTGCCCAGCTCATGAGATAGAGTATTTGTTGAGAGAGGGTGGGGGAGCTCTTCACATTGCCAAAAAGGATGATCCTCACTCAATCTAAGAACCGAGAATGTTTTCAAACACCAGTAGACCGACTGTGGCGAGTTATAATCTTCACTCATGAACATGTTTGGGTAAGTATAACCGATATTGAGGGTTCCATCTGTGTTGAAGATATCGGATTGCTTTGCCCACCAACGGAGGTGGCGCAACAAAAGTCCTTTGACGACGCCCATATCATTTAATGGGGCTGGAAGAGGAATTTCAGCAACGACCGCTGCCGACCAAAATGCCGCAAATGCAAAACGGTACGTCAGACTCCGACCAAATGGGATGGCAGCGCCTTTGACACGTCAGATAATGCACATCCAATGCAGGTTCTAAGGGCTTGTGAATTGCAAAAAACTCACCATTAACATCGAAGTACCTCCAAAAGGTCGCTGCAAATTCTCCAGCTTCCGATCGATAACGCTCGACCCTCTCGGGATCAAGGTCCCGTGCGAAACGGACGTACGCCAGCTGCGAGTACTGAATTGCAAAACTGCCCGAGTAGTAATCTGCTTGCCTCTTGTCCGCAGACCATAGACCATCTGATGACCAACCATCTCCGATATAAAACGAGTCCAGCATTTTGAAATCAACGTCTATAAATGGCTTGACCTCATCGTAGGGAACCCCACAGGATTTTACCAGTGCCAGGTTCACCAGAATTCTAAACCAACGCCAGTTTGATGGGGGAACTGTCTTTTCATTTATTAACCGCAACCAGGCTACAATTCGGTCTCTCTTTTGCTGATCCACTTGAGAGTCCGAACCTGGTGTGTTCGGGAGCGCTGATAGAAATGCCGTAGGGGCGGTCAAGAGCGCATATGCTATGGGCTCCATTTCCACCATGCGTTGATCATGCTCTCCTGTATGGCCCCAAAACGTATCCGAACGCGGATCAACGCCAGCGTCCAGTCCGCGAATCCATGAGTAGAGATCTAGATCCCCGGAGGCGGTCGCGGACGTGGTGGGTTGCGCTGCGAGTAAGTCCGCAACAACCCAGAGTGGCCTTGCAAAGCCTTCGAGTTGAGCTGAGATTTCATCAAACCCTGTTCCTGTTGCAGTGGACAACTTGACCCTGGCGCCGCACGGTGACTTGTAAGGCGTTAGAGGTTTGAGGAGGGATGTGGCAGCTTGCAAGACATCATCGCGGGACTGGAATGGATTATCGGAAAACCCAAGTAGCGGTGGCATATTGGGATTGATGGGAGAGCAGTAACACTGCGAGAACAAGACAGAAATGGCAAGTTAGAAGATCTTTTAGGCATTCATCAAGGTCGGAAGCAATATTGAAGCTTTCCTATGTTCACTCCAGTCACGCCACTTCGTACTACTCTGGTTCCTCGGGTTAGCTATCGACGCATAATAATCTCGCAATACATAAAAACATAAATATTACCTTCAACAGAAAAGATACGCGCGCCGATGCTAGCAGGTGCTTTCGGGGACTAGAAGGTCTCGGATGAGTGGTTGACTTGCGGCAGTTAGGCTGGTGCGGGGAAGAGCAGGGATAGTTTGCGGGGGTCAATATGATTTGTGGGGCTTAATTTTGCGGGGTTCGGTATTCGGGATTACTGTGGCGGAGAACGGGCAAAGGGCAGCGGGCATTGTATAAAGGTAAACCCGTCAACCGGAAAGTGTCAGACAGCTCCTTTACCTGGCGATTATTATTTTTGGGCCGGAGAATGGATTCATCGCAAACTCCACTTCCCGCTTCCACCAGACCCGCATGTCGGGAATGTCGGCGACGTAAGCTTGGCTGTTCAAAGGAGCTACCGGCTTGCAAGGAGTGCAGAAGGCTGGGTAAACACAGCTCAGTCCAATAGGCTTTCCTGATGCTAATCGTCTGCGTGATTAGGGGCTGGATGTGTTTACGAAGCACGCGAGAAACCCGGCTTGAAGCCCGGGGCGGTGGAAAACTTGAATAGGAGAGTGGGTTAGTACTGCAATGCCATTTTGTTTGTATTGCCACTTATTTTTATGGGCGATACTTTGCAATTATTACTGATTCTTTGTTAGACAGGGTTGAGCAACTGTTGCAGCAGTTGCAGCAACAAACTGAGTCAGCTCAGAGCTCTGGGTATGCGCCAAGCCCTGCGTGGCGTAATGGCGACGACCACAGGCCGCGAGAAGCTTCCGAGCTCTTGCAATTATTCGAAAGGGAAATGAGAGAGTTTAAAATTATGAATAATCGTCGAACCACTGCCTCATCTCAAGGCCCAACTCAACCAGAGGGCCAATTGGTAGAAGGCCTTAAGCGGTCAGCTGAGTTCTCACCTCGCCATCAAGCAAAACGGAGGCGCTTGATATCAGAAGGAAATTTCAATTGGGGAGAACTAGTATTGTGTTCAGATTCCCTGGACAAGCAATCTTCTGCATACTTGCTGGATGGCGTCTTGGACAACTACTTCTCCCAGGTCCATCCGTGGCTTCCCATGCTGCACGAGAACAGTTTCCGACAGCAACTCGCGGAACAAGTATATGATGAAAATATCGAGGCAATCTTGCATGCTATGGTAGTTGCAGCGGTGAGGTTGGTCATACGTCCGGATACACCGGCAAGCATTAGGCGCACATTGAAGTTGACAAAGCGCTCCCGAGACTGGGTACTGCTCCATGCATTTGGCTCGTTATCGGTCGAGAACCTTCAGGCTCTGCTCATTATTGCCTTTGACTATGTATGCTTGTAGCACCCTGAATATGTATTGATTATATCTAATGAGAATAGATCGGAAGAGGCGAGGCGAACAGCGCATGGTCGATCGTGGGCTCTCTTACCCGCACCGTGGAATATCTCCAACTGAGTGTCGAGGTTGATGATACTGACGAGCAACCATTACTCAAGCCATGTCCTATTGTTCCATCATGTAAAGACTGGACCGAGACGGAGACAAGGCGAAGAGTGTTCTGGAATATTTTCAATATGGATCGGTAAGTGAGGCAATACACTCGTTGCTGGTTGGTATATTGACTAGTTTAGGCTATGTTCAGTCATGACAGGGTACGCTCTCACGATAGCATTCAATACTTGCCCCTTTACTTACCGATTTTTAGGTGGAACACCAGCCTCACATCCGACGATGTTCATCGAAGGCTTCCAGTAGACGGTGTCCTATGGCGGAAGAGAGAAGCGGTAACAGCCCCTTACTTTGGTATATGGGATAAGTCGGCTGGAAGGATAGGAAACTCCATCGCGTACTTAACAACACAATACCCCACTCTTGCGCAGAGCCCCGAAGAGGAGCACCAGAGCCCGGGATCGATGTCGAATTTTGGTCAGAACAATAATACCGAGGCGATGTCATCCGTCGGAGCGTTCGCCTATTGCATTGAAGCCACTGAGTCTATGAGTCGCGTTACGACCTATTTCCTTCAACAAAAAGTAAACCTTTCGGACCAAAAACAGATTGGTAGCTGGTTGATGAGGTTCAAAGAGCTGGATTTGCGACTTGTACAGTAAGATAGTTTCTCTCTCCCCTCCGCCTGCCAACTCATTCTAACACAACCTCCCTAGCTGGAAGATGTTTTTGCCAGGAAAATGGAAGGATACCAACATCTCACGACGACCAACCGAGATTATAATGGATCCCAACTTAACGCTCGCACACATCACACACAACGCTTCTATGATACTATTGCATCAGTTGATTGCGTATCCCCCGGAGAACTGGGACTGGGCAACCCGGCTTCCAAGCCGTTGCAGCGCGGATACGTGTCAAACTGCAGCTCTAGAGACGTCGAGTATAACAGAAAAATATCTTTGGAGTCCAACGACTAGCAAAATAGTCAACAGCCAATTCACCTTCTGTGTATTTCTCGCAGCGAGAGTGTTACTGGGTAAGATGCGCCTCTTATCACATTATTCGAATGTATTGTTTTCTAATTCATATAGTTCACTGGAGATATTATGAGGATAAACATCCCCTCCCCGAATTTTTCAAGCTTATCGAAAGCCTCGATGCTCTCTCTAATCGATGGGAAGGTTCCCCGAGACTAAACACTACAGGCCACGCGAACCTAGCTGCTAAATATGCAGGCTTGCTTCGCCGCATGCATGAGAAATGCGTAAACGACGTGGGCTTTCGAATTGGTGTTCTTGCCTACGCCAATGAACTGGGAGTCGACAGTATCAATAGTCCCCAAGTGGTTAACATAGACCAAGAAGACTCCAGTGACGAGGAAGATATCATTGAAAGGACGGAAGAAAACAGCCAACGACGGTCAATGAATGAACCTAACCACGTCCAAAATCCAGAGGTCCAAGACGTAGCTAAGAGCGAGGACCAAGCTGCCAGCGGATATCAAGCCAACGGCTCAAGTAGGACGGCAGGGCGCGAGGGGACATTCCCACCGACCGGCGAGCTGCGAACACCAATAAGCATCGATCCAACACCAGTTCAACTTCCTGTCAGTCAACAGCAATACCCCTTAATGCAGCGACCGAATGTCTCGGTGATGCAGGGAAACGATATAGTCCCGGATGAGTTCACATATATCTCGCAAATGTTCCTCAACCAACAATTTCTGGATAGAGATCGGGTCATTAGTTACGATGAGGGAATGTTCGCGGCAAATATGGATGGATGGGAATAAGGTGGTCAATTGTTGATGATGATTCAGTGTATCTATAGTTCTAAGTAAATGTTCAACTTCAGGGCAATCCCAACCAATGTGTTTGCAGCCCCGCTATTCTAGCAAATTTACAATGAATGAAAATGCCAATGCGCTCTATATCCCATGTGTATATCATATCAACCCCATCCGAAGAAGTCGATTGCCAAACTGAAGCAGATAATAATCCCCATAAACCAAACCATGGTTTGCGTACCTGCGATTTGCGCCCACGTTATTGTTCGCTGTTCCGTTCTTAAGTATGCCATCGAAAGTGCTTCCAGCCAGGACGTCTTCTATCTCTAGCGTGTCGTTCTCTGACCCTTTTTGTGAACCGTCAACAACGAACCTCGCCTTTTCCTCAGCAAGTGCGCCCCGGAGGAGCCCCTTTACCACATCAATCGCTGCAATACGGAAATTTTCTGCAATGGCAAGCTGCCCATCCGCCACGAGAGCTTCGGACAAGATCATCATGCCATTGGCTGCAATAGAACTTGCTGAGGAGTCAAAGACGGGCTTCTCTGGATTCTCAACTGGCGCATCAAAGTCCCAGGGGGGGACATTGTATCCGGGACCTAGACGCCGCAAAAAGTACTCGGTCAATCCACACGCAGCATCGAGAAATATGCGCTCTTTGGTCCACATATACGTCTGTGCATAACCCAAAATAGCCCATGCCTGACCTCGCGCCCAGGTTGAATCCGTGGCATAGCCTTGGGCCGTGAGGCGTTGCTTTATAGCACCAGTTTTCGGATCGATATTGGCGACGTGGCAGGTCGAGTAAATAGGCCCAGAGTATCCTGTTATTGATGCTGCGATGCCAGATTCAAGGCGGAGGTGGGATGTTAGCATGGTATGGGCATGCGTGCGGGCGATTGTCGCCAGAGTGGTGTCTTTAGTATATGCTGAAGCGTAGAATAGCAGGTCTAAGTTGCATAGACTATCTATGATGACGATATTGTTCTCTTCCATGGAGATAATGCTCACGTCCTTCTTGCGGATCAAGTCCCAGCTGCGAATAGCCCCTGATGGCGCCACATATCGTGTGGCCAGACTGTACGCAGCAGTAACGATAGACTGCAGACTGCGTCGATTACCCGTAAGCTCCCAGTCAAGCCGCAGGGCAGGCTCGACAATAAACCCAATGTCGTGTGTGTCGGTCCTTGTGGCCATTGCATGGAGAGGCTCCGCCCATGCTCGGCATAGAGCGAGGAGAGTCTTCCGGGGCAGCGGATATCCCTGCGAGCCTGGATACCGAGTTTCTCGCTCCAATAGTGTATATAGCGAGCCAGGGAAAAATCCACAGGTCCAGAAACTTGCTTCACGGAGCTCATAGCGGCCCTGCTGCGAGCCCTCTTGAGGGACAATCTCAGGGTAAGCAGTTGGAGGATCCTAGATGTAGTGTAAGTCATTTGAACTGGTGAAATCGGAAATATATGGGCCAAATCACGTTATCCTTCAGGTCTCGTTGTGCAACACGCCATAGTTTTGCTGCTATGTTTTCTGCGAAAAGTTGCTGTAGTTCCCCGTCCTTGGGTTGGCTAGTATTCAAAAGAATGGAAGCTACGTCCTCGGCTTTTGGGACCTGTGAGATGGAGACTGTGCTGGCCGTGCTGTGTGTTGACGGGACTTCATGGAATTGTGAGAGTTTATTCCCAGCGGCAAGAGGGCCATAATTGCGGTGAATCTGTAATTCAGTCATCGTTGTAATAGCCGTGATGCCTAAAATGAGCGAGAGTACGTTAGAGAAGAAGTTTATTCTATCGCAAGCTATGCAGAGTCGAGCCAGGCTGGACACGGGAGAAAGCAGACCGATACCTATGTCATGATTTAAGTAACCCGTCTTGGAACTCTTCTTATTCCCAAATCCACATCGTGATCCATAATACGCCTCAAAGTTCAGAGCGGCAAAGTTCACTGATGGCAAAGTGATAACGGAGAAATTCACCCGGGTGGGACAATTCGCTGCCGGCGCTAGTATCCACCACCACATGGGACCTCGTTAAAGGGGGTCGGGCTACCAATACCCCGCAAACTCCGCTGTCAACACTCCGTTGCCCGACGGGATCCAACATCAGAACCCCAGGAAACACAAGCTTGCCATTCAATTGCTTGTCGGATGCGGACAAAATGGCGCCCATCACTATCCATTTGTCCTGTTCGCATCGCTGTGGCTTTACCGCCAAGAATCGACACGGACTGCCTCTCTAACTTCAACCTCTACTTAATAGTCGCGGCTGCCGACCGACTCTGGACGATCAACACCCACCTGCCACCTCACCGGTCTCTTAACCTTAACAGACCCTCTTTTCAATTATGGCTGAAGTTAAGCAGGCCGAGACTGGCACGACGCCAGTGGCTAAGTCCGACGACGAGGTGTCAATCATGGAGAGAGGAGTGCCTCCCAAGCGGTCCATCTGGAAAGCTTGGATGTACATGTTCGATTGGTATCCTAGCCATTACTCTGTCGAAGAGCGCAAGCTTCTTAGGAAGCTCGATTACACGCTGATGCCGTTTTGCTGCTTGATGTGTAAGTGCGCGAGGCTCACGAGCTGATCATGGAAGCAAATATCTTACTAACACTGGATAGTCTTCATTAAATGGCTAGATCAGTCCAATCTAAACAATGCATACGTATCAGGAATGAAGGAAGAGCTGAAGCTGAATGGCAACCAGTAAGTTTTTATTATAGCAACCTGATACCAAAGCATGTCTAACCCGACCCAGGTATTCCTTATTTGGAACCTTCTACAACGTTGGATATTTGCTCTTCGAGATCCCCTCAATGATGTTGCTCTCCCGCCCCCACCTCGCGCGGTGGTACGTTCCCAGCATGGAAGTTGCCTGGTCGGCCCTGACCTTCATCCAATGCCGCCTACGCAACGAGTACGACATCTACGGTCTCCGGTTCCTCCTCGGTGTTCTCGAGACGCCCGCCTCCACCGGATCGCTTTATATCCTCTCATCCTGGTATCGCGCTGACGAACTGTTTAAGAGAGCCGGCGTTTGGTACGTGTCGAGTAACGCTGGTGCCATGTTTGGAGGTTATCTTCAGGCGGCGGCTTACAACAACCTTAACGGTGTCATGGGGCGATCGGGATGGAGGTGGCTGTTTATCATCGATGGCTGCATTAGTTTGCCGATTGCTTTGGCTGGATATATGATCTTCCCCGGATTGCCGTCGAGCCCAAGGATCTGGTATATGAACGAGGCTGAGCATGAGCTGGCAAGGAAGCGTATGATTGACGACGGTGTCAAGCCTAGCAAGAAGATTGGGAAGGCTATGTTGAAGAGGGTCTTTACGAGATGGCATCTATACGTTGCTGTTCTCTGTTATGTCTGGTGAGAAACCCTGTCCCAAGTGTCTCGATATCGTACTGACATTTCAGCTTTCAATGCTCGTCTTATCCGACAGGGCAAATGGGTCTGTGGCTTAAAGACGAGGCCAAGAAGCACGGAACATACACAGTCGCCCAGATCAACACCATTCCTACTGCGGTCCAAGGTCTTGCCATTATCTCAGCTATCCTCGCAACTTCGTTGTGTATGATCTATCCTCTGTGGATTATATCGTCGGTTGTTTGCGCTATTCTGTTGTTTTGCAACCTCGTCCTTCTGGCCTGGGATGTCCCGGTTGGCCTACATTGTAAGATATTCATGCCTGTCAAGTTATATGACAATTGCTAACTTATTTGATTTTAGACACGGCTAATCTACTACTTGGATTAACTTCTGCGGTTACGCCGATTTTGTTCCCTTGGGTGAACATCATTATGAAAGATGATGCAGAGGCAAGAGCCTTTACGACGGGAGCAATGGTGAGTTTTGTTGTTGGATGCATATGAGAGTATGTGACTAATATTATTTTCCAGATGACTGTCGGATGGGCTTTCTTCTCATTCTACCCAATCACAGTGTTCCCAGTGGTTGAAGGTAAGATTGAATCATACTTTCCCGCCACGAAGAGATACTAACGTTCTCTAGCACCCAAATGGAGAAAGGGCTACACTGTGAATACCGTCTTACTCTGTCTCTTTTGGGCAGTCTTTATGCTTGGAATGTTCCTTCACAGAAGAGAAACCAAGAAGGCGGAAAGAGATGCCGAATCCGAAATCCCCATGGAGACCGAGAAAAGGTCTGGGGAGTTTGATCACGTTGACGTGGTGGCGGGGAAGAGCTCAGAAGAGGACAAGATTTGATTATTTAACATGAAAGTATTAGCGAGTCGTGTGGGAGCAATAATGTTTTCAATCAAATTACGTTTTGTTACGAAACCCAGTTTCTTTTTGTTACAGTTCAATCACAAGCATTGTTCAGAAGTATAATAATTAAGGTGGCATGAATGGGCTTAGATTTCCAATCCTAGCTAATCATACAGGCGCCATTAAGTCCTCCTATTCCGGGAATGCCACCCGCCCATCGACCCTAGTCATGATTTCGTGACTGGAGATCAGTTGAACTCTCGAGTTGTTCAGTGCTTAGCGGCCTCCTTGTGGACATCAGCCTGGGTGTTGTGGCTGGTCTCGTTGAACTTGTCTCCGATAGCATCCTTAGCGGCGGTGGCGCGGCTGGAGAGGGATGCGTCGCTGTCCTTGGCGACAGACTGGGAATAGAGTTAGTTTTCTGTTCTATCCTTACTATTGTAGTAGAGTGATGCTTACCTTGTTGGCCTCCTTGGAAGCCTCGGCGCCCTTGCCCTGGACGGTCTCGCTGACGTAGTTTGCGGCGTTCTTGATGGTCTCCATTTTGAATGAGTTTGGTTTGTTTGTTGGTTCGTTGGTTTGAGTGTGTGAAGATGATGTTTGATGAAGAAAAAGAAGAGGATGAGAGAGGGAATCAGAAGGCTATATGTAGTCGACCGAACTGGCCCTCGCTTCCGTCAGGAGAAGGGGGAGGAAGAGAGGGGTTGAGTTCCCTCAACCTGCTTTTGGGTATGTACGTCATGTAGATAGGTCAATTGTGATACTCTGGTCGTCCAGGATTCCCAGACTTATCCCCATTCGGCAAATGCAAGTCACGAGAGAATGGGATTTAAGGCAATTCCATGCAATTTGTCGCAATCCCATCCGGCGAGGGGTTCTGGGCCCTTGACCAGGGTGTAGCTAGGGAGTGGTATTGACGTCACTGACACCAACCAAACGCCGGATACACAACCAACCGAACAACCACTAAAGAAGGTAGCCACTAATATCAGCCACAGCCGCCACAGGAGGCGAAAAATGTGGGGAGCTAGACTAGAAGTGAGCCACAGCCAACAGCCACAGTAGCGCCTCGTAAACCTTGTTTGACCACCTAAAAAGCGGGGAATCCACGTATCACAGACCACCACCGAACACCGTAGACATCACTATCTTGTGCCTTGGTTGAAATGGGAAAGTGGCTTCTGTTCTGGGAATTGTTGCATCTTTGGTTGCCCCTCCACTTGCCCCTCCCTGTGGCCCTCCCTGTGGCCCTGCCTGTGGCCCTCATTGCGGCGCTTCGAGATGTGGCTCATACAGCTCATACTTGGTTTCAGCGCTCTTATTACGTCACAATTCCCATCTGTGGCTTAGCACAACCGGAGTAACATCCAATTGCGAATACTCCGTCGTTATTCTCGTGTCCCTGATTTATAGTAGTCTAATATAGGCCGAGGCGGTCAGGTCGGTTAGCTGGGAATCGATTCAAATAACATGTGTCGATGAGGGTGTTGCCTGGAACTACGAAGAACCATATCACGTGACCATACGATGTCAGAGACCATTGGCAACAAACAAGGCTTTTATGGCCCATTGCGGCAAGAATAGTAGGTGTATCGCGAGCAGAAATATATGTGTATGTGTCTATTATATGTGACAGCGTGTCCCAAGCAATCCTGTTTCCTTACCTTTAGATTTTGCAAAAAAAAACCTCGTTTGTCGTAAGGCATCCTGATCTCTAAATATGTCCCCTAAGTATCCATCCACCCCTATGAACTCCTCTCCTCCCGACTCTTCATCCAGCCCTCTAGAATACTGCCTACATCCCTAAACCTCACCGGCTTTGTCATAAAAATATCCATCCCAGAATCAAACGCCATTTCCTGATCATTCTGACTGCTGAAGCCCGTCAGCGCTATGACCAGTGCCGGCCTGATGATCGGCTGCAGCAACGGCGTCTCGACAGGGAGTAGTTGGTCCGTGACGCGTCCTGGTGTGGGGAATGGGAATGCAGGCGGTGAGGTCGGAGTGGGTGGCGATGAAAGGGATTGGAGTTGGACCCCGTAAGCGGCGCGACGTTCGGCCTCGACCGCGCGGATTTTGCGGGTGGATTCGTAGCCTGTCATTATGGGCATGGATACGTCTATTCGGAAGGTGATTAGGTTCCGGTGACTAAAGTTGGTGATCACCAGGAGGTGGCAAAGCTTACCCATGAAAATGACATCGAAGCCCTGAGGTCGGTTTTGAAATGCTTGTAGAGCTATCAAACCGTTCGTTGCCTCTTCGTAGTCCCAGCCGTTCCTTTTCATGTAGGTTGCAAGTAGCATCATGTTGACTGGGTTGTCCTACAATATAATCAGTAGCTTAGTTGTCTGCCTGGTGCCCATTCAAACTGACCTCGACCAACAACATCTTTGGTGGCTCTAGTGGGACGGGTGGTGACTCCGTAACCTATCCAGTATTAAATCTTGTTCCGAAGAGATAGAGCCACCCCTGTAGCATATGCGGACAAAATTTATTACTCACACCCGCAGACTCTGAGATCAGTGTTCCTTTCAATAGCTCGCTCAGTGCATTTTCGCTCGGCACATCGCTCGAGTTCAATCTCACAGCCACATTACTTGACATCCTATGAATGAATGCTGGTCTTGGTTCAGCCGTTTCTCTAGCCTTAAAACCCGTCGTCAGCTGTATATCCAGACAAATGGCATTTGGCGCGAAACTGATAGGTGACTTCAAATCTCCCAATAGCCTCAAGTTACTAGTACCTGCACTTACCCTGGTATTTTGTGGTGAGACTACAGGCAAGACTAGTCCAACCTGTGGTTCCGCCTGGATGGCATGATCGGCTTTCGACTTTTTGAGAGCATCCTCTGCGTCGAGGATATTCAGTAGTGCTTTCGCTAGACGATGTGGGCCACATGGTTTGCTGATGAACTCGACAAGTTGGCCGACTTCAAATTGAGATGTGTAGATACCACGTCGAGCCCCGTTACTGCAGAGAATGAGCAATAGCTGCGAACTACCTTCTATGAGTTTGGTCGACTTGAGGAACTCGGATTCATCCGAGATGACAATGTCAGCAACCGAATTATCAGAGTTAACCTTCAGGTTAAACCATTCCTCGGCATATTTTACGATCGAAGCCTTCAAACTTGTGATCGCTTCTATCTGGAGATCCGACTTCCCTGCCGTATTGTCAAATCCACGGATGGTAACCGTGCGCCCACGAGCACGGCGTCGAACAGCACTAATGGAATCTTCGGGTGTTGGTATCATCAACTCTGGCGATTCGCTCGCTCGTCGTAGACGATCATCCAGGGGTAGGCTAAGCTTCATCTCTGTGCCCTTGCCGAGGTCACTGTGAACTTCGATTACCCCACCTGACAAATCGACGATTTGCTTCACGATACTCATGCCAAGGCCGGTTCCCGGGGCTGTCACATTCTCCTTGGATTCAGTTAGCATTAATTACAAAGACCTAGCATAATAGATCGGATGTGATCTTTCAAACCTGCGTGAAAGGCATGAACAATTTCGTCTTCATAAATTCACTTGACATCCCCTGCCCAGAGTCTGATACCGTCATAGTAATCATGGTTCTGTCGAAACTGTCGCTATTCACACTTGGATTCACAGACGGTATACTTCGAGCTTCGAGCTTCACCTTGATATAGCCATCACTTGTATACTTTAACGAATTCCCAAACAAATTCATTGTCAAACGTCGCCAGGTTCCTGGGACGGTGGGAAAATGCCAGTCGTCTCTGAAGTCTATGTCAATAATGACTGTAAGCGCATCATTAGAGAAGTCAAACTGGAGCTCATCCATCGCTTTGGTATCTGTATCACGACTGTTCAACGATTCTCTCATTCGGCTCTTGGTTGTATCCGCCAGGCCTTGTGAAGATAGTCCATTGAATTCGAATCCGGCGAAAACACCATCCAGCACCTCTTCAATAATTGCAGAGACGTCGAGGTTTGCAACACTTCCCATCGGCTGCGTACTTACCTGTCCGAACTTCTTGATCTTTGAAAAGTCTAGAACATGCTCGATAGTGTCCAGCAATGTCCGGCCGCAGATGTCTACTGTATCAACTAGATTTCGTTGAAATCCGTCCAAGACCGTATCTGCCAAAAATTCCACACTTGCAAGAATTCCATGGAGCGGGCTTCTCAGCTCGTGACTAACGTTACTGATGAAGTCATCCTTTGCGAGGTCTGCACTCATTGTATTCAATCGTGTGACTTCTGACATGACGCTGTGCCCAAAAGCTATGAGATAAGACAAGTGGTTTTCAATAGAAAATATCCGAGTCGCTGAGGTTGACCAAGCGAAAGATCCCACAAAGCATCCAGATGTTGAATCATATAAGGGCACGAAAAATATTTGTCGGGCTCCTGGGAATGCTTTCAGTAATCGTAGAATCTCACTTCGTTTACGAGCATTGTGACGGGCAAGCTTGGCGTCGAAAGATGCGTTTTTAATGGTGACTTGTGATCCGTCTGGCGAGGGGATATCCGCCGGGCGCATAACCGGCCCATTCTCGTCAAACACAAAAAGCTCTCCCAGAGGGTAGTGCCTCACAAGAGAGGTTAGGAGACTCTGATCGATGGCAGTGAAACTGGCGTCAGATCCTGTGGTTTGGTCAGCCCACGAAGAGGTTTCTCGCGTTGAATATCCTAAAACGTCGGACTTCAACTTGGTTGCACCCTCGTTGCTGTGGTTGGCGTCGCGTTTCAAACGCTGGACACGAGGGCGTGGTCCCGGCCTGACTTCATCATCACTCGAACTTTCAGAGTCCTTGCCTTCCAATCGGCGTGGATCCGTCTCAAGGGTGCTGCGACCCTGATAGAATCTGAACGGGGCATCAAAGAATACAGCTCCATCAACTTCCATGCCTTCTCTGATAAGATTAGAGGCACGAGAAAACGTTGTACGAAGCTGATTTGAAAACCCGTCATTGGAAAATGCAGCGTCCTTCCCGCTGGTGATCTTTCTTGCGACATCATCGGCGCCCTCAAATACCGACTTTAGCGTTGGGACTTGTGACGAGGAAGAGCTCCAGGGCGAGTTATTGAAGTTAAAACGCGCATCCGGATTATTAGAGCTATGCTGCAGGGGAGATTGAGTTTGGCTCATGAGGGTCTCGGTTGCGGAGTTCGCAGATTCTGTCGATACAGATGCGTCGACGTCATTCGTATTGCTTTCCCAGAGGAAGCCCACTCCAGCCCCAGCTGGAAGGTTATACTTCTTGACTCTTTGCCAATCACCGTCCATCGTGCCCTCGCCTTCAACGAAAGCATGGAGAGCTTGGCTCATCATGGTAACTCTAACAATGTCTTCCTTCGCCCGAATATTCTCGAGATGGTCCATCACCGTAGCTGCCATTGTAGTCAAGAACTGGGCTTGTTCAAGGCTGAAGTCGGTCCTCGGTCTGTCGTCGACAACATAAACACAGCCAATATTAACGCCCCTCTTGTTAGTCAAAGCCACCCCGCAATAGAACCTCAGATACGGCGCGCCTTTCACGCAATCCAGCTGGCTCGTATTTTCATCCAAGAGGAGATCTGGAACCAGGAACACCGGAGTCATTTCAGCTGCTGTATCTTGGTTTGGCACAAGGCACAGCGTCTGCTCACAAAGAGATGCCGCGCGCGGGACCCTTGCCCCGCTGATAGATAGCGACGCATTTTGAGCATGACCATCGTCACCGACAAGACTCAAGTTGCTCGTTGATTCAGCCAGAAAATACTCATTCTCGTGATCAATGAGAGAGACAATGGCTCTTTGGGAGTCAAGACGGAGTGCGATCAGTTGGGCAAAGGCGGTAAGCGCAGTGTCGGAGAACGACTTTTGCGTATCAAAGTTTGTGTCCTTTGGAGGGGCATGACTTGGAGACAAAGGGCCATTATCTGCAGAGTATTCCGATTCGACTGAAGACTCTGGAATATTCCGCGGTTGGTAGTACCTACAGTTTGTAAGGTCCTTGTAACAGGCCGCATTGTCTCGTCACTGACCTGTACACTTCTCTCGCACGAAGCGTCTCCGCCGCCGACATGGTAGAACTTTGGGTTGATCGGGTTGGTTAGAGACCAATCATGGTGAAGTGGTGGAGTGGTGGGGTTAAAATCCTGAATGCGTGTCCCGCAGACGTATCTCGCAGATCGCAGCTGATGGAAAACGATTGCGAAGTACAGTGTGGTCCCTGATGGAACAACTAACGCCTCAAGAATCAGGTAAATAGCGGGGTAGCTTCAACAGGATAACGCGGCATCATGTTCAACTGGGCGCTCTGGATGATTGTCACATTCACTGGGGCGTTATCCAGACTGTATGGGGTGTTTTTCAAAGAGAAAATCTACAGCCTAGAGTTCAATTCGAGATGTCCAATAGCATCAGTTTGTCCAGTCGTCAAGTTAAACTTCAACGATGTCTGCCAACTTTAGTTCCTGATCCCTGACCGAGAAAGCGATTATGCGCTATACTAAATACGTACTAGTGTTTATGAGTTTAGCCGGAGTTTCGCCCTGTGCGCAATGGCCGCCGTCTTCTCGATTGATCATGAATAATTATCTGTGAGATTCCAGACATTACACAAAAGATATATATAAGCGGTATTTACCAATTTGAAGATTTAAGGATGCAAGATATGGCTCCGGTCATGGCAATTTCAGGGTCACTGTATGTTTTCTGTGGCCGACTCTCCACATCCAACTACTTCAATCCATTCTATTCACCACATGCGGAGGCTACTCTCTTGCCCCCGACTTGTGCTTCCAATCTTATATCCTTCGGAATGTGACAGAAAATAAGGCTGCCATTTTACGACCATTCATAGCCACTCCCCGGTTGGAAATGTTCGCATACACGTGAAGAATAGGCAACCTCAACGTGAGTTCGAGTTTGTCTCTGATGATGTGACGGAGCAGGTGAATTTATTCAAGTTTGTCTTCGTTTCTGTAGGTATGGTAATGGCGTGAAGTAGGGCCTGAGAAAATGGAACAAGCTGGATGCTTGCAAGTTTGTGTTTGTATTTTCGTGTGGGGTGTAATTTATTGTGTGGGGGTGTTCGTAGTTTCCAGTGAATATTTGATACTGCCTCTACGATGAGCATTTCAGATAAGCATATCGTATCGTAATGAGTCAGTCGCTACCTACTGAAGCTGGTCCACAATACTAAGGCCAGGTTGGAGGGTGCAAACGCGTGGATTCGAGAAAGTTGGATGAAGTGTTTTGTACAAACAAAGAAACATCCCTCTTTGCACACACAACGAATATATTAATATATACCCAAATATATGCTTCTTTGTCATATATGGTAACCCATACAATCGTACAACCGCACTGAAATTTTAAACGCCACATCCTATTTTGTTTTTATGCTACATACTTCAGCACATTATGTCGAAGTCTGATGGACCTCCTGCCGCACAGATATCCCACCTCTCCCACTCTTCCACCTCACATCCTCACCCGAGCTACCCACAATATCCTCCGTGCTTTCAGTTGTGACATGCCCCCGATGGATCCTGGTAGTCTGTGTAGTCCTCGACTGCAGCGGAATCGATCCATTGCGAAGCTCGTTGGTAAGCGCGCTTTTGTTGTATCGATCTTCGTACGAGGTGTTATATGAGGTATTTTGGCGGCGAGAGAACAGGCTTTTGAAGGGTGGGAGGCAGCCTACTATCACGGCTTGGAAAAAATCAGCATATTGAATGTTGCATTGAGTGGGGAAGATTTGAACTTACACACTGTGGACTCGATGATTCCCCATAACGCAAGCAGCACGGAGTCACTCGTGGTTGTAAATGCAATCTGAACAGCGCGAGCGATAGCAAAGACGATGATCAGAACACCGATACTGAAGACGGCTGCCAGGCCCATCTTCTCGGAACCAGAGATGCGGACTTTCCATAATAGCCGCAATGGCATCGCCATGACTGTTTGTCGTCAAATCAAATCCAATGCTGTGATGGATAGGGTTGACTCACTCATTATATCAGTCAATACATCTACCACGGTACTGTACAGAACCGCGATGATCGAAGTCTTCATATCAATATCCTTATTGCATGACCCTAGATGACAGTAAGAGGGTATTTCACCACCGCACTGCGGAAAGGGGCATACCGAAGATGAAGTAGTTTTTCGCGGGATGGCAGACGTTAATCGACACTATCCAGCAACCTACATAGGAGAGAAACGCGAAGACAACTACCGCCCACCATAATCGTCGGTAGCCCTGAAGGCCATCGAAAAGCTTGTAGAAGAAAGCGAGAAATGAGGCTTTTACCAGCCATAAAACTGTCCAGAACAGCTGTGAGGGCCGTCAGTAACCATCCGTGAGGCCTGGGTCAGGAGTTTCGTACGCCTATAATTGTGAACTCATAACGCATGTCTTTCCGTACAAATGTTAGCAAGTTCTCATAACAGAAGCAAGTTGGGGTCGACGTTGCTGCATCTTTTTGAACCCCCTCGGGAAACATCTAGGAAGAAATGCACATACATGTATTGCCACTAGCCATCGTCTCCTCCTGGGTCAACGTCGAGAGTCCATTGACGAGCCTTGCCAGATTGTAGCAATGCGGCGTCTGCAGTGTCTGAAGCACGGCATTCGCAACAAGGACAAGAAACGCCGCATAGATGAGATAGTCATCCACATGCAGCTTCTCGATCTTCTTGATCCGAATCACCGTTCGTGCTACCACGAAGCAACCCGCGAGCCCGGTTGCCACCCACACGATTATGACAAGACCGTGTTCGGGCATCTTGCCAGCCAATCCCATACCCGGGGGCGCGGGCGCAGACATTCTGAATTGCGTTGGTCGCTTCAGCTGGAGAAAGTCGAAATATTCCGATGGTGAATGATTGTTCTGAGATGGTCATTGAAGAAGCCGGATCGAAAAATCCTCAGTTGTTAAGGGAGGTCCCTCCCATGTCTTGAAAGAGCATGATGGCCTGGCTGGAAGGAATTGGAATTTTGCAGTATCAATGTTTTTCGGCTGTATTTCACCAAGCCATCCATTGAACCTGGCAATCCTATAGCAGGAGGTATAGTTCTGTCGGCAAGCCGGTAAAGTATTTCTTTTGTGGCTTTGTGGCTGTATCATAATTGCTGATGACTGTATCACTCCCAGTGGGGGCTGAGTAGCTGGTAAGCTTTGCGAAGTGGGACTGACTTTCAGTATGGGCCGGCCCTTGAGAGATTTGTAAGATGGTGCTACCATGGTTCCAGATTAACAGAATTGACAGCAGTACACTCGATGTATTCCCGCATTAAGATTAATGCCGGGCTTCATTGGCTAGAGATAGAAAGGAGCAATTCCCAAGCTCCTATAATACCGTGATACCTTGCTAGTGCGGTGTGTCTTCATTGGAGCGGGGAGTTAGGGACAAAAACGTGCTTAAACAGGCACATGTTTTAGTGAAGTAACCGAACAATTAGCACGCCCACTAACCGGGACCACTAACAGTTCCGCCGAATCGTCCGTCCTGACGTTGTTCCCGAGCGCCACCCGCTGAAGATTTTGAGAGAATGCGCACTCACAGATCACCAATCCGTGGGTTTGCGCCGTGTATGAGCAGTAGCCGCATATTACAGTAGCAATTAGCCAGATTTGCATATTAACTCTGCTCGGCAAGTTAAACAAGAAAGGAAAAAGAAAGGGCCGTCAACGGGCATGTGTTTGAGAGAGATGTGGGGTTTGTTGATTGTGTAGATTATCCGGGCCGGTTCGCAGAGTTGCTGATGCGCCAAGTTTATGCTATAGTACAGTGTAGCAGAGCACTAAGTATGCACGTACCATGCGTGCCAAGGGACGGGAAGGATTAGAAGGATGGTATTGACCCCGGATCTCCACTAGAAGTCATCTCCGTGCGCGCAAACGAGACCGCGTCGGGATCAACGGAACTCGTCTGAATACTGCCTTTGTGATAGTATCTCGCCATCTCAGGATCGCCGCGCTGCAATTGCAAGCTGTGGGTGTGTGAAGAGCAGTCGTTCAATATCCCCAGCTCCAAACGGTCGAGAAAAGGACCATGGAATGCAAATCTCCTTCTTTGATTACTGGCTGGGGATTATGTTGGATTGTGTTGGTGAAGATCCCTGTCGCCGGCGCAGCATGCATGCTCGTACCTGCACAATTTACCAGGATTTGGGAACTCGGTTGCACGTATCTCGCATTCGAAGGCCAGTAGCCTTCTCGCCTTTTAATTGTTCATATATCCTGATAAGCTCTCGTTCTCCGATTCTGAAATGCATCCCAGCAACACGCTCCTGCCGTAGACGCCATGCTTTTCAATTCCTTCGCCTTGCTTGGACTGCTAGGCGCGATCGCCCGAGCAGAAACCGAGGGTGTATCGGATGTGAACAGCTTCGTTCTCTCTAACAATGGTGGCTGTAAATGTGTATGTATGCAGTCTATGGAACCCGGATAACAATGCTAAACTCTCGAAGGGACCGAGTGACCGATGCTGGCCCGCCCCCCTCATCTGGAATGTCTTCAACTTGACCTTGGGTGGAAAGTTAATCGCAGACACTCCTCCAGCTATTTCTTGTTACGATGGGCCCCAGAAAGACCTCGCGAAATGCGCGAGCCTTCAGGCAGACCTCAAGAACTCGACTTACATTGGCAACAGCCCTGTTGCTCCTGGATTTCCGGTTAACGACCAATGCCCACCCGTCAACTTTGCTGCTGGAGAGGTTGCTGGAACTTGCACCATGGGAGGTCTGCCCAGGTACACCGTCGATGCTACCAACCCGCTCCAAGTCTCTGCAGCAGTTGTCTTTGCGCACCTGTCCAACATTCGATTGGTGATCCGTAACACGGGACATGACATACTCGGGAGGTAAGCACAGCTGGACTATAATCAGCTGAACCATCTAAATTTTTATATAGATCCATTGGCGACGGCAGTTTGGCAGTGTGGATCCACAACCTCCGACAGGGCATCACCTTCCAAAAGACATACACTGCATCTGATAAGTGCAGCAAGTCGGGCTGGAAGGGCAGCGCAATCAAGATCGGTGGTGGTTACGTGTGGGGCGAGGTCTATGCCATTGCGGAGGCCAATAATGTCATCGTGGTCGGAGGAGGAGATCCTGTAAGTTTAGCTCTTCGAAACCGTTGAATTAACTAACCAAATTCAGTCCGTGGGATGCATCGGCGGTTATGCGCAAGGCGGTGGACACTCTCCAGCCAATCACAACTATGGTTTAGCAGCAGACCAGATTCTTGAAGCTCAAGTTGTGCTGGTAAGTCAATCTCTTCGCCGCAATCCTTTCCATATCTGACTTAAATAGGCGAGTGGTCTCATTGTGACGGCAAACGCCTGTCAAAACACCGATCTATTCACTGCCATCCGTGGTGGAGGAGGTGGCACCTATGGTATTGTCGTTTCCACTATCGTGAAGGCGCACCCGACTACCAGAGTCTCGGCGCAGGTCTTCTCCATGGCACCTCTAACGGACGCAAACATCCCGGATTTTATGGACGCCCTTGCAATCATGTACTCCGCCTATCCTGATCTTGCTGACGCCGGCCTAAATGGCTACGGTAGCTGGGCCGCTAACTCATATGCCCCTGTGATCCCTAACCTTCCTTACACTACCGGGTATTCGCACGCCCTTGCCATCATGGGCAAGTCTATTACTGATGCAAAGAATGCATTTGCATCAACAGCTGCCAAGCTCTCGGTTTACAATGGCACATCGCTCTTCCTGTACTCCGACTATTACACCTTCCCAACCTACGCACAGTACTACCGTACACTATCTGGCGGCCTTGGACCAGTTGGATCCGAAGCCGCTCTCGGCTCCCGCCTCCTGGACCGCAAAGCCCTCACCAACACCACAGGGTTGAAGAACATGTTGAACACCGTCGCCGGAAACCCGGGACAGTTCCTCCAGAACAACTTCTGCCTCGTTTCCGGCGGCCAAGTCTTCAAAGACCGCGCTGAGCCGTTTTCCGGCGTCAACCCCGGATGGAGGACATCATATGTGCACAACATCGTTGCAGGGGGTTGGTTTCCCGGTGCAGACGCGGCTACGAAGGCGGCAGTGCACAAGGACATTACGGAAGTGAAGGTGGGATCGATGCGCGCTATTGCACCGGATACGGGCTGCTATATGAACGAGGCGGATCGTCTTGATCCGGACTATTTGGTAAACTTCTATGGTGGTGCGCTTCCTAAATTGCAGGCTGCGAAGAGGAAGTATGATCCTACGGGCTTGTTTTACTGCCCGACTTGCGTGGGTAGTGACGCGTGGAAGGAGGATTCACAGGGGAGGATATGCAAAGCCAACTAAGTTCCCACATATAGAGTTAGAGCGTCTGTATATATATTGTATGTATATGGCCATATAATAGAGTTAGAGAGCTGAAAGCTAGAAAACAAATATTATAATGTTGGCAGCATGCATATGCTCATTGAGTTGGTCTGATATTAAAATCGTCATCCCTTTAGAATTAGCAATATAAATTTTATATGCGGCAAATCTAAAATGTAACATTTCAAATCCACCCAAATTGAGGAATACACCCGAAAATATAAACTCTATGCAACAATTAAGGCGTCTAAGTATTTGATTAGCCGCCCATCACCCCGTATTTCAGCGACCAGAAGTTAATTTGGAATCGGCTGGCCATCCTTGCGTCCACCAGTAGTGATCTGAAAGAACTCAAACTTGGCATCACCAGTGTTGAAGCTGCCCTGCCACTCGATAAGGAAAAGTTCCCAATTAACCCAATAGAATTCCTCAACTTCCGTGGAAAGGTAACTGTCAAGAGTTAACGACGACAGAATTTATATTTCTCGGCAGTAGCTAGAACGTACGCAGTACCGAATCCATGGAGAGCTGCCGCAGAGTAAGTCGTCAGTCCTTTCATGTCGGCTAGTATCCGATCGCCCTTATCGTTCTCAAACACCCATCTCGTCTCAACAGTCTAGACAACACGAGTTAGCCAACATATTATTTCACTGCCATAGATCTCATATACTCACGCTGTACGTTCCAGTCTTCGAATTCAACAACCTCTCAGTCTCGGCAGACAGATTTGCGATGAGATGCCCATTGAACTGGCCGCTAATATTGCCAGTTGCGATAGGCACCATTGCGACGATTCCATCGGGGGTGGTGATATTATAAGGCATTCCGACCTTGGTGTTGACGGTCACAAAGGACGTTCCCACAGGCGGGTTGTAGATGCCATCAGTACACGCGCCCGTCGCCACAGCGCTGGCAATGGAGCAAAGGAGCAGGAGGGATCGAGGAAGCATGATTAAAGATATTGAAGATTGAGAGACTTCGAAATATTATTATTGATGCCTCGGAGATATTAAAGGAAGCTGCTGATGAGATAGAGAATATGACAACTGTCAGAGGAAGTGGCTGACTTTATAGTTTCCTCTCATGACAGCTCATTGAGATAGGGAAATATACGAAGTTACGAGGTCTATTGTTACTTCTCATCCTGTTGTCCTGATATCAATCACTGCCGATCGTCAACGTCTTTGTAATTATCATTGGCTCCATGGAGTTTGTCGGCATTGGCACAAGCTGTTTGCGGAAAAACACGACATCAAGGATTTTGGCGCTGACAATTACCCAAGCCACCGGCGGTGCGGCTGTGGATACATTAAAGTGTCTTCCGTCGTCAACGAGCCTATACCACGACGGCGGTGAGGTTGCTCGTCATAAGCGTTATTCTATTGTCGGATTACCTCCTTCGTCAAACGCCTCTTTCGGATTAGCGTTTGAAGGCGAACGGCCCCTCGTTAGTCTCGGGGCTAATTATTGGCTCCCGCGCGGGTGGAGATGCCAAGAAATGGCGGGGTGTCTCTGGTCACAAACTCCGCCACTCATAGAGTTGTATAAAAGTACTTCAAACGCGCGTGAAGGCATAAAATCAACAAATGGTGGTAGACACGAACTGCGGCTGACAATATCGTGTTTGCGTAGATCCAATGTCGCCATCAGTTGCCTTCACGTACTAAATCCTTAGCCTCGTGATGCTGGTTATGGTGAAGAGCAAGGACTGACGTTGGGTTGATGAGAATATCAACATGTATATTTATATTTCTGCCTTTAGGGATGTAGATATATACTGTTTTCTCAAGATAACCAACATGAAACTGCCACATCCGACAAGTTCCGTCTTCTCCGCCAGGCCGCCTACTCGGCCACAGGGCAAAAATCGTAGTTGCCGTTGATGTTGTTGCCCCACCAAGATGGAAACGGTTTAGAAGGACCTCCAGCACCGAAGACGGCAAAGGACAGGATAAAGAGAACCGTGAGACTTGCACCGTCAAAGGCACCCGTGATCAAGTACGAGTAATCCTTGAAGATGCGCGGGCGATAGTTGCGGAGGTAGAACTGGACGAAGAATCCGGCAAGAATCTGGCTGAAGATGACGCAAGTCTGCGACGAGTTGTAGGGGATATAACCGGCATATTGGATGAACTGGGGGAAATTGAAATCCGAGAGCGAGAAGCCTCGAATTCTAGGGACAAACTAAGGACGCGCAGAGTCAGTACGGAAAGGAGACGAAGTGCGATACAAGAAATATAGAAGGTAACGTGTACTCACGTGTACAACAAAACGGTGGACAACGACAGCACCAGCGCCAATTGCCAGACCTATAGGCACAATTGAGTACCTAGCCCCGGATTTGTAGAGGTATTTGGCCATCGCCCATGAGGTTGCGTTGGTATTATACCCCTGGATGGTCGCACCGCTCCATGAAGCGTCGCCATTGCTGTTAACGAGGTGGTCGCGATTACCACCTACGATGGAAATCATGACGGCATAATTGACGAAAGCGCCCAATACAGTACCATATACCTGAGTAAGGAACATGACACGGGGAGGGATTTTGACTATATTGACGTTAGCGCCATATCGACGAATGGCGTATCGAACCAAAACTTACGATATTCACCCATCTTCAAATCGTTGCACAGATTCAGCGAGTTCGAAATGACAGTATGTGACCAAGCATTAAAGTACATATTACTAACGGGGCGGCCGGGGAGCATCAGACCTGCTAGCATCTTCGACAAGTTATTCGTAGCAATGCCATTACCGTAACGAGAATAGAGAATGATGCTCTGTAGTAATGTCAGACAACTCAATTGGTAGGTAATTATCATATACGGGTATACTCACGAAGGGTGAGATGACTATTCCCAGTATCAGCGAGACAATGTACGCCCAAACCGGAAGGATATTTTTTTCCTTGATGACGATTGCGAGACCAAGGACGAAGCTGATAACAAGAAGAATAATGTACCACCACCATGGGGCTTCCTTGTAATGTTTGGTCATGTACGCATGATGTCGGTCACTATAATTTCCTTTTTTTGCGCTTTTGTACGCCCTTTTGATGTCACCACCCCAAAAGAGGATACAGTGTGCAATTAGGGCACCGATCTAGGAGATGTTCAGTTAGTAATTTGACAAGTTCGTCAAATATTTGACTTCCAGGAACTTACGGCAGCATTTGCCATGAACATGGCGTATGCGAAGGTCCCGGTAATGTTGGGGATTCCATAAATGGCTAGAGCATCCGTATTAAGCACACCACCAGCAAAGACCTTTTTGATAGGATATGCTGAGCCGTCGTCGGATAGTAGCCGCGACGACATAAATGGTAGTGACTTTGAGCCCCAGGCATTGGTGTAGTATATGCCGATCATCGCAAGAAAGCAGACGAAAAATCCTGCGGCGGCATTGGCCTGCAGTGTGAGGGGAAGGGATGTCTGGAAGGAAGTAATCTATAGTATGTTAGTTCAGTTACCCCCCTTGCTTTAATTCGTGAACAGTAACTTACATATTGCCAGTCGAAGGACAAGGTGAAGAGACCTAGCCCTTCGTTGTTGATTGACCCGCCGAAAAGATTTGTGAGCACAGCCGCCTTGCTGCCTGTGGCATGCATAGCGGCAAGACAGGGGATAGAGACCGAGTTGAGGAAAGGGAAAATATAGGCAGGGAACCACTCGTAGGCGAACATGCCTGCAAAGGCGTACCAGAAGAATCGGATGGGCTTAGAGTCTTTCACCTCCTGCCAATGCATTCCTTGGAGAGTTTTGACTGTGGGAAGAGTACTCCAATACACTGCATCGACGTGCCAGACGGCGATTGGGCGCATTATACCGGATATTCCATAACCAAACAGTCCAATCGAGAGTGTACACAAGACGACGGTGCTTGCTTTTAAGGGTAGGTTATAGAAAAGGTCTTGCGCCGCGAACACAATAATGGCTGCGGCACCGTTGGAGGCCGATGTGGCAGTTATCGTGCAAATTGCGTGCTCTTTTAGATTCCAAGGTCCGGAATTGAAGAAAGAAACGACTGAGATCCATCGGGGAACTTTTCCCTGACCGCCACGCTCCCTCCACCGTGCCTCAAATAGATCGCCACGGGGGAGGAAAGCGGCCCATGCCTTACCAAGAAAGTAGGCAATGATGACAATAAAAGTTCCTTGGATGGTGATGGCCGTTGGTTTGAACTATAAGAGTGGTCAGCCGATGTTGATATTGCGACGGGCATGGAACGTGTCGACCACGGGCGCGTTGGTATTGCACTGTACTCACATAATATATTTGGTACATCACAGCCTGGAAAGCAGAGAGGATAGTAGCCAAGAAGAGACTTCGGAAGGTCAGCGCTGGCTCGAGATCGTCCCGCAGCGGCAACAGATGCTTCGCCGCGTCGGCGCCCGTAACGATAATCGCATCGTCAGTACCGCTGTCGGAGTCATCGTTACTACCAGACTTAGTCTCAGTAACTATCACCAGGTCTTCATCTTTCAGAATCTCTGTCGCGTCGCTGTCGAGACGGATCTTCTCGTCGATCGCCTCGTCGCTGGGAACTGAGACGACCCTACCCTCAATAGGGGTGAGAACTTTGCCGACAGGGGCAGACATTGGCACAGAAGCAAGAGCAGTTGTCTGAGAGGCGGGGGAGCACAATGTAGGCAAAGGGATCCGCCATCGCGCACATGGTTTCCCCTTTATACCACGAGGTAGGACGCTCAAAACCCCAACCCCCAAACTAGATGGATACGAGCACTCATCTCAGGAAGGTGATGCGAGAACTGGTTGCGTGATACACACCAAGATCATATGCCATCGCACGCCTTCTATAGCGCCAATCGCGAAGCGCTCGTCAAATGCCACTCATGAGTGATGATAGCTGCTGTGACAGCGGGCATTATGAACTTTTAGGAAGGTCTTAATGGAAATAAGCTTCTGCCACTACGGTACGGACCTTCCTAATGCGGCAACTGCCAACATTATGGGTTGGTCCAAAACAGACACGGTGATACTCGCACACAAAGGGACAAAGAAACGAAGGAGCCCATGAACAAAAAAAATTGAGATAACACACTAGTCATGGGCAAAGGGTAGAAGATCTATCTTGCGGAAATGTAAATGTCGTTTGTCTCTCCAACCTGTGAAGGGCAGCACTCCCGTATACTTCGTATCGTGGTGATACCTCGGCAGTAACCTTCCGTGCTCTGTGACGGGCCCGTACCACCAACAGCAGGTCAACTGAATTGCCCATTTCCGCGCAACGTCTAGTGCAACCCTAACATCTCTTCGGCAAGTGTTGTCGCGTCAATGAGCCCATCTAACGGAGAACCCGACTTCTTTGCCGTCTACTTATGTGATTCAGTACCATACTCCCTATGATGTGATTTGTGGCTCGAATTTGAGACCTTGAAACATGCCGATGTGCCGATGCTGGGAATGAAAGATAGGCTGGATGGAAGGTAGATAGATGAAGCCATGTGAGGCGTTTCTGACGCGGTAATCGAGCACAGGGGTGGTTTGACAGGTGCGCCACAGAAAGTGTGGCTTGTCAGATGGGCCAATTACAAACGGGACGTCGGGGATTTAAAGAGCGAATCAACTCGACCTCCAGGCAATCGCTCAAGCCGGACCTTCAAACGTGAGATCAAGGACACCGTGAACAGTATGAAATTCGTTTACTGTCGTTTGGAAAACTCTGAACTAAATATGCTTGCGATAGCTGATTATTAAATCTCGGATTTAGTTGAGTTGCCATATGTCGGACCATGGGACTTCGAAGCACTAATAGCGAGAGAAATGCAAGCACTGTTGTTGCCAGACGGAGGAAGGCCAATGGGAGCTGGGACAGCGGCTGTTTTTTTAATTTATGGTCTCATACATTATAATTTTAAAGCTGAGTTGGCATCACTCGGTATCTGAGATGAAAATGGGAAACTTCACCATGCCTAATTAATCTTGACTTTCTATCGCGATTGATGCACTCCTGTAGCTCCTTCAACTTATTTGTTATCATATTTGTCTCAGGAAGGAGGACAAAGCAAATAATCTGTTTACAAAAGTCTGAAGAGCTAAGTTAATCAAACGAACGAAGTCTTTGGTTGTCTATCGAAATGAGCAGCTTGTGTGGGCCATAATAATGTGACATTTACAGCCTAGAGTGCCCAAGAGTTGTTATTTGAGGCACAGTTGCTGTACAGGCTCGCCATTCCAGGCAGACTTTATTAGGACTTTTAGTTCAGCTATCATATCGGGCTAAAGGCCGAGGTGGCTAAATTTTGAGCTGACATTGAAGTGTTGTGAAAGCAATGAGAATTGATTCCACCGACCTGGATCTGTTCGCCAACCACTCACCTTGTACTCATATTCTAGGCGGCAAACTGTATAGGTTCTACGATATGCTGTATTATCAGTAAATATGCCTATTATCAGTACGGTTGAAGTACAAACCAACCTGATCTTAATCTTCTTAATGACAAAGCGGAAGTGTATATTACAAAGTACCAAGGCAAGATTGCTGCGATGGAAGAGGATTTGATACGTAGCGTAGATCCCGGAGAAATTATATAAAGAGTTACAAGATGCAAATTAATGCAGGAGTTGGAAGTTGATTGTACCCAGACGGAGTATTGTTGGGCGAGTTTTAGATTGTGTGTTGCTACACCGGCTCCAACAGCCTTTCCGTATAGAAATGTGATAATTTAGACATAAAACTTCACAGGGTGTGTGTTACGCGCGATTCCACAGATTTACGGGGACGCCATTATAAAAATGCGTAAGCATACCCAGAATTGTTGAACACAGAATCGTATGCGCCCCCATATCGTTTCGTCTTTATATTAATTTTAATCAGCGGACACTTCGGCATTTAACCAGCCAAGAGGTGTGCCGCGTTTCAAGCTTACCGCCACGCTGCACCGATCCGCAACTCTAATCCACAATTGTCACAACACCGTTTCACAACACCAATTGAGCCCATTCCTCAATCTATCTGAATAGACCACGCTCGTGTTCCTTCGACCTTCTCTGGATTAGCATAGGGAAAGTAATCCTTTCGATTCCCACATTTACATTTCTCCTGCTCATCATCGCTGTTTGGGTCGCCTTGGCGCTTAACGGAACAATTTTTCCTATGGTCTTCAATTAACTGCGCTTGGCGAAGCGGCTTTGCCATGGATTTGTGGTATCTCGACTGCCGATCTTGGCGATCTCCTACTCCCCACTACTATCGCCGCACTTTCAATGGAGGCTGTGAGCCAGCTTCGATATCAAAAAATATATTCTCTAGGAACTCAAACGTGGGGAACCCTGGGATTTCGCCGGCAGCTAATTATGTGTCGAGCTTAACATGACCGCCAAGAGGGCGGCAGCATGACTATAAGTACTCCATGGCGTGCCGCTGAGATATTCGTTTTGTTCACCATCCACATTCGCAAGATCAACTCATCTTCCATCTCATCCAATAAATACCCGTCTTTGACACTCCATATCTCTCATCATGCATTTCCAAACCGCCACGATTGCCGCCGCCCTGGCCACCCTTGCCGCTGCGCAGACCCTCAACATCCCCACCCGCTCGGGCGACATCACATCCCTCCCACAGCCCAGCACCATCTCCGGCGTCAATGACTACGCCAACAAGGAGTTCGACCGTGGACAGCCCTGCGACTCTGATGAGGACACCGGATCTGAGAACGCCGTCTTCATCCTCAAAGACGGCGCAACCCTGAGCAACGTCATTATTGGAGGCGACTCTCTCGAGGGTGTCCACTGCGAGGGTGCCTGCACGCTGAAGAACGTCTGGTTCAGAGATGTGTGCGAGGGTAGGTTTTCCTGATACCCTCCGTTTTATTTGTCTAACGCCACACCAGATGCCATCACTCTGAAGGGTGACGGTGACGTTCTCATCGAGGGCGGTGGTGCCCAGGAGGCCGTAGACAAGGTCGTCCAGAGCAACGGAAGGGGCACATGCACCATCAAGGACTACACCGTTGTCAACGTAGGCAAGCTCTTCCGCTCATGCGGAAACTGCAGCAACAACGGCGGCCCACGTAACGTTATCGTCCAGAACATCAAGGCCAACGGCGTCAAGGCCGATCTGGTCGGCATCAACAGCAACTACGGCGATGTGGCCACCATCTCGGGATCGTGCGGGACTGGCGTCAAGAGCGTCTGCCAGGAGTACAAGGGAATTGAGAAGAACGGCGGCGAGGACCCAGTCAAGGTTGACACCACTGCTAACTGCAAGGGTGCTCAGGGTCTCCTTGACTCGCTCCCAAGTTGTTAAATGGTGATGGAGAGATGAGAATTGTGGATTTGTGGAGATGGACTGTTTAGTTCGTGTGTATGTATCATTGTGCTATTTATAGGGAGTGCACGCCTTTAGCAATGTACATATTTAGAGACTTATCAAATGAATATATTCCTTAACTTGCCTTTCATTACCAACCCGGGTTGCATCGCGAATCTTTGCTGGACCTGTGCCGAGAAAGGTGGCCCATCCGCAGAACTTGTAGATTGGTAGACTCCACTCAAAATATCCCAGCCGCGAGCCGTGACACACCGTTGATAAAAAAAACCTGTTACGGTGATGATGAGGCATGAACTCGACCAAGAAATATCTCTCCGTGATTTGATTGCAAGGGTCGCCAGGCGGGGAACCCCACCAATTATCCCTGTGGCCGCGTTTCGTGGCGCCCTTCCAGACCGCAAACCTGATCGACAACCCTGACCCCCACCATGCAACACTACGTCACTTCCCGCGATGTAAATATATCGACCACATAAGTAAGTTGAGCCGTCGAGCAGATGCTCGATCTTTCTTCAGACATTCAGAAATCGTTGGACTTCTCGTTGAACAGAATATTCCCACGGAAGCCCACCTTCCTCACATACCCATCCGCCACCCTTCTCCCCTTCTCATCTCGACGACGAAGTCCCCGGTACGAGTACCAAGCATCCGTTGACGATGTCAAACAAGTACGCCCCAACCCCTCTTCCACCATACCCCCTCTCCACGCATGAAACCTCAGAGCTAACCCTCCCCACAGCCAAGAATACGACGGCGAGGCCACAGAGCAAGCAACTTACGAATCCGACAACGACGACAACAACTACCAGCCCACCCCCGCACAACCCCAAAGGTCCCTCCAACGTCAACAGCAACAACAGCAGGTCCCCAATGGCGCCCCAGCAAACAACCAGTTGACGCGCGACCAAATCAGGGAGAATATGGGGTACCGGGCGCCGGTGATTCGGGAGTCGAGAATCAAGGACAGGCCACCAAAGAAGGATGAGAAGGATAGTGCGGTTAAGATCAAGATTGAGCTTGACCTCGAGGTATGCTTAATCCAGCCAATGCTTTTTGTAATAAACTAACGAGAGGTGCTGCTAGGTTGAAGTGGACCTATATGCGAGGGTGAAGGGTGATGTGACTATCGGGTTGATGTAGGGGGCTTGGATTGAGGTTCTGGATGGGCGTGGGATATGACTGTTATGATTAGAGATGTTTCTTTGTTCTGGGATGTTGGTAGGGATTCCATGTTTGGTTCTGCAGTGTGGAGATGGCATATTTAGATATTCGTCGATAGAAATCGAATTACAATGTGTAATCAGTTATTGAAAAATATAACAATGATAAATAATTTTTATTAATTTAAATCGTGGTATTAAATTTCTAGTGCAGACATGTTCATCACAGACTCTCAGGCCGTATATATCAAACACAGAATTCTATCATGGAATTTCCTGTTTTTATATAGATAGTGTCACTATCCACAGTCTCTCTCCAGACATCTTGATGGCAGGGAAAACGACTCCACCTAGCCATATGCAACCATTTGTGATTTCAAACGAGCTGACATGGAAATGATGGGGAATGAACGCTGGTGAAGATCGACCTTTAACACTTATGCACAGTTGTACGCGTGAAATGCCATTGTTTACTATACAAACTATAAATACCGATAAAGCAGACGAAGAAAGATAAGCTGTGCCCAACTCGAGTATTCTGGTGGTCCGATCTCATTTCACTTCCACTATCACATTCATTCTTCCAACACTCACACAAGCTCTTTTGATCTGTCAACACCTACAAACCGAATCCTACCTAGAAGATCTCATGTGAAGGTATCAACGTCGATACAGGTTTGAGATCAAGCAGACATCTGTATCAGTGAAAGCTTCAACCATCATCGACACACTTTTGTTCACCACATCACTCCAGCTATCTTCCTGGCACAGCTAGCGTCTGTAGCCCTCGACTTCATCACAAGCCCACCTGTTGTTTCTATTCGGTATGAACACAGCCATTGTTTTGCTCCAGTATTTCTCCGCTAATGGATTATAGCCCAGACAGTGTCAGAATGGGCGCGCCTCACGTCTCCGTGGCTACGATTTCCACATGTTCAACACTTGTCGATTATGTGCAGTTCAAGAAATGGGAACTGACAGACTGCTTTTCAGACGTGGAGCAGTTCCAAGTTTCTCCCTCCTATGCAATGGGAATCATATTCAACCGGCCAAAGGGAGGATACAAAAATTCTCGTGGGATCACGAAAAAACTGAGTGACATAGCCCCCTCTGTTTTCCTCACATGCGATAAAGTTCGCTTAGAGTGCTTTAATTTTGGCCACGGTATAGTATACGAGGGCTGTTGGGTCACTTATGATGACAAAATTATGTGTGGAAGCTCGATGCAGAAGCTTCCCACTGGGCAAAGTTTCAGTGTGCTATGCGAAGATAGGATATTTCGAAAGTGGTTTACTAAAGTGCTGAACGGTGCCTACAAGGAGTACGACTTCGATACATTACCACCCGAATTCTTGAAATCGCTCACATCGCCCAAATTGCCGGGATCTCTGGCATCCGAAATGCCAGCCGGATCAAGCCCCTCAGCTGGCTTATCAATCCCCAACAACCAGGTTGTGGTTCCCGCTCAGCAAGGCAAGCGCAGATTAGTTCTTAATTTCGGACAATCCCGAGACTGGAAGACAGCGGTTCCTGGCCAACAACGCGCGATTCCCTTTACCTCCCTAGCATCGACCAGCTCACCGGCCGCTTTGGTAATGGCGAAGGTAAAGGCAGCACACAAAGCCAAAGCCGATGCCCTTTTATCAAATAGCAGCAATGTGACAGACGAAGTAGTGGCGCCTACAAAGCCCGGATCATCTTTGAATCACTCTCCCAATCAAAGCGCGGCTCGTGATAAAGTAGACAAAACGACGCCTGTTCAAGATGGGTCTCATGCAGCCGGGCAAGCCACCGTGAAACCATCGACTACCCCGCAACTATCAGAAAAAGCTGCTACAGGCATGAAGAGACAGAATGCTTCGCCATTGACGGGTTCTTTAGACAAACGCACAAAAACCGGCTCTGCATACCAACGACAAGAAGTCATCAATATTGATAGTGACGACGAAGACAATGCCAAACCCAACCTAGAAAACTCACAATTGTTAAGCGATACCGCACAAAACCAGGAGCTGATGAAAGAGATCGAGAGCCTGAAACAGTCTGAGTCCCGTGCAGTAGAAAGAGCAAACGAGGCACTCAACAGAATTGAGAAGTTGATGCAAGAAAACACCAACCTGAAGCTATCGGAGATGCGTGCAGTCAACAGAGCAAACGAGGCACTGGGCAAGTTGCGTGCAGCGAACAGGGCAAACGAAGAATTGGGCGGAAATGACGGTCTTGTGGGACAAATTGAGGAGTTGATGAGAGAAAATGCCAGCCTCAAAATGTCGGCGCTCCGTCTGGTTGATGGAACAAGCAAGACTATGGATAAGGACGGAGAAAGTACTGGTGGACTCAAGAATGAAGGTGGCACCCAGCAGATCAAGAAGGAAGATCGCGCTGGACAACAGAAGGAGTAAACATGGGAAATGGAAGATCCAGACTGTCAGAGTTTCGAATTATCGCAATATTGGACTTCGGACCATCGGAGTTTCGCACTGTTGGAAGAACAGACTTTCGGAATATCAGAAATTCGCAGTATCGCAATATCGGGCTTTTCAGAATATCGCAACTTCGCACTATCGCAACACCAACCTTTCAGATGGGCGGAATTTCGCGTTATCGGGATTTCACAATAATCCTAACATCAGCGTTCCAGACCATCGGAATTTCTCACTGATGGAATATCAGAGCTCCGCAGTATCGGAGTTTTACTCTATTGTAAAAAAACAGAGCCTTGGACCATCGGGATTTTCTCATTGTCGCAGTATTTCACCGTCGCGCCATCAGAGTTTCGTACGTTCGGACTTTCGAAAAGTCAGCCATGGATGGAGCAGTTCGACATCGGTCGCGCTGCGAGGTGAGATGGGTAATGCACAGGCTGGATATGGGTGGTATTTTGGGGACGAGAAGGAGAAGAGGCGGATGTGGATAGTGATGAATCAATCTTGTAGTCGCATCAGCCAAATAGAGCATCGGTATGCTTCTCAATCAATCAATGTTGATAATCAATCATCGTGCCGTGAACCTCCATATCCGCCATCACCAAAGATAAAGTAAAGTAAACAAACCCCTCCCCCAAACAAACCCTCTCCTCCCACCACGCGCCACACCATACGCATGCGGACGAAATGCAGCCATCCAATATTGACGATGACGTGCAGCCATATATATATTATGTACCCCCCAACCACCACCTCCCAATCCAATCCCGCCCCACCAATATACCAACCCGCGTCGAAATTTCCACAAAATACGCCCCCAAAAGGAACAAACCAATTAATCCAGCATGCACTCACCTTTCCAACCGGAAAACTCCAACCTTGCCTTCCTTCCTCCTGTCGAAGTTTCGATGTCGTCGTTGTTATCCCAGCGTAAGCAATACTAACATTACTACCAATACCCACAACCCCCCCCTAGCGCAGTCGCAGATCCCGCCCGGCGGAAAGAAAACATCCAGATCGCCCTCTTCTTCTTCTTCCCCCCCCGGGAGTGATGGATAGAGTACCGTACGCTGATGGGTACTCTCTGATGGATACCCATACCAACCCAGCCCAGCCCAGCGTGGCAACGGACGCCTCGTGTATGCACCCTTACTAGCATCCTCGGTCCCCACTTGGGCACGCCCGGTTCAGCTGGGACAATCGCGCTGGGGCGTGTTGGCAAGGGGAGAGTAGAGCGATTGAGCGATTGAGCGATACAAAAAAAAAAAATCTTCGTTGTGCATTGACTGCACCCGCGCGCTTTACTGGGCTGGAGGTTGGGGATGAGGGGGGTTTTGTTTGTGTTCAGCGATGGGTCTTGTTTCGCGATACGGGGCGTGACGAGGATCTACGTGCGAGGTTTGACTCGGGAGTACACTGTGCGCGGATGCCGTACCAACCACCCAGTTCTACTTTCCCTGCGTTGTTGTCGTATGTGCGCGCACTGTTCTGTGTCTCTCTCAGTCCGTCTCTCAGTCCGTAAGTACCATACCATACCGCCCGTACAGCACGCACAGCACTGTAGTCAAATCTCACCACTCCCCTTACCACCACCACTCCCTCGGCATACCCACCTCGGCACACCCGCAGCCTTGACAACGAAAGACGAAACCAGACAGTAACCAGACCAGACCAGACCACCAACCACACATCCACACAGCCAGCCAGCTAGCCAGCCAGCCAGCTAGCCAGCCAGCCCCCTTCTCGCTACACACTCCTCACTCGGTCGGTCTGCTTACCCGATCGAGACCCGTGCGCGGTATCGTTAGTTAGGTACGCTACAGTACGCTACGGAGCGGAGGGATGCAAGTCCAGTCCCGCCCGGCGTGTGTGTCTCTCTCGCAAGGCACAAGGTCCCTGGCGGGCTGGACGTTCTAGCTGGACCGCACTATTGCTAGCGTCCGTGCTGCTGGCGCTGGTGCGTGTTTGGTTTTGGTGTGTGGTGTGTGGTGGATGGTGGTGCTGAGGAGCTGGTGTTTGGCGTGGTGGGTGCACGGTTGTCGGTTGGGTGGTGATGTTTGGGAGGGGGTTTATTTATAGGGATCTACCTTCGGGTGTGGCGATTGGATCTGATCTGAGATGGGTATGGGTATGGGTGTGGTAGAGTGCGTGGTATGTGGTATGGGTATAGGTATGGTATGGGTGGGAAGTGGTGGGAGGTGATGGTCGGTCGGGTAAGTCGGAGGGTGGGAAAGGGAGGGGGAGGGAGAGGGGGAGGTGGCTCAGGTACGGGATGTTGATGGCGTTTTTCGCTCGCTCGCTTTCCTTTGCTTTGCTGGGTGGTGGCGGTGCGTGGTGGTGGTGCGACGGCGGGTGGTTTGGTGGTTTGGTGGTACAGTTTCTATCGACGTGGGATATCTCACAGAGTACAAGACACACCTCACATTCTTGGCGGCAGTCGCAAGTCACTCATAGCGCCATCCCATCCATCCCCAAGCAAGGTCAAGCAAGTCAGCTAACAGCCAAAGTAAGTAAGCGACATCTGCCACGTCGTATCCGCAAGGTTTATGTTATCCAAGGTATCCACGTCAAGTTAATCCACATCCACGCACCGACAACCCATCTCCACCCATTTCCACCACATTTCAACCTATTTCCACCACATCTCAATAAACTCCACCCATCTCTCTCTCTCTCCGTATTGTCTCGTCTTTCTAGCCAGTCTCAGCCTTCTCTTAGTCTGCCATTTTCTTTTCTCCCCTCTCCACTCTATCGTATCGTATCGTCGCTCCCGTCCGTCGGTGATCGGGAAGAGTGACTTGTCTTGTCTTACTCTGGTCTTAGTTTTGGGCCTTGTCACCTTTCTGAATACCTGCCAAGGTTGGGAATAGCAAGGTTAGGGTTAGTTGTCAGTCTACTCTGCTATCCTATAGTTGGTCTGGTCTACTCTACTATCCTATAGTACTCTCTCTAGCCTGCTCTACAATGCTCAACTATACTCTATCCTGCTCTACCCTGCTCTACCCTACTCAACTATTCTACTCTTACTCTCCTTCCCTCAAGTCCCGCCCGCCGCCGCCTTGCATATCCCGGTCAATGCACAAAAAAAGTATCCCAGCTATACTATCTATGGCTACTCTATTGTATCTATTTGTATGGTACTACTTACACACTACACATATTCAATACGACCGTCCCACCTTTAACCTCTACTTGGACACAATAGTACCTTGTGGTTCTTTCCTGTTGTTCCTGTAGGGCTGTCTCTCTCTCTACCTACGTGTGTCTGCCTATCTACGAAAAAATAAGGGTTCTTGTCTGTTCCCGTCTCTCTCGGTGTGTTTCTGACCTCTTGTCTCGCTCTGTCTCCATCTTCTTCTCTCCATGTACTTCTTCTTCGTCTTCTTCTTCTACCTCACCTGTCTCATCCTCCTCTCATTGTTATTGCTGTCGTCCTCTATCCCCCGTACTACCCTCGTGTAGTCCTTCCTCCCCTCTCACTCACTCCTCCCACCACTCGTTCACCACTTCATCGCAATTGCCACGCGCTCAATTTGTGCAATTAATCTTTCCTCCTGCATCATCCTGGCCTGCGCACTTCGACCCGTCTTATCACTCACCACCAATCCTCACTCAAATAAGGTGGGGGTCAGCAATCTGCCCGCCCGCGCGCGCTATCTATCGCACGCCAACCTCACTCTGGCCGATTCAGCCGCAATAGTATCTATCGATTTTTGAGCTCCCGCCTTTCATTGCCTCCAATTATAGGTTCAGCCACAGTTCTAGACAAGGTACCTTACTTCCCCTTCTGTCAGCAATCTCTACTTCCCGCAATTGCACCAGTCTTGGCCTCACCGCACTCCTCCGGCATCCGCCAGCCTTTCCTCCAACTTACATTTACAAACAGTCATATACCTCACCACCTTCACCAACCCCAAAGGCTCTCACCGTTCAACCAAGGCTTGTCAACCTTGGCGTGTGAACATCCAATCCACATCCCCTCTACCGACAAGAGGCTTGCAGCAAACAACGACGCACACGGCAACGTCCACCGTCGTGGAAATGGCCGCCGGCAAGACTTCACCCTCACCCTTCGGTGACGGCAATGCCATCGCCTCAGAGACCTCGTCGATAGCACCGCACTCGCGACACGGCTCCGAGGGCACAGGCACAACACCACGACACAGAGACTCGGGCGAGAAGGAGAAGGAGAAGCACCAATTCCGCAGCTACAGGCTCACTGGCGAGTAAGTTGCTGGAAAGAATTGCTGGACGTGGACATTTACTGACTGGCGTAGATATGAACAGCCATGGATCAAGGACAAGCGGATGAAGAAGACGAGATATAACAACTGGATTGTGTATGCTTTCATGGTCATTGGATTCGGTGTGGCTGGATATATCTGCTTCGCCGCAACCCAGAGCGTTCCCAAGCATGACGTGCGTCCCCATACCCCCCCAGGC